AACGCATTATTCTTTTTTTGTCATCATTCAACCATCTTGATATGGTGACGGGAACGTGACCTTAGTTGTTGCAGTAGATACTGTTGAATCCCTTTCGACTGAAGTCGATGTCTGATTAGACAATGGGTAGATAGAACTGGAGACCATTTATTGCAGTATCCGAAGTCACGGAATAATTTACTGTTAGGACCTTTAGTATTACTCCAGCAAATTGAAGGAAAAGGCTGCTGTTAACCACGCAAATAAGTACGCTAGTAAGTATTAAATACGCAAGAATAAAGAATCTCTTTTTCTATTGCAAATCGTAGTGGTCCTTTTGCGAAAATGCAATTCCACCATTGTTTCATACCTTACTGTGTTTTTCTCCTCTAAATCATGGCCCTTTGATATCTTACAAGAGTCAATAATCAAACCTACTACTCTTCTTTTCGTCAAATAATAATTTCATTCTAAATCAATCTCAGTCTACTTTTCCAACCCAAACCTATTTTTTCAACACTCCACTCGAGTAAGCCTCGCTCTGTTCATATCCCTCGTGAACGATATGGCCCTGCAACTGCTCCTCAAAGTCCTCCACATCTTGGTACTCCTCAAACCAACCCTTCTCGAAAGGTTTGACCGAAGGCGTACCTTCAATAGGACTAAGGTAGCACAAGAAAGCGTACACCAAGCCGGCGGAGAAAAAACCCATGAAGAAGTTGATTCTGTACACCTTGATTGCGCCAATAGGAACCTTGTCTTCGCCCGACGTTGCGCCAACAAAACCAACAATGTTGGGCAAGATTCCGCAAATGTACGCCACGAGCGCTCTCCAGTTCAAACCGATCTTGTTGTACATGTAATAAGAGCGGATGCTTCTGTCCTCTGGAGCAAAGAGCGAGTACAAGTGGGTGAGCTTCAAGTAACCTCTTCTCACGTAGTAGTAGTCGCAACAAATGACACCAACAATGGACGAAAGGAAGACCGCATACGCCGACAAGTAGGTGGTGAATTTGGAGGAGCTCGACAACAAGTTCCACGGCTGGACAACCAAGGCTAAAAGAGCACAGAGGTACGAGCCTCTTCTGATGTTCATGTACTGCGGCAAGAGCGCCGTGACATCGGTACCGAAAGACAAAGAGTTGGCACTGATGTTGGTTCCCAATTGCGCAATGGCAAAGGCAAAGCCGAGGAAAAACACGCCGGCACGGCTGCCGCTGGAGTAGTCGTCCAAGAAGCGGCCCAAGACATCCAAGGGAGACCACAAGGTCTCGCCGTAAAGCACAGTGGAAGCGGAACTCACCAAAATGCCGATCAACGACGTGATGGAGAAACAGAGCGGGATGGAAACGGTTTGCACAACGTACTTCATGGAGAAGGTGGGCTTATCGGCAAAACGAGAAAAGTCCGGGGCGTTGGTGATCAACGTAGCAAAGTTGGCCAAGGCGTTCATGGTGGACTCGACGAAAACCCACGCAAACTTGGAGCCGTGGATCTTGGACTTTTCGTGGATCACAGGGCCCGCCCCGTGACACTTGACCAACGTCCACACCAAGAAAGCCACGCCTGCCACCGGAGCCACGTACGCCTTGAACGTGAACAAGTGTCTGATCTTGTGGGGCGGGAACCACAAGAAGGGCAAGGAGAACAACCAGAAGAGGAAAAACGACAAGAACTCGAACGTGGTGAGGTTCTTGTTGTGGATGCCGTTGGGCATGGTGTTCTGCAAGTTCTGGCCGAAGATGGCCCGCAACATGAGCCCGATACAAGGCCCGGCAGTCATGGCCTGGACAGAGTACCAGACGCAAGACATCACCACACGGTTGAGAACAGGCCAGATGGCAAAGAAAATGCCAAACGACGCTCTCACCGAGATGGGGAAAGAAATGTGGTTGACCACACCAATTCTGGCGGAAATAGACACAAAGATTCCACACAAGGTGTATCCGAGCCACACAGAAAGCCACGTCTGCCACCACGTCATGCCGTTCTGCACTCCCGTGGCCGCAATCATCCACGTGTTGATGTTGAACGAGTCGGCAATCCAGAAAAACACATAGTTGTACCACGACCACTGTCTTCTCGCCGCCTCGACGGGCCTCAAGTCATAGTTGAACAAGTACCGTTGAGCTGTGGTCAAGTCGTTGGGCTCGCTCACTTCGAGGGCCTCGAGAAATTTTCTCCACTTGCTTTTTTCGCTTTTTGAAATGCTGTCGCTGTCGCTGTTTCTGTCGACGGAAACGGTGTCCACAGACTCGCGGACATTGTACTTGGAAGAAACGGTCTTCCCGATATCCTGACGGTCCTCTTCCATGATCGCAATTTCGGCTTCTGAATTTTTTTCGGCTTGTGGATTTTTTCGGCCTCTGAAATTTTTTTCACCCAAACGCCTCTGGTTTTATAACACACCCAGTACTGCACTTTTTGACTCGGGTCAGCCCTGCCATCTCTCCACATGCATACAGTCTTGTTCATGTACCAAAAGTGTTGAAGCGCAAGCTTATCTGTCCCGATAGGAAGGGGGTGAGAATGAGAAAACCCCACGGCGCACCGCTGCGTTATCGGCCCCCGTCTTATCGGGACGCCTTATTGGGCTCTCGAACCGCTGTCTCACGCCCCAATTTTGTCCTTCCTGGAGGCTTAGATCGTTCTCTTTGTACTCGGCACCTTTGTTGCCCGGATCTCTTGGCTGCTGCCAGTTGCTCTCGGGGAACTCCGTCTTATCATAACGGTTGCTGCCAGATATGTTTGTGTGCAGGCCGACGATCCAAATGCCACTTGGCCCAGAGATAGAGCCGTTCGGCTAAAACAGAAGTGCCGCTAGAAAACACAAATGCAGGGTCTTGATTTTCTTATCTTGGGCGAGGCCAAGGCATTTCCGCGATTGTAAAGCTTTTGTCTCTGCGCCAATCAGAAACGCTGTGTTTGCATGTGGAATGTTCCCCTGCGACCAGATACGGCGCATGTCAAGATAAGCATTGTCTGCGGTGGCAGATTTGTCTAAATCTGACTCGGCTTGCTTTTTCAGTCTTGACTTTTTCCTCTTGTCGTGAAGTTGTCAGAAGGCAAATACCATGTCACAGTCCTGCACCCAGCATGAAAAGTTCTTCAGTGAGCATTCGGGCCTTTAGGAAAAAGAAACATAACGGAAGAAAAAGCCAACCATGCACAGAGCTTTTTACACAGCCGTAGCCAGAAACTCTGCTCGCTTGCCTGCGAGAAGCATCAGGCCCGTTTTGGCCGCTCCAAGAATCAGCCCTTTTGCGCTCAGATTCAACTCGACTAACGCCAAAGACCAGGAGCAAAAACCACAAGAAGAAAAGGAAGAAAAGGCAGAAACTACCGAGCAAAAGAGCGAAAACGGCGCCGAGGAAGCAAAACAGCAGGCCGAGGACCCTGTTGTCGCCGAGTTGAGAGAGGCGTTGTCCAAGAAAGACAAGGAATTGGCCGACATGAAGAACCATTACGCCAGAGCGGTGGCGGACTTCCGCAACTTGCAGGAAACCACAAAGAAAGAGATGCAAAAGGCCAGAGACTTTGCGTTGCAGAAGTTTGCCAAGGACTTGTTGGAGTCCTTGGACAATTTCACCTTGGCGTTGAACTCTGTCAAGGAAGAGACTTTGGAGACCAACGAGGAGGTGAAGAACTTGTTTGACGGTGTTTCCATGACCAAAAACGTGTTTGAGAAGACGTTGGCCAGACACGGAATCGAAAAGATCCATCCTATGGGCGAGCCTTTTGACCCCAACCAGCATGAGGCCACGTTTGAGATTCCTCAGCCAGACAAGGAGCCAGGAACCATTTTCCATGTCCAGCAGCCGGGCTACACTTTGAACAAGCGTGTTTTGAGACCGGCAAAGGTTGGTTTGGTCAAGGGTGTCGACAACTAGCACAGATGTATATAGTGCCATGTATATAGCTAATGAGATGCATGATAGAACTGATATAACTCAACCAGAAGATACTGAACTTCTATAAATGCGGGCAGTAGTTGGGAATTGGTGAAAAGCATGGAACAAGATGAAGCTAAAACGATAGAATTGCGAAGACTAAGATACTTGCTAAACAGTCTAGTCTTGAACCCTACACTCTTAAACGCTAGTCTGAGCTTTCAAACTGAGAATACTAAGCAGAATGCGCTCGTATTATCCGATAATCATGATCTTTCAAATAAACCTGGATCAAGTTATTTTCATACAAGTTATTATCGCTTACAGTCTACAATTTTTATTCATACAGTCTTTACAGTTTTTATTCATACCAAACACGAAAAATTAATTAAACCGAATGGGAAAACTATTTAAACCAAACAGGAAAATTAATTCAAACCAAACAACGAAATTTAAATGAGCTAGTATAGAACTTTGTGACCTGCCACTAATTATTCTTTGAGGCGTTCTAGGGGATTTTGATAGCCGTGTATACAAGTTGTTAACAATAGGGATTATATAATCACCCCTAGTTACATGACTAAGCTACAGACCTATATAAACCTTCCAAATTCCTGAGAATTCGAAAAGTAAATAACTATTCTTTTTTTATGTGTTTATCACAGTCTGTAAAGAACAAAATGGAATTCAATAGCTGTATGTTAGATGATGCTTACATAGATGGACTAGGTAATCGATTTTGTATTGATCCCAAACTAGTCTCACTTTCTGAAGGATCTTTAGATGATTGTTTTTCTTTTAGAGATTACAAAAAACAGAATGACACAGGGACTGAAGAATGCGGTTCGCCACATGCAAAGGCTCAGGAACAGTCTATGACTGACGTTGAAATTATGGCCCCAACACGCAAACTCAAACCGAAATCGAAAGAATACAAGAAATACTCGAAGAACGTCAAGGAGAGATTCTGGCACGATATTATCGAAGAAGGTTACTCTGCTTATTCTGCGGCCAAAAAGCACGGGATAAATCTTCAAACAGCTTATCTGTGGAAGAGGAATTGGAATAAACAAATCTATTTGGCAAATCAGGGCTTGGAAGAGCCTTCGAAAAAGCGTGGACGTAAACCTTTACTAAATAAGAAGCACATGGAGCTCATGAATTCTTTAGTAGAAGATGATGCCTCTGTCACATTAGATTCTATGTTAGAAAGTCTCAGACTTAACTTCTCTAACTTGGAGGTCAGTGCTACGACCATGCACAGTTTTGCTACAAAAGTGTGTAACTTAAGTGTCAAGCGAATCTCCAAGTGGCCCGCTAGAAGCAGTCTGGAGTTTATAAAAGGACTAAGATACCAGTGGGCAAAGGAATACGGAGACAAACTCAATTTCAGTGACAACTGCATATTCATTGATGAAGCAGGCTTTAATCTCAGCACGAGAAGAGAATACGGTTGGTCTTCTGTTGGAGAAAAAGCGATGGTGAATTCTCCTATAATCGGGGGTCTAAACATATCGTTTATAGGAGCAATATCTTCTCATGGCTGTATAAGTTTGAAGGTTAGACACCCCCAAGGATTAGTAGATGGTAAAAAGGGAAAATTAGACACAGATGCCACCAGCAGTAAACTGAATCCCATTGGAACTACTGCGGGCCACTTCTATGATTTTGTCCAATCAGTCATGGAACAAAAAAATCAATCGGAAGAACTTCGTAATTTGAAGTACTTAATCCTTGATGATGCTTCCATTCATAAACGGCACTATATCCAATTATTGGTAGCTCTGAGTGATTTGGAGTTGGTATTTTTACCACCTTACTCGCCTTGTTTGAATGCCATGGAGGAATTTTGGGCAGTATGTAAATCCAAAGTCAAGAAAGCGAAAGTAGAAAAGAAAGAAGGACTCAATTTAGCGGTCTGTGAGTCAGTCAATCTGATATCCATTGAAAGCTATGAAGGATTTTGCAGACATGCCGGCAAATACATAGAATACTGCTTGGATCGCCAATCATTTTAGTTGTGTATGTTCATCCCATTCAAAATATAAGAAAAAAAAAATAAGAAAACAAAAACACAAAACATGTAATTCGACACCAGAAAACATAAAAGAACAAAAAAAAGCCTTTGAAGCAGGTTTGAACGCTATCACAACCATTTTTACGATCCAAACACTCGATTTCACCTAATGCACACCCCAGGAAAATTGAAAAGGTTTCTATGATAGTTCATACTACTAGTTCATTTAAATCTTCGTTGCTTGGTGTGAATTATTTTCCTGTTTGGTTTAAATAATTAATTTGGTTTGAATAAGTAATTTCGTTTGGTTATTTATTTTTCCTCTTTGGTTTAAATAGTTCTTCCCGTTTGGTTTAATAGTTTATCTCGTTTTGTATGAAAAAAAAAAAAAAAAAAAAAAAAAAAACTGTAAAGATTGTAATGCCAACGTTCGTCTTTGCATGATATGAATCACTCTTGCAGACCAGTAATTTCGTTTAATGTTCTCCACGTAATAAGAACAGTGTGATTGGATTGGACATTCCACCTTCGCACTGGTTTCTGTCAAATCTGCACTCCACATTTCACCATACATGTTCAGGCAAATACGGCGGCTTTCGTTTTCGCCCAAAACGTGTTTCCAGCTTCCACCCAACTACAAGCCCAACCTGCGGCATGTCAAAAAAATCCCATTTGCCAAGGCGTGGGAGATCTGGTGGAAATCTCTTCATCCGGGCCGTTTGGAAGATCTTCAGCGCCAGCTAGTGAATCTTCTGTTACCCCAGAGCCTCGAGGAAAACGCTGGTGTCGTTTACGAGGCCAAACGTGTGCCCATTGGCCACGGCAACCACATCAACGAGGTGTCTTTTGAAGTGACCAACGACCCGGCATATTCCACTTTACATGTTGTCTTTTTACACGGCTACGGGGCGGCGCTTGGATGTTTTGCCCGAAACTTCCATCTCGTCAACCGTTTCAAGGGCCTTGGCCACAACTACAAGGTCCATTTTCTCGACAATCTCTCGTTTGGGTTGTCGCTGAACCCGAAGTTGTCTTCCATAGACTACTGGAAGCCCATTCCCAGGGCAGACCACATCACGTTGCACGACACCAAGCCCACAAACCCTAAGGAGCTCTACAAAAAATACTACAAGCTTGTGGACAGCTACGATTTTGACGTGGACAAGTTTCGGGCCAGCAGCGAAAAGTTACTTCCTCAGTTGCAAGACATCGAGAGCTACTACATCGATGCGCTAGACGCGTGGCGGAAGAGCTCCAACATCAGCCGCATCGACTACTTGGTGGGCCATTCTTTCGGCGGGTACTGGTCTGGCTCTTATGCGGTCAAGTATCCCGACCATTTGAAGAACTTGGTTCTTTTAAGTCCCGTGGGAGTGGAAAGACACGCCTATGCCGTCAACACACCAGTTCCAGAGGAGACAACAAACATCCAGCCAAGCTTGGATCCTACTTCGCTGCGGTTTCTAAGCCGGTTTCCCATCTTGTCCTCGAAAACCATCGAAATGTGGTACAATGTCCAGCCATACTTACCTCGGCTCTTGAAATATATGGGCCCGTGGGGCGTCGCCAAATACTACGACATGTGGTACGGCAAGCTCTTTGCCATCAACAAGGTGATTGAAAAGCTTGGCGGAGCATCTGTGTTTTCTAGTGCTAACGAATTGAAGTACGGTACCAACACTGAATGTCGGCTCCTCATTGAATACTTGTACAATGCCATCACCCACGGCTCTGCTTCGGACATTCACATCAAGTATGTGCTTACGCCAGCAACCACCAGCAGATTGCCGCTTTTTGATAAGTTTGTTGATGCTCCAGACAATGATTTGGCCAAGTTCAACATGCATGTGATTTATGGCCAGTACGACTTCATGAACAGTGAAGCAGGCGAGAAGTTGGTGGAGCTGGTTAATGCCCGGCTTGGCGAGAAAAAGGCACAGTTCCATGTGGTTCCTGAGGGCGGGCATAATCTTTACATCCAGAACCCTTTTGGAACCAACGACTTGCTTGAACACATTATAGCAGAAAAACCCTCTGCTTAAGGCCTTTTATTGATATTTATTATTGGCACTATCGTCATTATTAATGGCACTATCGTCATTATTAATGGCACTATCGTCATTATTAATGGCATTATCGTCATTATTATCGTCATTCGTCCTTATTTATCTCATTCTGTCCTTATTTATTATCCTTATTTATTTTGTCATATTTCCTTATTTATTTTTATTTCTTCTCGTCATTGTTATTCATCATGTCATTATTAGTCTGGCTCCTGACCACATGGCTTGGTAGACACAATAGTAGTGGATTCATGTACATTGCCCTTTAAAATGTAGATAGATCATCAATATGCCATGTCTGGATACCAGATTCTCTGGCTCTAGTCTTGTGACAAAGATCTTTGTTTGCGAAAGGATAAAGTTAACATTCAGGGACGATCAAGTTGAGCACTATCATCGGCTGATATGAAGATTGAATGAAAAAGCCACTGTTAAACCGACTCTGATTGAGTAATAGATTCGTGATATTTCCTAGAGCGGATCTTGTTACCGAATTCTAATCAATGCATCGTATTGCCATTTCCAGTTCCATGAGTAAACAGGTGTTCACACATCAGTTTGCCAGTTCGGTCTGAAAACCCATCTTGGAACGTTCAAGTATCGTAGGTCATTTATTAGTCTTTTGAGTTGCCATACTTCTCTTTCGCAGTCTTACATTGTAGGCTTTATTCCTTCTGTGGTTTAGCTTAAATTGTTCTGACCCTTCCCCTTTCACTCCTATTCAGTTCTTCTCCTTTACTTCTCCTTCTCTTTTACTTCTTCTTCTCTTTTACTTCTCCTTCTCTTTTACTTCTCCTTCTCTTTTACTTCTCCTTCTCTTTTACTCTTCTTTTTCTTCTCCATGCTTTATCTCATATCGCGAACTTCCCCACATCCTTCCTGCCACACTTTATCGCTTCATTTTCAAATCCATGTCGGCTCCTCGGGAAACGACCCGTCTTCTTCCATCGCGAAGACCGCCGCTCTTATCGATTCCGCTGTCGCAATCCTTGCGTTCCGAATGGGCGCCCGATCTCCCCAAACAGTATCATGATTGTGAATCGCTCGAACTACCTCGGGCGGCTTCTTCTTTTGACTGGTTTGCCTATCTTTCCTACTACGTGCCCATTCTCCGGTGGCTTCCGCAGTACCAGGCCCAGAATTTCTTGGGCGATTTTCTTGCTGGCGTGTCTTTGGCCAGTTTCCAGGTTCCGTTGGTGATGTCGCTAGCAACTTCCCTCGCCAAGCTTCCGCCCTTGGTTGGGCTCTATTCGGTGGTGGCGGCGTCGCTCTCGTATGCCGTTTTTGGCACAGTCCCCACGCTTGTGGTGGGTCCACTGCCCAGCACTGCCGTTCTTTATGGCCAGGTGATTGAAAAGTTTGCCCACTCGCCTGCCAAGGAATTTGCGAGCTTGTCGCCCACAGACATCAGCGCCACGCTCTCTGTGGCCATGTCTGCCATTCTTTTGGTGGCTGGTTTGCTCAGATGGGGGTTTTTGGACAACATTCTTTCCCAAGCTTTGTTGAAGGGCTTCATTGGCGCAATGGGTGTCATTATGATTGCAAACCAGCTTGCTATACAGATGGGGCTCCAGGACTTGGCCAAGTCGCTTCCTCACGCCACCATTATCGACAAGTTGCGTTTTGCCATATCCCACGTTTCCATGGCTCACATTCCAACCGTGAGTGTGACTGTTTGCACATTGGCCATTGTTCTTATGGTCAGGAAGATGAAGTTGGTCTTGCAAGAGAAACACGGGGTTCGATCCGCAGTCTACATCCCTGAACTTCTTGCAATGGTGGTTGTGGCCACATTTTTCTCATACTACTACGACTGGGAAAGCCAGGGTATAGCCATAGTCGGGGACCTTTCCGGGTCGAAAAAAGCAAAACACCGAGGGATATTTGTCAATCCATTCCATTTTTCTCGCCTCTCGTTATTCAAGTCTGTCTTTGGAACGTCTCTATTGTGCTCGATCCTTGGCTTTTTCGATTCCACAACGGCCACAAAAGGTTTGGGCTCAAGATACAACTACAATGTCTCTGCAAACCGAGAACTTGTCGCTTTGGGCATGTGCAACTTTGCCATCATTTTTGTTGGGGGTATGCCTTCTTTCGGTGCTTTGGGAAGATCCAAGGTGAACATTTTGGCTGGCGCATGTACTCCTTTGGCCACCGTAATCATGGGATGTACTGTCATTCTTGCGGTGAGGTACCTTTTGCCCTTTTTGTACTACCTTCCCGAATGCGTGCTTTCTTTAAGCACAACAATCATTGGCATTACTGTGTTGGAGGAAGTTCCTCATGACGTTCGCTTCTTCTGGAACATTCAAGGATACGACGAAGTCGTCATCCTTTTGGTTGTTTTCTGTGCCACGATCTTTTGGAGCGTGGAAGCGGGCGTGATCTTGGGAATAGTCATTGCAATTGCTCGAGTGATCAAACACGGCTCACGTTCTCGCATTCACATCTTGGGCCGGATCCCAAACACATCTGTTTTCCGCAACGCTGATGAGCTTATAGAGGAGAGTTTCACGGCACACTTTGCTTCCGGAGAAGAAAACGACGGGTCTGCCAAGCTAGGCGATTTCATTGCGGAGATCGAGCAGATCGAAGGCGTTTTAATAATCAAGATTCCCGAGCCGTTGAACTTTGCCAATTTGGGTGATCTCAGGAAAAAGCTCAACCGGATTGAGCGATTCGGTACACTTTCCGTTCATCCTTCTCAGCCCCTGGTGAGTGGAATTGACAATGGTGCCATAAAGTTTATTATTTTCGATTGCAAGGGAATGACCTCTCTTGATGCTTCTTCTACACAAACACTCCATGACATTGTGAAAAGGTACCACGAAGTGAACAAGGTTCATGTTGCATTTTCCCGTGTGCCCGTGAACAAGAAAGTGAGAGCACGGCTCCTTGATCTGGGGATTGTAAAAGTTGTGAATTCCAGCTACAAGCTGTTTTGTGGCATGCAGCGATCCGAAGCTTCTGAGACAAATTCCGCTGCTCAGCCAACGAATGTTCCTCTGATGAATGTTTCTGCACTGCTTGGTGAAGGGTTTTTCCTTAGTATAGAAGAGGCATTGAAGGCTTTCCGCATCGACATGGTTTAAATGGGAGCATCGAGAGTGATTTCAGAATTACTCAATTATCAAGGTAATTATAGAATCTGTTAAAGATCCCATACGGGATGAGTGATCTACAATGGCAAAAAATTGGAAATTGTACAAAAGGTCAGATGATAGTTTTCTAAACTGCATTTGAGAAAAGAGATTAGAATAGTGTGATAATCTGTTCCAAGAGTCAGGCTGAGTGAAGACAGCATATAGATATAAGGGTAGGTAAGCAAAAACAGGTATCAAAAAAGAAAGGTTGAAGCGTTGGCAAAAACAAACCACTTTGCTAGACCTCAGATTACTAATCAGCAAACTAAACGAACCAGACTGGACAGAAGCAGTAGTATTATGTCAGAGCAAAAATACGTGAGATGTGGGGTCGCACCAACATCATTTTCCTGTACTTACAAAAGAAATGCTCCTCTGACTAGAGATTCTTTAAGCTACTCTTCTTTTCTGACAATAAGCGTCCAATCTTTGATTGTCTAATCTGAAAACCCCACTACTAGATATCATAACGGGGAGACTGCGACTAGACACAAAAAAAAAATAGAAAGTTGTTCTACAGAAAATCGATCGAGCCATATTCAAGCCAGCAATAGATGATACACGCCAGAAGCCGGGGTTTTTCTTTGGCTCGAGCGGCGCAGATCCGTTTCCGCAGCAAGTATGCCTTTTATGATCTCGTGCTAGAAACACCCACTCATCCGCGAGAGCCCATCGAAGCTCTGCTCATGAAGGAAGATGAAAAGAAGCAGTTGAAAAAAGAGAGCGGCGCCACGTTTGAAGGCGCCTACTCGTTGGATAACATGACCGCTGAGGAGAAGATTGCTCGTGTTTTCGGTGGCAGGATCCGTGGTGACCGCAGAGAAAGCTCGAGCAGAATGAATGTCGGAAAACCGAGAGTCATTGCCGGAGTTCAAGTTCCTGCCAAGCCGGTCGAGCCAGACAACTGCTGCATGAGCGGGTGCATCAACTGTGTGTGGGAGATGTACAACGACGACGTCAAGGACTGGAATACAAAGCGGAAAAAGGCTGCTGCAGAGATGGTCAAGCGAGGAGGTATTTGGCCAGCGGACTTCCATCCGCCTGTGCGTTATCTCAAGAAAGAAAACTTGCCTCAGTCTGTGCGGCAGTCTGCAGAGGCAAGGAAACCGGCGGACGAAGAATGGGGCAACGTGCCGGTTTCCATTCGAGTCTTTGCTGAAATGGAGAGGAAAAAGAAGTTGCAGAAGCAGAAACGGGAACAGAACGCAACGCCGTAGACTCCTTATATTTATACATACTAATCATAGGTGGCATAGAATGCCGACGACAGTTTGGTGGAGATCCTTCAATCAGAGAAATGAGATCATGATAGTAGTGTAGTCATATATGTTGATTGTCTTAATGCTGTCTCATGACATACCAGTCCACCAGAGAGCTTTAGCTGCTGACTTGAAGGTTCAATGACTCAGGCGATGTACTGGGAAGTAGTGGGTAGAAGACGCTAAATTTAGTATTCATAATTTAGTATGACAACGTTATTCATGTCTACTAGTACTCTTTATACCCTATATCCGACACTTCAACATCCCATCTGAACAACTTGACTTTTCTTGAAACGGTTGGCTATTACATGGACCAGTTTATGTAATTGTCTACTCACAAGCATTGCCGAGTCGTCGAGTAAATCCGCTTCACCCTAATACAATTTTCTAGACTATCCTGTATTCGTGGCTATTCACTCATCCAAGTTGATTCCCTTGCTCTTGTAAAAGTCCTTGGCCTCGTCGATCTGGCCCAACAATTCCTTGTAGCTCTGCTCCTTGTCTTTAAAGGTCAAAACACCCCAGCCCAAAGTTCCCAAAGCGTAAGCTCCAAATGTCACCAAAGCCCACCATGGTAGGTAAGGCAAAATCTCATCGTGGATCAACTTTCCAGTAGGAATGACACCCGTCCATAAAGCAAAGTAAACCGCCGAAACGGCGAAAAGAGCAACAAAAGTTTCTGTGGCCTTTGTCATTTTCGATGTGGAGAATCAAGTACGTGTTTAGTTTATATGTGCGCGAAGTAATATGGAGGAGACAGAAAATAACAGTAGTACGAGCCACACGAAAAAGTGCTGTCACAAGACATAAAAGAACGTAAGTGATGGATTGGGTCTATATATGGTCATCAAAAGGGGGATGTATGCGGAAAAGATTGACAAAAGACATTAGAAGAGCTTAGAGAAGCTATATTAAACAGCACCGATGCATCGCAATTTCATATTGATGGAGTCTACTCATTGAGATCGTCCTGTTTCACCAACCCCACTAGCGCATTGAGCTTCGCCGCTGTGTTTTCGTCCACCTCTTTGATTCGCGTGAACACAGACTCCTCGTTGAAAGTGCCCGAATCAATGGCATCGTCGTCTATATCATTTTCGTCTGCCTCGTCCTCTTCTTCTTTGATGTCTTTTCCTAAAGTGTCGTCAAAATCATCCTCGTCCGCCATTTCCACATCCTGGTTTTCTTCGTCGTCGTCCTCTTCCTCTTCTTCGTTTTCCTTCTCGGCGTAATCTGCTTCCATAATTTTGCGAAGTTTTTCAGGGTCTACTGCTTGGTCTCCCTGCAAACAGCGCAACTTGTACCTTATAATCCGGCGAATAGTCTCTAGAACTTGCCGCTTGATCCAACCGTCTTGCGGATCAATCGTGTCACGGAAAAACTCGGAAGGTGTAGCAGCCTGTGCTTTTTCTATCAAGTTTGTCACGTCTTTGTCCATGATATCCCCAAGTTGGTAGTTTATGGCCTTGGGGAGCTTGGTGCCGGTGAAGAAAAGGTTTTCCGAAAGCTTAATGTCGCTGTCGGGGTGAAACATTTTGATGGTATTGGGCACGATTTTGGTTGTAGATTCGGCCCGTTCATTTCTGGCATGGGACCGTTGCAATCTGAAATATTCGCTCTGGTACATCCAGTAAGATTTATCGTCCTTTGGATTTACCCCAAGTTTCACATTACAAAACCGCCAGGGACCGTTCTTGTAACAGTAAGAAACATACGGCAATGCTTCTTTCACGGCGGTTTGGAGGTGTTCTGGTGTGACGTCTATAAGCAGTTTCCGGAGCCAAATGGGTTTGACTTCGAAGAGGTGGTTCAAATGCTGAATGCAATCAAAAAGCTTTTTGTCGGAATACTCTTGCGACAAGTCTGATTTCAAGAGCCAATTGTACTTTTTCACGATTTCCGGGAGTGGCTGCTGCGGAACGGAGTCGCTGTAGAAATCAACAGTGTTGGTGAACAATTTTTTGCTATCAGACTTCATCACAACCTTCACATTTCCGTTTTCGTCACGGAGAGTCACAGTGTAGGGACTCTTTTGGTATTTAAAGTCGAACGGGAAACGGATTCCGCTGAAATTAGGTGGAGGAATGAGATGGTGGTCCTTGTTTTCGTAGATACTGGTATCCTTGAACTCGTCTTTCACATTGAGCTTTTCCTCGTAGTACGTACGCATGTCGTTGAAATCACGCACCGCTAGCACGTTCTTCCGGAAGTCCTGGACCCGCAGGTTGTTCTTGGTGGTCATCTGGAAGTCCGCAATGGCCCGGAAAGTGTAGTTTTTATTAATGACCGCTACGGGCTCCACTCTATGCGGGGCAATGTTTTCTTCCGCATTGCGCTTCACCAACTCCTGGATGGTGTATTTGTGGGGCTTTTCCTTGTAGTCGGGCGGCAACGAGCTTTTGGGAATCGACACCTTGAGCAAGATCTTCTCTCTTCGGTTGAGCAGAGCCTGGATCGGATGGTGGAACGGGTCGTCGCGCAACCGCAATTGCAAATTCCGATCGTCCACCGAGTGGCTGCTGGGCTGGATCGGGAGCTGGCGGAACTGGGAATCCAAGGCCTTTTTGATTCTGTCTTGGCCGCCCAACATGGCAATGGCCTTGTCTGTGTTTTTGACTATAAGCGGCAATTCGACCGACGCCACATGGGACACGTCCAAGGAGTATTTCTTGGCCTGTTCTCGGGACATTGAAAAAAAAAAAAAAAGAAAAAAGAAAGAAAACAGAGCAGATAAAGAGAAGTGTTGGGAGAAAGAAGAGGAGAAGGTTATAAGTCAAGGTAAACAGATGGATGCGGCGCGCAAAAAGATAATAAGAAGTGCCTTCAGCCAGATTCGAACTGACGATCTCCTCATTACTAGTGAGGTGCCTTACCAACTTGGCCATAAAGGCTTCTTGTTAGTGTGATTTTCTCGTAGGCGTTTTGCCTCCTTTTGCCTTTTCTCATTTCGTCAGTTCTGCTTTAAGAACAAAGCTAAAAAAACAAGTGGCTCCGAAATGTCTACGTTTCTCGCATTGGCGCTCCTACAGCTGCGCTGGGTTGTTCCGTGGGTACCTTGGTGCATGTGCCGAAGCCAACCGAGCGCTTGTGTGCAGTACCAACCCCAGGAAATTATAGCGCGGCTCAAGTCTCAAGTTTGTTGGCACAAGTATAAAAGGGCGCGGATGCCCATGCGAAAAGAAGACGGGAATTGGCGCAATTGCGGGCTCCGTGCGGGGTTGGCTGCAAAAAAAACTGCGTGGCTCCGTTTACAGCCACGGCGCCTCCGTGGGCCCACGAGTCTCCGGCGTGCGTCGGGCCAAGCGTGCGCGCGCTGATTGGCGGAGCGCCCGGTAGCCACACTAATGCCGCGGAGCATGGACCCCAGGCTCTATAAAGGGCGGGAGAATTCCGCACCTGGCCGGAGGATTTTTCGACTAGTCAAAAAGCAAGCCGCTGTATATATTCTCCCACTATGTTTAAGGCCGCCACCAGATCTTTCTCCTCTTCTCCTTCTGCCGCCTACAAGGTTGCCGTTTTGGGCGCCGGCGGAGGCATTGGCCAGCCATTGTCTCTTTTGATGAAGTTGAACCACAAGGTGACCGACTTGGCCCTTTACGACTTGAGAGGCGCCCCCGGCGTGGCCGCTGACGTTTCGCACGTGCCAACCAACTCCACTGTCAAGGGCTACGAGCCAGAACACTTGGAGGAGGCCTTGAAGGGTGCCGATGTCGTTGTCATTCCAGCCGGTGTGCCAAGAAAGCCAGGTATGACCAGAGACGACTTGTTCAACACCAACGCCTCCATTGTCAGAGACTTGGCCAAGGCTGTGGCCGACACTGCTCCAAACGCTGCTGTGTGTATCATTTCCAACCCAGTCAACTCCACCGTGCCAATTGTTGCTGAGGTGTTCAAGTCCAAGGGTGTTTACAACCCAAAGAAGTTGTTTGGTGTCACCACCTTGGACGTTTTGAGAGCGTCTAGATTTGTGTCCGAAGTTGCCGGCACCAACCCAGTCCACGAGAAGGTGACTGTTGTCGGTGGCCACTCTGGTATCACCATTGTGCCATTGTTGTCGCAAACCACCCACAAGGATTTGCCAGCTGAGACCAGAGACGCCTTGGTCCACAGAATCCAATTCGGTGGTGACGAGGTTGTGCAGGCCAAGAACGGTGCTGGCTCTGCCACTTTGTCCATGGCCCAGGCCGGTGCCAGATTTGCCGGTTCCGTGTTGAACGGTTTGGCTGGTGAGAAGGACATTGTCGAGCCAACTTTCGTCGACTCGCCATTGTTCAAGGACGAGGGTGTTGAGTTCTTCTCCTCCAAGGTTACCTTGGGCGTTGACGGTGTCAAGACTGTCCACCCATTGGGCGAGTTGTCTGACTACGAGGAGGAATTGGTCAAGAAGGCCAAGGAGACTTTGATCACCAACATCAAGAAGGGTGTTGACTTTGTCAAGCAGAACCCATAAACGACTGATGATCTATTTATATGAATAAAACGATTGATGCCAATGAAAGTGGGAAATGTAACGTCAAGTTCGTAGATTGAACAAATAGGTGCTTGAGCATATGGCTATATGCATGCGTGGGCTGTGTCGGAGATAGAATAGACCCATTCCGAACAAGAAATCAAGAAATCAAAAAATCAAAAAAAAATTCACGAATCTTGGTATGGAGATGGCGCAAATAGGATGTAGGGAATTGTACAGAAAATAATTCGAAGGTGGAATCCACATGAAAACTTCTGAAACATGGCACACTGGAGAGATGGAGGCGAGCAGGTTCCATGCATAAAGTGCCACCTCTCCTAAGCGGATGTCGCATGGGCCTCATCTAGAGCCATATTCTGCACGTCGCCAGATTTTGCCTTGCGTAACTTTACACCAAAAAAAATGGTGCAGTTGCACGTCTGGTTGGCCAGAATTGCGCGATACTAGACACAAAGTTTAGACATTGCACTGCGGCAAGTTTATTTTGATCTATTGAAGCAACAGAGATCAAGCGCAGAGGAACGAAAAAAAGCCGTGTCAAGAGCAAGAAAAAAAAATTTTTCAAAAAAAAAAAAGCTTTTGATATGATAAGGGTAGAGAGGAAATAGATTGGTGCAAGAGAAGCTAAGTCGCAATGTGTCAATCCCGATTAGAGGGGCTGCGCAAAAGGCCATTGACTGATAATTTTTCAGACCCGCAAGAAAAAAAAAAAACGCGTCGCGCCTACCTGCAGTCCGTTTCAAGTGGCACTTCGAGTAGAACCACAGAGTAATCGCCTGCCGTAGCACAAGCACAGGGAATTTGTCCGGAGCCGAAAAACCGAAAGCCCAAGGCTTAGCAGTGGCTTTGGCCCATGTCCCATGTCGAAAGAAAAAGAAAGAATGGGCAAGTGCGACATTTCGCGAATGTCGAGGGCTATTTATGGCGTGGCCCGCATTCGGACAAATTCGCGGTCGATAACAGCCAGAAAAAGCCAAGGAAACCAGAGAAAGGCAAGCCCGAAAGCAAAGCCAACAAGACCCGCGAGAAACATCGGCTGAAACTGCGAGAAAAGAAGCGCCATCCATTGGAAACCCGCCATTTCGACAAAAGCCCCGACTCCAAAAGTCACTCCACATCCAGCCACACCGCCAGCAGATTCCAGGGCGAACAAAGTGGAAGCCTCAACTGGAGCCCCAAGACCAAACGACACCGCTCTTAGAGCCCGCGACGAAAGCTTGACCCCATCTCGCCTTTGCATTTCCCCTTCCTCGAATCGTCCTTCTCCATGCCATGGAGAAGTATCTTATGAGCTCGCCCACCCAGCTCTCGCTCCCGATGGACGACGACAAGAACGACTTTGGATCGCCTGTCTACGACGACCTCGACTTTGCCGCCGACCTCCCCGAGTTCTACTACGACCACACGCTACTGCTTGACCCTTCGCCGGCGCGGGCCGAGCGGTCGCCGGCGCGGTTCCACCTGAAGCACTTTCTGGTGGACGGCCAGAAGCATTTCGACAATAACGACAGCAATAACGACGCCGACAAGTACAAGTATGACGCCGACAAGTACAAGTACGAGGCCAAGCCCGAGCGTGTGGCGGACCAGCTCTCGGCGCCGTTCGCCCTCAACCTGGGGCTGCGCTTCAACTTCAGCCACCTGCGCAACGTGTCGCTCGACGACTCGTCGTACCGCCGCCAGAACGCCCTCTACAGCCACCGGCCCAGCGCGTCCATCTCGGCCGACCCGCCGCTGGGGCTCTTTCCTCACTCGCACCTGGCGGCCACGCTCCATCTGACCAGCCTGGTGCCGGCGCTCCTGCTGCTGGCGTCGAACGCGCTGTTGCTCGACTCGCCCTACTCGGCGGCCACGCCCGCGCGCCGCCGCAAGCTGGCGTCGATCCTGTCGCTCACCACCAGCCTCTCGCCCGCGCGCGTGGGCAAGACGCCGCTCAAGTCGCACCGCCGCACGCGCCTGCGCATCGACCACGCCTCGCCCGGCGAGACGCCCTTGGCCACGCCCGCGCGCGCGCCGCCCCAGTTCTTCACGCCGGCGCCGCCCATCGAGGACCAGGACGACGACGCATGCAAGCAGTTGCGCCGCGCCCGCACCGCCAGCAACGTCGATCTTCTTCTGCCCGCGCTTGTGGGCCGCCTGTCGGCGTTGAAGTCGTACCCGGCGTCCATCGACCTCGCGGCCATCACCCACCTGCCGCGCGCCGAGCCGCTGGTGTTCCACTACGACCGAGAAAACCCTTACAGAGACCCGTACCCGTACGAGCCTATCCCGGAGTCGCGCCTGACCGAGGACGCCCGCTTGGAGTTGACGTCGCAGCTCAACTCGCAGTTGACCCAGCTCACGCAGTTGAACTCGCTCAATTCGCAAGCACTCAATTCTCAAGCCCTCAACTCCCAGGCCCTCAACTCCCAGGCCCTCAACTCGTCCCGCTACGAAGCCATGGACTCGCGCTTGCATGACCTGCGCCCTACAGAGCCGCGCTTCGACCGCCTCGACTCGCGACCGGAATACCCGCCGCTGCGCTCGCTCTCGCTGGTTCCCCTGACGTCGCTGGTGCACCTGGTGGGCCTGCATCCGTCGGGCCTCGCGTCTCTCCCCTCCGGCTCGGCCTCGTCGGCTTCCGTGTCCGCCGCCGTGTATCCCAGCGCGTCGCAGATCCACCAAACCGCCGCCACAGAGGAAATCGCCAAGTTCGCCGAAAGCATCCTCAACTCAGACACGAAGCGGCCCATCGTGGTGCAACACGATGCAGACACAGACCCGCGGAAAAAACACAAGTGCCCGTTGTGTCTCGCGCGTTTCCAGCGGCCCGAACATGTCAAGCGCCACTTGAAGAGCCATTCGACGGAGAAGCCCTTCCAGTGTGACATGCCCGACTGTGGCCGCCGCTTCAACCGAAAGGACAACTTGAAGGCCCATCTCAAGAAGATCCACGGCAAACACACATGATCTGTGTGTATCTGTTCTTGTTGGGTGGCCTTCGCCTCATTTTGCATCATCTGTCATTTTCTTTCTATTATATCCCTTGCACATCAATACATCTGTCAAGAACTGTTAATCGCTGTAGGAGTGAGTAGCTTGCATTGACACCTACGTAAACCAGGCTAAAATACCCAATTGTTTAAGTGATTTCTGTCAAGTATTCTCTTCTACATAGTTCGACGCTAGCCTTACTGGAAAAAGATTGTTCCACCACCTTTTCTGTCCATGTACCTTCACGCCAAGCTTACAAGTGTTGAGTGTCTTCTGTCTACGGTAAGCCACAATTAATGTACATTGAATACCACTTTTAATAATAAACTTTTCTTCTGCATCATTCACACCACAGCCATCCGCAATGACTCACTGGTCAAAAGGATACTTGCGCACAGTGGCGTCCACTGCCTGACAGTAAGCCTCGATATTGGAGTCATTCAACCCGGCGACATTCACACGGCCATCCAAAGTTCCATAGACGTGATGCTCGTCCATCAATTTTTGCACCTGCAACTTCGTCAACCCGGTGTACCAGAACAAGCCGTTTTGCTTGATAATAGGTTCCCATTTTCCGGGGGTGCCCATCTCCACAAACCGCTTCAAAACCTTCTCCCGCACAGTCTTGAGACGCCGCGTCACACTGAGAACATCCTCAGCCCATTGCTCTTGCAACTGGTCTTGCACTATAGTGGCGACACGGGCGCCAAACGCTGGAGCAAAAGAAATCTCGTGTCGAATGATAGATACCAAAGTCGCAAACACATTGGCCCGAGCGTGGGCATCCCGGACCCGCACATGTGTGCAGCCAGCTCTTTCTGAGTACAAGCCCAAGTTTTTCGAAAACGATTGGCACACCATAAACTCAAGGCCCGCATCGTAGGCTTGTCTGATGGCCCACGCATCTTCAGCCACGCTTCCACTGGCAAAGCCTTGGTATGCACAGTCGAATACAAGGAAAAGATCACGCTCGCCGAAAATCTTCAAAATCTGCGCCCACTGGTCTCTAGTGTAGTCACAGCCGGTAGGGTTATGGCACACAGCCTGCAAAACAAACACAGACTTGTCAGGTGCAGACTGCAATGCCTGCAACGTCGCGTCAAAGTCCACACCGTGCGTTTCTGGGTGGTAGTATCTAAAAGTGTGGTAGTTTCCGCCCACGTGCTCAATCATACCCTGGTAGTTAGACCAGCATGGTGTACCGACGTAAAACTCAGAGAAACCTGTCGATCTGAGAAGAGTGAAGGTCAAGTGCAAAGAGCCGGAGCCGGAAATGGCCTGGACAGAAACAACGTCGTCGTGGTTGTTGCCGAAGATGGTACGCTGCGCAGCAGACACGAACGCGGGGATTCCTGACATTTGCGTGTAGCAGTGGCCCGGGTCGTTGGCAGCCAAAATCTCCTTGGCCTTCTTGACACAGGGGAACACGTAGTTGGGGTCGCCTTCTTCCGTCTTGTAGACACCAACGCTCACGTCGATTTTTCCAGGCGCCTCGTCGGCCTTGTACGCCTGCATGATTTGCATGATAGGGTCGATTGGAATGTCTTCCAATGGGGAAAAGTAGGAAGCCTGAGCCATCGTGTGGTGGAGAAGGTGAACAAAAAAAAAAAAAAAACGCTGAAAAACTGGGGAAGACTGCGCGCCGTATTTATACGTCAAGGCCTCAGCGTCAACAAAAGTCAAGAGCGGTAGCGGACCGGCGTGGAAAAAACAGCGTCACCGTGCGCGACCCGGCATTAGCCGGCATATGCCGAGCCTCCACACCCAAGTGGCCTAGGCCCGTAAAAAGTAGGGCGACGGCCTTCCTGTGCTGAGCCGTTCTTCTACTTCAAATGGGTTTTTTGCAGCCCCTAGCTGGAGGGGATGCTTGTGTTTGTGAGGCTTTCGCTCTTGCTCTCGTTTTTGTGGAGAATCTGCTCGCAGCGCGCGCAAAGTTCGCCCCAAGGCCCAGAACGCAGAGGCGCACTTTTCAATGCGCTCGCAGCCAAGAATTTCGTGTTGTTCGCAAGGGCGCGCGCCGCACTATGTTCCGCCCGAGCGGAAGGTTGCACCTGCCCCAAAAAGCCCGAGAGCGGAGCAACAAAGTCGTGCTCGAAATCACCAAAGCACCCGGATAACTGGGACATGTCGTAGGTATGTAAAACACACGCAAGCGTCTTGATTTTTTCAAGGACAAGCCGTGCGTCCACGTTTCCCTCGAGCGGAAAAGCATGCGCAACTAGCTTCGCATGCAATGGCGTGGGCGGGATGTGGCAGAGCGCCTGCAAGAGAAGAAGCTGTGTTTCGGCGCAGCTGGCGTCGTCGCAGGACTCGACCAAAGCCCACAAGTCCAAAAGCGGCTCCAACTGCGTCTTGTCCAACGCACCAATAAACCGCCGCATGAACTTGAAGTACACCGCTGCGATTTCCTTGTAGTAGTTGCAGTTGTCCACCACGACTTTTGTTGCCCTCAAAAGCGCACCAGCATTCTGCTCTGCTAGTCTTGAGGCCACGGCCGGAGTCATGGCATTGCTGAAAAAATGGAACGCTTGGTATTGCACAAGATCGCCAAAACTCCGCTGCGCCAACGTGTCGACGATAACGTCCGGTTTTTCCATCTGCTCGAGTTTCCGCCAGAGCACCTCCTGCTTCTCCTTGCTGTCGACGCAGTTTCCGAGCGCAATGGCTGCTGCGGCCGCCACGTATGGGTCCGCCTTGTCGTCCACTAGAACATGCACATTAAGCTCCACCTCGGCCCAATTGTCGTGATTTGCATACGACGACATGTTTCCGCATGCCAGAAAGAGCCTGCGCTTGACGTGTGTAGACTCACCCGACACCTGCGTTAGAAGCTCGTACAACTGCGATGTAGACGGCCCGCCGAGCCTTGTATCGACATTGGTGGCGTTGAAGATGGCCTGCGACGCAAAATCAAGCAACTCGCTCCGCTCCTCCAGGTCCAACTCTTGCGCCCGGGCCGCCGCGTCTGTTATCCACTGCAAGTTGTCCAGCAGGATCGTGGATACGGCAGAGATTTCGCTCAAAAGTTCCATCGGCTGCACCAAGTCATCGAGGCGGCCCAGCTGCTCCAACTCGCGCAAGTAGCACGCAATGGCGTCGCCGGCGCCCTTTTCCGCAAGCGCAGAAACCACTGTTGTTTTCGCCGGCTCCTGGATGTTGTGCACAAACTGGCTCAAGAGCAATATGGCCCGCAAACACACGTCTTGGTCTTTTGGGCAGTGGAGCTGCGAAAAGAGCCACGTCCAGAATTCGGCGGCAGAAACATCGTTGGAAACCATATACACCCTGTTGTCGTCGTTGTCTGCAGTGAAATTCACAAGCACCCGAAGCGCTTCGAGTGGTTCTTTGGAGGCGAGATCAAGCACATGCGGGATACATTTTTTTGCCGTGGGATGGGCTCGAACGTCTTCGTTTCTGAGCAATGTCCCCAATTCGGTGAGTGTGGCTGCTGACGCTTGAGCCTCGAGCTCGGTTAGAATCTGTTGTAATGAATCCAGCATGTTGGTGGAGTCGCATGGAATTTGCATCGCACTTCTACTGCCGCACTGACATACAGACTTTTGAAGAGGTCTTACGAGGGAAAATAGGACAGGAAGGAAAGTGGAGGAAGGGCTACTGTAGGATGGCCATGAAACAGCACTAGAAATGACGGGAGAATGGGTTTTTGAATTTATATGGTCTCGTGCGTTTTGGCTGTTTGTAGTTTTGGCCAGAGTGGAGCAGAAAAATGCAGAAATCTTGTGAAAATGCAGATCTTGGAAGAAAGTTATAATTTTACAATTACTGCTAGCACGTCAAACTCGTAAAGGCCAACCGTTGCTAGGCCAGTAGGTTAGGACTGCAACGGTCTAGTGCTACAATTTCACGACCATACTCCATTCTGAAATCGGCATGGTCAAATCTCTTCCCTTCTGGGCCCTACGTTTCTCACATGGTCTCATTAGTATTCAAGTCTATGAATTTTCAAATAGTTTCTCGCCGCTGCGAAGCCCCAAGATAAACCGCACGTCAATGCAGAGACTCAAAGCCGTCAACATAGGGAGAAGGTTCAACAAGTCTCTGTCGCTCTGGTCGTTGATCCAACCTTCAATCATCACAGCATTGTTCTCGTGGAAAGCATAGCTCACGGGCGAATTGTCGAGAATAATGACGTTTTTCAAGTCGTCGTCCTTGGAGAAAAACTTGGACAAGTCCTTGATGTAGCCCACGCCTTGGCGATACGTGCAGTCGTGCCGATAATATCTCTTGGTGAAGATACGCTGCGGCTCGCCGCCACCGGTGTTTTTGTAGTCGATAAGGTCGTTTTCAAGCCAGTCCACGATCGGATCGGCGTATTCACGCACAGATGCAGTGAAGATCTGGAGCTCGAACCACTTGGAGATTTCTTTGAGGAAGAAGTCGCAGTACGGTCTCTTGTAGACATAGTACGGCGTGGCAATGTCGTTGACTTTCAACTCGATGGTATGGCACGAACTGGACGAGCCCAAGGATCGTGGGGCTCCTCGCGAAAGCGAGTGGATCAAAGTTTCGTCCAAGTCCAACACAAGGGTTTTCCGGCGTTTTTTCTCTGGGTTGCGCGAGAGGGGGAAGAGCCGCGGCGGCGGCGGAATGATGTATTTCAGCGCCGTTGGCGATTTCACGTGGTTGGCCATGATGATCTCTTGCTTGAGCAACTCGGTCTTTTCTCGGATGCCCGACTTGGCGAGGCTGCTCTTCTCGTCATCGGCCGCCTCGGGCGGCGGCGGGTGCGCCAGCCCGAAAAAGTACGTGAGGGGGAACGTCACAAGCAACCACATTAGAAGAACAGGCTTCATGATAAGCGTATATACAAGGCCCGGCTCTTGGGGCGAGGGCGGCAGCGACGGCTTTTCTTGCGGTTTTCCATCGTCACTTGCCATTTTCCTGTCATGGCCGTCGGTGTCGAGATCTTCGATTTCTGTCTCCTTCAAGGGGCCGAGCTCTGGGCCAGAGTAGAAGGGCTCGAGAGAAACCACCAATTTCTTGAGCGAGTTCATGCCGTGCGCCAGGAAAGAACGGGGCAAAAGTCAAAGGCCCAAGCAGAAGAGAGAACAGTCTAGAGCGTTCGGCAGGGAAACGGGGAGCAAAATGGAAGAAGCAAACTGTTGGTACAAAGTGTTGGTGCGCACCCAAAAATACTGACCCCACCATATTGATGTGCGCGCATATGGCTGAGTTTGGGTATGTACGAAAATAGAGGCCGAGAATTCAATCATGGCAATGACAGAGGAATAAGATAGAGGAATAAGATAGAGGAAAAAGATAGAGGATATGATATAGGAATATGATATAGATATACGATAGAGGGATACATGTACAGACAAGACAAATGAGGAGCACATTGGCAGATGATAGGATTGGATATGAGATCATGACAGATTATAGAACTAAATCATGAACAGATCATAGGCTCGACACCTCATGGGTTCGAGATCATAGGTTCGATAGACCATACGTTAGACAGATCATATGTTAGGCAGGTCATAAGATGGAAGACTTAGGCTGACAGATTATAAGAGGCTAGAACAATCGTGAAAAGTTATACGATGAAGAGGTCAGACATCCAAAATCCTAGGCGACAAATCCAAGAGGTGAAATTATACACCATTATAAGACTCAATGAGATCATTAGATGTTGCGAGAGTTGATTGATGAGTGCCAAGTTGTTATAGTTTATAAACGTATTGGTCCAGTCCTGTGACGAGAAAGACTAGTAAGAGATTTGATAAGTGTCCCATAGTATTCGACGTTTGGATCCAATACACATCATCCAGGGTTATTGGTCAATTTAAACCTCGCATCGGCACCGCTGCTTTCTCGACTCTACTGTTGAAGATAGATCCCGAATCCAAAGAGTTGGTTCACTTTGTCAACGATTATGGGACTGTTACTTTCCGTTGCTACTATATTCCTACTTTGATACAAAAAATTATAAGCTAGTTGCATCCAGACCCATTATGTTTACCTATATTAAATGTTTCCCAGTTTGTTAACAGCAAATGATGACCGTTCACCGAAAATAGGCTCAGATCTATTCCAGGAGCGACAGGTACCAAAATAACCCATAGTCAGACTCCGTACCAGAGCCAGACATAACACTTCCTATCGAAAGCGAACCGCATGAGGCAGCATTGAGTACAAATGTTGGAGGTGAAACCCACGTAACAGATCATCAGACAGCGTTCTTCGCCAAATTAAAATAGCAGATCATCCATGGCTGACCCTATTGTATTACTCCAGGTCCAGATCGCCTGCGATGGCTGAGTTCACAAAGGCCTGGAACATCCCCGCTATGGATCCGTCTGCATCCCGGTGACCAAGAAGAGCTTGTTTCATGCGACCAAAACCGCTGTCGTCTTCGCTCTGGATCCTCTCGTCCACCACAAAATTCGAGCTAAGATTCGTCTTGATGAGCCGCATCGAAGCTATGCGGTCGTTATTGATTGCGTCTTCTTCTTCTGTCTCTGTGCCTTCTTTTGCTTCTTCAGGCTTGATGAGCTGGAGCTGGTTGGTATTGTAGCTGTGGCAGTACTTGCACTTTAGCCCCATAATATGGTAGGCACAGCGGCTCTTGCCCTTACAGTCGTTGCAGCTGATGATGCAGCGCCACGAATTATACGGCGGAGGCAACGGCAGCAGGCGGATTTCCAGATCAAGAATACGGAACTGCGCTGCTGCGTCCACCACCGTTTTCTTGCAAACTGGACACTTGTACAGATGCTTCACCATCTCATCGTAGCACGACTGGTGGATCAGATGGCCGCATTGCATGAAGACGACTTTACTGACGCTAGTGAACAAGTATTCAGAGCAGATCGGACAGTTGCAGTGCGTGGTGTTGGTGACACATTTATGGTGCTCCCGCAAGTCAATCAGCAAGCAGATGTTGCACACGTCGCAGTGGAAGTAATCCTTGTCCAAGCCTAGTCCAAGCCGACAGAGCCCACACTTGTCGCAATGATAAATGTGCTTTGCCGGATCGTTGTCGTACAATACACACTTGGCGCAGAAGTACGACGCCAACTCCTCGTCGCAGTTGACACAGTAGTTCGTATCGGGCTCCTGGGGAACGTTGCACCGCATGCAAAGCACGTGTCGCACATTGGCTCGAATTAGTTTGTGGCTAGTCACTTCTTGGTCATGGCAGAAGCGGCACGGGAACCAGCGCAAGCACGTAGGACACTCCAACTTGCAGTTGAGCTGGTAGTGCGTGCAGCCGAGGACTCCAGGCGAGTGGAAAGACGGCTGCTGGTCCTCTTCTGTGAGAAGCACCTCCGAGGATGCAGAAGATGCGGACGATGCAGAGGCGTAGGAGGCAGCAGAGTTGGACCGCTGCCTGGATGGCACAGTGTGGTCTTTGGATAGGAGTGAAGTCTTTTTCGAGTCTGCCTTGACTTCTTGTGCGTCGGTGTCGGTATTTTTAAAGTTATCCTTTTGGTCGTCCTGTTCCTCAGTTTTCTCGATCTCCTGTCTGTCCTTTCCACCAGTCTCCAGTCTGTCCTTTCCACCAGTCTCCAGTCTGTCTTTTTCTTCCACCTGAACATCTTTTTCGTCCTCCTTTTTTTCGCTCTCCTTTGGAATCACCAACTCTTCTCCCATCACCCCTGGGTGCTCATCCATGTACTTGTAGTAGTTTCCCATCATGAGGCGAGTCACCAACTTGTTCTTCAGCCGCTGACTGAGACCCTCCAATCTCTGGATTTTCTGGATCTTCTGTCGGAGAAGGTCCTCTTTGTAAAAATCATCGAGCGAGTCCAAATGCGTCAATGCCCGTGCTTCTTCCCGCGAGAGCTCTTCCACGTTCTCCAAGTCGCTGCCCATGTAGACGCTGCTGTCATAACCATCCGACAATATATCTTCTCGCCGTACTCTACTTTTTCGCTTCCGTTTCCCTTCCTGCCGCACCGGATCCTTATCGGACCTGTTCTCTGGGAAAACAAGCTCTGTTATAAGCGGCTGTTCTCGGTGTACAATTTCGTCAACACCCACGGGTTCAGTCTCGATTTCCGCTTCAGACTCGACCTCCAGCTCGGCCTCTGAATCATCGTCAACAGGAAGCGTGATTGCCTCGTGAACCACATCTGTGAGAAGCTGGAGTCGATCTATCGCTGTTTGGAATGAAATGCCGTCCTTGAGATCACTCAAAAACGTTGCCATCTGGATACGCGTGGCCAAGGCGATCTTGAGAGAATTTGCCAAGCGGGCCTCTGTCTCCAGCGAGAACTTATCCTTTTCCAAACTGGCCCGCCTGGTCACATTTTCAACATACTGTGAGATGTACTTGGACACATCGGGAAGATCAAAAGATGGCAAATTGGGCGGAGATGGTAGAGTGGGCAAAGTAGGCAAAGGCGGAAGGTTGGGAAAATTAGGGAAGCTGGCAAACGTGGGGAGCGTGGGGAGATGCGGAAAGCTGTCCCGCTTTATATACTCTGACAATTTCGGGAGGTTGAGGCGGCCGATCTGGTCCAAATCCTCCTCTAAGGAATCGACTTCACTGGCATAACTGTCGGAGTCGCTGTTTTCTGCCTGCGCCTCTCCTAGCACCATTTGTGTTTTGGGCTTGGGACGCGACTCGCTGTCGCTTTCTAATGGCGCCATTTCCTTTGCTGCAACTTATGTGTCTTGTGGCTTTTCCCAGCGGAAAACTGAAACCTGGAGTAAAGCTTCTAAGACATGCGGCACGTGACTGGGCCCGCAACTGACCTGACATTCTAAGTTTCTTCGTTTAGCAAGTGCGCATACGACGCCATGATTTCCACGACAGAGGAGAGCAAGCAAGAGACGGAAAAAAGAATCAATATAGGCGAGAGTCGAGGCGAGTAGGGGAAATAAAAAAGGAAACGAAAAAATATTGACACCCACGAGGTTCGAACTCGTGCCTCCGAAGAGACCAGGAATGTATGGTAAGGTAACCTTACCCTGGCGCCTTAGACCACTCGGCCAGAGTGCCAATTCGTTGAATGATAGGGAGCGTAGATAGAAGTAGAGGGGCCAAAAGAAGATTGTGGTCTTTTCTTTCGGATGTATGTGAAAACATCAGTTTATAGCCGTCTCTATGTTTCCAAGTTGTAAATGCCAAAACTCTGAAGATGCACGTAAATCGAACACGAAATCCATGTAGTACTTCATTAAAGATGGACCGATGTTTTTCAAAACTCTAGATTCTAAGGAAATATGTAGAGGACAGCCATCTCGGATAGAGCCACCGGACTGGATAGACAAAAGTTTTGAATATCAACTGCTCAATACTTCATTCACGTATGATTTGAATACTTTCAGAACAAAAGAATTTTCAAATTACCATCCAACAGGTAGCAAAACTTCTATAGACATCCAAATTAAAGAATTCGAGATGAAGTAGTAGATTTAATTTTTGGGCTATTCTCTTCTCTCACATTATAATCTACGCACTTCTTGTCAGATTCAGCCTTTAAACGCAAAATTCAACAAGTTCAAAAAAAATCCGTTTTCATCAATATCGCTCCATAAAACAAACGCCAATGTCATTTTGATACAGATCATATTCCCCAATAACCATTTCCAACAAGATTCTTTATCTGTATTTTATACCTTGAAATTTGATGGGCTAAACATTGGTCCTGCAGGGCAACTACTTGATCATCTTCCTACTAGATTTATAAGAATGGGAGAACCTCCAGCTGCAGTGAAAGAAGCGATAGAAAAGACCGTTCAGTACGTCAAGAAGAATGGAGTTTCGTTCGAAGCAAAGCTAATCGAAAACGACAAAGACGGCAAGTTTTCCTTCTTGCAAGCGTCAAACCCATACCATAGTTACTACAAACAGAAACTAGAACACAAACCGGAGGTGCCACAAGAGGGCAATGTTCAAATAAAAGAGAGCGAACCAGAGAAGCCGCGAGAACTTCTTTTTCTCACGGACCTTCCGCCTGTTTCGAATATTGATAACGAAATCATCAAAAGTTGTGCATTATACATAGCATGCAATTCTGATAAGCACATCGAAGCGTTGCGCAGACACATGGAGCGCAAAGGGAAACGAAACCAGTTTGCGTTTTTGAACAGAAACCACACGTTGCATCTGTTGTTCCAGAGCTATGTCAAACAATATACTGTGATTATAGAAACTGCGAAAAAGGAAGGAGAGAAGGCGCTGGAAATGGACAAACTTCTCCATTCAAATAGCCATGAGTTTTTCGAGCGGGCCTACAGCCGAGCGGCATACGAAAAGAAGCACAGAATCGAAACACGGGCCAGACAGGAGGAAACGAAGCAGAAGCAGCTTCGATTTGCCTCGATCGACTGGCAGGATTTCAGTCTTGTGGCGAAAGTCGGTTTCAGTACAATCGACGAAGTTTCGGAACTTGCGCTTCCGATCAGCAGAGACGAAATCATGTATCGGTCGTTAAATACAAGATCGAAGGAACTCGAATTGCGCTACGAGGAGAAAAAGGAAGAAAAAGAGAGCAAGGAGACGCAGGAGAACAGGGAGAAGCAAGATGAGAGCAAAGAGAATCAAAAAGAGAGCAAGGAAGACGAAGAGGAGAAGCCAAAAGAACACAAAGTTCCCAAAGGTATGAAAATACGAGCTGCGGGCGAAAGCCGGTTGAAGAAGAAGAAAGCGACTGAAAGAACTATCCAATGTCCCATCACAGGAAAACAAATTCCTGAGCTGCAGTTCGATACACATTTGCGGGTCTTGTTACGAGACCCAAGCTACAAGGAACAGCAGGAAAACTTTGTCAAGAAAAACTTTACCTACTCGTCTAATTTGACCACCGACCAGGTGTATGAGAACATCAAACGATTGGTGCATAAGAGAGCGCTTTCAGAGGAAGAGGAACAAGCCGGAACGAAAAGAGTGGCATTGGGACCGCAATAGATCATGCTCAATTAGACAGCAGTAAGCAACACCTGATAGGATATAGAACCACACACAGGGCGAGAAAGCAAATGAGGACAGGAATAGAAGTCAATTTTTAAATTTGTAAAAAGGAATCCTCTCTTCGAATTAGATTGATACTACACTGAACATTGGCGAATTTAGCACTTTTTATATCGCTTTTCTTACGAGAATGTCATGTTCATAATTTAATTCTTTATGTCTCGGATTGAAGCGTAGACCCTTAAAAATATAATAAGTAAGGTTAAGCTGTCTGTTATCTCACTGATTTCAATGTAAGAGCACCAAGTGACTCTACTAGCGAAGTCTCTAGACTGGAAAGATCGGCGCAGAAAGAATAGAGATTGACTTAACAGAGAATGAGTTTCGAAAATTGATTAGTATAAGATCGAATAGCCTTACCCTCGCTAAGTCAGGTTCGGTTTGATAGCGAATAATGAAATAGGTGAAACTCAAGCCAAGTAATAGTGGGGTAAATTAACAGCCAAGACGAAACGGAAATGGAGACTGACGACGTATGACACAATCGTTTTTCTCTACAGCAGGGATCAAGGCAATTTATACATAATATACCAATTAGGAGGGAGGTTATAGAAAGGGGATGCTACACTTAGGCCTTCAAAGAAGAAGCTCTTCTCTTCTTGATCTCAGCTCTCTCCGCCTTACGTTCGTGCAAACGTTGAGCCAACAACTGGGCGTATTCGGCAGCAGCGTCTCTTTGAGCCTTAGCGTTGTTGATCTTCTTGGCCTTCAAAGCTCTCTTTCTTTGCAAGGTTTGAGGAGTCACCAATCTCTGGATCTTTGGAGCCTTGGAGTAGGTCTTGCCGTTCTTCTCGATGGTTCTTCTGACGACGTAGTCTCTGACATCGTCCTCCTTAGACAAACCAAAGAACTTTCTGATGTGGTTGGCTCTCTTTGGACCCAATCTCTTTGGGGTGGTCACGTCGGTCAAACCTTCAATGTCAGCCTCACCTTGCTTGACAATGGCCAAAGCAATAACAGACAAGTCCTGGTTGACAATGCAGCCTCTGACGGACTTTCTCTTTCTCTCACCAGCTCTTCTTGGTCTGTAGCACGAGTGGCCCTCAGACAACAACAATCTGACTCTGGTTGGGTGCAACACACCTTGCTTCATAGGGAAACCTTGCTTGTCGTTACCACCGGTGATTTTGAAAATGTAACCTTTGAATTCGTCACCGACAGAGTCACCTTCGACTTCCTGGCCCATACGCTTTTCGTAGAAGGCACGCAACTTGTGCTCGTCGTCAATCTCGATACATTTTTGAGTACCGTTGGCTGGGTAGGAGATGTTTAACTTCATGTTAACTGGTTAGCCTGATGGAGGAGAAAAGAAAATTTTTCAAGCACTGGTGTGAGATGGAAAAGTGCGATTTTTTTTCGGGCGCTCGCGACATGCGCGGTGGCCCTGTGTGCAGGCTGGAGGTACCGTTCAAGCCATTGTATGGCTGATAATATGAGTCACGTGTGAGATTAGGGCAACTGCCCTCAAACTTTGCCTTGCCTTGTTCCGTTTGCTGGCCCCCTATGTGGCGATTTCGGGTACCAATTGGGTTGCTTTTCAGTTTGGGCACCATTATGTGCTAGGGAATGAAGGTGGGGACAAAAGAGTGTGAAGTTGTGTGGCAAGTTGAATTTGCGTTTAGTGAGAAACCGTAGATAACAGACAAGATGAAGAGATGAAGTTGAAAATGAATTTATAAAATAAAGGTGATGAGCAATGATGAAGATGAGTTTTGCAATGATGAAGATAGAATGGCACAATGACGCTGCAAACGATTCTAGAAGTCATGCCATAAAGATCTTGTTACGTACTGATCGAATTAGATGGCATTTTTGTTTCTCGCCAAAGATGTTTAGCTATTTACTTGTGTTATTAAGTGGTGTGAATGACCCAAACATGTATTCAATTAGGCCTCTGAATTTAAATATTCTTGCTAGAGAGTAGTTTTCTCTACTTTCACGAAATGCTGTCTCGCGACTAGATGTAGTTTGAATTGGCACAAGATAATCACCATGGAGATACGAAGTGAAATATCGATCATCTGATCTTTATTGCCCAATATACTTCGAATGCTTCATTTTTCCTTCAAATTTTTCGTTCGAGGTGGAACATCTAACATCCTCCATAAACTTTCATATTTGCACACTTCTCATACTGGATTGATTAGAATTAGTCAAATATTTCCTTTAAATGCCCTCCACTATTTTCGAACATTTTTCTACCTTATACTCACTTTACTAAGATTTGTATGGCTTGAGAAAACTATAAAAATGGGATACGCTTCAGCATAAACTTCTTGCATATCTTCCTTTTCATCTGGCACCTTTAACTATAAACACTAATTGAGTAGACAATCGTGCATGAATGAATCTTTACGCTCCCACGTTTCACAATAAGCTCCCCAAAGAAGTTGCTACTAAATGTTCAATCCTTGAATTAGGTTGAAACTTCAAGCCATAAACAATATTTTAATGGTCTATAAGAAACGCATTCCACCAGTGCGAGAATGCAACGGGATGTTCTTGTCTGATCTTACCAAAAGTGAAGGTGAGCGTCAGTTTGCCAGTACGTACAGTCTTGGTGTGTTCACAGGAATCGAACAGCAATGCATCTATCCGTCTCTGATGAAATATGCAACGCCCGCATGCGTAGGAGAACGCATTTCGGTTACACCAATTCCCCTGTTGCTGAATGAGGGACAGTTAATGTCACTGCAACTCTATAAAATGAACACTTCGCAGGAACGTCAAGAAATGCGATGCTCAATCACCAAGAACGGGCGAAAAGGGGTGTGTAAAGCACTTGATGACCACTAGGTCTGTTTGCCAAACTGCTTTGGGAACATAAATATCCAAAACCTCCTAGCTCGGCCTCATTGGATTTGTTCTCTTGATCAAGAACATGCGTACCAATTTGGTTGGATGAACGATTAGAGAACACTCCAGGTAGATATCACACGAAGACTGCTGTTTATTGTCCTTGTAGTCTCTTTGGAAATCTATGGCACCCGAAGCAAATGGTGGAAAACCGTAGCGTTTGCCACGGCATGATACGGTGCAGAAGAGTCCTTCAATGTCACTTTCTGTATTCGCGGTACGGCGCCATGTATTCTCCAGATTGGCCCTGCTGCAGGCCCTGCGGTTGTCCTTGTGTCTGTGATTGTTGGAACAGCTGCTGGCGTCCTATTGATGTTCGAGATGGATAGGCGCCCAGCATCGGCAGGCCGCCGTTCATGCCGACAAAGTAATGCGGCATGTTCGCCAGAAACGGTGTGAGACCCGTGGGCCACTCCTGGGCCGGGTACATGTTCAGCGGAGACGGGAATATGTCGTTCATATAACGCGACGGAAGAGCAGACACCGGCGTGTCGCCGTGGGCGAAGGACTGCTTAACCTTTTCGTCGTTTTCGGGCGGCGGGAACGGCGCCGCGCCATTGAACACCTGGTTGAACACCGGTGTGGGTAGAATGGCCGGCGGATAGTGTCCCAGCGGCAGCGGCTGTGGAAGGGCAGAAAACGCCACCGATGGCTTGCGGTCGGGGCTTTTGAGGCGGCCAAACCGCACTGCGGGCGGCGCCTTGTCTTTCTTGTCGCCGCTGTCCATGGCCGTGACGGTTTTGTCTTCGTCGTGGGCCTTGACGTCCTGCGGGATCTGGACGCGCAAAACAGGCCGCTGCGGGGCGTCGTCGGTGTGGAACGGCACGGACGGGCCCTGGAACACGGGCTGCGCGGGCATGGGCGGCATGTTTTTGGCCCGCTGCTGGCCCGAAGGCGCCACGGCGATCTGTGAGAACTGGTTGGGCATTTGCGCTATGGCGCCCATCTGGCCGGGCTGGCCGAGCTGGATCTGGGCTGCCTGGATCTGCGATGCTTGGTTGAGTTGGCTTTGGGAGATTTGCGGTTCCTGTTTGATGTGGTTCGGGATGTTGTTTGTCTGGCTCGACGTCGAGCTGGAGTGCCTCTTTTTCCGTTTGCGGGAGGGCTCGCCGTCGCTGTCCAGGTCAAAGTCCAGGTCGCCCACGTCGTCGACAGGCACGTTGGGGAGATCGTCGTCAAAATGCGCCAACAGGGCCTTTTTCTTGTAGGCGCCGTAGTTCTCGGGCAGCTTCAGCTCGTGCGGCGTCAGCTGCTGGTAGCACTCGATCAACTGCTTGGTGTCGACCGACGAAAACTCGTACACCTTATTGTTGTTGCCCACTATGATCACCGCCAAGTCCACCTGGCAGAGAACCGCCAACTCGTAGGCCTTTTTGAATAGGCCGGCCTTGCGCTTCACAAACGTCACCGTACGATTACGGTCGTCGGTGAGCGGCTGGATTTCGATCTTTCTTCTGCCCATGGTGTTGATGTTATATAAATAGCACTGCGTTAGCGAACTGCAGGAGAAGGAACAGAGGTGTGGACAAGAGTTTTGGGGCCGGGGGAATATGGGCCGGGCGCTTTTCGATGGGGCAATGTTTGCGGCCTGCGCTGCTCGGATGGGCGTGCTGGGGTATGTGCGGCTGCGTCTGTGCTGATTCTGCCGAAAGCCGGGTTTTCAGGATGGGATGGGGTTTTTTTTTTTTTGGTGTTTCTGTTGTCGGTCAAGGATTGCTGACGTGTCTATATACAGGAGGCCCTTTTCTTCGTGGTGGCGGAGAATTCCACTCTGGCAAGGTGTAAATGAACGGCTGTGGGACGTTGGCAAGAAGAGCGAGAAGACGTTGTTTTGTTTACGTTATTTTATTTTGGCTTTTCCGTCTTCTCCCTCCATCTTTAAGCATTTCTTTGTTCTTTGTCGGTTCGCGCACTGGTGTTTCTGCATTCCACGGCGCTCTTTCCGTGTCAAGATTTGCCGGCATTGTTTGGCGCACATTGGCTTTCTTGGGAAGTCTTCTCTTTAGCTTTTGCCTACTCTTTCGTGTCTGGTTTTGTTTTCGTTTTACCGTATGCGTTTATTCCCATTTGCCTTCTTGTTGTTCTTGATTGCCAGTCTGGGCGATTCTGGTGCGCTTCTATTTAAAGCTTGATCCTGCGTGGCTTCGTATATCGGCACTTTTATTTTCCGCCGCTTTTCCCATGGCATTTTCCTCCAATGGTGGCCATCGGAAGTTGGTGGTTAAAGCCGCATGCTCGTCGAAACCGAAATGTCCGTGTGGGGCCATGGCCAACATGCTCCAACTTCGGCGCCGAAAATCGTACCATGTTTTCAAGCCGGGCCATCTAGCGTCTTGGTGACTACATATCCACCGGGCAAACAATGCGGATCGTAACGGGCCGCGTAATTGCGCATTAGTTGATGCAGAGAGGACGATCAGAGTCAACGGACGAGATGTGATTGGGCCGCATCTGTTGGTCGGCCCTAAGTATTGGCCGACTGGAACAATGGGCCGGTTCGATCGCTTCGCTTCGAAGAATGGAGAAGAATGGTCTTCTGCGTGCTGGCTATTGCATCATGGTACTGCAATTGAGCAAGATCAACCATTGTGTTGTCGTAGGCCGGCAGATGTTGCAATATCGTTTCGGGATCAACTGGATGGTATCTCTACTAGCCTCGAAAACAAGGCGGGGCCACGAAAAACTTGAGAGCAATGTCAGATGCCGGGCGGAGCGGTGTCTGTAATCGCCTGAACTTGTATTTCCACACTCTGTTTCGCCTGATCATTCTGTATTTCCCTGTTGCCTGAATTGTATTTGCCCTCTTGTACCTTTGCCTAATCCGTGATTCTGCGCCCTATCCTTATTCTGCTAATTTCTTGCCTCGGGGGCCATTTCCTGTTGCGAGCTTTGCCGTTTGTTTCGCTACTCAACGACAGAATCAAACAGGAGGATCTTGATCTGCTAGAAAAGACAAACAGATTGTACCGCCATTGAGAACCTTTTGACCATCCAAAATACGAAGTTCCTCCTGTTCTAGTACCACTTTGTGCGTATGTAATGGTACCAAAGTGCACCTACACTGTCAAATCTCAACATACACGTTGCCTGTGTCTATGTTCCAAAAGCTCACTGCGTACTCAAGTCAATGTTCTGTCAATGACTTCTTCGGCATTTCTCTTTGGAAAGACAGATATCGAAACCACCACTTCGACTGGTGGAAGCTGCTGAGGTCCGAAATCTCCTTCTCGTCGTTACACCAGGCCAGGACGTATAAAGGATCTTATACACTAAAAGCACATATACACTAAAAGCTCTGGAAGCTGCATCCGGTCCACACGTAGGCTGTGGACTCCAGACTGGCATCCTTTACCTTTCGGGCTCTTTGTTTAACTTGTTTGGACAATGGTGCATCTCTGTCTTACATTGCTGTTGTTCAGACTTACTACTCAAGACATAGTGTGCATTTTTCAGAACCAGCTCAAACGAAAAGCAATTACAATGCCAAGGCAACTCCAGTTGCTCCGACAGAATATGCACTCTATTCGTTTTATGCAACAATTGATCTTTTGGAGAAATTCTCAGCCCATAACAACCGAAGATCTTTATAATACTGACACCTATCTGTACAAACAGGGACTTGTGATATTGACAGACGGGAATGCCAGAAAACATAAAGTTGCGGCGAGTAATATTAATGCTGGCATATCTGATACTAGACTCTAAGAACTACAGATCTTGTGTTTGAACCGCCTTTTGTATTTCATAAAAGTGGGACCTAACTCAAATAAAGATTATAACCAAGCAAAAAGGAAAATGACGGAAACTGATCTGATATTGGCCTTGCTATGACAGCTCAATCGAGTTATCAGTTAGTAATAAATTTTCTACTTCGCATTGGTTCTTATCTCTAGTAATATATTCCAATCATTGCCGTTTGCTTGGAATTGTGGTCACTCGTGCTGAATAGATTTCTTATAGTCAATTCGCAATATTTCTCAGTCCACGCAACGAACGCAAGAAACGGTTGATTCAAAACTCACAAGAACAAAAATCAAAAAATAAAAGGACACAACTTTTTCAGCAATTTTTTTTCTATTTTTCAACACTTTCAACTTTTATACGCCTTTTATTCCTTAGCTTCATCTGGCCGAACAGCCTCTTATGTTATGTTCAGAAAAGGCCACCGCAGAAAAATCCTGCACAACGCGCAATTTCATTTCGTGTCTCGGTGTTTACCATTGACTCGAATGGCTGCAAAAGCAGAGAAGAAAGGCTCTAACATAAATAGGCTGCTATCCCGCACATTTTTCTTTGCCGCTTTTATATCCCCTTTTTCCTTCCCGTCTTGGCTACGTGCATAACACCCCCTCCTAATTATGCACCCTCAGACCCGTCCTGCACAGAATGCTGCACCGTCGATCTCTCGCTCTCTCCAATTTCTTCCACACCAATACGCCTTCTTTTCCAGTAGTTCTCGCTGGACATCACCATGAGCTCGAGACAAAAACAAACGCGCGCAAAGCGCCGCGCCCATGTCCAGCAATACAGCACGGGCTCAGCGGACCCTGCTTTGCCTCCAAACCCCGCTCCGCTGGCGCCGCTAGCGGCCGTGCAGCCACAACCCCAGAGTGCCGTGGCAGCACAAAGCACTGCACCGGATCCTGCTGCGGATCACGCTGCTGCAAACCAGACAGCACTGGCTGAACAGCCGCCGCTGCTGTGGGATCCTGCTTGGGACGACAAGTGGGAAGAAGACAATTGGGCCCAGAGCGGAGGCTCAACAGCTCTGAAGGCTCCTGTTGTGCATGGGCAAAGCCACACCACTCAATTCGGCAGAGCGAACCCATACGAACAGAAGGAACCGGAAAATATTGGCTTTCATGAGCACCAGACGAATATTTCCGAGGCAGGAACACGAAACCAGAACCCGACACCTCAGCATGGCGCTGAACAGACTCAAGAACAGGATTGGAACGACTGGAACGACGACTGGAACGATGACGGAACCCCGATTGACAACCCATATGAGCAAGAAGTTTCCGAAATAAAGGTTTCTGATGCGCCCAAGCCGACCCTCCAAGCATCTCCTTTTGCTCCAGAACATTCGCCTGTTCCTCTAATGGCACCAAGGGCTCAGGCGCCAGGAAATCACTGGAACACGGATACGGCTGAAAATTGGCTGAATAATGTCAACAAGACTTCTCATGCAGTTTCCGGGGAGAAAGACCCCGCTGGCGATTTATGGGAGGATGACAACTGGCAACAGCAGCCAAGTCATGATGACAACCAGGTTCAACCGGAACAACAAACTGACCACGATGAACATCAGGAACAGTGGGAACAATCCCCTGTTGTCAGCCATGAGCAGTGGGAGCAAAAAGAGTCTCAAACACATGGCCCTGATCAATGGGAACAACACCCCCAACACCTCCACGGCGAGGATCTCAATCAATGGGGGCAGACTTCTCATAGCGAACATCATGACCACTGGGAAGAAGAATCACACAGTAAGAACCGCGACGAAGAGAACTGGGACTACGGTCACGAAGAGGCTGTTGAAGATCAAGACCAATTTTGGAATGATCAGGAACAACCTACCGAGGAGCAACATATAGAAAGCCAACATCAATGGCCAGAGGATGATGTGGAACAGCATCCTTATCAATCTTGGGAACATGAAAAGCCGGAGGATCCACATCAATCTTGGGAACACGAAAAGCCGGAGAATCCACAACAATCTTGGGAGCAAGATGAATCTGACCAGCATCACGAGCATCACGAGAATTATGAGCATGAGGATTTTGTTTCTCACGAGCAGATTCCACAGCATACCAATCCACACGAGCCACAAGCGAGTGAAAAAGAGGAGTATATTGAAGAACAAAAGTTGCATGTACAAACGTGGGAAAACGAACGCCAGTCGGAGTATTCTCTCGATGAGACAAATGAAGACCAGTTCCCTCCTCAATCTCCAGGCCAATGGGAATCGCTTCAGAATGCGTCTCAAGAAAATATGAACACGTTTTTGCACTCACAGAACAGGGAACATGCATCACAATATCCGGAAAATGAAGAGTTGGAAGAATCTGACCATACCGCTGAAGTTGTGCAACCAGAAACAGACCTTGATGAATCTGCAACAGATAATTTCGCTCAAGAAAACCAGGAAACAACAGATGACTTCTTCAATCAGATTGGCGGTGAACAAGAACAAGCACAAAGTAAGCAGTTTCTGTTACATGAGCCCAAACCAGATGCAATGTGGCAGGATCAGGTGTCTCATAAAGAATGGAATCCATCAAACGATGACCTGGTGGTATACACACGTAATGAAAGCTTACACGTGAAGGCAGACGACCTTTTCCCGGAGGAAGACGAGTTTTTACCACAATCTTCTTCAAAAAACGAAGAACCCTATGCGCATGAAGAGTCTCAAGTGGACGCACCTGCGACTGAAGCGACATTTGCAGGGGAAAATGGAGACCAGTACCAGGAAGAACCAATTCAGGAACAACAACCGGGCCCATTGCAACCCCAAAGTGAGATTCAAGAGCAAAACGAAACGGGCGTCCAACCCCAGGAAACCGAACACAGCAAGCTCAAGGCACTTGAAATGTTGGATTTGGATGACGATTTATTGTTGGATGACGACTTTTTGGAAGAGGATGATGTTAACCTCGAAGGAAACGACGGAGCGGTGTCAGAGGAAAACAGCAATGCACAGGTCCTGGAATCCTTGCAAGCGCCAATTCAAACGTCGACACCCGCACATACTTCGCTCCGTCCTACAGAAAAGAAACTGTCTTTTGCGTCAAAGTATTCTAAGCCAGCTGAACAAAGCGGCCCCAAGCCTCAATATACCCCTCAAACTCTGGTTTCTGCCCCTGTTCCACCGCAAAAAGTGATCTCAGCAGCAACTATCGCAGAAGACGAGATGAAACGGAAGCTCGAAGCCAGTAAGAAGAAAAATGACGCCTACGACTTGCCTCTGAACTTGATGCCACAGAAACCAAAACCCGCGTCTCGGGCGGCCTCCAGCCAAACAGCAACAAGACCAACACGGCCCACAGTCGCCGCTGGCCCTGGTGTTGGCGCCCTGGCTCGCTCGTCCACCTCGACCAGTGAGGTTTCGACCGCCAGCACTAGCAAAAAGGCATTCTTCGAAGACTTGCCTGTTCCAGCACCACCAAAGGCCCTGCGTCCGCCGCGGGCAGCAGCGGCAGCAACGTCAGCTCCACCTGTGGCTCAGCAGCCATCCTTGCCAAGTGCCCCGCCAACAGCGTCGATCAAATCGCCAAAGAATCCTTATGCGAAGTTAGCGCCAAAAAACAGCATCCCGCCGTCAGCCAGCGCTCCTGTTCCAGGTAATGTCGCGACTGGAAGCAAGTACGAGCCACCTCTGGCCCAGGGAGCGCCGCCAATTCCGCATGGTGCATCAATGGGCGTTGTCCCGCCTCCGGGAATTGTGCCTCCAGGTATCAGCCTGGGAACACAACAAGGTATCCCGCAGGGAGTTGTTCCTCCAGCTTCTCAGCCGGTTTCCTCGCTTCCGCATTCCTCTCAAGCCCATGCGATCAATCCTTACCAGCCACAACATCCGCCTGTGGGTGTTGTTCCTCCTAAACAGGGAATGGTGCCTCCACAGACTATGCCTCAGCCTCCACAGAACGCTGGCCAACAGAGTATTGTACCTCCACAGAACATGATGCCTCCACAGAACATAATGTCTCCCCAGAAGATGGTTCCTCAGAATATAGGTCCACAGAATATGGCCGGACCACCTGCAGCCCATGTTCCACCTATGGGCCAGGTGCCTCCGCAGCATATTGGTGCGCAACCCATGGGAATGGCTCCTGGAGCTGTTCCGCCTCGCTCAAAATTCTCTCCGCAAGGACCTCAGGCAACCAAGCCTAACGATAAGGAAAAAGTGGCTTCTCCACGTATCAACGTTAACGTGCCACGCACATCCGAGAAGGGAAGCGTCACTAGCCCTTATATCCCCAATGCTGGGCCATATGCGCCTTCCAACCGCGGCCACTCGCGGACTAGCTCTATCATTGGTGGCCGTGCAAAGGAAGGAAACCCATATGCGCCAGTCGCACCATCGGGTCCTAATTCCTCCTTAACACCCACGGCAGCTCAAAACTACCCTCAGAAGGGTCCTTTGACCAGAAATAGAGGGAGATCAGTGGGCAAACACGGCCACGGAAAGGCGCATGTTGAAAAAATCGAGAACCCAATGGCTTTGCTCGAGAGACAGTTTCCGATTTTCCACTGGAGCGCCTCTTCCAACATTGCCTACTTGATTCCTCACGCTCCCACTGGGTTTGGACCTGCTACTCGTGCTGTTACAGTGACAAAATGTTCCAGTGTCGTGCACAAGTTGGACATGTATAATGAATTCCCTGGTCCGTTGACAAAGTCGAAATCCAAGAAGAAGGACATTGAGACCTGGTTGGAGAAGAACATCAAATCATTGGAGGCAAAACAAGCCACAGACGAGCTTCTTCTTGCGAAAGTTTTGCTTGCTCTTTTGCGTCATGATTCTGCCCCAAATAATAGTATGTTGAACCAAAACGTCGCATCTGTTTTGAACCCTCAGTTGGACTATTCTACCGAGGAGAAACCACAGGTGTCGTTTATGATGCAAAGCTCTGTGACTTCCAATGCTTCAAAGTTGGATAATGCCGCAATCAGCACTATAGCCAGCATGCTTCAAGTCGGTGATCGTGAAAACGCTATGAACTTTTCTATTTCCAGGCAAGACTGGGCTCTCAGTCTCGTTATCGCTCATTCAATAAGTCCTGAAAAGTTTGCTCAAGTTGCTTCCCACTACTCCAAAGCGATGTTCCCATTGCACAAGAACACACACAACAAGACATATCATTTGATGTCCATTATGTTGAGATGCTTTGCGGGAAATACCAAGAGCCTTGTAGAGTCTTTCTCGGTGGATCCAAACGAAACTGAGTTTGCCAAGCAGAGCTACAGAGAAATCATTGCAGCGGCCTTGGTCAATGGCGTTACTGGTGAATTTTTCATTGAGTATGGTGGCTTTTTGGCAAGCGCCGGTATCACATGTGGCAGCGAAATCTGCTATATGTTAGCAGGTGTAATCATGTCGAGAGTTCCTTTGCAAAACGGCAATGTGTTCCTTTCCGCGGGTTCTTTTACTCAAAGCTTGGTGTACACTGAAATTTACGAGTACATTCTTCAGATGTCTCCAATGACGTCCAATGTGATCCCCCCCACTGGAATTCCTCATTTGATTGAATTTAAGATTCACCGTGCACAGGTATTAGCAGACTTGGGCCACTTTACCACTTCTAAGAAATACTGCGATGCCATCAACAGCACCTTGAAAGTGCTTGGAAAGTCGCCTCTTGTCAGCGCTCAAGCGCTTGCTGAGTTTCAGACTTTGGTGATGCGCTTATCTGAAACATCCTCGAGCGAGTCCGGATGGTTGGGCAGTAAATTGAGCAAAGTCAACTTGGACAAAGTCTGGGGTCAGTTGGACAAGTTTATTGGCGGTGAAGAAGGAGCCGTTAAACCGGCAGAGAAGGGCGTATTTAGCAAATTCAGTCCTTCACTTTCCAGAAACACTTCTGCTTTGGACATTACCCAGATTCCTATTCCTCACCTGCAACAGAGACAGGAGGGAAGCTTTCTTGCTGGTACACCTTCAGACATTGGAAGCCCTTCGAAAGCACGTACTCAAACTCATCTGAGGTATGCTCCAACTCGCCCAAATGCAATGCATTCTACTAGCGCGTCATCAGCGGCCATAACCAACTTCACCCCTCCAGCTAGCCAAAACGGAAATCAGAGACACATCCTTAACCAATCTACGCCTATCGCTTTACCTCACCATGACATGAATAGAGGCGAAGAGCTCAGACAACAAGCGTTGAAGCACGGTGCTGTATCCCAAAGGCAAGCACACCCAAGCCACAGCCATGGAAATAGTGCTTACCCTAACAACCCTTACGGAAACCAGAGCGGTCATATGCTGTCTCTGTCTATCGCTTCAGGCCACGGTGTTTCTTCTCGTTATGCGCCTTCGCATGAAAAGAGAAACTCTGTGGGCAGTGTCTCGTCTGTCGAGCATTCGGAGGAGGCCCACAGACACGAGCGTTTCTATGGCAGAGCATCAACACATAGCCACTCGCGCGAGTCCTTTAGGAATGAAGGCAGCGAGTATCCCGAGAATGCCACAAGAAGATTGTCTGCGGACGCCGTTCCCAACACGATAAATGAGTCCGGCGAATTCCATACACAGGAAGAGGAGAAGGAAAGTGAAGCAGGATTGGAAGATGTCGAGGAGCAGGGAAAGGCTGACGCGGCTGCTGAAGAGCTAGCTGCAGAGCCTGAACACCGTCCTCATGAGCAACCAGACGAGGAAGTTCCTACACAGACAGAAGAGCCAATGCCGCCACAAAAGGAGGAGCTCGAAGAAGAATCTTCGAATAAGCCCGAAAATGTGCCTCAATCGGTAGAACAAGAGCAACAGCAGATTCCAAAGGAAGCCGAAGAACCAAAGAAACATAAAGAAAGCCACCAGATCGCTCCACCACCAAAGAAGGGCCCCGCACCTAAAAGAAACAACCCCTATGCTCCTGGAGGATCCAGAACAGTGAGTAGAGGAAGCAACAAATACGGGCCACCCGGTGGTGGTTCCAAATATGGGCCTTCTGGCGGCAGCTCAAAGTACGGACCTCCAGAAACGGCTATTCTTAGCCAGGAGAGCAGAAACACCGAATACGAGTCTGCTTATCCGGTGAGTACTAATCCTGTCTTGGAAGTCAGTGAACCACAAAAGTCTGAAGCCGACGAGTCTGCTCTCGCAGCGCTGACAAACTCACGCACGCCAGCGTCTCCTCGCACGCCAGCAGCTACTCCAGTAGGATACTCATCAAAGGATGTTTCGGAAAAGGCCGAGGATGAAGAGAACAAAATGCCATCCATGCGCCCTCAAGGATCAAGGAAGGTTGAGGAGAGGAAGGAGCAAAATAAGAACTATGCTCCTCCACCACCAGCAAATGTTGATGTGAGCTTTGAAGAAGGACCAGGTCCAGTCTACGAACCGCCTGTCGCGGGCTACGAGAGTCCGATTTCGAAAAAGCCATTGATTTTGAACACAGCCCAGTCTCCTGCTATGAAGGAGTTTGCCAATCCATTCCAGCACAATAAGACGGCGCTGATCCAGATGGAAGGTGGCCTTGAGGACTTTTCTATTCCCGGGTCTCCTGAATACACCACGAGAGCCAACTCTGTGATTGGCAACAATGGATTGTATTCCAGCAGGTTGTCGCAGTCGCAACAAACCGAATTGTACCATCAGTACGAGGTGAAAGATGACACAGTGCTCGACTACATTCCTGTGGAGGAAGATGAAGAGGATGAAGAAGAAGCTCGCATACGGAAAGAAGCGCAGGCCAAGAAAGAGAAAGAGGCCGAGCAGCGGCGCAAGAGCGAACCTGTTTCTAGAAATTCGCATGAAGGGTCCGAGCGTACTGGAAGCCCAGGAGATGGAAGCGGGTGGTTCAAGGGCTGGTTGCCTAACAAAAAGGGCGACGATAAGCCCAAGCCCATCAAGGCCAAATTAGGCCAAGCCAACACTTTCAAGTACGACGAAAAGCTTAAGCGGTGGATCGACACCAGCCGTCCGTTGGAAGAGCAGCTCAAGGCTCGCGGCGCCACTCTCCACCGCCTAAAAAAGAAAAATCATAGCTCTGGAGGGTCCCTCGGGCAGATTCCCTTCCCGCAAGCGCAGCGCCGAAGAAGAATGGAAGAAAAGAGCGAGCTTCCTGGCAGACCGCCCAGAATTCCTGGGATCCTGAGACCGGCCCGGGATCGCCAGGCGGCCGCCGCTTGCGTTCTCCACCAACAAACTTGGCCAACGCCGGTTTGGACGATCTCCTTTCGCTAGGAGCATCGGCGCCAAGCCGCAAGGGCAAGAGAAGATACGTGAACATCATGGAAAAGTAGAAGGAAACGCCAAGATATCATGGAAAAGTAGAAGAAAACGCCAAAGATACAAGACAAAGTACAACATGACATGAAGTATATGCATTGGGTGCCCGAAATAGGCAATAAAAGTTACTAGAGGCTTCTGGTGAGTAAGAAGTAGTCTGGTCTGATCACTGCACCTGACCGAAGCCTTCGGCACTGTGGAGATCCCGGCGCCAACACGTACCCTAGGCGAGTGTACCACTCAAAAGCCCGGTGGTTGTCGCCGAAAACCGTGAGACTAGTGCCCTCCATGGCAAGATGTTCGGACTGGGCCAAGTGCGGGTCGTTTTTCTTTTCGTCGGCAAGCTTAGCCACCGCATGGAAACTTGCCATGAGCTGGCGGCCCCACTGCATCAGCTGGCACTTTTCGATCACCTGGATCTCATATAGATAGAGATCTTTGCGGTCTTCCTGAACGGGCTTGAAAGCGACGAACGCGGCGATTTCTTCGCCAAGCGAGTACCATACAAACACAAGCCCTGCTTCCAGCAACTCGGCGAGTTTCTCCTCTTGCCAATTGGCGCCCTTGTGGGCAATATACATGTTGCCCATACAAGCGGCGATCACGTGCGCGAGTCTTTCAAGGTGGTTGTTGGTGACAGCCGTACTGGGAAAGCAATGGCGAGAATAGACGGCGTTGCGGCACGTGAGCGAAGCCGGAAACACTTGTTTGGCCAAAGATGCAAGCGATTCGCCTAGCGGATCCATAAGAGCCGCGTTGTATTCGTCAAAGTGCATGATAACAGATGGAATCAGTGTAGGATACTGTAGGATATACTTTAGAACAGAATGACGAAAGTGAAGTAGGCTGGAGATAAGACCAGTGAGGAAACCCGGAAGTAGGACGTGGCCGGAATCGACAGACTTGAAGAGCGCAACGCGCAACTGCGACACGCGCAATGGCAATGGCGATGCGCAACGCCATGTGGAGGCGCGATGCGCGCTCCTGCGCCATCTGACACACTGCACCTCCACCTATAGCCATTGTACAGCCACAGAACATCATGCACTGGCCCAGTTCGCCCACGCGACCATTGGACTCACTCGATGGCGTGGAAGAAAACCAGAAGGCCCGTGCGGCGGCCTTGTACCACCCGCTATCTTCGCCGCTCTCAAACAAGGCTGGAACTCGAGAAGAGAAGAAGCGCACCGAGATGATTAAGGCACGAGACCAGCTCCGACAGCAGCGGCTCTTGCTCGGGCGCGAGCGGACAAGCGAGAGAGAGAGCTACGCGCAGCAAATGGAGCTTTTGCGCCTTCAGGCAGCCGCTTTGGACATGGATCCCGATGACTGGGACCGAGAGACAGAGCAAGTTGAGGCGGACTTGGACGAGGCGTACGAGGCCGAGTTGGAGGAATACATATTGCAGGAGGAGCTCGAGTTGGAGCAGCAGCTCCGGGAGTTGCAGTTGAACGAGACGGCCAAGGGCGATTAGTGGAGCGGGCATTCTGAGGTCTATTGAGGCTATCGAAGGACTATCGAGAGGCTATCGAGGGTTTATTGAGGCTATAGCAGGTCTATTGAGGCTATTGAGAGGCTACCGAATGTCTCCTGAGAGCTATCGAATATCTATTAAGGCTATCGAAGAACTGCTGAGAGCTACCGAAGGTCTATTGAGGCTATCGAAGGTCTATGGAGGCTATCGAAGGTCTACACAGCAGGCAAATCCGGCAGGCCAATCAACGTATTGTGTCTTTATTGCCGCTAATCGCTGATGTGAGCTCCGTTCGAGACATCAATATGGTTCACCTTGATCAGTCTGTGTGATTAGAACGACTATCCCATGATCTGGTCACGGCTTTGATGTAGTGTTGATCACAACCTCTCAGGGTGACAGACTTGACAAGGTTTGATCTAGGCATTCGTCTTCAAGAGAATTTCTTGTGTTCGATTCATGTCGATTCATATCGATTCATTTTGATCATTTCGATTATTTTGATCATTTCGATTATTTTGATCATTTCGATTATTTCGATTATTTTGGTTATTTTGATCATTTCGATTATTTCGATTATTTTGATTTATTTGATCATTTCAATTCATTTTGATCTAGAATTCACTCTTGATAAGGATGTGGGAAGCATCTGTGTGCTGACAAATCAGTGGGAAATAGCAAGAAGACATTCAGCCTTAGACAACTTCCTGGCCTTGCATGTCAATCTTTCTACGCACATCGCGATGACCTACAATCATATCCCACTCCCATGAATCAAAACTTCCTTTGCTCTCTACTATCTTTGTTGGTCAATTGGCCCACCCTAATAGGTGGATCGCAATGTGTCAAAGCAATGCAAAGTGTGGTTGAAGCTAATTGAGGTGGGATTGGCTGGATGCAAATCATCTAAAAATGCCTGCAGCGAAAATCACCTTTGCTTGGCATGGACAAATGCTTCCGCCTTGTCTCACATATCCCCAAGTAGACCCGAATAAGCAGAGAATCCTCACGCCATTGACTGTGCCATATGAGACAGAACCGTCTCCGACCTTGTTAAAGCTGCTCCGCATCCCATAACCGACTTTAATGTGAAACTTTTCATGTACTGGCAGCACCTGCATTCAACCGGAGGACTTTCTTCCCAAATCAAGCATTTAGATGGTAGGCCCTTTCACCTTATTGTGGGCATGCACAAGGGTAAAATATGAGTCGAGACGCAAGCACATTGGTTCAGGGGCGTGTGTCACGGTAACTGGGAAAGCACGCCGAAACGTGCAGAATCACAAGATGTACATTAGTAAAAATACCATGCCAGAAGAAATGCCGAGATGGTATTACAAATCAAAACTAGCCAGTAGGGGGCCCCCGGATAATGGAAGGGAAGGAAACGGGTACGCCTTGCGAATTAGATGCATTCACGAAAAAATAACAAAGGAAGGTACTACCGACACACCTGTGGAATTGCAAGCAGGCTGAATCCCCGAGAAGAGATGGATCCAGCGTATAGCACGCCGCAGATTGAAGAGATAAATGCACCGCGCTTAAGCTGCTGCCCAATAGAGCAAAGTCCACATACATACTGATGGGAATGTGGTATATCCGTTGCAGGATAGCCCCGGGCACATGGTGTGCCTGTCAGTTTCTCCGAGGCCTTTTGCGGATAACAGAGAAGCTTGTTGCAAGCCCCGCAAAAGGACGCCATCATAATGTCGCTTGTGGGTGGTGTCTGGGGCTACTGATACGCTCGATTCCGGATCCGGCGCCTCTCAGTTCCCGAGTTGGAGAGACATGGCCTCAGCCGTAATCCGCATTGAGGTGCAGGACGCCAAGACGCCCATGCGTGGCGGCTGTATACCTGCCCCAAAATGTGAAAGTTTGCGCGTATTGTTCTCCGTCTCGGAATCCGCCCAGCCAATAATACTACAGATGCTGGAGGGGCCCATGACAATGCCGCATGTTTGATTATCAGATACAATCTATGTTTTTGCCAGATCCCGGCCCCGGGCTCCCCTTTTCCACAATGGCCAGCTTAGAGATGGGAAAGTCGTCCAGCCGCACCTTGCCAAGACATATTTACCTTTCGTGCTGTCAAAATTTGGGCCAGACACAAAATTACCACTGTACTGATCCCGTCTGATAAAATTTTGCTCATGTCTTGACGTGCGTCTCGGGGCTGCATAGTGTCTGCATTCTGCACACAGACCTTACACCTGCAACGGCCAGGCAATCATTAGTGGCCATGCGATTGGAGCTACGCAGCTGTACGTACAACATGCAGCCATTGTGCATGGAAGGATTGGGGGACTAATGCGGCCGTTGTCTAATGTAAGGTTTTTTTTTTCGCCTTGTCCCATATAAAGATGGAAGGGTATCCGGCGCTGGAAGCGCGGTTTTCCTTTCACTCCAGTCTCTCATGGTTGCAATCAAAAAGCTCGCCGCAGGAGCTGCCGTTCTTTCGACAGCTTTAGCTGACATTGATGGAACCACTCTTGTCCATAAAGACCAGATTCCTGCTCTCGCATGTCTGACGCTCATTGCCAAATCGGTTATCTTTACTAAGGCTAAAGATGGCGGATACTGTAGCGTGAAAAACCAGCCAGCTTTGGGTACGATGGCTCATTGCTTGATGCTGATGCCTCACAAAGGTGGTATCGACTACTTCATCTACCACACTTGCGCAAAGAATAACTTGACTGAAGAACAGTTCATGGATGCGTACAACAATGCTACCGACTTGTTGGTGAAGAACGTCACTGCGTACCCAGGCTACAACTTGACCAAGCCATTCTATCTTCCAGTGCAAATGGGTAAGAAGAAGCTTCGTGGTGCTTACGACTCGATCTTGGGTCGTTGGTACAACTACAACAGAGCTCACATCTACTCGTGGGTTCTCTTGGCCTACTGGGGCTTTTTGGTTGTTCTTGCTGGCTTGGGCAGAATCGCCGAGTTCGCCTTCCCATCGTTTGTTCACTCGCTCAACGGTAAGGTCTCCAACACTTTCCGTAAGTACATCACTTTGCCAGCCTTGGCGGGCAGAAGACGTACCCAACACGGCACCATCTTCAAGATCTTTGACTTTGTTATTCCAACCAGATGGGAAAGTATTATGATTTCTATCTGGCTCATTTTGTGTTTGTCGTTCAACGTGGCCAACTACCACCATGACTCCCCCAACGTTTTGTGGAAGCAAAGAAGAAATGAGATGGGACGTAAGATTGCCGACAGAACAGGTATCATTTCGCTTTACATGATTCCCCAGCTCATGTTGTTTGCTGGCAGAAACAACTTTTTGCAATGGATCTCTGGCTGGACCCAAGCCCGTTTCCTTGTCATCCACCACTGGTATGCCAGAGCCGCCTGGCTTATGATGGTTCTCCACACCATTGGTATGACATACAACGGAAAAGCTTTGGGCAAGTACGAGACTAGAAACAAGCAGCCATACGTCAGATGGGGTTACGTTTCCCTCATTGCCTCATGTATCATGGTTTTCCACTCTTTGGCTGTGATGAGAAAGAAAAACTACGAGATGTTCGTGTTCGCCCACAACCTTCTTGGTGCCATCTTCGTTGCTGGTGCTTGGCTTCACGTCAAGCCAAAGGAATTTGGCCAGTACATGTACGCTGCTGCCGCCGTTTGGTGTTTTGACAAGTTCTGCCGTCTCTGCCGTATGGCCTGGTTCGGTGTCAAGACTGCCGATGTGCAATTGATTGCTGATGAAACTTTGAAGGTCAAGATTCCTCGCCCATCTTCTTGGAAGCCTGCTCCATTGCAACACGCCTTCATCTACTTCTTCAGACCAACTTGCTTCTGGCAATCGCACCCATTCACCATCGTGGACTCTGTTCTCGAGAAGAACACCATCACCTTCTACATTAAGGTGAAGGGAGGAATGACTCACGGCTTGTATCAATATTTGAGCACCCAGCCTGACCAAAGAGCCAACATCAAATGTTCTGTTGAGGGTCCTTACGGCCACAGACAACCATTGCAACACTACTCGTCTGTTTCCTACATTACTGGAGGAAACGGTATTCCAGGCTTGTACGCAAGTGCTTTGGATCTCAGCAGCAAGAATGCTGGCCAGAATGTCAAGTTGTACTGGGTGATTCGTCACTGGAAGTCTGTCGAGTGGTTCTACGAGGAGTTGAAGCGTTTGCAAGGCACCAACGTCCAGCCTATTGTCTATGTGACTCAATTTGACACTCCATTGGACAAATGCTTTATTGAGAAGTTCGAAGACAACACTTCGACCGACGAAAAGAAGCTGGAGGACAGCAACGGCAACCACATCAACAACTTGATAGAAAAGTTGTCGTTTGTGGACTTTAGACCTGGCAGACCAAACGTTGAGGAGCTTATTTTGCAAGACATCAACGAGTCTAGCGGAGCAATTGCATTTGTCGCATGTGGTCACAGCACTTATGTTGATGAAACCAGAAAGGTTGTGGCCAACAACTTGCCTGACGGAAAGCGGGTTGACTTCTTCGACCAGATCCAGATCTGGTAATCACTAATATTATACTGGTAATTGGTTCCTTGTAGGGAAGAATAGAAATCTTTTGAAATTAGAGTAAGATCGATGAATAGTGGCGATGGCTGGTATGGTGGGCGTTGTAACATGAGGCATCCGCTTTTTCTGTGTTCGAGTTTGTTTCTTTGTGTTCAACCTGCTTTTGCAAGAATCATCTTACTAAGGTAAGTACATAATCTATTACAATTGTTGGCTTTCTGTTCACATCAGACGGATAGGCTAGCTCCTCAACCTCGCTTGGGCTACACATACTTTACATACTATACTGAGAGATTTCGAATTCTATCTTCATACCTGAAATATACTCGGCCTCCAGATACGATTTGCTTAAGGTCTGATATGACTACCTTAGTGTTCGCCATGAAATATATTTTTCAAATAGACGTGTCGCATCACAATCGAAATATCTCATTCAACCGAAGCTAAAACTTGATTAAAACCTGCTTTAGCCAAAGGTGCAGTGGTGCCCGGTAATCCTAATCGTAGATCGCAGCAGTAGAGGCCATGTAATTGACTGCATTATGTCGATAAAGCGAGATTTTTAAGAACACGAAGATTAAGAAATAAGAGAGCTGAGAATAAGAGGTAGATGGGCGAAAAAGAATCAGCCAGGATGATAGCGACAAGATTTTGAACTGAATTCACCAACTAAAAACATTTGAGCACTTTGATCGTATTTGAGCACTTGATCGTATTTGAGCACTCTGATCGTCGCATCTGCACCTTCTCGCAGTACTCAGCACTTTCATTCTATGCTACGCCCATCAAAGGAACTGTCTCAGATCTGTGGTATGTGTCACACGTGACAGTACCAATCTTTTGACAGCGAAGCTACTCATGCAATGGGCTTTAAGTTGTGTGTACATGTCTGTGCGTTGGCGCATGTGGGGCACAGGCGACATTTTTCATCTGATCTGAGGCGGGCTCCGAACCACAGCCTCCTTTAATATGTAAACATAGGGTGTGCATACACGAAACGCTCGGCGGGTATATCACGTGTCATATAGCCTACTAGTCGAGTTATTCGCCTTATTACTAGGAGACTACAATAAGTTCACAGCTGTATGGGCTGCGCCATTGTCTTTCATCGAAACGACGTTGAAATCTCGTTCTCTGTGACGAAAACGGGAAAACCTGTACCGGACACTGGCGCACCCGTACACCACATATCAGCGCGTCGTGCCCCATTTTAGAAAAAAAAAAAAACCCTGATCCGAACATCAGTGTATCCGCCTCAGGTCTACACCAGAAGTTCTGTTAAACCACATTTCTTCTTGGCTAAGTTTCCATTCGCTCGCTTCAAGACCTTTCTTTTACTTCTTCTTCACTTTTGCCGTTGCACAAAACCACATATCCAAATGATCGTGCCTACGCAAAGTGTCGACTTGGCCGTCCGAGCCGACAGCTCTTCATCATCTTCCAAGGCGTCTGAATCGAATTCATGCAAAGGGAAAAACGCCAACAGCAGCGCATGCGAAAAACCCGTCAACGAAGACGGGCTTGAGATCGGCCTAGGCGTGGGAATCCCCGTGTTCGTGATCTTGTGTATCTTGGGGTTTTTCGTGCTCAAAAACTACCGCAAAAACAAGCGGGAGAGTCTAGAACGGGACCCGGACTTTGACGAGAACGGCGAGGCCACGGCGCTTCCTGACTTCCCTGTTTTCACCAAGGAAGATCCGTTCGCCGGCTCTCAGAGAGGTTATCCGATGATGGGCGCCAACCGTTCTGCCCAGGAACTCAGCAAATTCTCCACCAGAAACATGGACGAGGGCTACGACGGCTTTGTGTTGCCGTACCACCACGAAACCGGCTCCAAAGCTTCGTTGGACGAGTATGCCAAGCAGCTTATGGACAAGACCGACTTTAGACGCGATTCAGCCGTCCATTCCCGCACGTACTCGCACATGAACCCGGGCTCGCTTCGGGAATCTCCTCAGAAAAGCCAGCTAGGCGCCACCTACACCGCAGGCCAAAACGAGCCCGTGGGAAGACTTACACACACCGATTTCGGCCACGCCAACGCCTCGAGCACACTGCTTGGCGAAGACAAGTTCTACAATACGCAAGAGACGTTTGAGGACTCGCAGAATGGGTTTGACGTCAAGTACGAAAACGAGCCCCAGATGGCCGACGATGGCATAGAGTCGGTGAAAGATTTCTCCGACAGCGATAACGACGAGACCGAAAGCGAGGAAACAGTGAGAGAGGAGAGAAGAATACCGTCCTTCGACGTTTCGTCGCCCTTCGATGATCGCCACGACATTTCGACTCCTGACGAAGATGCAGACACAGAAGATGCAGCTGCCAACACAACTGCAAAAACCGATACCACTGCAGACTCGGCAGATGCACCCCAAGACTCCAAGTTTGTAGGCGCACCTGAGGAAGCAGACATTTCAGGTGTATCCGACGCATCTGTTGCAGCAAACACATCAGGCTTGTCGCTCAAAAAGTCGCCTCGTGTGTCCACGTTGAATGCGATGAAGGAGGACGACGACAATATGTCCAAGGAACAAGAAGAGCAGTTGGCCCGCATGAAATCCGTGTACCAGGTCTACTTTGACCGGAGTAACTCCGTCAAATCCGAAGCACACGGCGGCTCTTTCCAGCCCGACACGTCACAGCCTTTGCCCCAGATTGACGGTCTGAATAAGGTCAATGCGATGTTGAACGCTGACACCGACTACACCAAGCGCCACACAACAGCATCCTCGGTTTATGACGCGGTGCCAGTTTTCCCAGACGAAGCCGAGGAGTCTTCCAACGCACAACCAAACGGGCAACGGTATCCTCCACAGAACGGACACCCTGTGCAAAAGGGTACATACAGAGGCCAGAATGGCTATCCGCAGTATCCTAACGGATCGAATGCATCTCCAAATGGATATCCAGGCTACTCCAACGGTTCTCCAAACGCATACCCAGGCCAGACATCTCCGGAAGAGACCGATAGCGTACCTGCCGAGTTACCGCCTTTGAAGTCCCTTCCCCATGCCTCGGATATCCGCCATTCAACAATCGAAACGTTTACCGACTATGTTCCTCGTGGGAAAGTCACTTCTCCGTCATTGAGATTCGATAGCGAGTCGACATTTTCTTCACCGGCAACAAAAAGTACAGTAACGTTCGGACCGGCTTCAGGCGTTCCGCCTGTTCTTCATAACCCTTCGACTGACAGCGTTCCTTCGCCTTCCCAGTTGGCCCGTACTTCTGTGGTTATGTTGAATCCGGTTTCGGAAATCGCCCCTCTGCGCAAATACAAGCCCGCAGGCTCTTTGCCCTCTGGACCGGGCTCGCCTTCTCTTGCATCTCACAATGAGTGGGCTACATCGAGCGACGATCTCATACCTGCCAATAGGAAAAGTGCTGTGCGCAGAATGATGAACACGAACTTTTGATCTAAAAGGATCCGAACTAAAAATGGAAGCATGATGGTGCTTCTCAACTCTTTGAGGACTTCGGTCTCTGGGTCATTCTAGAGGCCAGTTGTAAAGTCTTTTCAACTGGTCTTTCGCCGGTCATGTTTCTCGTCATGTTTCAGGTCATGTTTCGGTTACACTTGTACAGCCTCATTGTATGAACTTTACTGGATGCAAGTACATGAACGATGCCCCAGGCCAGCTGACTCGTGACCTGTCTGTGGTCACATCATCGCCCATTTCACTCTTACGTCTGTACGCCAATTATTCGCTGCATTATAATATACACCAGTGCACTAGGCCAAGTCGTAGTCGTCGATCTTGTTCTTGTACTTGAGCACGTTTTCCTTGATTTTCGACCCGTCGACCCACGTCAAATAATCCTCCAAGTTGCGCGTAACCAAGTACGCCGGGTCTGTAATCACATTGGGCCCAACACGGACATGGCCCTGCTCCACAAACGTATTGGCGTCTTTCATGTTCTGCGCCATCCGCATTCGACACATAACCACGCCGATTCTTCTCCGGCAAAATGCAGACACAGTCACCTTGTTCTCCAAGTCGGAAATCTTGGACTTGGTCGACAAAACGCCCATGTTATAGAGCTTTTCGAGCAAAAGCTGCTCGTGCTTGATGCGGAAAGGATCCGTGGGCTGTAGCAACGACAATTTATTGGCGAGTTTTCGGATCTCGCCGCAAATGCGGTTATACTTGTGATAGTCTTCTCTGTTCTGGATGTGGTACCGGGTCATGACCTGGGTGTCTCTGTGGCCCTTGTCCTGTTTCCAGTTAAGGAAATCGACCTTTTTGAGCAATTTCTGCTCGTGGTGTTTTAGTTGTCTGACCATGGAGAAATAGTTGATGTGAGAGATGAGATTTTTTGGTGATGAGGTGAGCGATAACGTGCATACAGAAATGACAAGACAGTCTTGCCTAATTTTCTTGATTGATTTGGACAGTTCTGGCCTGTTTGGTAATTGGTCCTGCTCTACGAAATAATAATATTATAGGGAAGTAATAATGCTATAAAATGGGGAAATAATAATACTTAAAATGGCAAAAGACGTAGGCAAAATTAGATTTTTGGACCCTTTATACAATACCGTTGAAAGATCATTGAATGAAAATTAATTTCTATCTTTATTGATGTTCGCCAATGATTTTTGCTGGAACACTTTGGCTAATGTTTTAGCATTATCGCTGAAACACATTCGCTCAGTTTTCCATCTAGGTGGCCCTACAACTTTTTGATCCGACTGCGCGAGCATTTGGGTGAAGTAATTAAGCCTAGACATGAACTATTAGTCCTATTCCTTTCGACTCTACAAATTTTCTTTCCTTATTCTTCCATGCTGGAACCCGTCAATCGTAGTATTTTAGAATAATTTAACCTGAACCCGGGTCGAGTTAAAACCTAATCCGGAAATCAACAACGAGCCTACAGAAATCCAGACTGGCATCTCCAAAATACCTTGAGCTGCAAACCTGAAAAATATTTTCCGGGCTCCAGAACCTCATTCATCTTGACTCCTCTTCTGTAGCAATTATATTCTCTTCTTCTCTTCTACTAACCTACTTCTGCCTGGTGTACGGGTGCACCACTCAAGCACAAATTTTTCCCACAGAAAAAATCAACCCCAAGCATGTTTGGAAAATCTGCCTTGAGAGGTGCCAGACACTTCGCCACTACATTAAGCCGGCCTTCCTATATAGGAAGTGCTCCCATCAGGTTGGCCGAAGGCATGGAGTGTTTCACGGAAGCAGTTCCGTTTGAGTTCTCCAAGTCCTTCACCAAAGGGAAACACACCATTTCTTTGAACAAGCAGATCGTGGTGAAAGGTCCCAAGGGTGTTTTGAAGACCGCCGTGCCGGACTTTGTTTCCATCACAAACGAGAACAACATTGTCAATGTGAGTGTGGAGAACCCGGACGACAAGGTGCAAAGATCCATGTGGGGAACTTCGAGAGCCTTGATCCAGAACAACGTTATCGGCACATCCGAGGGACACTTGGCCATCGTGAAGTTTGTCGGCACTGGTTACAGAGCGGCGATCGAGAAGGAGGGCGAAGATACCGTGGTGAGTCTAAAAGTGGGGTACCCATTTACGCCGAGATTGAAGGTGCCAAGCGGCTTGACCGTCACGTCGCCAAACCCAACCAGATTGTTGATTGAGGGCACCGACAAGCAGCAGGTGAAGTTGTTTGCTGCGCGGATCAGAGAGTTCAGAAAGCCGGAGCCATATAAGGGAAAGGGTATTTTCGTCGACGATGAGACGATCAAGTTGAAGCAGAAGAAGATCAAGTAGCCTGTAAATAGTCATCGATGTGCTAACGTGCCAAGTGTAGATTCTTATGAGTGGCGGTAAGTATAGTTTGCTTATGAGAATGGCTGGAATTCATTTTTATTTGTCACGAATGTTCTCATGTTCTCATGTTCATGTTCTCCGGCAAGAAAACCGGCAAGTTACCAGCTTCTTAGTATTATTTTTGAATTATGTCATCTGAACTGATAACCTTGGTGATAAATACTGCCTTCAACACTGTTTCTGTAAAGTAAGACTAGGCATGCGTCGATTGCACCTACTTGTTTCAGATTCAATGGCCAAGAGAACCTGAAACAGAGCGAAAATAATACCAGATGCTGAAATACAAGCTGGTGTGGCTACAGTGTAATGAAGAGCTGAAGACAGGTTGTCACACCAAAACCGGGATAAGGGAATTCCAATACGCACCTTCTTGAAGCCAAACCATTCCATTACTTTTCTCAATACGGTTTTTCTTACACAATGACGTGTAGGTAGCAGCTATGGATCCTTCAAGTCTAGAAATGCGGCATGATTAACGACAACATCTCAATTTCGCCATAAACCAATATATCCTACCTTAAACCCGTATTTCATAAACCAATACTACCCTAAACCCGTATTTCATAAACCAATACTACCTTAACCCGTACACCCCATAACACAGAATTCTGCATACCTCAGCCAACTTTACTACCTCAAGCCATTTCTATCCATACTCAGAAGTTGTCGCGCGCGCACCAATACACTAGAAAAAAACCACTTCTCACCACATCTTTTTCACCATCAACTATGGCACGGACTTTCTGGTTGCAGCACGGCTTGAAAGCTGCCGGCGGGCTCAGAAACATTGTCTTTTCTCGCGGCGCTGCCCGCATCACATCCATCCATGCGGTTCCGCTGACCATCACTCCCAAGCCTGAGATCAACCACTCGTTGGCGCTTTCCAACCAAAGAAAGTCGTTGTTGGAGAGACCAGGTCTTCTTGGCATTAAAAGAGACATGATTACGTGGTTCACGGAGAGCGGCGAGCAGTTTGGCGCCACGGTGATCGAAGTGGACTCGTGCGAGGTGATTGCCAACAAGTCGGTGGAAAAAGACGGCTACTCGGCGGTTTTGATGGGCCAGGTCGACAAGTTGAAGAACGTCTCGCGCTACCACGTGAAGCTCTGCTCGGACGCCGGCGTGTCGCCCAAGGCCAAGTTCGGCGAGTTCCGTGTGAGAACAGACGACGGCATTATATCTCCAGGCACCGAAATCACCGCCGACTATTTCGCGGTGGGCCAGCTTGTGGACGTTAAAGCCGTTTCGAAAGGTAAAGGTTTTGCTGGTGTCATGAAGAGACACGGCTTCAAGGGTTTGCGTGCCACACACGGTGTTTCTGTTTCCCACAGATCGGCTGGTTCCATGGGTGCCACCCAAGACCCAGGTAGAGTTTTGCCGGGCAAGAAAATGGCCGGTCGTATGGGTGGGCGCAATTGCACAGTGTTCAACAACGAGGTTTTGCACGCGGACGGCGAGGCCGGAATTTTGGTGGTCAAGGGCCAGATTCCGGGACCAAAGGGCTGTTTTGTCAAGGTTGCCGATGCGAAGAAGCTCTACGGCAAGTCTTTGCTTCAGTTGAAACAGTAGATCATGTACATAGTCAGGAACGGAGTCACAAGAACGAATTGTAGAAGAGAACTTACGATGAGAAAATGGCAGAATACAAATAGGGCCATCACACATTAAATACTTCATTCCGGCATCACGCTTTTAATACTTCATTAGGGTATCACGCTTTAAATACTTCATTCCGGCCAACACGCTTTTATTATTTCATTCTCCTAACTAGCGGCCCGCTACTAGCAATTCATGCAATCCACTTTCTTACAATTGTTCTGGCCTCAGCACAACCGCAAGAAAATGGGCTAATCATAAATGATTTAGCACATGGGAGAGTTCCAAAAAATGAAAAAAAACACCATTAGCAAAGACAGTTCCCGGATGGTTCTGGTAAAAGGCAAGAACCATGTACGCTTAAGAAACTGATCTTCTGGCGTCATCGGCCAAAAAAATGCGAAGCCTGCTCTTATATAGTATGTTCGTGTGCGGGTAACCCTGCTATCGTTATAGTGCAGATAGGTGAATCTGAGAGCAAAAGGTGCATATTAGTCCATACAGGCACAACATTCGGAATCATAGATGTTTAGAAACACAGACTTCCACATACTGGATTATTGACTACTTATGGAATGAAGTCAATGACAGATTGGGCTATTAATGATCTGTAGCCCTACTTGCGGATATTTTGAAAAGTCAATTGTCAAGGAAGAATTTCAGACAAAAAGTGACCATAAAACAGCATTAGCGGGCCGATATTTATCATGTTTTTCGTAGGCTATTTAACCAAGGCCGGTACATCGGCTGGTGGTGTTAGATTTTGCAAAAGTCGATCGGAAGGTGACATTTAAAGCTTAGTATCACATTTGTTATACTCGAAATCCAATTAAGAATATGGAACACGGACGAAGACATCCTAGAGATCTTACACTAATGTTTCTTTACCTACTTTTTGGATTGTATGGCCAGGTCCACATCTAGAATCACATAGGCCAATATGCATGGCTTGCCGACTTACTTGAATTGCCCAAGCCAGACTTAAATTGTCCAAGCCAGACATACTTAATTGTGATTTGCTAGTTACTAACCCTTGCCCACTTCCTACACTTTGCATACATCTATCGTTTCATATATACAAGCCATATCAGTTTGTTCTAGTCAAAACCAGGTGGGTCAAGAGCTCCAAGGCCAGACGAGCGTCCAGCTCGGGCAAAACACGCAAGCTGGTCAATGCCCGGTTGCAATAGTCCTGTGCCATTTTGCGTGTCTGGGCCACGCCGTCGTAGCGTTCTACAGCCCGCCGAGCAATCTCCACGTCGCCCGGCTCGGAAAACTTTCTCGCAATGAGCGCACCCAACTTTGGTTCTTTGCGCCATGCAAACAAAACCGGAGCCGTGGCAAGCCCCAACTTCAAGTCGGCCTGGCTGGGTTTCCCGAACGCCGCGTCGGATGAGGTGTAGTCCAACATGTCGTCGACAATCTGGAAACACAAGCCCAAGTTGCGGCCAAAGTCGTAGCACAGATCCACAACGTTATCTCTGGCGCCGCTTAAAACAGCAGCAGACCGCGCCAGCTTTGACATCAACGACGCAGTCTTGAGGTATGTTTTGTGCAAGTAGTACTCGAAGGCCGCGTCGACGTTGGTGTCGTGGGAAACCTGGCCGTTTTCGCCCAGCTGGCCCGGACTGGCGACAGAGTATTCGTGCTGCTCCACTGGGACTTTCCCCGTTGGCGTGGGGACAACTTTCTCGTCGCCGTCGTTGTTGACGGTCTTGTCGTCGGTGAGGACGGTGTTTTTCAACTGCATGAACTCACCTTCCACCAAGTTGGCAATGGAGGTTGAAATCAACTCCACCACCTCGGGATTGCGCAAGCGGGAAATGGCCACAGACGCACGGCCCAACAAAAAGTCGCCGGCCAAAACCGCCATTTTGTTGGTGAAGGCAATGTTGCCGCTTGGCCTGCCTCTTCTAGCGTCAGACAAGTCAATCACATCGTCGTGGAGAAGCGACGCCGTGTGGATCATCTCCACAATCTCCGCCAAGCGCCGCTGCTTGGGCAAAATTCCGTTGGCCGCATCAAGCTCGGGCAACCTGTCCAAGGGCTTGGACAAGGGGTCCAAAATGACCCGCGGATTGATGCCGTGCAAAATTGCCAAGGGCGAAATGGACTCGTTTGGCAGCTGCCCGGCCAACACCGTTTCCTGGGGCGTTCCCGGGTACACGGGCTGGTCCGTGACGTCCAAGTAGTCGATGGGAACACGGTCCCGCTCCTCGATGGGAATTGCCAGCAATGCTTTGGAAAGAAGCAACACAATCAACGGCCTGACATTCTTTCCCTCGGCCTCGAAGTAGTAGCTCGACACACGATTGAGCGTCGGGTGGCCCGACCCGATCAACTGCGCAATCAGCTTGGCCATGTTGGACATTTCATGCGAGACGATGGAAAACGGGTCTGAGAAGGCCAGTTTCCGCGGCTGCACCATTTTCTCTGCCGCTTCCACGGCGGCCGGGAATGTGTTTGTGTGCACAGAGCGAACGGCGCTCGCAAGAAGTGGCGAGAGCCGGAAATTGCGCGGTCTAAAGTGGCTCATGGTGCTGGGGCCAGATTGGTTTTTGGCTTTTTGGCGAGTAGGTGTGACGATGATGGAGGTACGGGTGCAGGCATGTGCCCACTGCTGTTTTTGCACTCGGACGAGGTTTTGAGGGCGGAAAAGGCCGGAGGATATTCCTGGACGATAGAAGGTTGCCATTTGGGTCCTGGATTGGTTTCCTGGCTTGAAATGGCGCCGTTGGCAATGGTGGGTGTTCTATACTATATGCAGGATATATTCACAAATGATTAAGGTCTGTGTTTTCGTGATGTCATTTGGCTAGCTATTGAAGGTGCATTCAGATATACTAGTCCCCCTACGGCATTGGGCAGTGATGCTTGCTCAAAGGAGTTTGCAAGAAATTCATTGGATGGTTTGCCATGCGTACTGCACAATGGCCAAGTGTACCATGACGTTTCATACGTGTTCACACTTGGATTATCATGAGATAATGACCGTGAGAGATTTTTTTTTTTTGATTCGATGTGCTCTAAGTTTTTAGTTACGTACTGGAAAAGCATGTTGGAATTATTTTTTTCTCGCGATTGCCAACAACGTAAAATTAAGCAAGAATCTATATAGCATTCTTGGAGTACGGACAATATTACTGTCTCTGATTGAAGTTGGGGCCCCCAAAAAATTAAGAGATGGAGAATTCTGTCCAATTTGTTATGGAGTATCATTTGATGTAACTTTGAAAAACAATCATGTAACCATTCAAAATGGTATTGGCACAAATACTTTTAACAAAGAAACAATAGTGATTAAGTCTAAGACTTTAGAAGACTAGATTTCAAGTAATGTCGTACTTTATTTAGAAGTTCATTTCTAGTTCATTTTGGTTGCTCTTTTTTTTTTAGTTCCGTTTAGTTCATTTCAAGTCCACTTTAATTGCTCAGTCCATTCTTCCGTCCATTCTTCCATCGTTACATTGCTGTTCCTCATTCTTTACTTCTTCCTTTAGTTCTCTATTGAAATACACGCTACATTCTTCCCAAAAACCACCACAACCTGCTCACTCGTAGAGTTCCTTTTGTGATGGCGACAAGTTGGCAAAAAACACATCAGGCGGAACTAGGGCGCCAATACTGCGATGTGCCTGCAAGTTCAAGTACGTCAAGCCAAGCAAGTAGCTCGCATTGACCCAGCCAAAACCTTCGGTGGCCACACCCTTGAAGTCCGCGCCTTGATTACCGTACTCAGCGTCAACTTTGTGGGGCACAGCGCCCTTGATAACATTATACTTCTCCACCACCACACCATTGTAGTCAACAAACGCACGAGTCATCATGAATAACCAGCGGTATGCCCAAACGGCGCGCGGCACCTCCGGTAGTGGTAGTTGCTGAGGCCGATCCATGCCAACATCTGGTGTGGAGCCCATGCGTACGGGTAGTTCCCATTGGCGCGAAGGCCGGTTGATGGAGACTTCGCCACGAGACGCAAGCGTACCTGAGACCAAGCCGCCAGCCTCTTCGAACTTGCAGAGCGAGTTCTTGACAAGCTTGTCGGCCTGGTCCTCCGATGCTGCGCCGGCCCACAAGGGCCAGAAACATGTGGCAGATTCGTACTTGTTCTGCTGCTTCTCGCGAACGTGGTAGTCATAGTAAATGCTATCCTGCTCATTCCACAAGTACTTGGTCATGTTCACCTTTCTTTGCGCAGCACGCTTTTCCCATTCCTCTGGCTTTTCGACCGTGCCCCACGGCGTTGCCAACTCGCCTCCAAAGTGTGTGCGGATAAAGTCGGCAATATCCACTTCATACTTGTAGAGCAAAGAGTTCAAGTCCACTGTGGCCAAGTACGCAGCCTTTCCTTCAAGCCGGTACGACGTATCGTGACCAGATTCACGCACAGCACGATCGTGCAAAAAGTACTCGTCAAGCGCCGGTTCATGCAACTCGTGGTTGTTGTAACGTTCGATGAACTCGGCCTGTGAAATGCCGTACTTCTCGACGTATGGCCGCAATACAGCATCGAAATGCGACGCCTCGGTTTCCGGTGGCACGCCGGACCCTTCTGGATGGTAGCAGGAGAGACCAGTCTCCTCATCAAGACGCGGAACAGCACACCACACAGTATTGTATTCTTTGATTGCAGCCAAAGTGGCCCTCTTCAAGAAGTCAGTCATATCCTTAGTGCTGGTAGGACTCACCTCAAGCGTCTTGTCGTAGATGCGACGCGCCATGTCTGTGAGGAAAGGTGGCTGTGAACGTCCCAAGTAGTACAGTCTGTTTGCGTTCAAGATCTTGTGGTAGTGGTGGATTTCATAAATGAAGTTTTCCGTCATGCCTCTGGCCAAACGCAAATTCGTTTGTGCTGCAGGTGTGACGTCTAGCAACAAGCCAAGAACCATCATGTACGAGTCCCAGCCGTACAACTCGTTGAAGCGGCCACCCGGAACCACGTACGGCTCGTTCAAGAGATTGGTTGGATCATTTGGGTCCTGTTTTGCCTCGAGCGCCAAGAGACCCGGCCGCTTGTTGATGGAGCGAATATACTCGGCGTCCATCTTCTGCGGCAACTGCTGGACATCTAGCCCGAGCTGCGGGTTCTGGTCGCGGATGGAACAGAAATACCGGAGCTGGTCCGGCCGGTCATAGGGCACGTAGATACGGACACTTTCCGTACGCACCACTCGTCCCGACGCGTCGACGTACTCGTCGCAGATCTTGGTATCGCGGGCCATATCGGCGATGTTTTCCGGCGTGACTTTGCGGGTGAGAGCTTTCCAAAACAGGCCCAGAATGAGGCGGCGCATGCGGGCCACTGGGTTTTCCTCCAAGCGGCGCTCGTCCAAGATCATCTCGCGCCGGCCAAACCGCTTGGCAATGGTCAACTCTTGCAAGAGGTTCAGAAGCATGTATGTGCCCCGGACCACTGCCTGGCGGAATCCGTTGGAGTTGGCGGTTCCGAGCCGCAAAACCTTGGGCCCCGTGTCCTCGATGGTGATCTGGTAGTTGTGGTCGGTGTCCTCGCTCTGCAAAAGCTGCTCCAACGTGTCGTCTATGGAGGCAATGTAAAACTGTCTGGGCGCAGTCCAGCGTTCGTCAAGCAGGCCCCTGCGGCGAAGCGGGCCCGGCTCGAACTTCTCTGGAGGCCCCGGGTCCTCATGGATCGGAACAATCAGCCCGCGGCGCAACTGCGGCGGCTCAGGCGTCCCCGAATGCGAGCGAAGCGGTTCGGAAACGGAAAACGTCCGGGTCCGCCCGGCACGCGAGCTTTTTGGTGCCGCAATGGGGTTTGTGTTGGCGCCGTAGTAGTCTTCAGGGGCGCCGAACGGATCAATGTCCTCACTGGCGTTGCGGCGGTGCACAGACATGGGATAAGGGATATGGGGTTAGGTTGAGATGGATCGAAAGGTGTTTGTGGCGGGCGGGGATATGTGGTTTCAAAAAACAAACGGAACAGGAAGACGTGTTTGTGGATTTTTAATTTCAAAGGATTGCTTGTTTTGCTTGTGTGGGTTTCAGTTTTGTCGCCGCTTTCTCTACTACTTTGCTACTTTCATCTTCCGCCAGACTGGCTTTGCTTTATATCTGTGAATGCGCGGGGGAACTGTCTGCAGGAACAAACAAACATCGACTTCGATTGGATTCGATTGTGCTATGATTAGAAAGGTGCACAAAGGAAGGAGGGCCATTTCTCATGTTTTTGCAAAGTCTTGGAGAATCGTCTACTTTGCTGGATTGTTTTCTTTTCAAATTACCTGCCTCCAGTAACTAATTCCTGATGCGTCTCATGGTTCGCATTGGCTCAGGTGATAGCGGAAAAACTCTGGATTCGCAATAATAGGGCCATTTATTTTTCTCTGCCAGCGTTTGTATTCTGCAAGTGGCGAATGTGCAATCGCCGATTGAAATCGTAATTTAGTGCCATGGCCAGTGCTTTTGATTATGGCGCTTGCTGTTTTTATCGTGACGTCACGGTGTGAATATGGATCCGGGTAAGAAGGGTCTATGACACAATCAAACCCTCGTCAGTGGTCTAATCTGCACCCCAATCTGACATGCCCACCTCTCGTATCAGGACAAGATCTCCAGGCAACAGTAGATTTGTGTATGGCTTCTCATTGGACAAAATCCAATTAGTATTTAAATCGACTAGCTGGCGTTGGTGTTCAGTAATTGAAATTGCAATGGGGATGTGAAATCAAGGGTCGATACCAATTAGATAACATGAACTTTGACTTAACATATGCGTCTACTGAGTTAACAAGCTTGTAAAACTTTGGTTGAGAAAGCTATAGCAAAATGTTTAAATACAGAGTTGATCTCTTCGCTATCAGCACTTTGCTTAGAAGCTTTTAACCTAAAGAAGTCCAATTACTTATAGGTCTAAAGTTGCGGAATACATTTGATCGAAATAAAGCCATTCTATGCGTTGACCCATTGAATATCGAATGTGACTATTAGTTATGTAACGGTTTCACAGAACAGTTGAGATCTTAGGCATTGAAGCAAATGGGCACCACCAAGAAAATGGCGAAACGAAACTTCTAAGTCCATCGAAAAGTACTGTTGACCTATACAATACTTGCGGTAACCAATCGTTTCTCATGCTTTTAGATCTTATTCTTTTGAACTGTTGGACATGAACAATATTCCCGATAAATGGTTTCAACGCAATTGAAATGATCAATTGGACAGGTCTTAATCGAACATAATCACTCCATTCATGTACCAGAGACGTTTTGAATCCAAAAGAGCCATTTCGATACAAACCACTAATTCTGCCTTCAAATGTTCGAAGTGCTTTTGAAACACAGCTTCTCATTCTACTTATTACAACTCTTCGGATCCAATCACGATGCTTACAGCAATGCAAATGCAAATAGTAGTACGAGTAATGCTCATATGTCCCACTGACATGATGAATATCATACTTCTTCCTGCTATGATCACCAAACTAATAGATCCGTCTTCTTTTCCATTCAAATTGAAAATGGCTAGACCAAGCTTCCATAAGCTTCCCTTTCCAAATTCTATTTCTTCAAGCCCTTCCCAATAAAGCTTCCCCAAGCTTCCTATGCTGTTTCCACACCCGTACATCCCGTCATCCCGAGGACCCTTCAAACCAAACTACATCGGCAACGGGTGGATCCGAAGCAGATGGCTCCTTGACGGCACCCACGTGACGAGTCCAAAGTCCGGAGGCGGGGCAGAGCCACATACCCAAAGAAATCTTTGGTAGGTGGGAATCCTGGGGTATAGTGGTGTACGGGTGTCTCTCCCCGCCTTGTCGGACTTTTGAAAAGTCCGAGCAAAAGCCATGGCGAAAAAATCTCACCAAGGAAAGACCCGGAAGGCGTGAGCAGAATTTCCAGAGCGTTCCGGGCCCCAGAAGCACATGGGCCAGAGCTAAGCCAACCAAAAACGGCTTTTTCCCGGGTTTTGTCGGACAAAGGGCAATTTCCCCGGAGACCCGGGCAAAGTGGGGACTTTCGCACATGCACGCGGCACATCGCATTTCTGGGGATGATATAAATACTCCACTCTTTCCTGTTCTTGCTGTTGGTTTTTTGACACGCCCATTTCGTTTGCCGAGCCAGTGTGTATCCCCTTGAATCCCCTGCTTCTCTCGAATTAGCATATACTCTCACTTTGAAGAGTCCTTGAAATTTTACCCCCATTTATCCCTATACTTTATTTCTCCCCTAGATCAACATGGTGAAAGTTACAGTTTGCGGCGCCGCTGGTGGAATTGGCCAGCCCTTGTCGCTTTTGCTCAAGCTCAATCCGCAGGTGTCGGAATTGTCGCTTTTTGACGTTGTCAATGTGCCCGGTGTTGGCGCTGACTTGAGCCACATCAACTCCGGTGCCGTCACCAAGTCCTTTTTGCCCTCGTCCAAAGAGGACACCACCGCATTGGCCGGAGCGCTCAAAGGCTCCGACTTGGTGGTGATTCCAGCTGGTGTGCCTAGAAAGCCAGGCATGACCCGTGATGACTTGTTCAACATCAATGCATCCATCGTGCAAAGCTTGGCCAAAGGCATTGCTGAAAACGCTCCACATGCATTTGTGTTGGTGATTTCCAACCCTGTCAACTCTACCGTGCCTATTGTCGCTGAAACATTGAAAAAATACAACGTGTTCAACCCTTCGAAGTTGTTTGGTGTCACCACCTTGGACATTGTGCGTGCCAACACATTTATTTCTCAATTGTTCCCTAGCGACACCAAACCTACAGACTTTGAGGTGCCTGTCGTCGGTGGCCACTCGGGCGAAACCATTGTGCCATTGTACTCTCTCGGTGCCAAGTCTTACTACGACAAGTTGTCTGACGAACAAAAGAAGGAGTTGGTGCACAGAGTCCAGTTTGGTGGAGACGAAGTTGTCCAGGCAAAGAATGGCGCTGGTTCTGCCACTTTGTCCATGGCCTACGCCGGCTACCGCTTGGCCGAGTCCTTGTTGAAGGCATTGAGCGGTTCTCTGGTGACTGAATGCACTTTCTTGTATTTGGACTCTTCCATCAAGGGCGCAGACGAGGCCAAGAAGTTGGTCAAAGGTCTTGATTTCTTCTCGTTGCCATCCACTTTGGGCAAGGGCGGTATCTCTTCCGTGGACTACACAGTGTTGGAAAAGGCCAACTCCGAGGAAAAGAAGTTGTTGGAGGTTGCCATTGAGCAATTGAAGGGAAACATTGCAAAGGGTGTTTCTTTCGGAAAGTAGGTTAGTAAAAGTTCTGCGTCAATAAAGAAATGCCAAAGCTTACGATTTTGCATTGTATTACTGAGTTCAAATTCAAATGGGAAGAGCATCAGTTTGTAGGGAAGTTCGACATGTTCTCAGTACGGCAATTTGTTACTGCTACGAAAATTCATTCGAAGATCGGCCACTTTAGGTTCTAAATGAGGTTTCGAATATCGGAGAGCCTCGGACCTTTAGGGTTCATCAGTCTGAAAACGGTTATGATTAGAAACTCTGCTCGGGTTTGGAATGATGCAATTGCCTGACGTGACAGATACCCGATTAGATAGCCATGCTTCTAATTGTAGAAAGAGTACTGTGACGCTTTTAACGAAGCAATCAGTTAGAAGCTTTCAAAGAAAGACGCAAAACGCCAGAAACATAGTCTGTGCAAATTATTACGGTTTGGAATAAAAGTAAGTTTCTTTCTGCCTGGCACTGAATTACTTGTCGTTTTGTGAGTCTTTGTGAGTCTTTTGAGTCTTTTGAGTCTTTTGAGTCTTTTGGGCTTTTGAGTCTTTTGAGTCTTTAGTGACTCAGTTTCCTACTTGAAGTACTTGGTGGCCGTCTAATAGTTAAGTTCTGTCTCATGACTAATGTATAAGAATTTGGCGTTATTCTTGCAATATCACCCAGTTCGCACAGATTGCTCAAAAACAAGAAAGTTCATCGAATACCCATTGCAATCCACATAACAATATCAGGATATCGAAGAGCCAGAGGCCAAATCGGAGTGTTGCCTAGGCTGATAAGGTGATTTGAACACAGAGAGAACTTTGACAGCACAATTGATGGATTGATCTTTGGGAACTAGAAATCTAAACTATAGTAGCCATAAAGGTTCATTACAGATTTTACATATTAGGGTAACACCAAAATACTAATTTGGGGTCTCAACTGCATCATACGTAACAACAAGTTCTCTAACCAATAAGAGGTGAACAGATGTCAAATCACAATTGGTGCTTGTTCTATTCGTACTGTTTGAAAACAATAACCTTGCCTCAAAAGTCGTTGCTTTCAACTTGAATGGCACTTGCTCCATTTTTGCTCTAATCAGATTATTGGTCATCGACAGAAGCCTAACTAAGACGAACACATAAGTCACTTCATTCAACTTTCCTCATAGGCCACAGAATTTCAATCAGAAATTATTACATGCCTGGTTTGCTCATACTGATTTACGATCGATCTTCCAAGTTTGAAAGTCATTTATCCAAACTAGCTAATACGAAAGCAAAGTGATCCTCATGAGTCTGTATTTCTCGTGCTCAAGTTGCTTGTATCTTTATCTGGTTGCTTGTATCTTTATCTGGTTGCTTGTATCTTTATCTGGTTGCTTGTATCTTTATCTGGTTGCTTGTATCTTTATCTGGTTGCCTGTATCTTTATCTGGTTGCTTTGTATTGATGTTGAGACCAGCATAGATATTGTAGAGACATTATCAGGCCAAGTCACCAAAAAGCATACAGAATGTATATCTATGGAACTTACGCGAAAGACATGTGGCCAAAGATGGAATCCACCGCACCTCTAACAAATGACTAAAGGGCCCGCACTTAACGGTCAATCAAGAAGAGAAAGAAAATAGAGAATAAGAAGCAAGCGAAAAATAGAGAAAAAGAAGTAAAATAAGGATAAAAGTCGACGACCAAAGTAATAAAGTATTCTTCGAAGCAAAAGTAATACTACATCGGCTGTCTGCCTAACCCAACATGGCGACAATGGAGATTTTTCTACGCGAATCCAAAGATCTTGCACATTGGTTGGCGCATCAAATCGTGGTCCCTGGGTCGCACACGACCGTTTCTCTTGTTTAATAATCTAGCTGTCGCTGCTATAACAACTCTCTACCCATACCAGAACCAGCTTGCGCAACTGCCATTGCAAAGAAGATAGGTATGTTATTTTCGATTCACACCGCCTAAAATTTCCCATTTGCCTCTTTCCAGCGTCGCATTTCTTTTCTGTGCTTTTTTTTTTTCCCTTGGGGGTACGTTCTATAAGAGCATGCGCAACATAGAACTGGGCTTGTTCACAAGAGACAAGACACGGGAAAAAGGAACAGATTGTGGTTTTTCTTCTCGTTCGACAAATTACTAACATTCCCAGGAGACCGAAATAACTGCTTGTCTTTGCTTTTCTGACTTTGCTTGCCGTTGTACTTTGAATAAATCTTCTACTGCTGTCAAACAATGGAGGCCATTCTAGACTTCTCTCGGGAGCTTGATCTCGACTTGTTCGATCTGGTAGTGGAGACTTTCTACAAAAGTGGTCCCGACCAGCAGAAGGCGCTGGTGATTTTGACCCAGTTCCAGGAACATCCCGAATCGTGGAAAAGAGCCGATGCCATTCTTTCGTCGGCAAGAAACGCCCAATCCAAGTACATTGCGCTATCCTGCTTGAACTCGTTGATCAAATACAGATGGAAAACGATTCCAGAGGGCGAACGAGTGGGCATCCGGAACTTTATTGTCAACATGATCATTGCATTGTGTGACGACGAAAAAGTGTTTGAAACTGAACGAGCTTTGATCAACAAGATTGACTTGACCCTTGTTTCTGTCTTGAAGCAAGAGTGGCCACATAACTGGCCTCAGTTCATTCCAGAAATCGTCAAGAGCTCGCGTTCTTCGTTCAATGTCTGTGAGAATAACATGATCATCTTGAAGTTGATGGCTGAAGAGGTTTTCGATTTCTCCCAGGACGAAATGACACAGGCCAAGGCAAATGCCATGAAATTGAGCTTGAAGGCCGAGTTTGAAGAGATCTTCAAGTTGTGCTACGAGATTTTGGACAAGACAACAAAACCCTCGTTGATTATCGCCACATTGAATGCTCTTTTGAAGTACATCCACTGGATTCCTTTGAACTACATCTTCCAAACAGACTTGTTGCCTTTGCTCACCAATAAGTTCTTGGCTCCTGCCGATACCAGGTCTATCACTTTGAAATGCTTGACCGAAGTTTCCGCATTGATATCGCCTCCAAACGAGGAAAAATTCATTGCTTTTTTCCAAGCAACTATGGAGAAAATCGTGGCTATAGTGCCTTTGGATGGATCTACGTCTCTCAAGAGATCGTATCAAGTGGCCAACTCCAATGACCAGTCCTTTTTGCAAGATCTAGCCATGTTTTTGTGCACATTTTTGGGAAATCATTTGTTGTCCTTGGAGCAAAACGAGGCATTGACAGACTTATTACTCATTTCCTTGCGCTATTTGATTGAGCTTTCGAGTATCGAAGAGCGTGAGTTGTTCAAAACATGTTTAGACTACTGGAGTCTTTTCGTTCACGGCTTGTTTGAGGAAATTCAGAATTTGCCTGCGAGCGAAATGAGCCCCTTCATGCAACTCAATTACAGTTCTCGTTTGAGACCTTCCGCCAATGGTGCGCCAGATCCAGATATTTTAGCCAAATTCCCATTGAGACAACACAAGTACGCTGAAATCTTGTCAAAGTTGAGATTGGTCATTATCGAAAATATGGCCAGACCAGAAGAAGTTTTGATTGTGGAGAACGAAGAAGGAGAAATCGTCAGAGAATTCGTTAAAGAGAGTGATACCATCCAATTATACAAGTCCATGAGAGAAGTTTTGGTGTACTTGACACATTTGAACGTGGTTGACACCGAGCAGATCATGAATGAAAAATTGGCTAGACAGATAGATGAAAGTGAGTGGTCGTGGCACAACATTAACACTTTATGTTGGGCCATTGGATCCATCTCAGGAACCATGAATGAGGAAATGGAAAAGCGGTTTCTTGTTTCTGTCATTAAGGATTTGTTGTCCTTGACTGAAATCAAAAGAGGAAAGGACAATAAGGCCGTTGTTGCATCCAACATCATGTACATTGTCGGGCAATATCCAAGATTTTTGAAAGCTCACTGGAAATTCTTGAAGACCGTGGTCAACAAGCTTTTCGAGTTCATGCATGAAACCCACGAGGGTGTCCAAGACATGGCGTGTGATACATTTATTAAAATCACAATGAAGTGCAAAAGACATTTTGTTGTAACGCAACCATCGGAGAAGGAACCTTTCATCAACGAAATCATCGCCACAATCCAGAATATCACTGAAGACTTGGCACCACAACAAGTGCATACATTTTATGAGGCGTGTGGTATAATCGTCAGTGCACAGACGCAAAAGGAAGCTAGAGATAAGTTGTTGAGCGATTTGATGGCCTTGCCTAATGTCGCCTGGACTGCTATAGTACAAGAGGCTGCTAAGGATCCGCAATTGTTGACTAATACAGAAACCGTCAAAATCATTGCCAACATCATTAAAACCAACGTGGCTGTGTGCAAAGCAATGGGACCAGGCTTCTACCCCCAACTTGGCTTGATGTATGTTGATATGTTATCTCTATACAAAGCTGTCAGCACAATGATTTCCAACGCCGTTGCTAGCGAAGGAATCATTGCCACCAAAACACCAAAAGTCCGTGGATTGAGAACAATCAAGAAGGAAATCTTGAAGATGATTGAAACTTACATCAATCAAGCAGACAACTTGGAGGAGATTGTTAGAGATCTCTCTCAGCCTCTCTTTGCTGCTGTTTTGGAAGACTACAAAACTAATGTGCCAGATGCTAGAGACGCAGAGGTGTTGAACTGTATGACTGCATTGGTTTCCAAAGTGGGCCACATGATTTCAGGTGGTGTTGTGCTTATTCTTCAAAACGTGTTTGAGTGTACTTTGGACATGATTAAGAATGATTTTGTGGAGTATCCCGAACACAGAATCGAGTACTACAAGCTTTTGAAGGAAATCAACGCCAAGTCATTTGATGCATTGTTGCAATTGTCGGGAGAAGCATTCCAATCTTTGATCAATGCTGCATTGTGGGCGTTGAAACACAACAACAGAGATGTGGAAGAAAATGGATTGTTCTTGACGTTGGAGTTGATCGAGAATGTCGAGAAACTAGGCACCACTCCATTCACTACAGCATTCTATCAGAACTTCTACTTCCAGATTTTGTCTGATACTTTCTACGTCTTGACACAGCCTGACCATAAGTCTGGTTTCCGATACCAGGCACAATTGCTTGCGCAGTTGATCCATTTAGTCGAAGATGGTGTGATCAAGGAGCCATTATATACTGCGGACCAGGCCGCTGAAGGCACGTCAAACTCAGAATACTTGAAGCAGTACTTGGCCAACTTGTTGTCTGGTGCGTTTGAAAACTTGCAAAAGGACCAATTGGTCAACTTTTTGAGCGTGTTGACATCTGTGTACAAAGACTTGAACAAGTTCAGCGGTACCTTGAGAGATTTCCTTGTGCAAATCAAGGAATTTGGTGGCGATCCAACGGATTATCTTTTTGCTGAGGATAAGGAGATTGAGAAGCAGGAACAAACTAGATTACAGAGAGAGAGAGACATGCAAGTTGCAGGGTTGATCAAGCCATCTGACATGGATGACGAATAGGCGCTATCATGAGCGTATTCTATATAGTAGAATGGATTTGCAATAAAGACTGGCACAAAAAAAGAGACAACGATTCAAAACTTGAGATTTCGCGCGGCAATATCCAGATGCAAATTCACAAGCGAATTGTAAGTAGGCCAGTCATCCATCCAATGTGCCGTTTATAGCTTTGAAAAATTTCCACGGTATATCCTTCAGATCCAAGAGACCGTACCTTGAAAAAATTATTAAACTATGAGCATGCCTTCATGTGCCCTTCTTTAATCTTCTTTCACCTGAGACTCGCATTGGGCGTGCGCGCACCACAATCTTGCCTGGGACAGAAAAAAATAACCCAATACATATAGCCGGTTCTTCACCCCTCTCGTAGAAAACAAAAGTCATGTCTGCAGAAGAAACCAAACCAAAGGTCGAAGAATCCACACCTCAACCTCCTACTTCCAGCGTCTTCCTGATGTTTGGAGCCAAGAAGGAAAAGAAGGAGGAGAAGGAAGAAAAAGAGGAAAAAGAAGACGCCAAGCCTTCGAGCGAGAAGAAGACCGACTCTGATAACGAGGCCGAAGAAGAGGAAGTCGATGTCCAGTTTGAGCCTTTGGTGCATTTGGAGAAGGTCGAAGTCAAGACCCACGAAGAGGACGAAGATGTTGTTTTCAAAGTCAGAGCCAAGTTGTTCAGATTCCACGCCGACTCGAAGGAATGGAAGGAAAGAGGAACCGGAGACGTCAAGTTCTTGAAGCACAAGACCACAGGCAAGACCAGAATCTTGATGAGAAGAGACAAGACATTGAAGATCTGTGCCAACCACTTGATTGCTAAAGAATACGAGTTGAAGCCAAACATCGGCTCCGACAGATCTTGGGTCTACTCTGTGACTGCCGACGTTTCTGAAGGTGAGCCTGAGGCCCAGACTTTGGCCATCAGATTTGGTAACAAGGAGAACGCCGACAAGTTCAAGGAATACTTTGACAAGGCCAAAGAGGAGTCCAAGTGATGGTGATGGATTCTAGGTGCAAAAGTGTATAGATTAATGAATGATGCATCAACATGTTACCGTGAAGAACCTGTCCTAGGTATGGGCGGCGTTATCAATCTAAAGATCGTTTGACTTCAGAAACGAAGTTTGTGTTGTAATCTTAAATAAAGTGGGTTGTTTCTTCAGACATCTGAATTTGGCTACAGACAAGTTTCGCGAATCACGACAGAAGAAGTAAGTAGCCGATATAAGCTGGTGAAGCAAATATGGAAAGTTTACTAGTGATACTGAATATATTGGAATGAAAATGAGTTTGAGAGTTCCCGTTTAGTTAAAGGATACTCCTGAAGTCCTAGTCAGTAAGCTCTTAGAATTGAAAAACTTTTTCAAAGTTGTAGAATCGATATAGGAACGGTGGTGCCCATATTACAAAATGTGGAACCGTTACTGTTACCGAATGTGAGTTCGTTCAACAACACCATCAATGAAAATATCGGCAATGTTTGGTTGACCTGTTAATCAAACAAGTTACAAACAGAGAGTAAATTGGTCAGTCGATCAGATGGAGGAAAACACAAGACAAAGAAATAAAATCTTATCAGTTCTGGGTGCAATATTTCGCACACTCCGATCTCTTAATTTCATTGAACACAGAAGGACAGAAGGCAGAAGACAGAAGCTAAAAGATTGGCACATGCATAAACATTGACAAAAAGTGGAGATGTGACACCGCTTCATCAATATAATGTTAATTCTTCTAGCCTAGTTCAATATTGAAGTCATCGCAAGAACTCCGATGCGTATGCTAGAACATTCAGTATTTCGACTTTGATACGAAGCATTCTGGTCTGGTTAGCTCTTGTCTACATTCATTGGCTATCTGTCTTTTTTCCCTCCTTTATCTTTTTCTTTTCTTTTTGCCGTCGTTGCCTTGTTCATTTTATTGTCGTCCTGTCTCGTAATATCCGCACTCCACATCCACGTGGTTTACTATATATATTGTGCTTTTGCCCATTATCTTTGAAGTAGCATGAAGTTCGGCAAATATTTGGCGTCTCGCCAATTGGAACTTCCCGAATACTCGGGTCACTTCATTGACTACAAAGCTCTAAAAAAGCTCATCAAACAATTGGGAATGCCTGCTGAAGGATACGATAGCATATCTCCAATGACTCCAGATCAGGTACAGCAGAAGTTGAAGGAAAACAAGGCGTCGTTTTTTTTCCGTGTTGAGCGAGAGTTGGATAAGGTCAACTCTTTCTATTTGGAGAAACAGGCCAACTTGGCCATCAACTTGGACTTGTTAGTGTTGAAAAAGAACGAGCTTCTAACCAAGAGCTACCAGTTAGCCAAAGATTTGACAGACCCGTCCACCTTGAACTTCAAAAACTCCATCTTGTACTTGAACTTGTACCAGAGCTTCAAGAAGATCCACCAGGACTTGATTCGCTTGCAGCAGTTCATCGAGTTGAACGAAGTTGGCTTTCTGAAAGTCATGAAAAAATGGGACAAACGGTCCAAATCCCACACAAAGGAGTCCTTCCTTCAGACGGCTGTCAATGTCCAGCCCGTTTTCCACAAGAGCGAAATCAACGAACTAAGTGATACTGTTACACTGTCCCTTTTCGACTTGGAGTCTATTGTGGACGGAGACTACTCAGTATTGAACAATTATAAGAATGCTAGAAGTCCGCCTCAGCCCACGAGAAGCTCGTCTATTGTCAAATTGGAGCGTGAGTCCCTTGACCAAGAACAGGAGAAAGATTTCGAGACGGGGTCTTTCAGCACGCCAGTCCTGGATTCCATCACCGGATTCCAGAACAGAGAAATCGACGAGTTGTATTCGAGTTTCGTGAACGTGGCCACCATCAAAGTTCCCGACTTGTCTGTATTGGCAAGGTGGGTGGAAAAAGTCAGATCCACCAATACTGAAGAAGCACGAGCTAACACCAAGTTCAAGCTCTCAAAGATCTTCCTTCTTTCTCTTAGCAACTTGAAAATCTCAGACTCCTTTTTGGAGTCTTTCTTGCATCTCGTGAACCATGACATTGACTTCGAGTTCATTTCCAACGACTTCAACAATAATAAGTCCATGATTCACGAATGCTGTTCCATTCCTCCAGCTTCCACCTTGGAAAGTAATCTGCATGTGATCATCAATAACGGAGTGAAGGTGGTCAATTCCACAGACAGCATAAATCACTCTCGGCTTTTCATCGTGAAACATATCGTGGAGGCACTTTCTCCCGAGGCGCTCTCTAAATTGCTCGTTTGCAAAGATTTCAACGGCAGAACATGTTTGCACTACGCCTCGCAAAACAACAGATTGGATCTTTTGGAAATATTGCTTCCCTACTACCCAAAGTCGCATATTGATGACTTGGATAATGAATCGATGTCTGCATTGCTTTTAGCGATAAAGTTTGACTATTTCAAAATAATCACCAAGCTTATCCAAAATGGAAGCAATTGTTTCCCCGAATTCAGCGAATCAGCTCCTCAATACTTGCCAATTAACTATGCGTGCAAATTTGGAAGCTATGAAACTTTGGAGTTTCTCCTCAGCTCAAGTTCTGCCACACCAGATAAAGTCAACAAACAAGACGTAGAGGGCCTTTTACCCCTCCATGTGATTGCACGGGCCGGAAACTTTAAGCTTATCAAATTATTGTACCATTACGGTGCTAGTGTTAATCAGTTAGATGGACTCAACAAGTGGCCACCGATCTTTTATGCGGCACTGGAGGGACATGTTAAAACTACGAAAGAATTGATCAAGTTTGGTGCCAAGCTTGACATCGTCGATGAAGACGGCTACAATGTATTATATTATTGTGTTGTCGAAGGTCATATCAAGGTGTTGAACCAGCTATTGTCCTACCGGAACTTCAACTCCAGTTCGCCTAATGGTGACACTACGATGAGCTCCGTTTCTCCACTGGAACAAGGTTCCCTTCTGTCTGTAACCCAAGGAGCAGGAATGTCCATTTTTGACGAAGGTGAAGATTCTGAAGACAATGGGCCAATCGACAAGAACGTGGATGCAATTCCACATTTAGAGCTTCCTCCGCCTATCTTGCCATTGCGTCGTTATGGCCACAACTTCTTGGAGCAAAAAGTCCTCATTGAATTGATTTTCCCCAATGATTCAAACTGCATCAACTTGTTCAACTCCGCAACGGATTTGAAGCCGGGACGGATTACGATCACATCCAATATCTCAGACATTGTCCCTAGAAACATTCTTCTTCCAGCAACAGAAGAAAGCAAAGGGACAGCAAATTGCATTTTCCAAACGGATGCAGAATCTTTGAATGAATTCCGTATTGACTTCGAGATTTTCCCTAAATTTGGTACTCGGTTGATCTCGAAGACTACAGCCTTAAACTTTTCCCAAATTGACACATCTTCGCCTGAGATTAACTCCATAGTTTTACCTCTTTTCGACTTGAGACTCAAGAACATCGGCGAACTCAAGTTCAATTATCAGGTCATCTTCCCCTTTTCAGGAACGTTGTTGGAAACTACAAAATACGATACCTACTGGAAATCTTCCACATCATTTGTCAAAAATCGAGCAGTCACTAAATTCAATGCTGCCGGAGGTTTATCACCAAATAACTTCCTATCACCAACAAACATCAACACTAACTTCTCTAACCTCCACAAAAATGGAAACGGATCTCAAGGGCAAGTTCACGAAGCCAAGACTCCTGTCGTTAGTTCGACTTCCTCCTTTGTTACAGCAACATCATTGTCTGGCGATTATTTGAAAATTAAAATCTGTATGCTTAATGACGGAACTCCTGTGGTATGCCCACATTGGGCTATTTCAGTGGCGGAGAATATCGAACTATTTTTGCCCAATTTGTCGTTGGATCAGCTCACTCTGATCACTACCAATTTGTTTGATTATGAGAAAGTCTTGGCCGATTTGAAGGAAATGACAACAAGTGATCTTGGCCTCGTTAAGAAGCTTTTGAAAATCATCTTTCTTCCATTGGAAACCGTGCTTCAATATTTGAACAGCAGCATTAACCTTGCAATTGAATTTGTCTTCCCTTCTCTTTATGAATTGGACAATATTCCATTCGCGGGCAATATTCAACTGAGCCTCAATACTTTTATCGACTTGACGTTGAACCTGCTCTTCAACCACATAAGGTCGCTGAAATTATCACAGACACACGGTGGTCGCTCTTTCATCTTCCTCTCGTCTAACTCCATAATTTGCAAGATTTTGAACTGGAAACAGCCCAACTTTCCCGTGTTTTTGGTTATGAATGGTATTGTTTTCAATAATGCCAAGGGCGTTTTTGAGGCCAGAACGGCGAACGGACTCTTAATGGACGATTTGGAGAACGAAAGTTCTGCCCAAACTCAGCACTTGAATACATCAACACACAGCAGAATAAAGCACCAGCTACTTGCAAATGACCAAGAACTCACTATTAGATCTATAAAGGAGGCGGTGAATTTTACCATTGACAACAACTTGATTGGAATCATTACGTCGATCAATTTGCTTAACTTGGTGCCGAAGCTCATTCCTTTAATCAGATCAAGGGGTTTGATTTTAGTGGCTTCCAATGATTTCCTCGACCCAGAAGGCGATGATGACTTTTCTAACAAAGAGTTGGACACATACAACAAAACGGAGATAAACGGATTAAGGTTTGATGACATGCTTAGCTTCAAAGATAATGCCAATAAGACGCATTGATGTATACTATAGGAATACTCTATACTAACTGCCTAATACACTTTTGATAGTATAAATAATCAGCTACAGCATGTCTAGAAGTGACGTAGTCGAAAGATTTTCTACATGTGGGGACTAACACAAGCTTTCAGTAGCTTAATAGTTGCCTTCAATTTGATGAACAAGAGTAGAAACATGAAGAACACGATCTGCAAATCCTTCTATCTACATAGCAATTAACCGTATCCTTGTCGCATTCTCCACACATATATTAATACTTTAATACTTAAGCAATTGACCCGGAAGCTAGTAATGCCTGCGCCTTGGTGGCGGAGGAGGCGGTGGAGGAGACTTTCGGGGCATAGTCACTTTCCCCGGCATTAGAGTCGATTGTGAATATGCATGTTCCGGGCTAAATGGACTGAGGTTACCGGAACTTCGGTCCTGGGACATATCGGGAGGGAGAGGCGGAAGCCGCTTGTTGAGAAGATACTCTTTTGGTAGATTGAGAAGCACCACAGTGTCTTTAAGTTCCATGCTGGCGCTGTCGTGGCTTTTCTTGGGACTTAAAAACACATTATGGTTGTTGTCTTCAAACATACTCGACAGTGTTTCGTTGTCGTCCGATAAGTTGTGAGATGTGATGCTTTTATGATAGTCATTCTCTGTTGACGTGCGAACAGAAGCCACTTGGGAGAGGAAATGCTGATCAGAGGAGGTGGACTCTTGGATCTTGAGGTTGGCCACACGGTTTGTCAACGACGATGCCGAAGAGACGCTTTCCATGCTTGTATTGGCATTGGACATCAACTTCTCGGCACGGTTGGCCAGTTTGAGCCATGGTATTGAGAGGCACAAAACAGCAAACTTGACGATTTTCGAAGCCTGCTCGAACTGGGCCATGCGGGGCCGTTCCGTCTTGTCAGTTGTATTCACGTCGCAATTGACTACTATGTTCCGAAGCATGTCCACGAGTTCTTTGGCCTTGTAGCCCGGATCTAGCTCACTGATTTGAGAAAACATTAACATAGGATATAGAACCTTGAGGTATGTGAGAGCAAGAAAAGAGTTGCTTGCTTGGTCTTCACCAGTATAGCTCATATCGTTAAGCTCACGGATCATGATGTCAATGAGAATCTTCAAGTCATTGAGGTAAGGAAGTTTTGCGCTGGAAGATGTCGTAAAGATGACATAGAGAAACTTAAGCATCAAGATTTTGATGATGTGAGATTCTTCTCTGTTCATGTGAAACACCAAAAGATTGGTGAACCCACTGATACCATTGACAGAGTCTCTCCTTTGCGCAAGCAAGCCTTCGAAAACTTTATTTTCTTTCACATTGGCCGAGAGCGACATCATCATGTACTGTTCATTGATGAGAAGCAAGAGTTTGAACTCCTCGTAGGCAATAAGGCGCGATTCGTCTTCAAAATCGTCCTCTTCCAAATTATAGTGATTGAAGCTGTCATTGGAAAGCAAGTGGGAAATGAGGGTTGGGATTAATGGAGATTCTGTGAGGGCCTCAAACTCCTCGTCAGAAAGAAGTATAATGTGGTATAGGTATTGGAACACAATATCGCACGAGAACTTGAGAATAACAAACAGCTCATGGCCCGACTCCGAAAGCTCGATCTGCCGTGTGATGAAGTTTCCCATGATCTTGGCGAAACCTAGCGCCCGCAAAGTTTTGAGCAATAGGTTGTGGTCGATGCAAATTCCCGACCTTTGGTCCTCTTTCAACTTCAACAACAAAAGCAAGATGATGAGCACCAACTGTTTCAAGTGTAAAGACTCTTGCGGATCGGCCTGCAAGTTTTCTGAAAGCATATGGATCAAGCCCAATAACTTCCCCACACAAAGACGGATATTCCTCACAAGGAGATTCAGCCGAAGAAGCTTCAATGCAAGAACAGAACACGTGTGGTATGTTTCCTTTTGCACTTTCAACTCGTCCACAATGGCCTTGAGCACCATGGAAAAGTTTGTGTTGCACTCGTTGGGATCGCTGTTGATAAGCAAATGTTCGATTTTCTTATCTATCTCCAGCGAGGCTTCAGCTCGCGGGAACGTGGTGACGGGCATCTGAGCCACCAGCGACATTGGAAAAAGTGCTTTTGGAAAAGTGTTTTCTTGCTTTTTGAGTGGAAGTAGCTTCGCTTTCTCAAAGTCAGATGCTCAATAGTGGTGATACGATAAGTGGGCATGCAGGGACAACCCTGTCTCAGGAAAAGCAAGAGCGGAAGAAGGGAGCACAGAAATAAATAAGAGGTAAGAAAAAAAAGATCAGTAAGAAACGATTAAGCAAAAGAAGCGACTGAAGTTTAAAACGTGGTGAAGTGAAGAATTAGTAGTGATCGAACGGAAAGCATACGTCGCCTTGTGCATAGACGGTGCAGGACAGAACAAAGAAAGAAGAAAGAGAAAAGAAGGAGAATGAAAATTGAAGAAAGAAGAAAAGAGGAGGGAGAAACGAGGTTGAAAGTGAGGCCAAGTAGCAAAGAAAAGAGCCAGGGTATTGCATAAACAATCTTTGGTGAAGAGGTTATCTCACTAGTGATATGCGCACGGCGCACATGAACAAAATGTATTTTTATATTTGAACCAGCTTGCTGATTTTATGTAGTGTACGTAAAAAGCAGGGAAAGATATGAGCTTTATTCAAGACACTTCTATTTCTGGCACTTCCATACGGAGACTCACTATTGCACCACGACCATTTTTCATCGAAACTTCTCTCGAAACTAGTATTACGATACCTGGATTCTAGCTTGTCATCCGTTTATTGGAAATAAAGAATTGTTTTGCAGAGAAGTGCCCAGATGCTAACGCTTACATTCACATTCAGAAGACCACAAACCCTGGCATTTCAGACATTTCTTGCAGTAATCGAGCTGTGTAACCTCCCAAACTCTTTTGGCATTGGTCCAACACATTTATGAGCCCACAGTCTTCAAGTAAACGTCTGTACCCCATCCGTAATATGACTGCACACTCAACAGACCCTTGCAATCTTCTGGGTCCACAGTATCGTTGAAAACCTCAATGTAATTCTTCAGAAGCGGAAGTCCGTATCCCATTCCAGCCACTGTATTTCCACCCACTCCGGGAGGAACATTCAAGGTTTTGTAACTTTCACCCTCACCAGATTCATATGTCGAAAACGAGTAATCAAACATGTGTTTCACAACTTTGGGAGGAATGCCCTTGCCCCGATCCCGAATACGGAGTTCCATGTACAGCGGAGAGTCGCTTGTGGAAATTGTCACCTGGACAGGATCCAAAACGTTATTCTCGATATGTGCACGGAACGAGTTTTTAAACAACTCCTGGAATATGTAGTCCAAATGGTATTCGATGTACGGGAAAATGATAGGGTCCGAGTCATTTTCTTCAATCTTTTCACGTTGGTTCCAAAAGCTGGGGCGAAGGTTGGTGTCGATCTTGATAGGAACAGCCTGGTCGTACTTCATGAGACAGATATCGTTCACAAGCTCTGCGTTTTTCGTAATGACATCACGCATGTTGAGCTGCTTGATTACTCCGTTGTACGGACTGCCTTTGGTGAAGCTTCCCGCCAAGGCGTCAGTGAGCAGAATATGCTGGTGTGCTATAAGCCTCATGCTGATTCTTTCACGCAAGTGCTCGTCCAAAAACGCTTTGATTTGCTCGGGCAGAACCAAATGAAGCACCTCGCCGAAACCCTTTGAAAGAATGGGCAAAGTGTCGGCATGGATGTCGATGAACCGAGCCAATACCTCGTGCCTGAATCGGTCATTTTCGCTGGCGGTGGTGGGCGGATTAAGCGAAGCGTTGAGCAAGATCGACATTGACTGCAAATACATGTTATACACTTCGGAAACAGACGGATTGAGCATCACCAAATAGGGCAAGTTGCGGAATTGACGGATACGCCGGGCGTTATAGGCCAAAAGCGACTCGACCGAGTCCCGAGCAACTTGCAATATGAACACAGAGTTAAGTTTGCGCGATTGTTCATAAAGACCCAGCATTGAAAACTTGGCTAAGGGCTGGCGCGAGTAATGATAGATGAGCCTCTCGAGCGAGGTTCGAATCTTGTATTCTTGGAGGAACGCCTCTTGTTGAGACGACGTATGGCGAATGAAAAAACGGGCAAGTCCCGGTGTGCGCTTTAGCATAATTCAATGTGCTGTGGTTGTGTGGTGGAGCAATATGATATATTGGGTGGGAAAGACGTCACACGAGGTTTCGAATGGAGAAGGCGTTTTCGGATCGCAAATCCCTGGTTTCCGTGGTGATAAGAAAATGTAGTGTGAGTAATCGATCGCGCGATAGCGCATATGAGTATTGAAATGCGGTGGAAAATGGGCGCAAATAGAAAATGAAAAGGGTTGGGGGACAGTCAGTACATTACAAGAGAAATGAATTTGTGATTCCAGAAAAATACTCTTTGCCCTTTCTTTGTATTTCTAGATACTTGGCTGGAAAAACACTAAGCAGAGCCAGAGTATTTTGGCGCAATTGCGTTTTCATCAACTTTTAGGCGTAATAAACATTTGGTATTCCAAGAGAAATTGGGAAATCCCAAAGCAGGAGCTGCTGGGAAAACGAGGGAAGACAATTGAATTGATACTTTGAAGGCAAGGCAGTTGATGTGCAAAGATTCCCATATACATGGTGGAGTTGTGCCATTTATCACTGTAAGCATCGGTCAGATAAAGTATTACATTGTTTGAAAAGAAAAAAAAAATTGATATCGTTCTCTGAAAGTATATAGCACAAATAACTACTGTAGTACGCAATTTAATATCGAATGAATGTTTAACGGAAGTTTGAAAATTACGAGGGTCCTTTACCACTCACTCACTCTTGTCTCATTCTATTGCATGTATGAATGAAACGAAATCTACGGAATTATCAAATTAACTCCTACTTGAGCAGGAGATATGCAAATACTGTATTCCGATATTTCCACTACAGACTGTCAAACTGAAAATTTTTTTTGTGTTATTATCTCCAACCTGAACAGCCTCTCAATATTGTTTATTATCCATGGCGACACAGTTAAAAATCTTGGCTCATGGGCCTTTTTGATCAATTTTTTTCAACCAACTCAACCTTCGCCGGCCATTGGCACCACGATCAGATAGAAGAAAAAATACCAAACCAAGCGTAAAGAAAAGCCGAGTGCAAAATACGTTTCTCGCCTTGAATCATACGACTGTGCGACTAGTCGCCTGCATTCACAGACCAAAAGACAAACAAGCCATGAAACGAAAACAGACACAAGAGTCCCACTGTGATGCATGCGGATCTGACGCCGACATTTCCAGCTGGATCTTCTGCGATATCTGCCGCCATTGGACCCATACGGCATGTGCTTCGCTCTCAGACAAAGAGGTGGGCGACATTTCTTCGTACCACTGTGCCAAATGCGCCAAAGACCATGGTCCTTCGGTAACCAAGCGTAAACTGAAGCGGGCCCGCGTGAAGATTGACTATGTTGCTCTCGACCAGGGCGACACGTTTGCTCTTGACAAGTCCATGCATCCGCATGTGCCCAGCTTCGAGGATTTTGCACCCGTGGCCCAGGTCAATGGAAAGCAGGTGTACGTGGACGTCTTGGAGCCGGAGCAGCTATCGAAGGAATACATTCTTGCCTCGGGCTTGCCGCGGCCCATTCTTGTCCGGAGCGTCTCTGAGGGCGATTGTGGTATGCGTCTTCCCTGCGCAAGAGAAGACTTGCTGGTATCGTACATCGCCGAGAAAACAGGCGCAGATGCCCGTGTGGAGGTGATGGATGTGCTTTCACAGCAGGGGGAGCCCTGGACGTTGGGCCGGTGGGAAGAATATTTCTACACGAAGCCCAGCGACCGAGATCGCATCCGCAACGTCATTTCGCTCGAGGTCTCGGACGTGCCTGGTCTACAGGAGTTCGTGCGGCCGCAGATGGTGCGGGAGCTAGATCTAGTGGACAAAGTCTGGCAGTCGGAAGACCCGCGGCCCAAAGTGTTGGTGTACTGCCTCATGTCTGTGGCCAAGTCTTACACAGACTTCCACATTGACTTTTCGGGCACCCCAGTGTACTACACGGTGTGCCTGGGCTCCAAAACGTTTCTCATGTTCCCGCCCACGCCCACCAATCTCGAGCTCTACAAATTGTGGTGCGGCGAGCCCAACCAAAACTTCTTGTGGTTTGCAGAGTACACACGGCGCCTCGACGGCCGGCAAAAACGGCCCGAGAACGGCTTCAAGGTGCTGTTGCAGCCAGGCGACTTGTTTATCATCCCCAGTGGCTGGATCCACGCCGTTTATACACCAGAAGACGCAGTCATTGTTGGCGGCAACTACTTGACTTTGCGAGACATTCCCATGCACTTGACCATCTACAATCTCGAGCGAGACACACATGTGCCGGCAAAGTACCGTTTCCCCAAGTTCTTCAAGGTCATGTGGCTCGCCAGCTGGCACTACTTTAATCATCCACACGAATTTGAGCAAGACTCGCTTCCGTCAGTGAAGCAGGAATCTGCACACAAGGTCGGACGTGACATCGCCAAGATGCTTCTTTTGCATTTGAGACAGCATTACGAAACCAGCAAAACCAACCCGGCGGCACGGAAAAGTATTCCGGTGCATCTTATTGGGAAGGATGTCGAGGCGTACTTGGAGAAATTCGCCCTTTGGCTGGAATCCCTCACTTTCTAGATCTGCCATTGCCTCTTCATCTGACGTCGCAGATCTTTTATTCGCATATGCATTTGGACCGTTGTGGTCCCCGCCGGTTATGTAGCCCGCGCCCGCAACCATACTTTGACAGATGAATGTTTGCCCACTTTCATCTACATGTCGCTGGACCTGGGCAAGTTCAATGTCTACAACGAATCCACCAAAACAGACTTTGAAGCTCCGAAACCCCACGTTCTGCATTGGCGCAAGTATGGCCGTCTGCTCTGGCCCGCATGGTTTCTAGACCATCTAAATCGAGCATCCCTCAAAACCATTCTTCCCACTTTCATTCAGGTGTGGCTCACCGTCATCATCTCTGTGATCCCTGCCACAAGCCACTGGATCGGAACAGCATGCTACTTGCTTCAGATTGTCGGGTTTATCTGCGCCAGCGGAGGGCTTCTGGTGTCGTTGAACATTCTCCTTTCGCTAGTGTGTTTCCTCTATGCTGTCGTGGGATGGTTATTTGTTGTTGTTGCCCTTGCAATAGCCACAAGAATTAGAGGCTGGCCCTCGACTGATTCCGTGGCAAAAGTTTTGATTGAGGACGGGTCATGCTCTCCGTCAAACATTTCCCAATGCATGATACAGCAGTTCTATACTGGTAGATTTCTTGAAACTCGGTGCACAGCAGTTTTTGTTGTGGCCCTCATCATGGGAATCACTCTATTTGGCTTGACGGGCAAGCTTCATCCTTTGGCAAGACAACCCTATGTCATAGGCACCATTTCTCTCATAATAAACACATGCTACACTGTCTTCTACCCGGTGTTTCTTCCCAAGGATGTGGGCTATACCCTAATCAAACCGTTCGGTTTGGCCTTTGCCATGAAAATCCTACTGTCTGTTTTTGTGTTTCCAACAACGTCCAACTCTACGTATTTTGCTGGCGTCATAAGGGTCCTTGAGGATCTCCGTTCGGTGAACTTTAAGAACGGTCGCATGATGCTGACTATCAAACCGTCCCACGATTCATTTCTTAACTATCAATTATTGATGAAGGATATCCAAGCTATCCGAATCAAGGTACCTCCTTTGGATCTATTTCTCTCTACCATTTGGGCCGAAGTTTCCTATGGCCGTCTAGATGGGGGCGATGCTTCGGATATTCGTAGTGTTATAAAGCCTCTTGTCAACACCATTGCTGGCTACGAGTATTTTTACCTGCTATTTCAGGAAAGGAAAGAGATTGCACTCAGCGAGTTGGTTCATTCTGCTAGAAGAGGGAGCATGTCTAGCCAAACCTTCTATAAAGGCGAAAGTGCTGTTCTGAGGCGATTCGCCCATAGATACAAAGAAGTTGGTGTTTTCGAGAAATCGCAGAAAGTTCGCCTTCTTAATGAAAAACTTGTCAGCAGAGATTCCAAGGAGAAGATCACTTTGGCTGATTTGGATTTTATCGCTGACTATATCAGTAATGCCCACTCAGATTTCTTCATCCAAACCAACTCTGCATTGGACTCAATCATCAAGTGGATCCAAGAGGCAACCTCCTATCGTGCGTGGAGTCTTTTAGATTCAAGAGGATATGAACATAGACAAAAGGAATGTCACTCAAACTTGTTGGATGCTCGTGCTAAATTCCAGTCTGTCCTCTCGAGTCTTCAAAGTACGGCATTGACACAAGAAATTTTACAGAGCCAATCCCGGAGCGACGAACAAACTTTATGTCTCTTAAGTCAAACAAGTCTTTTTCTCTTCTTGAGCAACCAGGTTGGGAAGCAAATATTGAGAATGATGGATGTTCTCTTGAGAGTAGATGAAAGGAGGCCGCAACCACAGCTAATCACATTCTGGAATGCACCACATAACAAGAGGCCACATTTTGCACGCGGTCTCTTGAATGACGACCCAACTGATGTGTCTAGAAATGGATTGAGACAAAACTCAGAACCTCGAAATCCCGACAGTTTGGATCCTACAACGCCGTTGCAAATTTTCGTGTTGTATTTGTCTCGATTCTATGGCCTACTTATGAATGAGCATTTCTTGTTTTGGGTTCGAAGTGGCATCCTAGTTGCCATATGCTGTGTGCCATATTTCTGTCGGACAACAGCGCATTGGTATTTCGAGAAAAGACTCATTTGGCTTCCTATTATGTGCGGAGTTTCCACATCTGAATTCACAGCTGAGAGCGTGTATGTGTTCTGTTGCAAGCTCGTCTACTCTTTTCTTGGTGTAATAGCAGGTCTTATTGCGTGGTACATTTCAACCGGTCTGGGGAAAGGAAATTACTATGGTTACTGTGTGGTTACAGCGATTTTGTATTTTATTTTGTGTTATTATCGCCATTTTGCTCTTCATCTGAGCAAGATACCTGGGATCATGATTTCAGTCACTCCTACTTTGGTACTTGGCACAAGCTGGGTCGATGCGAAATACAATCACTTGGCTAATATTGGGTATGGATGGAAAGTTGCTCTAGTGCGATTCATTAGTGTTGTTGTTGGTTTAAATTATGGCGCTTCTTGCCTCTACTTTTCCGAAACCGAAAAGCAGCAAAGTTGCAGTACGGAAATCTCTCGCCAATGTTTTGGAGCAGACGTGTGATTTACAATGTATCGTTTCTAATTTTGCCTTACAGCGCATGGAAGACCCTTCAACACATATTCTTGATCACCATGATCATGTGTCTGACGAGATACGGACATTGTTGCTTACTTTAGCGCATGTGAAGGGCTTGATGAATCCAATCCAGTACGAGGTTCCACTTAGCGGTGAATGGCCCGTACAAAAGTATACTCAACTACATTCCTTGATCACTGATATTGTTCTGCTCTATTTTTTGCTTTACAACTTGGTGGACCAGGTTGATGATACAGATACGTGGATGCCCCATATCATTAGACGGGCGGGTTGGAGTGAGCCACTGATTATTCAAAAGCTCGGAACACTTGTTTTCATGTGCTCAGAGACTCTTCGATTAAAAGGAAACCTACCGCAAATCGCAGGATCAAACATTTCTTTTAGCCACTTGGACTACATCCGACGGTTGTGGGGAGCAAAAGTGATATCCTTGAGTGACCGTTTCTATGATGATAAGGAAGAGGATGGAAATGGCTCGCAAATAAAACTCAAGGCTCCAGACTATGCACGGCTTTTAAGCCGCGATGGCCAACTCGAAATTGTGTGCTTGCTTCTCTCGCATATGGTGTATGAAAGAGCTGATGATGTTCTTTTGGTTGTGAAGGGCTTGGTTGGAGAAAAATTTCCCTACAATATGAACTTGTTCGATATTTGAGTTCATGGGGATCGAAAATATTGTACTTTGGTAGTATAAACTTTGTGTTTAGCGGTAAATTATCTAAGTCAATGTCATGTCGGTGTGGGTGAAGGAAATTATAACTCCAACTTGGTGCCCTTGGCTCTGGCTGCTTCACCGTATTTTTTAATTCTGATAGATTGCACAGCAATGAAACCAGAGGTGTCTTGAGGTGAGAATCCAGTCAACTCGTCCATGGAGGATTCTGTTTCGTCGTACAACTTTTCAGTTTCAGAGAATCTGCCCAAAATGATGACGTTACCCTTGTAAGCACTGGCCCTAACAGTACCATTAACTGTCTTTTGAGAGAGTGGAATCATGGATCTGACGTACTCACATTCAGGAGTAAAGTACATACCATTGTACAAGAGCTTGGAGTAGCTGACAGTGACAAACTGGTCTCTCAAAGCTCTCACTTCTCTGTCCAAAGTCAAACCTTCCAAATCAATGTGGCAGTTTCTCAAGATGGTCAAACCTGGTGTTTCGTAACAGCCTCTAGACTTGATACCAATGAATCTGTTTTCCACAATGTCGATTCTGCCGACACCATTTCTTCTGGCCAAAGAGTTGGCTTCAATGAACAATTCCACAGGATCGGTAACCACCTTCTTTCCGCCGTCCAAGATCAACTTGACAGGCAAACCTTGTTCGTAGACAACGTCGAACTTTTCTGGAACGTCTGGAGCATCGGTTGGGTCAACAGTCAACTTCCACATGTCCTTAGGAGGGGTAGTGTTTGGGTCTTCCAAGATTCCGGCCTCAAAGGAGATGTGGGCCATGTTTTCATCGGTGGACCATGGCTTGGCCTTTGTTTGGGCCACAGGAATGTTCTTCTCCGCAGCATACTCCAACAAGTCCTTTCTGCCGGCAAATCTGTTGAAAAACTCTGGGTCTCTCCATGGGGCAATGACAACAACATCTGGCTTCAAAGCGTAGAAAGACAATTCGAAACGAACCTGGTCGTTACCTTTACCAGTGCAACCGTGAGAAACAGCGAAGCATCCTTCTTGTTCAGCCACTTGGATTTGTGCTTGGGCAATGACCGGTCTGGCCAAAGACGTTCCCAAAAGGTAGACATTCTCATAAATGGCATTGGATTGAATGGCAGGGAAACACACGTTTTCCACAAATTGCTTTCTGACATCCACGACAACAAACTTGGTGGCGCCAATGGCCAAAGCCTTCTTTTCGGCCGCTTCGAAATCTTCCTCCTGACCAATGTTGGCCAAGAAAGCGACAACTTCGTAGCCTTGTTCAAGCAACCAGGCGAGAATCACAGAGGTGTCCAAGCCACCAGAGTATGCCAAACAAACTTTTCCTTTAGACATTTTTGTTATTGAGAAGAGGAATGGGAGAAGAAAAAAAAAACGGATAAAGGGCAGGAGTGGCTCGCTTTATAGCGCAGATTGTCCACCGCGGCAACTTTTTTCAATTGCCTAATTGGGCACATATCGTCCTGCAGCCTGTGTGACTCATAGGACAGGGCGTCCGGCCAATAAAATAAAAAGCATCAGAGACAAGTCTGAAAAAGAATACGACGGATCTTGGTCTATAAACGGGTCTGGTGCTGTTGTCTGTTTTTCTGCTGCTCTAGAAATCATTCATGGATTGTTGGTGGAGTTAAATGTTGATATCATCTGCAGGTGAGAGTTCGCTGGTTACGCATCAGACTCGAACCAATAGGAAACATGGTGGACCCATCATCGTAATTGAATCATCAACTTGCCTAAATGTAGCATTTTCTGTAACATACTAAAGCAATATATAAGAGCACGTAAATTATAAGGAGACCAGAAGATCTATGGTTTTGCCTCAGAGCATCATTACCACATCTTACAGCCTCTGGCAGATGTATTTGTCCATTTGTTCTTTCTGTTGTTCTGATCTCTTTCTTGTCCATACAAATAATTGTATTTCTGTCTAAGTGAAGTCTGAGTAATGTAAACATAGTCTCTTTTTTCATGTGGAGGTCCATCGTGATGTAATTATCCTAAGCTACATTTAGACGAATCTTCACGACACAGCAGAGCCAAGTAAACCGACACTACAAATATTTATGCTTTAATGTATTTTGACATATGTGTGGTGTTATCACAATCCGCACCTCCATTTAAAACCATCTATAAAATCTAAACTTACGCCTTGGTATCAATAGGAGCAGGAAGCCTCTTGCTCTCTTCTTCCTCGCTGAAGGTCTTGGTCTCTCCAGCATTGGTGAAAGTGTTGTAGCCCCAGTTGCTAGGAGCATAGAAAAGTTCTCTCTTGTACGGAGTCAAGTCCGCACCATCGTGAAGCCTTTGCACCAAGTCTGGGTTCGAGGTGAAGTATCTGGCAAAGGCAACAAGAGTCTTACCGTCAGAAACATCTTGCAAAAGCGTCTTGAATTCTGGCGCATCGTAGGTGTAGTTTCCTGCCTTGATAACAATGCCCTTCCACACCGATCTAACAAAAGAGTTGTCACCTTGAATGTCTTCTCCAGCAACATCGATGACACCACTGACTCTTGGCTCGACAATCGACACATAGGCAATTCTCTTGCCGGCCCTGGCTCTGTTCTCGAGCTCGCTCAAGAAGTAGCCAAACTGCGCCACTGGGTTGACCTCGCCTTCTTCGGCGAGAATACCTTGGAACTTGGCCCATGGAGAGATCCGAATGGCCACTCTCTCGGCACCGATTTCCTCAATCAACCGGTCAAGGATCTCCAACGCAAACCGTGCTCTGTTCTCAATTGAGCCTCCGTACTTGTCTGTTCTCTTGTTCGTGCTGACCTGGAAAAAAGTGTCCACAAGATAGCCGTGAGCACCGTGAACTTCCACATAATCCACGCCGGCAGCGACAGCTTTTTTAGCAGCATGGACAAAGTCGTTGACTAAGTCCTCGACCTCCTCCGTGGTGAGCACGTGGATTGGGTTTCCGGCCTCCTCGGCTGCTTTCTTGGCCTCTTCGCTAGGGTAAATCAATGATGGCGCAACCAATGGGTAGCCGGCCTTTTTGGTTGCAACAGGATCGGCCACACGGCCCAAAGGCCAGAGCTGCATCGACACTTTCGACCCGTTGGCGTGGATCTTGTCTGTGATTTTCTTCCACCCCGCAACATGCTCATCGGTATAGATTCCAGGAACGCGATCGTAGAGACCGGTTTTGGGCGACATCAACGTGGCCTCGGTGATCACCAAAGATCCAGGGTACTTGGTGCGGTCGTCATAATACTTGTAGGCAAGATCTGAAGGTGTGTGGTCGGCAATTGCTCTCATTCTTGTGGTTGGAGCATACACGATTTTGTTGCTCAATTCGTGGTTACCAACCTTTGTTGGCTTGAAGATCTCGGTGTCTTTTAAAGGCTTTACTGCAACCATTGCGATAATAAGGGTATGTGAGTGATTTGGATGATATTTAGAAAATCAATGCTGTTGCATAGGCTTAAATACTCCAGAAATCAGTTGACTGGTTACGAGCACCGCTCTAACTGTATTCTTGATTTGTAATCTCACCGCATATTGACGGTATGTACGGCACATGGATGAGAATGCCGAAGATTCCACAATTTCACAATTCTTGGTTTTTGCGACACATAACGAAGAATTTTGCTCAAGGAAGAGCATCTTAACCAACCATTGCTGATACTGGTAAGGTTGAGATATGCTGCTACCGTCTGGAAATGCTCAAAAGCATATATCCATTTGTAAGCATTGGTTATCACATGCAGGATTGTACATTGTGACACTCACCAGAATTTTCCATACAGACTACCATGATGTCAACCCATGATGTCAACCCATGATGTCAATGCTTACCAATTAATGTACGAATATTCACGTGCTTGATGGCTTAGTGTTTCTTCAATTCCTCCATATCCTATGATTTCCCACATGTGTACGATCGTTTTTTTTTTTTTTTTTTACCCTAGATGATGTTTGCTCAAGTCATTTCTGTTCAATGTAGCTCGGCAAAATAGTGATGGACTCCGACTGAAAGGTGAGACGCCACTCTGTAAATGTAAGTTTTCTTTCGTGGATTTTTGTCCATTAAAATGTATTCGATACAATTGGGGTGCTTTCTATTCATTTTGATTCAAGAACAGGTGTTCGATACAATTGGGGTGCTTTTATTCATTTTGATTCAAGAGTATGTAGTAGTTTCAGGTTTGGAAGATAGGTCGGTTTTTGGTTGCTTATAACTGGATTATAATGACAAGTTAGTGATAGTAGCAAATCATAATAGAGGTGAAAGAAGCTCCTTGGTTTGAAATCTGTTGCTAAGATGATAAGGAGAATTGATCATATTGAGCATGTACGTGAAAAGTGACTAATTTTTGATTACCAAAGCTAGAGTTGAGCTTACTGCCACAAACTCCATGTATCTGCAAGCACCTATTTAGATTGCAGTAATTTACACAAGAGGCAAAACTACCCATCACAGTATTTCAATTGCTGCTTCCCAACAACGTTGTAGAGATGTATTGAGACCGTTGATATCGATTTTGATCACATCTTGGCGATAAAATACGAAAAGATGAGGCAAGATATTTTTCTACACTTCAAAGATGTATTTTCATCCGCAAGATGAGATACGAGTGTCTAAACGCATTGCCTTGAATGAACAAAAACGGCATGCAATCAGACAACGGTTTTCGCGGATGACTTTCAATCTTTCGAGAGTCAGCAAGACTCTGCACTATACACAGGAAAAGACGGATCTCTGACTTTTCAGATGTGATATCGACAAAAAACATAGCGGCAACAAGCAGTTCTTGTCTTGAGATTTGCTGCTCCCACAAAGAATATTTCTCTGTCTCAATTACACAGCTTCTGGCTCAGATGACTCTCAGTCATGAGTCAGCGTGACACTACCAAAAGTCGCGCGAACTAGTCACTATGATCATGAATCATCGATTTGGCGCTTTTTGGCTTTACTTTCCCCACATATAATTCGTGGCACACATAGCACACCGACACATGAGTGAAGAGAAAAAAATCGGAGTGACTCATTCGATACGTGAGAAGCTAAATTTTCTCGACGAGCGGCTCTGGAAACGGTTTCTGGCCCGTCGCTTGGAACTAATAGACACTCTAGATTTGAGTTCGAGGAAAGCCAGTGAGCAAGAGGACGAAATCAAAAAAGTCGCCGAGATTCTCCGGCTCGAATTCAAATACGGGCCTGAGTACTTCCCAGACTTCGATAAGCTAGTGCGGGCAGCAGTACAGAGTGTTCGCCGGAACAGAAAAAGATCAACGAAAAACCGCAAGGGTAATGCAAAGAAGAGACGCCTATCACAAGAAGAGCTGAGCCGGGCAGAGCTGTCGCGTGACGGAAGCGTGGGCGAAGTGTCTGGGAGCGAACGAAATCACTTTTTGGCCGAAATTGCTCGGATCCAAGACGGCCATGATTCCGTATACGATATGAACTACCCTAGGACACGCATTTTCACGAAGCAAGACCAGACGCGGGCGGCCATTGACTCAATTATTCAGCCGGTGAAAGTTGAGTCGAGGACGCCACATTATGGCAGTGTTCTTCTTCCGCCTATAACCACCATGCCGTTGAGCCAACAACAAACGGAAAACGAAAAGGAGCTCCAGACAAACCGCATGTCCCTTCTCCTTATGATGAAGCGCCTGAAGCTGTGTTTGCAACTCACCAATGTTCCTAATAGTACCTTCGTGCATCTTGTGGGTCAGTCTGCTATAAAGTCCATCTCAGCCTTGGTTTTTGAAAGGCTGTTCTCCACCCTAAACCAGACTTCGGTCGATTACTTGCAAGAGAAAATGTCGCTGCTGGCATTTTTGGCCAACTTCTATCGGAGCCTAGAACCGGAATCGCCTGCTTGCCAAGCTTTGGACGATGATACGGCCACAACGACTTTTCTAAATTTGATTGGCTGTTGTATCAAAGATTTTGGCTTTGACAGAGTATTGTATCAACTCGGAGAAGCTTTCTACCGCAGCATTTTGCTTGAGTACCCGTTGGTGCTGAAGTCATCTCGTCCTTTTCTACGAACCGAAGTCGAGTCGGAGAATATTGGTGAATCACAACAACCGCCTAACTTTTCTGCTTCGCTCAGTAATTTGGCTAGTGTCGCTACAGAGCTTCGGACACATTCCACAAGTGAGAATATACCCGAGCTTCAGCGAGAGGAGAAGAAACACGTGGTTCTTCGATTCCTTTCGTCTACACTCGAGTTCACATACCCCATGAAGAATTCTGCTCCACCCCGGCTTGTTGAAATTATGGAAAATGCAAAACAAGCCTTCAAACTTAACGATAACCAGATATACAGTTTGCGCAACACAAAGACTGGTGCTTTGGTCAGTTCAGATTTCGACTTGGAAAAAATATTCGGTGGAGAGTCCAGTATAAGCTTGGAAATCTTCACGCAGCGGTTCCAAGCCATTCCGATTTACGAGCTCACTTCAGCAGTGACGTCCAACAAATATAATGACGACTCGCCGAAAATAATACTACCACCTCCTCTCAAGCATACGGCACCTCCCATCCTCTCTGCTTCCATGCAAAGAGCGCCGACAAATTACCGGGCCCGGGCACCCATCTTGCCCAAGTTCCAACCGCTTCTCTAATTGGGCACATCATCATGTGAGTGTGATCAGAATGCATCCGGCGAATAATAGGTTGATATATGTGTATGATATGCATGCTCTAATAGGAACAGCGAAAGCGTAGAAAGTAGAAAGTATTACAATGCGTGAAAAAATAGTTTGATTGAATCAGAATAGCGAACAAACTATTTCTCTTGTTAAGTGAATGATTTCACTGGAATGAATGAGTTTACTAAAGTGGATGAGTTTACTGGAGTATGTGAGCTTAAACATGAAGAGAAAAATACTCCGTTGAGTGGTTTCCTTGTCTGGAGGAAAAGGTTAGGCCGTCTGCAATTGACCAAACAATCATTGCTATCATTTGTTGGGAAAAGCAGGAATCTCCTAGGTGTATTAATATTCAAGCTTGAATATTTGCTTCGCTTGCTTCCATGCCCCATAAAAGACTTTGATTAGACGATATCGAAAATCCCTACATTCTTTCAAGAAATTGAAAGAATTTAATAAACGCAAGTTATCTAACCAACTTGCGAACCAAAAAGCAAAGTGTGGACCAGTCACAATTTACCACTCATCAATTCTCGTAGTGCGTAAAACTTCGTACACAATCTTTACCAGATGTACGGATGCTCAATTCGGTACACCAGAGCCAACTACTACCATATCATACCAAAGAGTACCATCTCAATGAGCTTAAATGAGCCGGCTCAGGACGGATCAGAACCTGTTTTCGATGAGAGTTCGGGCCCAGAGCGCGGAGTTGTGCCCTTTCGCAAGTCTCTTCTGGTACCTCGGCCGCTTTTCGTTCCGCCGCTAAACTTTTCGCTAGTCGAAGACGGGATATATCGAAGCGGGTTCCCGATGCCAATCAACTATCCCTTCTTGGACCAGCTCAACTTGAAAACGATCATCTACTTAGGAGACATTGGGTACGAGAAGAAGAAGAAGAAGGACGACAAGAAGGATAAGAAGGACGATAAAAAGGATAAGAAGGATAAGAAAGATAAGAAGAAAGAACACAGCACACACGAGATCTTCGAGAACTACAAGGCTTGGGTAGCAACTACAGACATCCAGTTCCACCATTTGGTGATGCATTCGTCTCAGGAGCCGTTTATACTGAATACGCATGAAGAGACGCAGAAAGCGCTAATTACGGCTCTCCAACTCATGCTAAACCGACAAAACTTTCCCATGCTTATACATTCGAACAAGGGGAAGCACCGAATCGGCATTTTGGTGGGGCTAGTTCGCAAAATGCTTCAGGGTTGGTGTATGAGTGGGATTTTCGAGGAGTATGAGAAGTTTGCAATGGGGAAGTCAGAATTCGATCTTGAGTTTATTGAGTTGTGGCAACCTGAGCTCACTTATGACGTGAACTGGCTTCCGGAATTTGTGAGAGTGTAGCATTAGATGGGTATGTCAGTAATCAAGTAAGATTAATGTACGAACGGAATAGATCAGAGAGATTATGAAGTCCGCGTGAAAACTCATATTCCTTTCGAAACTGATTGGCTTTGAAATGTATTAAAGATTATTAGACGATGGACCTATGAGGTATGTATGGACAATTCTTTGTCAACATCAAAAAAGAAGCAGGAGAAAAACATCACGAAATAGGAAAACATACTGAAGTCATTGGTACTCTCAAGTTCTAATTCGTTATGTTTTACTTGCTCGATCACGTTAAACCAATAGTAAACGTCGATTTTAGTGATCGTATTCACACGTTGAATTCCATGAAGTTACTGTACCACAAAAGACCCATATGATAAAAGTATATTAAATCAGCCGCATACATCCAGTTGTTTGCTACTGCAACGTGTGATGGCATGTCTAAAGAATTATCCTTTATTCTTCATCTCACGCAATTTTGCCATCACTTCTACAGGATCAGACTTCCCGGTCGCCTTTAAGACTTGTGGGTCCAGCAAACGCATGAACGGGTTGAATTCCAACTCGTCGCCGATTGTGAATTTGCCAGTCGTGAACTCGTTTTCGCTGGCATATTTCTCCAAGCGGTCAAGGGCAGAATTCTGTAAGACTTTCTTGCTGAAGCGCACGTTGGACCGCGTGTATTCATGGCCCGAGTAGACCACCGTTTCGTGGGGCAAAGCTGCCAAGACCTTGTTAAGCGACGCATTCATCTGTTCGGGCCAACCTTCAAAGAAACGGCCGCAACCGGAGGTGAAAAGCGTATCGCCGGTGAAAACAGCCTTTTCGCCCGTATTGGCGTCGTGGGCATAGTAGCATATGGAGTCCTGAGTGTGGCACGGCGTGTGAAGGGCAGTGACGCTGATGTTGTCGCCCAAATCGATCACTTCCTCGTGTAAAGGCGTATAGGTGACTAGCTCGGAGCCAGTGCCTGCTATGATGGGCAAATCCGGGTATTTCTTGTGGAAAAAGCCGTTTCCGCCCGCATGGTCCCAGTGGTGATGTGTGTTGACGATAGCCTTGAGCTCAAAGCTCTCTTGGGCCGAGGCCAAGTATTTCTGGACATCCTCCGGGAATGCCGGGTCAATGAGCCAGGCGTGGCGCGAAGGCTCGTCAATGAGAAGATATGCGTAGTTGTTTGAGTCGCCCCAGCTCAGGGGAATGGCCGAAATGTGCATTTTTCGTGTTCTTGCGGTGGCGGGCCGAAACAATATTCTCAGCAACATATGGAGTAGATAGTGGTGTGTACAGGAGTCTAGTGTGGAGCAGTTAGAGAAGACAATATGGAGAAAATAAGAAGGGCGATAAATGATAGCGTGGTTGGATGGTGTTTTCCCGTCGTGGTTTCCGTTGTTGGTATTGCTTATTTCCTTTCTTGTTGTCTCTTTTCTGTTCATTTCTTTTGCTCTTAGATTGCTCTTTTGGCGTAAAACTGCAATGTTGTGCAGGGTAAGAGAGATCAACAAAATGAAGCAAGGGACCACATGGAATTTTCATGTATTTTAATAGTCAAGCGAAGAAAAATAACAGTCAAACGGGAACAAACAAACCAAACTTGAAAGAACCTCATAACTGATGCATGTACCATCATATTAGTTACAAGATTTATTACCAATTGATACAAGACATGGATTTGTAACATGAAGTTATGCCATATCGAATACTGTCATCACTATTGCAGTGCTACTTTAGATCTTTGAAAAAGTTACTGTCACTGACAAGAAATGAGTGAGTATTCACACATTTCGTATAGGTTCAAACTGTCTAATAATATATTCGTAGTGCTACAGAAGCTAGTTCACTTCTGTTTGATGTCTGAGAATACAGGCTTGTTGGATGCAAATACGCTTATTTACGGAGCCACAGCAGTAATGGTATGATCAAACCATTCATGAACAGAACTAGTCCTGCTTCAATAATCCATCCGATTATTCTTCCTGCCTCGCAATATTCTAACGTCCCCAGCAATAAAATCAAATCATTATGCATTGCTAATAATTGTACCGTTCCGAGTTTTAAGGCTCAAGGAGGTATTGTCCTAAAAGAAAAGGTCTCTTTCTCTTAGCTGCAACAAGTGAATTTGGCCCACCTCTTTTTGTTTCAAAATATACCACTATGGTCGAGCCAACTTACTAAGGTAATTAAACTTCAAATCCACATACTAATATAGTCACGTTGAACACACAGTCATCTACAATACTGGCAGCAATATCAAGTCTCTCAGCAAAAATATGAAGACCGTGATTTTGTTTAGGTCCATTCTGTCAGTTCACAGGTGTTCGAATTCAGTCGCGTACTATCAGTCGCACGTAATCGCACTAACATTCAGGCGTGAACTAGAATCCACAGACAATTCTACCAATGCGTCCGTTTCTCCTATGGCTTTCGCTCTTCCTATCTGCACTAGGTCAGCAATTCTTTGATTTGGATGAACCTGTGCCCTTTGATCAGCTTTCGCCGGATGCCCAGTACCACAGCTTGGCGCAAGATTCTCTCTTGTGGGGCCCATACCGAAGCGGCAATTACTTGGGCATCAGACCTCGGATCCCCCATTCGCTCATGCTGGGGCTTCTCTGGTTCCCAGCGGAAAGTCTGAATGCCTTTTCTTCCGGCAAACATTTTTATGAACAACTGCACAACGTGGGAAAAGCAAATTGGGTCCAGTTTGATCCTCGGCTAGGAGGCCGACAGATTATATCCGACAACGACTGCCACCTTGACATTACAATTGATTTTGTCAAGAGCGACAACGGCAGAAATTGGGGCGTGAAAGTTCACGCCAAGCCTCACAAAGGCCACGAGTCCGTCAAGACATCCTTCGTGTGGTACTCTGGGTTAGAAGGAGAAAGCGATTCAGAAGAGGCTCATGGATTTTTGAAGCTTGATACCGCCATGGACTCTACGGGCTATGACGGAGAAGTCACCTTGGCTGGTCTTTCGAAAGATTTCGGCCTCTTCACTCTTCTGGTGAATGACGCAAAGACAGGAGCAAAAAATAAACACCCACGGGTCAAGAAACTCTTTTTGCCCGAGTTGGACCCTAGAAGAACCCACCACACCAGCCTTCGGGTCCCCGACGACAACGTGTGGCGTGCTGGCGATATTTTCTTCACGCTCTTGCAGGAGAGTATCCAAAACCTAGTTGATGAATTCGGTGACGATATTAAAGAAGTGCCACCTCTGCAGGGCCTTGTCGTACGCAATTTGCAAAACTACGAAGGAAACTTGCACTTTGTGCAGAAGATTTACCAAGGCGAATGTGAGTTTGATGTTATCTACAACGAAGCACGTTCACCTCCCACTGAAAAAATCACTTTTGAGAACCTCCAATCTCGTATTAGCAGAGCACTTGATGCGTTTGACACTAAATTTGCGCAAAAGTACCCATTAAGCAAAGTCTCCGCACCAGAGAAGGAATTTGGAAAGGAGTTGCTTTCCGGTCTCTTGGGTGGTCTTTCTTATCATTATGGTGACCAGCTTGTAGACCGGGAAACTGTAGTCGATACAGATGATCTCCCCGTCAATGTCAATGGTGAAACACACCTTCCAAAATTAAACGGAAAACCCGAGGGACCTTACGAGCTTTTCACCTTGGTGCCATCGAGACCATTTTTCCCAAGAGGTTTCTACTGGGATGAGGGCTTCCACTTACTCCCATTACTTGAGTATGACTCGGATTTAGTGTTGGAAATATTCAAGTCATGGGTTGATTTGATCGATGACGAAGGCTGGGTCGCCAGAGAACAGATTTTGGGCCCGGAGGCTCGTGCAAGAGTGCCAGACGATTTTGTTGTACAGAGTCCGGGAATTGTAAATCCTCCAACATTGATGCTCGCCTTTACGTATCTACTTGAAAGGGCAAAGCTCTCCGACTTTGAAAACTTGGACAAACCAATCAACTTTGACGCAGATAGTATCACACAGAGTAATCTTGGACAAGTTGTTGTGCACAATCCTCAATTGCTCAAAAATTATACTAGATCAATCTACCCAAAACTCAAACTCCACTACGAGAGATTCCGCATCTCGCAACAAGGCCTGGTGGAAGAGTTTAACAGAGGAGATAATACGGAAGCGTACAGATGGCGTGGAAGAACAACTTCTCATTGTCTTGCTTCGGGATTGGACGATTATCCTCGAACTCTTCCTATGGATACAGCAGAATTGAATGTCGATCTTTTATGTTGGATAGGAGTCATGACAAGATCAATGAAACAGATTGCTGAAATTTTGAACATCGAGGAGGACGCACGTTCATATGCCACAATCGAGGAAAAAATCTTTGAAAATGTGGAAAAGCTTCATTGGTCTCCAGATGACGAATGCTATTGCGATATTTCGGTTGACGAAGATGATGAAAATGTGTTTGCATGCGTTAAGGGATACATTTCGATTTTCCCCTTCATCACCAGATTCATCAAAGAGGACGATGTTGAGAAATTGGATAGCATCGTGTCACTCATTGCGGATCCTGATGAGTTGTGGGGAGACTACGGCATTCGGTCGGTATCTAGATCAAGTTCTTTCTATGGTACTGCAGAAAATTATTGGAGATCACCAGTCTGGATCAACATCAACTATTTGATTCTCGATAATTTGAAACATTATTACGATGTTTCCGGAGCATACATGTCCCCTTCACTTAAGCAAAAATTCAACGCCACCTACACTGACTTGAGAAGCAACTTGATTACGAATGTCAAGAGAGAATGGGAAAAAACAGGGTTTGTGTGGGAAAATTACAATGATATGACTGGCGAGGCCAAAGGAGCAAAAAACTTCCTCGGATGGTCTTCCCTTGTACTTCTCATGATGGAAATGCCCTCTACTTTGTAAGTAGTGAAGAAATTTATAGAAAAAGAAAATTAGACTATACAAAAACATGAATGCACATAAATGATACTCGCATTCTTTATCTACTCCGCAAAACCTAACTATTCCCTTTTGCTTATTTGACCTTTTTGCCATAGCACTGCCTACCTTCATAGCCAGAAACAAGATCCAATTGCTTTTGTCTTAATGAGCTCAAAATTGAATGATACTCTTCTAAAGCACACAAATGCTTCTGGATCACTTTACTCTATCCCTAAAGATAAAATCAATCGCTTGATTTTGAACTATTTTATCCAGGAGGGCTTCGAAGAAGCAGCACAGAGTTTTTCAAAGGAAGCCGTAATTGGCAGAAATGGGGAAACGGAAAATGGGAGCATCATCGGATCTTCATCTTTTGGTTCCATCAAGAGTTCTGAAGATTTGCATTACGCCGTGAAGCAGTTTACAACCGATAAGAAAACAGAACAACACATTTCTCCTGACAACAAAGCCCTTAAAGGAATCAGATCTATTGAAAAGAGGAAAGAGATTAAGTATCTCATTTTGAAAGGGGATATCACAGCAGCTATTGACGCAATATGCACAAATTTCCCCTCCGTGTTAGACTCCAACAATCTTTTGTATTTCAAGTTGCTCAGATTGAACTTGATCGAAATGATACGAGACCACAAGTTAAGCTCTCGAAATGCTGCTGCTGAGAACGAAAAGAAATTTTTGGATGATGTTCTTTCTTTTGTCCGAGAAAACTTAGTCAGCAGAGTGATGCATTCATACGAGCTTTTGAAAGAGCTAGAGATCACAATGAGTTTGCTTTGTTTCAACTTTGATCCCCAGAAACCAGTGAACGAAATGGATAATCTTCCGGACGAGTTGAGGAAACTTTTCGACTTGAATCTTCGGAGCGAGTGTTACCGAGCTGTTAATAAAGCGATTTTGGACTTGGAAGATCTTTCACCAGAGCCTTCTCATTATAGAGGAGTCTCTTTTGAAGGATTGAGTCCAGAAGCTCTTTCCAAATTGCCTGCAGCCGAACCTTTAGAGGAGAACGTAGATAAAGGCGAGTTGATGGAGAATTGCAGAACATTGTTTACGCAAGCGTCTAAAGCAACACACAAAGATGAATCCTCATTGCTGGAAGAGCAGCAGGCTGCCTCAGAAGCACTTATTTCGCAGCTTGAAAGAATTGCCATACTATGGATTGCTACGGAAAACAAAATGATGGAGAAGAAACTTGTGAAGCACAAGAAATACGAAGGGTTGATGTCGGACAGGACACGGTTGTAGGTATATAAAAAAGGTCTTTTTCATATCGCTTATTTTTAGTAGAGAATGACGGCGTCAATTACATTCCCCGTTTCGATGTGGATTTTGCTTAGGTACGTTTTATCGTACTCCAGCCCCACTTCTTGCAATTTGTTATTCGTGAGAAACACGCCATCTTTGGTGAAAGATGAGCCTTTCGCTTTGCGGAACTTCTCATAAAGCGTAGATTCATGGAAGAGCTCCAAGATACGTTCTCGCAAATGCTCAATGGTGGAGCCTAGCTCAGGATCTGGATTGTGTTCGAAATCTTCTGGACCGAACTCAAAGTGGTACTTCACAAACTTGGGAAGCTCAAACGTCTCCCGTTCCACGTTCGTGTGTCTCTTGCCAAGAACTTTGTCCAACACACTTCTCTCTAAAGAGTAGTACCTTTTCACATCTTGTAACTTGTCCCGCTTGGCCACGTTCAAGCGGACATAGACATGCGCACAATGGACTGGCACCTCCGGGAAGATATCTTTGGCGTGATACTCCCAGAGATTCAAGTATATTCCCGACCAGTAGATGGTCTCGTAGGAAAGTAGAAGCACAAACATCACAAAAAGCGTTTCGGAGATCACACGCGACACGGGATTATGGACCAAGTCGTAGGTGAACCAGTTTCTGGACATGAAATGCATGAACCGGGCATCAAGATATTGGGCGTATGCCACTATGGGCGACACGAGACTCATGAGAAGAAGTGTTTCCGATTCGGCGCGACCAACATCAACACTGGTAGTACCGATAAAGACCAATATGTAAAATGCAAGAGACGTACAGAATGGCTGAAACACACGACCATACAGCCTACAAAAATGCAAGATGACAGACGCAATGGCTTAAGGCACCCTACATTATCGATATATGTCTCTATTACTTGTATTTAAGCGAATGACTGCAAGCACCTAGAACGTCACGTACAATGGTCCGTCACAGACTACGCGGCAACTGTCAATGTTCTGGGCCCGCTGCATGATCTGCTCCTTCTCCTCCAAGCCCATCACATGCGGATACAGCTTACCTCCCTCCAGCCCAGCTGGAGCCACTTTGGGCGACGTCGTATCATCTTCCGTGATGCTGGCATGCAGATAGTCGGCGGGGATAGAAAAGTTGGGCCCGGCACTGCCGTTGGTCAAAAATGTGGACACGTCGATGAGATTGTCGTTCAAGTCGTTGACGATGGTGTTGAGTTCGCTTTGGCGCTGCTGCTGTTTTGCTAGCTCTTTCTGCAAATCTTCGTCGGAATATTGGGTATTGTTCCCGAGAAGCGACGTTCTTTCATGAGCATCGCCATCATTTGGAGGCAATAAGCACGATAGACAGGCGCCCATTGATAAGAAAGAAGTATAAGTACTGATTGTGAGGTGGTGGGTCACGTGAAGCACTGATGATGTAGGTCGGTGGGATGAATTCAGAGGGTAGGTAATGGGATTAATAGAAGACGGAGAAAGAATAAGTACTAGCTTCTTTCTGGCGTCCTTATTGTGGTTTTCTGTTTTTTTTTTTTTTTTTTTCTTTTTTTTGTTTTGGTTCTTTTTGCCTTTTCTTACCGTTCTCGTACTTTTTGTTCGGTAGCGGTTCTCGTCTACTTTAGGCTGCGATCCGGCCATACCTTAATTGAGAGCATATAACTCTAAAATGAAGTAGCTGAGGGCTTCAAAGACTTACAAAATGAAGGCAAAGACTTCAAATTGCATATGCAACCTCGGCTTGTGGTAAGGCTTCGCGTCTTGGATTATAGTGGTTATGGCCTTCTTATTCGTAGCAAAATCAATCCTAAACGGCATGGACATTTTTTTCTCTCTTCCAGAGGAGCTTCGAGTCTTGGTTTTGAATTTCCTTGAAGTCCAGGACCTCGATCGTCTTTTTTTGCTCCGCTCGTTAGTTAATGGGAAACCAGATCAGTACATAATCGTTAGACACCAGGCGTTGGCGGCCCGGTATGCCCAGCAGCATTTGGTAATGAGCAATTTGGCACAGTTCGAGCTGTTTTCCCTAGCAGAACTAGATTACTTGATCCAGCACAAAATCCGCATATCCTCCCGCTCTGTTACATTTGTCATCCACGCCACAGACCATTCGATGTCGGAAAAATACATGAATGAATTATGGAAGGGCTATCTTGATGAGTTGAAAGGAATATCAGACAATTTCAATGTGCGGCTCTTATTAGCGGAGAAGATGCCTCTTGCTACTTCAGCTCTAGAAAGGTTGTTTCTGCCCTTGTGCCAATGTCTGTTGCGAGTTAATTGGTTCACCATCAAGTATAGTATGGGGACAGAAATTCACCCATCTCAAGAGCAAAACATAATACATCAGGCAAGGACTACGAATCACTCACATACATCATTAGCCATGGATAACTTGAAACTTCATTTGTTTGACTCGGGGAACTTGCTTGGACACATTTTCGACCCCAACGGGTGCTTCCACTGCTCGAGTCTCAGAACTCTAGACCTCTCATTCAACAACATCACGGACGACAATCTTCGCCAGATCCAGTTTCCTGCCAGCCTAGAAGAGCTCAACCTTCTGAACAATATGATTTGTGTGTTGAGCAGTTCTACGTTTCGCTTTTCCCGCTTGAAAAGACTTAAAAGCATCAACTTATCCAACAATGATATCATGCGCATCGAGCTTCGAGAATCGTCAGACGTTGGGCCTTTCCACTTACGCAAACTCGACTTATCGGGGAATCTTTTAGCCCAATATGACCAGCTATTTCGAGGAAAGTTTTTCTGTAACGTTGAAGATCTAAACCTCGCACACAATCTTCTAGAAGAATTGACCCCATTTGTCTCTCCCATCAAGAAATTGAACTTGTGCGGCAATTATTTCCGCTTTCCGTCAGACGTCTTGGCTGATATCATTCCGAAAAGTCTTGAGCTGTTACAAATCTCCCTACCATTTGTATCAGGGGCCACGTCGCATGACACAGCCCGGATGTTTTTAGAATCGGCACAATTGCCCCACTTGAAGGAGTTGAACTTTTGCATCTGCGAGAACTCCCGGTAAAAGACAAAAAGAGCTTAGATTTCCATATTACTATTTATGGTGCTTTAGCAAAATCCCCAAATTATAGACCTATAAATATTTACAAGTGTTCACACTATGCCTGAAGTATAAATCGTCTTGCTTTTTCGCACCCAAACCACACACTCCTTATCTAATTCTAGCTTCTTCTTACTCTTTTTTTCCTTCATCCCGCCATGAGCAAATCTTTGGCTGTGTTGGCATTTGAGTCATTGTGCTCCAAATTGAAATCATCTTCTCGTGCCCGACTCGCTGATATTAGCCAATCTTTGGGCGAGTCGCAAACATACCCCTCGAAAGCTCCACTATTCATCACCTGGAACAAAAATAACACACTAAGAGGATGTATCGGCACGTTTCTGTCTGTGGAAATCGAATCCGGAGTTGCCGAGTATGCGCTTATAAGCGCTTTTGAAGACTCTAGGTTCCCACCCATTAAGGAATCGGAGTTGGACAAACTAAGCGTGAGTGTGACTCTTTTGGCCAATTTCGAGCCCATTGACGATTGTCAAGACTGGGAAATTGGTGTGCACGGCTTGAAGGTACAGATCCAGGCCAATGGCCGCTTTTACCTGGGCACTTTTTTGCCCAGTGTGGCGGAAGAGCAAGAGTGGAACAAAACGGAGACTTTATGGTACTTGCTTCGCAAGGCTGGATACAATGGGGTCTCCGAGAAGGAAACAACTCAATTTTACTCGCAACTCATGTCCAGTGGGAAAATCAACTTGACTCGCTACGAAGGTTTGAAATGCGGTATGGATTACAAGGAATATGTCACATTAAAGTCTAAGATTGTATAGGAGAAGACCTTCCTAAACAGAATTGAATTAAGTACTAGTACGTGTATCATGTACAGCAAAGTTTAGGCTTCCAGTATGCCTAGAAGAAAAAAGTGAACACAGCATATACTATTGCTCAACATAACTTACCGCCAAGAAAAATATGCAAGAAAGCGCAAGTGGTTTAGTGGTAAAATCCAACGTTGCCATCGTTGGGCCCCCGGTTCGATTCCGGGCTTGCGCAGATTCTTTTTTTTCTTCTCGCGAATACTATGCGTAACTACTCGTATTTTTCTACTCTGCATGGAATCTAGTAACCACTACTGTGCCAAGAAATGCACACACAGTATGAGCATGATACTTCTCCTTTAAGCCGACATCAGCAACTACTCATCAGACGATCCACTTTTTTGTTTCTTCTTTTCTTTCTCTTCAATCATGTCTTCGTGCAATAGTGGATACAATGGCCAATATATGGGCGCAAGAATTGCATCCGTTTTTGTATTATTGGCACTTTCGGCCTTGGGCTCGTTTTTCCCTCTTGTGGCTTCCAAATGTGAATGCCTTTGTATACCGAAGAAGGTTTTCTTTGTTTCCAAGTATTTTGGAAGTGGGGTTATTATAGCCACAGCCTTTATTCATCTCCTAGGTGAAGCCCAGGCTAATTTTGCAAGTCCATGTTTGGACAGCTCTTGGGACGACTATCCATGGTCATCTGCTTTTGCTTTGATGGGTGCTTTCGTCATGTTTACCATCGAATTGTTCGTGCAAAAGGGAATGCAACATAGACACCAGATGGAACGTGAGCAAACAGATGAAGAACAGCAAGTGGCCAAGGCCGGTGTGGTTGGCACGAAGGAAGAAGAAATAGAGGAACAAGAAGTGGAAAGTACTTCGAGCGAAGAAGACTTTCTCGAGAAGCAAAGCAAGTTCAATAAATTGCTCAATTTATTCTTGCTTGAATTTGGCATAGTGTTCCATTCGGTGTTCGTGGGTCTTTCTTTGGCAATTGCAGGACGGGAGTTCCCGACTCTTTTTATTGCCATCAGTTTTCACCAGTTTTTCGAAGGGCTTGGCATCGGCTCTCGTTTTGCTTCTACGGTATGGCCCGAGAAATTACGTTCTTTACCATGGATATTTGCATTGGTGTTTAGTTTGACTACACCTATGGAATAGCGGCAGGTTTGGGCGTCCGTACAATTTACCTGTCTGATAGTACGCTGGCTGTTGCTTGAAGTGGGTATTTTCGACTTCCTTCTGTGCTGGTTTTGATCATGTACAATTGTGCAGTTGAGCTTATGGCTCGAGACTCTTAGAGATGAAGAATTCCAAAACTGCCGTTTCAGAAAAAATCGTCGTGGGCTATTTATGTTTGGTAGCCGGAACCATAGCCATGGCTGTCATTGGACGGTGGGCATAAAAGTATTACGTATTTATAAAAGTTCAGAAAGCGTTTCCGATAGTGCGGGCATAATCAGGACTATGTTAGATCGATGAGATAACACACGATAGTGGACCACAACAGAAATATAAACACAAATATAAATTATTAATGGTTCTCCACCTTGAACCTAGCCCTAGTGTTTTTTTTTTCTGCCGTTGGTGGAACTGCTTATCGTATATAGGTAAAGGAGATTATGCATCACGTGCCGTCTGAATGCGGAGTACAATGGCGCACAACTGTATGTCGCTTTCTCGATATCTCAAATAGTGTTATCGGGTGCACATACAAAAGATATAGTGCTTCCATAATCTCGGCAGGAGTTTGTGTTAAAACCATACAATTAGGACAGTCCCATTTCATTACCCATTCTTTTATTCACGACAATGACTGTGGAGAAACCGGGCCAGCTTCCGTACGGAGACGGGTCTTTCAAGATTTTCGGCATGGAAAACTACGGCAACACATGCTACTGCAACTCCATACTACAGTGTCTTTTTTACACATCCAAGTTTCGGACTGAGCTTTTGAAGTACAATTATACCCCACACGAGCGCAGGCGTACAATCAGTGGTGCCTCTCCACACGGTTTCACTACCAAATACGAACAATTGAAAAGCAAGCGGATAAAGCAGCAGTCTAAACTGTCTGATGGCGTGCAACTGAATGGCAGTTCTGCGGCTGCAGGCAAGAGTTCTATGCGCAGCTCAATCTTCGGCAAGTTTTCCAACTTGGGGAATCTGAACGGAAACGAAGACATCCTGCTGTCGAAGCATCTGGCGTATATTGAAAACGCAGCCACGTGTCACGGCTTGGCAATAGACCAGAAACTCATAGTGCAGAGAAACCCAGACTTGCACTGTCTCCAGATATTGGTGACGCGGCCAAATGCTATGGACGAGGCTGAAAACAGAAACGACAACTCCAACTCTTCTGCGGCCCTTTTAGACTCCAACAACAGCAGCCAGAGGCAACTCAGCGGAGAAGAGGCTGTCGGTTCTGTCACAGCTCAGTCTGCCTTTGTCATCGTCGGCATTCCTCAACCAGAACCTAATGTGAATCCGCCCATCAATCCATTTTCTCCCCATCCGTCTGCCGAGCAACGGAAACGCTCGGCGTTGATTAACGGGCCCATCTTGAACTTGGATTATCCGCTTTCTGACGAAGGTAAGAAGAACGAAACATGTCTTTTATATGCGTTAAAGGATTTGTTTGAGGCGATGGTGGAAAATGAATCGCAGATTGGCGTGGTTTCTCCAGCATACTTCGTTCGCAAGCTAAAGGACAAGAACTATTTGTTCCGCCAAGTCAACATGCACCAGGATGCTCACGAATTTTGCAATTACTTGATCAACGAAACCATAGAAAGTGTCGTTCACGAAAAAGGCGAGGCAAACAACTGGTGCACCAACATATTTCAAGGAATAATCACCAATGAAACAAAATGCTTATCGTGCGAGTCAATAACGTCCAAAGACGAAACCTTTTTGGACCTCTCAATTGATATTCCTCCTGGAGAAAGTGCCTACTCGCTAACATATTCGCTTAACAATTTTTCAAAGCTGGAGACGTTGAACCACCAAAACAAATTCTACTGCAACACATGCCTGTCGTTACAAGAGGCGGTGAAAACAATCAAATTAAAGAAGACGCCAGAAATCTTAGTGATCAACTTTAAGCGGTTCAAGTATGATGATAAACTTGACCGAATGGTGAAACTTTTTGACTCTATACTGTACCCGTTGAAACTTCGACTTTTCAACACTACGAGCGCGGGCAAACAAACAGACAACGCAAAGCCAGAGGATTTTAGCTTGTATGGTTTGTATGCTCTCGTGGTACATATTGGGGGCGGGCCTATGCATGGACATTATGTGGCTTTGTGCAAATGTAAAGCTGGGCTCTGGTTTTTGTTTGATGACGAAACTGTTGAATTAGTGGACGAATCCTATGTGCTTCGTTTTTTTGGAAACGGACCGGGCCTTGCCAGTGCTTACATTTTATTCTACGAAAAACTTGATACATCATTAGATGATGGAAGCGGTCTAGATTTTGGTATCGACTTGAATGGCATTTACAATGGTGATGACTATACCATGGCTCTACAGCAAATGAGTCCGTCGTGTGAGAATGGGAAGCATGTGGAAAAGAAGCGGGACAATGCTCCTAGTGACTATGAAGAATTCACATATCCTGAGCCATACGCTCCAGTTTCTGATGCAACTAGTGTGGGACGGAAACTGTCGATATTCAAAAAATCATTCATGTTCGAATCGAAAGAAAATGGAGACACAGTGACAAAATCTGTATCACGTACTTCTTCCAACAAAGATTATGCTCCTGATGCGCCTGCTCAAAACGGGAATGGGAAAACCATGAACATTTTTGAGAAGAAGACATGGGTGAATGGCCTCAAGAGGAAAGAGCTGAAGGCAGAAATTCCACAACAAGATCGCAAAGTCTCCCAGGGAAGTATAAAGACGTTGGGGAGCATGAAATCCGAAGCCAGTGGCGAGGTTAAAGAAAAAAGAAGAGGAAGTATTTTCGGATTCAAAAGAAAGAGCAAGAGCTGAGATAGCCAGTAAAGTGCCCCCGAGGAAGGCTAGAGGAGGAATATGGTATATGTTTGAATGGACCAATGATAGCAGACTTGAATGTGGCTCTATGATATAATTTCGGAAATATAAGTTGCTACGACCGCCAAAATTTTTTCTTGAGTAGTATGTGGTTTCTTGGTGGAGTACATAGGTTGAACTGCATGTAACTCACGTCATAGCAAAATAGTGCGGCACGTATAGTCACGTGCACAACGGCGATTATGGCAAAAGGTATAAAGTTGTGGAGATTTAGTCAGCGGTAAAATTAGCGAATTTTCTTTTTCTTTCGTCAGCTTTTTTCGCCATGAGTGTTGTTTCTCCCACAATTAAAACGACGCCAACGTCAAGGCTTATCACAGTTGCTGCCGGATGTTTTTGGGGTGTTGAGCGGGTCTTTTTGAAGTATTTTGCAAATAAAGGTTTGGTCGACGCCAAAGTGGGCTATGCCAACGGATTGAAAGACATTGGCGCTGTGGATTACAAGAAAGTTTGCACGGGGTCGACCAACTTTGTTGAGGCGTTGCAAGTTTCATATGAACCTTCGCAAGTATCCTTGAGCGAGATCCTTGATATCTTTTTCCGGATCCACGATCCCACAACTTTCAATCTGCAAGGTCCAGATGTGGGCACACAGTACAGAAGCGCCATTTTGGTTCACAATAAGGAGGATTTGGCCGAGGCACAAAAGTCCAAAGAGTATTTCCAAAAAGAATGGTACCCAAACGATAAAATTGCCACCACTATTGAGCCCCTCGAAGTCTGGTACGATGCAGAGGATTACCACCAAAAGTATTTGGACAGAAACCCTGGCGGTTACGAGTGTCCAACACACTTTTTGAGAACTAAGCCGAAGGTGTAGAATGTTGATTCGACCAAGACAAAAAAGCCATATAGAGGACGATTTAATAGCAAGTGACGCAGCCAGTTGATATAAAAATGTGTACATTTCACATTTCGTATTGTTTCCGCTTCTCTAATACCACAAAAGGCCATCGATGCACATAATTAGCTCCAATAAAGATGAAGCAATCTATTTCTTTAGCTGAAGTAAGATTTACACGTGAAAGCCGACTATTGGTGTTAGCACCTTGCAAGCTTTTCCAGATCATTTCTAACACTATCCTTCACGAGTTACTAAATGACTGGCTGAAATGCAATTTATACAAGGATGATTAACCCAAGGCTATGGCGTAGTAATGTAACTCTAAAGAATTAGTTCTTCATTATTTTTAAGTAAATATTGAAGAGTCAATATAAATCTCAAGTAGCAAGTAACTTCCATAAATTAAGAAGAACACAAAGAGTATGTTTGGTTGCCCGTATTTGATATCCAGCAAGTTCCAAACCTCAACGTATTACGAATTAATAAAGAGAAACGACATCATGTAGGAGCGAAGTTTTAGATAACGTCCAAATTGTTGGAACTTGTCTTTCCCTTTAAAAAATGCTACTTAATTTCTACAGCAGTCAGCTGCATACTTACAGTTGCAAATTAAGGATGGTGAACTATTTTACAAGATGGGTGATAAAGCTTGTACTGTATCAATACCATACGCGATGTCAAAAAACGCACGCGTTCAACTTTTCATTTCTCCAATGTCTCTCTGGGTCGACAAATACAGGCCAAAAAAGCTTGAGAATCTCTCGTATCATGATTCCATAACAAAGTCTCTTCAGTCTTTGGCCTCGTCGGGCGATTTTCCCCATTTGCTTGTGTATGGACCAAGTGGAGCAGGCAAAAAGACCAGAATCTATACCACGCTAAATGAGTTGTTCGGCGCCCAAGTGGAGAAAATGAAGATTGACGTGAAAACCTTCACAACGTCGTCAAACAGAAAACTCGAGTTCAATGTGTTGAGTTCTCCACACCACTTAGAAATTACCCCATCGGATATGGGCAATAACGACCGCGTGGTGATTCAAGATTTGTTGAAGGACGTTGCTTCGACAGAACAAGTGGATTTTGCTAGCCAGGGCCGCCCGAAACACAGATTCAAAATCGTGTTGATCAACGAGGCCGATTCTTTGACCAGGGATGCACAGGCAGCCTTGAGAAGAACGATGGAAAAATACTCGGCCAACATCCGGCTCATCATGGTGTGCAACACAATTGCCAACATAATAGCACCAATCAAGTCGCGTACTTTGCTTGTCAGAATCCCAGCCCCTTCAAAAGGCGAGATTGCGCTGATTTTGCTGGGTGTGGCCGAAAAGGAAGCCGTCAAATTTAATCCTCCAAACGACGACCAGGCAAGACAAGTGTACCTTGAAACCGTGGCCGAGGCCAGTGACCGGAACTTGCGCCGGGCTCTCTTGAGTTTTGAAACACTCTGCATGCAAAATGAAACCATCCAATTGAAAAACTTGGAGGCTGCTGCCATCACTTTGGATTGGGAGTTGATTATCCAGAACATCACCAAGTCCATTCTTTCTGAGCCGAAAGTGGCGACGTTGGCTAAATTACGTTTGACATTCTACGAGCTCTTGTCTCATTGCATTCCTGCCCGGCTCATTTTGAAAATGACCGCTTTACAATTGATGGAAAGACTCGATCCGGCAAAGGGAACCAAGGTACTAGAAATTGCGGCTACATTCGACGAACGATTAAGCTTGGGACAAAAATCCATTTTCCATTTGGAGGGGTTTGCGGCTAAAGCAATGGTGGTGGTGCTGTCGTAAGTCAGAGACGAAATCATAATGAAGAATCACAATTGAAGAAAGAAAGTAGTAATTTGTAGAATTGGAAACCGGTTCGGAAGAATTTGCTGATTGAGTATTGCAAGTTGATAAAGTTTCATGGTACAAATCCAGCAATGTCCCTCCTGACTTGTCGTTACAAGAATTTCCTATTGACAAGGCTGAAATATTGCATATGCTAATCCTTCGATTGGACCGTAACATTTTCTCATCTCTTCTTGATATTCATTAATCAAGCATTATATGCTAGATAATTTTTTTTTTTTCTTCACGTAATTCATACACGTATTTCGTACAATTCACTGTATAGATCATAAATAATCAAACATTATACAACGAGAACACTAAAAACTCTTCTACAATTGCACCTTGTGGTCGCCGACCTTGGACGCAATGTCCTTTGGTGTTTCAGATTCTTCGTAAGAAGGAAGTCCGTCAGATGGGCCTTCTGTTTGAGACACAGTCTCGGCTGGAGCAGCTTTGGCTGGAGCAGCAGCTTCTGCTTGAACTGGGGCGTTCTGGTTTTCTTCGTCTCCAAGGCGGAAGTAACCGTCTGTCTTGGAGCTTGGGAATGCAAAACAAATAAAGTAGATCGAGTACAAGATGCCCGCAAAGTACATCAAAAACGTAAGCAAGAAACTGATGAAGAATTCTTTGGTTCTGATGGTGTGTTTGGGGCTAGTCAAGAGGAAAATGGGCAAAGGTGGCAACAAAAGTGCCATAAGCACCAAAAGATATTTTTGCGTTGTGCTGGGCAAAGGTGTTTCGGCAAAGCTGGATGAAATCTTCATGGAAAAAGGTGGGGGTGAAAGATTACAATTAGGGGATGTGTGAGGGTATAAATAATGTCGCAGCCAGAGGCGCAGATGTCACATCACGTGTATGACACCAGATGCCACACGATACTTTGATGAATGTTCGTTCTAATAGATTATGTATCCATCAAAAGCAGCTATAACTGTAAGGGAGCTGATACAAATGGGATATTCTAGGATTGTGTGCTACTGACTCCTGCTTGTACTTTTCTGTATCCGGCCCATCGTTTCTTTCAACTACTTTTCTACTTCTCTGTCCTTTGATTCCATTTTCCAATATTCGTGTTTCTTGTAGGATTTTCTTGCTTTTCCCATTTTGTGCTTTTCCCATTTTCTGCTTTTCCCATTTTCTTGCCTCTTTTCCCTACATCTGTAATCCCAACTGTTATCTAAACCCGTGCACCACAGCCCGGTTATCATCTTGCGAACATACACCAATCCCCACCAACTATGGACTACATCAAAAAAGCCATATGGGGCCCCGACCCCAAGGAGCAAGTATGTTCACAAGCCTGCTTACTCATTTATTACTGTACTAACTTCAGATGCGCAAGATAAACCAGCTTCTTCGCAAAAATAAGCGGGAGCTCGAACGCTCGCTCAATCAGCTCCAACCGCTCAAGAAGAAAACAGAAGGGTTGGTCAAAAAAGCAGCGAAAAGCGGCGACTACAAGAGCGCCAAGATCTATGCCCGCGAGCTCGTCAACATCAATAAGCAGCAGAAAAAACTCCACCTTTCGAAAACTCGCCTTGAGTCTATAACCATGTCGGTGAATGAACAATGGCAGATGAAGAAATTGACCCAGTCCATTCTGGTGTCCACAGGCGTAATGAAGGATGTGAATCTGTTGACCAACTTGGGCATGATGACTGGAACGTTCCAGGAGTTGTCGAAGGAATTAATGAAGGCTGGTATAATCAACGAGATGATGGATGATATGGTGGATCTCGACCCAATTGACGACGACTTGGAGACTGAGTCGCAGGAGGAAGTGAACAAAATCATCGAAACTCTTACGCAAGAGAAATTCGACAAGATCGACCATGAAGTTCCTGTCATTAGTGAGCCCGAGGAGAAAATCACTTCGCCAATTGAAGAGGACGACACTGCTATGCTTGACGATATGAGACACAGACTTAAAGCCCTTCAGGAGTAAGCAATGGACTCTACCAGAGGGTAGGTTTTGTGATCCTCTTGCATTGACCTAAACAGCTATACATGGCACTAACCCAAAACAGCATACAAAGCCAAACTACTTACGGCAAACCATACGGCGACAGAAATCCTGGCAGCAGGAGACTCTTCCACAGGAGCAATTTTGGGAGGCGAAATGGAAGTGGAAGCGGCTGGCGCTGTTTCACTAGATGTTTCGCTCTTTGTAGCTGTGCTTTTAGTAGTACGGGTTGTTTCGGGCTTTTCCGACAGCGAAATCGTTGTCGTCGCAGTTTTAATTGCCGAATAGTCACCAGCGACCTCGGGTATTGTGGCGTTGCTGCCATTCATTGAAAGAAAACGTATTCTTTCGAGGCGCCCGACATCGTCGTCATCGTCATCAGAATCATCGTCGCTATCGTCTTCGTCAGAATCAGAGTCTTCGTCAGAATCGGAGTCGCTATCGCCATCACGATTGAATCGAATAAGACGACCAATACCGGCTTTTCTAACGGTTTTACCTGTGAGATTGAGCCGGCGCTCGTCTGCCAAGGTTCCATTACCAAGGGTCATACCTTTTTGAGGCACCACAGAATTTTTGGGTGCTGAAGGTGGAGCAATTGTGTTATCTTTTGTGTCTGCAAGTACTTCCGCTTTTGCGGCAACACAGAGAACCAAGAGGGCCCACTTACTTGCAATCATCGAGAAAGATTACGGAAAAGTGCAAAGATATGGATTGCAAAAGTGCAAGAGAAAGTGCAAGAAAGAGTGCAAATGCAGATGTGAGAAGTGCAAATGTAAATGCAAAGACAAGAGTGCAAAGGGCACAAGATGCGACATGCGAAATGCGCAGAACCATATAACTATAATTCTATAGAACTTCATCTAGGTTAGAAGGAAGAGTAAACGGCTTAAGGTGTAGAAATTTTGAACACTGTCTCTTTAAAAAAGAAGAGAAACGTAGATGAGAGAAATTGCTCCACCTCCACCCTAGTTCAATATCTAGACAGTGTTTCCTCTGATCCGTTTACAGAAGATGTAGGCTATTGATGCTTAATATTCATCCACGATTGACTATATGTTATCCATATTCGTAGTAGAAGGTGAACAAAATGAACATTCACCTACCCAAAGATACTTTCTTTCAGTAAACGGGACGTTGAACAAAAAAAATATCAAAATCAGAAGTCTTTCGAATTTATCCGTGGTAAGAGTGTTAAAGGAAATAAAGCAGAGCACAAGATATAAACAATCGAACACTTTATGGGTAATGCTAAGTCTTTTTCATTTTTCTACGGACCCACTTTGAAGGGAAAACTCTCTGTTGCCAAATCATGCCAAAAATTAACCCTTCTACAATAAACAAACACTGCTTGTACATTTGGCTAAAAACACTATGCCGAAATCATTCCAAAGAGTGCAGCCGCAGCTACGGCCCAAGACACCGACCAGCGTCTGGATCCGGCCGACGTGGTGCCGTTACAGTTGCTCCAGTTGCCGTATGGGCCACGCAAGTCAACAATGGGCGTGTTGGACGAAACCAGCTCTGGCTGTTCGGCAGAAGACCCAGATCCGTGAGGTTCAGTAAAAGACTCTTCCGATGCAGCGGGAACATCCTCCAAAGACAGTTCCGCAGGGACGTCTTCTTCGGTTCCAACAGGGACAGCGGATTCCTCAGAAGTAGGAACCTCGGTAGGCTCAGCGGCTTCGGGTGTCAGAGTGCTGATAGTCTCGGTGAAGTTGCTGTATCTTTGGGCTTGTGCCTGGAGCTCAAGGCTGCCGACCTTTGGTGTCGCTTCGTCCACTGCAGCGCGGGCACCCTTCCCATCCTTTGTGGTTCCAAAAATCCGGTAAAACCAGTCGTAGTCGTCGAGGTCGTCGTCTGACAAGTCGCCGTCAGCATCTGCATCGTCGTCCACATCGTCTTCTGCAGCGTCGGCATCGGACAACTCGGCGTCGGAGTCTGCATTGTCGTCGGAGTCGGAGTCGTCGGAATCTGCGTCGGAATCAACTCCATCCTCCATACCAAAAAGCACATCCAAAATCAGTCTCATTGACAGGTACGTCTGGCGCTGCTGGGCAAGATCCTCGGGCGAATCAGCCTGGGCAGACACTTCTCCAGCAGAAAACTCGTCGCCCTTGATTTTGCGAGATAACCGGTGCACAGGCGGCACGGCTCCCAACTTGGCAACGAGACGGGCAAATGGTGCCTGTGCTGCGCCCAACTTATCCACCATCGTGTCCTTTGGGTGCAAAACCTGCTGGACTCTCGAAAGGAACTCATCCAACTCCACAAGATCTTCCTGGCTGAGTTTGCGCAAGTCAGACAAGGGCAAGTCTGCGTTTTTCACAGAAGCGTCTGCGGCAAACGCAACAGAAACAAAGCAAAGCAAGAGGCTGCGAGGCAACATCGGAGAATCTTGTCTTTTTTTTTTTCTTTCCTAGTTGCTAGATGTGTTTGTGAAAGAAGCGCACTATTTGTACGCGAGAGAAAAGCCGTCGGCGACCGAGCACCGACCAAGAAAAGACCAAGACAAAAAAATGAGACAAGAAAAGAAAAGGCGACTCAGTCCAGACAGCAAAGGTGCCCCAGACAGAAAACCTCAAGAGAAAAAAAACAGTCGCAAGATAAATTGAAGACAAGCCGGAGACAAGAGTGTGGGCCACTGCAGTAGTTAATAGCATTGTAATTGACAGTAATACCAGTGGATACTACTACTAGCAGTCCATATCGCAATGGTAGCAAACAGTTGTCATATAATATGCTAGCCAGCACCTCATGGAAGACTGGAAACATGAGTAATTCTGCCAGATCATTACGCAAATCCTTCTGCTTGGCATACTTCCTAGCAATTCTTGGGCATTAAGCCTTTCAGTATCAATTGGCTAGCGTCGTAACCGAGTCCGTCTCTATTCCGTCTTGTCTCCGGCGTAGAAACAATATGGAATTCCTGCTCTTGGAGACAGCACCAGCAATCCCAATGCTTCAGGTGTTCAATCCTGCTTATTCTTGCATCCCAGTCCTCTCCTTGGCTCATTTCTTTAGGTTCCTCAGTTCTTCTTCAGCTTATCGCTTGCGCCTCTCGTTCTCTCGCAACTTCTCGAGACCACTGATCTAGTTCTTCCACTAGCTCGCCCAACAGAGCCACACTTTTCTCTATAAGGGTGAGTTCGTCCTCAAGCGAATGTAATTCTTGCGTAAGTGCCTCCCTCTGTTCTGCATCCTTCTCTAATGAGGTCAACTGACTTTCAAGCTTGATATAGTTGAGCGACTGGTTGGTGTTGAGATTTCCCAATAGATTGAGGTCAATGGTCGAAACTTCGGTATCGGATTCGACTAGTTTGCGTGCTTGTGTCAATGCCCGACCCACAAGTTTAGCTGTGGATGGTGTAGTCATGGTTTCTATATACACCTTGTACTGTATGAAATATTGTCTGGGAGATATTGAACGAAGGAGGATAATAGCAGGAAAAATAACGGAGACAAATGAATGAATAAAACAAGAAGGGTAGATTAAAATCATCAGGCTATACCCAAGTAGAGCATCTGTGAAAATATCAACTTGCTTTCTATGAGGCGAAATGACAAATGGAATCGCACACCCTAGGCTCGGCTAAATAGTCTTCAATGCAAATCATTTGTACTCGGTCTAGCAGAGAATGGCTTATTTACCATCGAAGAGTATGCTGTGCAAATAATTCAGACTGAACGATCAGAACTGGAACACAATCATGCGGAGAAGAGAATCATACACTGTTCCTATTCAATAGAATCCATAGGAACAGAATCTACATGTTCCCATACAATAGAGTCGTGTACATATGAGATCAAACACTCATACACAATCCACAATCACAAGGCTTTCTGTTCTCGTACTCTCATGCTGGTGTTTATTCATCTCGAAATACACTCATCCCACCGTTGCTATATACAAGTTGGTTAGCGGCCACGGTAAAGCCTGTACTCTGGAAGCTTTGCCGTTTGAATGTTTGTCCACTTTTTCGTTGGAGTCTTGTTCATCTCCTCCACGTAGTTGACAGGCTCTGGTTTGTCCACCAACACTGTCGGACTCACTCTGATCTTGGAGTTGCGGTCAATGATCTCGAAAAGGCCTGGCAATTTCTCGGAAGCTTTACGCAACGCCTCGCGTGCCACCTTGTCGTGGATTTTGCCCCGGATCTCAAACAAAACTTTTCCTGTTGGTACACGGCACATCCAGTGGTCGAACGGACCTTTACCTTTACCCATTCTGGTCTGGTTACCCTTGATACACACAGCAACGTTACATGTGAATCTTGTGATCAAAGAGGCGCCCGAAGGTCTGATTTCTCGAGAAATCACCTTGTCGGCTTCTTTGAGCTGAGTGGCCGTCATTCTGATGCCATTTGACTTCAATCTGAGTCCGTACTCACCAAATTCTAACGAGTTCCCTTTGATGGATCCGCCTGTTCTCACCGTCACTCTGCCCTTCATGGCTTTTCTCACTCTCTTGTATCGTGGAGCATACTCGTGCTTGTATCTTTTCAAAGTGGTGTTGAACACAGATTGGAGAGGCAGTCTCGTGAAAAGAGGCTGAGGCGTACGGAAAGTACTAAAAGAGCTCAATAGGCTCCTTCCCAATCCCAACATGTTGCTGTGGTGTTTGTAGTTGAAGGTTTTTGTCGCTTTTTTTCTTGCGGGAACATGGTGTTGTGTGCAGGTCGGTAGTTGGTCTTCCAGTAGCTTAACGAAGCTAGAAAGAGAGGAGTTTAAGATTTATTATAGAAAAAAAATTGCAGATGTCTTTTGTATACTTTTCGTGTGCAATTTTCTTCGTTCTGTGAGAATAATTTTTTTTTTCAGGCCAAATGGATGGAAGTGTAGGATCAAAAGGAGGCTTGGAGAAATTTAACGCAGCATGATAATAATCCTACAACTCTTGAACTTTCAAGGACTGGTCAAGAATGGGAGTTCGCTGACTTAGTAGCCTAATTTTTTGTAGTCATGAGATGCACAGTCTACATGTGTCTATATCAGATGCATGTAAAGTTGAGAGCTGTTGCTTCAAAGTCACCTGTAGGAGAATGTCAACTGCCATTGTGTTTGATTCTCTGTTCCAGAAACAGGTAAATTTTGGAGCAGAAAGATCAACTGGTTTGAGATCGTCGATCCATGTGGCCAGATTACATAATTGGGGAGAACGAGAAAATGTTCGCTGAATAATGTTACGAAGCTGCGATGGTTTATTAAGCCCATCTATAACTTAGAGATTTTCCAACCTTTCTTCTAGAAAGTATAGGATACTACTTAGAGACAAATGATACTTTGCATTCTATTTACATTAGCGGATTTCCACGCCAAAGTTGCGCTTCAAATCCTCTTCTACTTTTCTATGGATCTCGTTCACCTCGTCGTTGGTCAAGTTGCGCTCCATGGACTGGTAATGGATCCTATAGCATTGCGAGCGCTTGCCTGTCTTTGGATGCACAAACTCGTCAATTGCCACGACGCTTTCAACCAAGTCGCCTCCGTAAAGACGAACAATCTCCATTACATCGTTGGTGTGCAATAGGGAGTCGGAGGGCAACCAGTAGCTGACATCCCGCTTGATTCCCGGGTACTTGGAGTAGGGCTGGAAAGTGGAGATGTTTCCCTTGGAGAACTGTTTGGCAAAACGCTCGTCCTGAGACCAAAAAAGCCGGATGTCGGGGATTCCAAACAACAACATGGCGATTCTGTCCAAACCGATGCCAAACGCCCAGCCGAACTTGTCTTCGGAAAGCCCCGAATTGAGCAAAACCTGCTGTTGCACAACGCCGCATCCACAGCACTCTAGCCATTCGCCTTTCCACCACACTTCGATTTCCCACGACGGAGAAGTCCACGGGAAGTACGCCTCGACCCAGCGAACTTTTAAGGGCTCGTTCAAGTACTCTTCCGTCGAGCCAGCTTTCTGGGCAGACTCGCGGGCCCGCTCAAAAACCAAATTGACCATGTACTCGATAGTCTTCTTCAAATGCGTCGACACCAAACGCACCTCGGTGTCGGTCATATACTCCTGTTTCGGGTTGTTGTCGTTGGCTGGGCAGTCTCTGAACGGGTCCTCGACAATGATGTTTGTCGCCGGAATCGAGTCTATGTCACGCTGGATCTGCTCCGCTACGTTTTCCGATCTGGTCCACAAGCGAGCACCCTCCATCTGGTGGAATGCGGGATAGTGCGTTCTGTCAATCTCGTCTCGTCTGTACACGTCTGCGGTGATGAAGTAGCCCGGCGTCTCGCAGGTCTGGAAGCATTCGTGCTCGTGCGCCGACGTGTGTGTGCGTAGCAAGTTGTCTTTGTTCAAGTAGTAGGTGTCCAGTTTCGATCTGCCCGGGTGATCCTGCGGAAAGCCCAAAACATCAAAGTTCTGGAATGTGGTGACCGTGGGGCGGAAGTCGTTGTAGAAGGTGTACCCGAGGCCGTGGAAATTGGACTCGATCAAGTCCCGAAGAATTCCAATCGGGTGGTTAGGGTTTTGATGGAGCTGCCGCTCGGTTAATGCCAATACAGACTGGGGGATGTTTGTCCACTCGTCTGTTTTGAAGGTTTTTCCATCAACGCTGATTTCTGGCGGGTACTTTGACGCGAGCGTGCGAACACAAGGAATCGCTCTTTTAGGCGCTACCCTGGCGCATGCTAACTTGAACATGTGGTGGAGATTCGCGCCATTTTTCTCAAGTATGGAGAAATATGGAGGACCGGAGCGGAAATACGCATCATGGAAAAGAATACCTGAAATCATGAAACGTAAGAAAAGGCTACTCATGAATCATATTGAATCATATTGTAATCAAGATTCATATTGTAATCATGAATCATATTGTAATCAAGATCCATATTGTAATCATGAATAATGATTATGATCCTATTGTGAACAGAACTCAAATACGAAGCTGAGAACATGAGGTCAGATCATGCTTCTGGCACCTGCTCCAAATACGTCTTAATGCATGTCAGTATTTACTATATTTGATCCGAAAATTGCCAGAAGATTCTCCTTTGCAACCGTTTCAGCGATTTCTGTCTACAATGTATCATAAATAGACTAGCAAAGAGTTAGTTTCCATACAACTGGCTATATTTTCTCTATACTCTTTGAAGTACTCGATTTATCGTCCACACGATACTTGCAGCCTCTAATCCAATGATGATAATTGCGAATCCAAAATCACTGTGAATCTTGCCTCATCTATAAATGATTTCCATCCAGCATTGGTCGAACGACAAGTAGTATCCATTTTATATCAGGTACACATACTTCTCCTCTTGGAATAACTTGAGTATTGTAGAGGTATTACTGCCCAAGTACAGGTTAAATGAGCTTTCTTTGCTATTGCTTATTCTCCTTCTGTCTTTCGCCATCTCTACCACGTTTCCTGAATGTACCTTCCTTCGTTCTCCATGTCAATCAAGTATTTCTCCGGCTCTGCAACCAATTCCCGAAGAATCTCCACAAGAGTGAGGCGTACTTGCGTTGGCATTTTTCCATTAGACCCGCAAAGAAAGAAAATCGCCCCTTTATTGACGATCAAATCACTCAAGAGCTTCTTCTCACCAAACATGCAATCTTGTACGTACTTGAACTTGCTTTCCTCCCGGGAAATGGCCGTGTACACATGGAGGAAGTTTTTAGCCTCGAGAGACAGCCAAAGATCCAGAAACAAGAAATCTTTGGACCGATACCGGCATCCGTAGAACAAGTAGAGCTCCTGCAGACCAGCAGCACTTTCAATGAGTGACTTCATTGGTGCAACGCCCGTACCTGGAGAAACCATAACGACAGGTGGTGAAGGATTCTGACGTGTCGAAAACTGCAAATTTGAGGCATGCACAGAAAAAACCAACTCGCTGCCTGGCTCCAACAGTTTAAGCCATTTGGTGCATAATCCACGGCGAACACGGCGAATAATCGTCTTGTACTCCACAATCGCCACGACGATTTCTATTAGGTTTGGTGAGGGCTTTGATGCAATCAGAAACAAGCGAACTTTGATCACAGGAAACAAGTCTAGCACATACTCCACTGGGATGCGTAAGTTTTGAGAGAACTCCATCACAGTTTCAAGAATCAGACGCCGAGGCCGGTGAGCGTAGTTATACAAATCCTCTGAGTTTTCAATCTGGCTGAATTCGCGCAACTTGTCCCGCTCTCTTTGTCCATCTTCTGAAGAAGAATCCACAAAATGATGGAGGAGCGCAAAGAAAGACCGCTGAGGAATCGCCTGGATATCCATATGGTAGGTTAAGAGCGTACGCAATGTCAATTTCTCGCGAGATATAAGTCCTCCCTCAATATCCACATGAGGAAGAGAAAGAGGCTTATCAGCTATCTTTAACCAATGCGGCTGCAGCTCTAAAAGAAGCTCCACGCTTTTCTCGTCATTCTGCGGATAGAGGGCCACAGTATCTCCTGGTGAATACAGAAGAGCATCCGCAGACTCTATCACCACATGGCGAACATCCTGAAAATGGTCCTGTGCTGTCACACGAGTATTTTTCGTGATTTTCCCCCGGAAAAGTGCAGCTGGCCGTGTCAAACCGAGATCGCCTACTGGACACAAATCTGGCTTGCTCTCGTCGAGAGAAAGGCGATATTCTGGGGGAAGCAAAACGTTTTCGTCGATTTGCGGCGCATTTGGGAAATGCAAGTGCAAAGCCTCTATAAGGGCCGACTCCCACTCGGCATAAAACCCATCGACACCTTCGGGAGCTAATTCGTCACTTTCACAGCGAGGCGAAAGGTCCACACACCCCAACTGGGCCAAACGAGTGTGGATCTTCTTTATCGCGTGGTTGAACTTTGGATACGACAGATCTCCAAGCCCAAAGGTCGTACACTTGACATGGCTCAAAAGGTCTGCGGGAAGCTTCTTCTTCAACAAGAAACGCATGAACTTCTTTGCATTCCGTGGAAGTTCACCCTGGCCTGTGGTCAGACAGAGAATGATCAAAAACCGAGTTTCGGTGATCAATTTCTTCATGTCGTAGGAGTCGAGACTGGCCAAAGTTGGCCGAAGCGAGTGGTATCGGAGCTTTCTTGCTAAATAATGCGCATAGTCCTGGGCGTTTCCCGTCTCGCTTCCATATAAAATGGTAACACTATCAACGGAATATGTCATTATAGGCGCTGATAACGTTTATAGTGAGGCGACTTTGGGTGAGAGTGTGCACCCGTACACCAGGCTTATTCCACCGTTTAAGCCCCGCCCGATTTTGAGCAAAAACCTTCGTTTTGGAGTCGGAAAAGCAGTGAGCTTCAAACTTCGTTGTCTCTGGCCCATTTAGCCCATCTTATTTAGTAGATTTTGCTTTGAACATGAAAATTCTCCAAATATAAGAATGTTGTATTCCTGCACATACAGCGGTTCTTGAGATACTCGAAAATCAACACTCTCTATAAACATTGCACCACAATGGGAAGACCTAAAAGAGCGGCCACCAGCGACACCTCTGTGTCGAAAAAACCCAAAAGAGAATCCTCTCTGGCGTTCAAAACCATTCTCGAAGGTCTAGATGTTTTGCAGGATGACGATGGCACAAGAGCTCTAGTGACTGCTTTTGTCAAGCTTCCTTCGAAAAAAATGTATCCAGACTACTACGCCATGATCGACGAGCCCATTTCCTTGTTTGAGATTGGGAAGAAAGTGGCCAAGGGCGCGTATGACGACGCGGCGTCTTTCCTTGCGGATTTCCAGCTCATGTATGACAATGCCGTCAAGTACAACGATTCCGACTCTTGGATTGTACAAGACGCGCAGAAATTGTTGCAGCATGTCGAAGAACAAGTAGCGACAGTGGACCAAGGCGAAGCGGACGTTGATTTACCTCAGAGTTGTATTGCTTTGTTGGACGAGGTGATCGAACACGAGTTCCCAGGTGAAGGTGTTCTTTCGGGTCCGTTTGTGGAGGACGTGGACCCTGACGAATACCCAGAGTACTACACGGTGATTGCAAACCCGACATCTTTCAACAATGTCAAAAAGCAGTTGAAAAACGGGCTTTTCCTGGCCGATGCCTCCGTGGATACCAACTTGCAAGCGTTTTACGACGCTACAGATTTGATTTTCCGCAACGCACAGCAGTTCAACGACCCTTCCTCGCTTATCCACGAGGACTCTAAGAAGTTGCAAGAATTGTTTGAAGACAAGTTCCAGGCATTGAAAAGCGAGCTTTTGGGCGGTGCGAAACCATTGAAACTCAAAATCAAAAAGGAACCTACCAAACTCAAACTAAACATGCCGGCATCTGCTCCAGGTGAGCCCCCTAAAAAGAGAAGAGGGAGAAAACCGAAAAAGTTGATTGAGGAAGAACAGAGACTAGCAGCTCTTGCCGCTCAACAACTGCGTGAGGAAGAAGAGGGAAACGAGCCGGAGGATGATGAGCCCGGAAAGGACAAAATTGACGCTACGGAAGTCAACGTCATGGGAAAATCCAAAACAACGCCACCAAGTAATGAGGTTTTTACTCGTCGCGTTTCTCTCACATCTTCCCATACTAGTGCATCGCTGGCACTTTCTGCCTTTGCATCTCAGCCACAGCTTATGCTTTCGAAACTGCAGTTTGTAAAACACTCGCTATTTCCAACAGCGCCGGTGCTTAATGTGGCATCATTTTTTGATTACCAGTTTGCGCCGTCCGGTTTTTCCACCAAGGCATACTCTGTGTCTCTTCCCCAAGAGGCGTCTTCTTCAGTCACGTTCCGTGTCTCATTGCACGAGCTCATTTTGAAACTAAAAGAAAATGACCTCGTCGACGGCCGCGGCATGCTCAAAGGAAAAGCCGAAGAAGACTTCATGTGTTCATTATTTGTCAACGAAGAAGAGGTTGTGCATGGTTGCGAGATTTCAGAAGAAGTTGATCCTGTGGACGGCCGTTCCAAGGTTCTAGGACTCACGTACGATTTGAAGTTGAATTATGGGCTTAACGTGATCAACTTTGAGTTGCGGCTCTCGCCCAGTTTGGCAAAGAACTTGAAGAGAGAACCTGTCCATGCAAGCTCTGATGAGCCTGCGGGAAGACACACACGGAACCAGTTGCAGCAGATAAAACTCAATTGGGAAGTGGAAAAATTCACTCTCTACGTTGTGTCTTACGCTTAAGCCCCCATTGTACCATAGATTAGACTTATAAACTGGAAACTGAAGGTGAAACCACAAAACTGTAATAAATAAATTAGATCCGCAGTTATGGACTTTGATTGGGGTTTTACAAGTAGATGCCTCCCAATGATGACAACAAATAACTTTCCGAACGGTATTTATCATTCAAATATTATGCAGATGGGAGATCTTCAAAAATGAGATATGAAGACAAAGGCAAGAAATAAATACTTACAAGTAGGTTTCTTCCTCTCGGTTGAATGAGGAGGCCCAATTGTGCTCGGAGGGATCTTCGCAAAGAAAACACAATAGATCAAACGAATTAGAGGCAAAATATCATGAGAAAAGTAATGTTCTATATTCTATGTGCCTCATGAATTTGCCTATTTTCCGATGCAAAAACTGGAAAAAACCACACCCAAAATTTCTTCCACTCCAACAGCATCTCCTGTTATTTTTCCAATGCCTTCCACAGACTGTCGGAGACACTCTTCGGCCAAGACGACATCTTCGCTGTCTTTCCAAACTTTAAACTGTTTCAATCCATATAATACATCATGCTCCAAAAGATCCTGGGCTCTCGCTGAAATAACCACAGGATCGGATGTTTCTGACATCGAAGCGACCTTAAAATGGGCTACTAATGCCTCTCGAAGAGAATCCATTCCTTGCCCATTGAGACACGAAACAACATGCACATTTTCTGGTTTCACTTGCAAAGCTTGAGTAAAAGCGGTCTTATCAACCTTTTCAACTAGATCTGCTTTATTGAGCACAACCACTGTGGGTTTCTGTTCTTTCCGTAGAAGGTCCATGTGCTCTTTCAAATCTGGACTTAGCGGCTCATTCACAGGAAGGACAGCAACAACCACATCACCAACTAAGCTTCTCTGTTTCGCACGGCGAATTCCTTCTTGTTCGATCGTATCCGCTTTCTCCAAGCTTCGAATACCAGCTGAATCTCCCACAACAACTTTAAAGCCGCCAATATCAAGAGGTACGTCTAAAATGTCTCTTGTCGTGCCAGCTATATGAGACACGATTGCTGTATCATTATTAGCAAGATAATTGAGTAACGACAGCTTCCCAGCGTTAGGTGGTCCAAGCAAACAGACTTTGATTCCCCGAAGAAGAATATCCGAGCCACGCACTTTGCGCAAGTAGCTCTCGATTTCTGTTATAAGGGAGTCGATGCTCTTCTCTACGGTTGAGAATAGCTCTTTTGTTTCTTCGAGATCGTGTTCTTCGCCAAAATCGATAACTGTGGTTAGAAGTGCCATGTTTCGAACAATCTCTTCACGCCAGCGAGCAAAGACTTGCTTGTTTTCTCCTGTGAGAGATGCAAGTGCCGAGAGCCGCTGCGATTCTGTGTCAGCGTCAATCATCTCACGGATTCCTTCAATTTCAGTCAAATCTAGTCGACCACTCATGAACGCACGGCGTGAAAACTCACCTTGTTGAGCCATGCGGATCTCTGTCCCATTTTCTGGGTCGTGAAGTTCTTGGATTGCGCCAAGCACGGCCTTAATAATGGCATTTCCCCCATGAACGTGAAGTTCCAATAAATCTTCGCCAGTATAGGTCTTTGGGCCACGGAAAAAGACAGTGAGCGCCTCATCTAGCATTCCATTCGATCCAAAAATACGCCGCACGCTGGTTCTCTGAGGAAGAGGAGGTTTCTTGCTCTTTGTTAATTGGTGGTAGACATATTGAGCCTTTGGGCCCAGAACTCGAATAACTCCAATCGCAGCACGACCTGGGCGTGTTGAAAGCGCAAATATTGTCGGATGGTAGAAGCGACAAAAAGTGATTTTAGGACATATAGTTCGGACTGGCTGTAGCCATGGTTTTGGTATCAACATTAGATCTTAGGCTTTCCAATAGATGTGCGCACTGGATATTTTGCGATGATTACTCCACATTCAGATCCAGTCGCATCGCTATTTATCTTTCTGCAAATTTCGCTTCTATTGGTTTGCAATTGGATTTTTATGTCGACTTTTGCTGATCCTAATTTTAACTTCCCTTTGCCATGTTCCGCCGTTTCCACACAGCCCAGACTCTCCTTCATGAGAATCCGCTTGGACTTCCCAAATCTTCGAAGTCGCCTATGGCCCGTGGATTGCCTATCAAGCAAAGAATCCCAAACGTCGATAAAGTTGTATTGGTCTCTTCAGCTAAAGGAGGTGTCGGAAAATCCACGGTTTCTATCAACACAGCACTAGGTCTTTCTCAGCTTGGAAAGTCTACCGGTATTCTTGACGCAGACATTTTCGGACCATCTGTTCCCAAACTTCTTTCTCTCCTGGGCGAACCACGGCTTACAGAAACGGGAAAATTACTTCCGCTCACCAACTACGGCCTTCCGTCTATGTCCATGGGTTACTTGGTTCCTCCCGAAAACGCCGTGGTTTGGCGTGGGCTCATGGTGATGAAAGCACTTCAGCAACTTCTATTCGAGGTGGAATGGCCTCATCTAGACTACTTAGTGGTTGATATGCCCCCTGGAACTGGTGATACACAATTGACTATAGCACAGCAACTCAAAGTCGATGGGGCAGTGATAGTATCAACGCCCCAAGATATTGCGTTGATCGATGCGGTTAAAGGAATTGCCATGTTTGAAAAAGTACACATCCCCCTTCTTGGGCTTGTACAGAACATGAGCCATTTTGTGTGCCCCAATTGCCATCATGAATCGCATATTTTCGGTTCTGACGGGGCCCGAAAAGAGGCCGAAAAACATGGTCTTGATGTGTTGGGCTCAGTGCCGTTGAACGAAAAGATTTGCCTTCAACTGGATGCGGGAGTACCCGTAGTAATTTCTGACCGAGACACTGACTTGGCTAAGCCATATATGGATATTGCACAACGAATCGTTGAGAAACTCGGATAACTTATACAATGGCAAGTACGAAAGCCAATAATACGAACAAAATTGAAACCTTGTGCTTTGGGCTCAGACTTTCTGCCACAGTTTGCCTTATCCGCTTGAGAGGATTTCTAAAAAGATGGTGAATTTTTGTTTCGCTTAACCATGACTTGTTTGACTTGGTATAAACTGGGAAGGGAACAGATCGGTTGTGGTGGGTTAGAAAAATCGAGGTCCGAACTGTCGCATTCAGAAGGTGCAAGTCAGTAGAACTTGTTTCCGACTTATTGTGATGCGTCTTTGTAGTTTCTGATTCAATCGCTGGTGTAGACGAGACCAACGAAAGATTACCAGAGGTTTGTGCAACACTTAGTTCCGGCAGCTTAGTTTTGTCTGACCGTGAATCACTTCTCCAAGGATCTCGCAGAAGATCAAAGGCTGAAGTAGTTTTAAATGCAATATCTATATCCTTTTCGTTTAGGTTTTCTTCGCTTGTAGAAACAGGTACGATTTTTATTATCGAAGTTCTAGGCGTGCTGTTCATTTTCACAATGGTTTGCGTAGGACGTAGGTTTGCAGTTACAGGAATTAGAGTAGCCCAAGACGGACTTTGCAAACTTTCTTTTAAGTATTGATTTTCAGCAGATACGAAATCTTGTCCCTCCACTGTCAACATGAAGAGAAGGAAAGGTAAGATTTTTGGTAGAAAGTGCATCACACAATGAATATATTTATTCGTAAAATGGGTGCAAACGCGTAAGAAAAACACATTCATCATCTCTCCAAGAAACAACTTTTTTCAATTTTTCCATCACTTGAACGATGAGATCAACACGAACGTACTACGGCAGGAATCTTCAAATCTTCAAAATTCATAATTTCACATTGTTCTCGTTTTCAACGGGTCAAACTAATTTGCCAGATTTCCCAATGCCACCAAGCGGAAAACCCGGATATCACGTGCACATAACAGAAGGCCCTTTCTTAACTTGTTTCTCTTGAATGGATATTTCCACCACGCCGAAAGCACACAAGGTGCTGGAAATCGAGGTTAGCAGTATCCGGAAAAGGATAATAACTGACCTTGACTCGAGCTACATCGAAGAAGAAGACGCCACATATGTTCTTTCCGAATCAAGCGATCAGGAGGAAATTAGCGATGCCGATTTCGAAGAGGGCGAGATTTTCGAAACGGAAATCGTAAAGGAAGAAGATGACCTCTTGTCTATCAGCGAGAAGGAGACTCCGCGTACCTTGAAAGAGTTTTTGATCGAAAATGAGGTTCCCCGCAAACTTTTTCATTCTTTCCACGGATTTCTCACGCTATACTTGTACTGCAAAGGTTTTTCGAAGGAGCAAATCGTGGCCCCTTTGTGGACCTTGTTTGTGATTTTCTTTGCCAGCGATGTGATCCGCTTCAACTGTTCCAAGATCAACCAGATCATTGTGAACGGATCTAGATTCATCATGCGTGAGAAGGAATCTACTCTGTGGAACGGTATCGTGTTCTACTTGGCAGGGTTAGCCCTCGTTTTCACTTTCGCTCCCAAGGACATTTCCGTTATGAGCGTTTTGCTTTTGAGCTGGGCTGACACTGCTGCTTCGACTTTTGGACGTCAGTTTGGAAAATACACTCCAAAGATTGCCGATGGAAAGTCTTTGGCCGGATCCATGGCCAGCGCACTTATGGGAATAGCTGCTTGTTATCTTTTCTACGGCTACTTTGTGCCATATTTCCCTGTCAATGGTCCTGGAGAGATCATGTGGACTCCAGAAACCAGCACCATGAACTTGCACACATATGCTTTGGTTTGCGGACTCGCCGCCTCCATTTCCGAAGCCATTAACATCCCGGGGCTTGATGACAACTTCACCATTCCTGTGTTGGGTTCGTCTATGATTTACGGTGTAGTGTGGCTTTTCCAAAAGTACTGAACTATTCGTTGGTATGTAACGCTTAATTAATCATGTGAACGACGGATGTAGGTGAACTGAGAAAATTGCTAAATAGGCCAGTGTGAATAAATAGACGACTGCTGATAAACCGACAAGGGATGCAAACCGAATCGAAGTAATTGGTACTAGCGGTGACTTCCATATCAAACCACCGATGAAGATTTTTATCCAATACCGGCCAAAATTCCATTTGGGTGGGATTGCCAACGAGTCATTTTAAATGCTAATCTACTTTCAATTACTGACAGAGCAATCCAGAAACATGATTTACACTTCTGCTCTGCTTGAAACTGCTTTTCTTAATCTGTCTTTCACAATCATCAAAGGCGACAGTAAATGTGCCAGTTGGTAACCACAGGGTCTTGTTGGCTCTGTCACTTCATATCAAGCCACTTGTGACTTGTGTCTCAGCAATGTCTACGTCTTAATTGGATTCATTTATCTAGACTGTACTTCTTTTCCCTAGTTTGCCTATTGGGTCCACCACTACTATGTGTGCTCTTGATCTCAAAATTCATAATCTCGACGACTAATAGCACCCACTATTCCTCTGGTGGATATATACTGCAATCGAGGTTAGACCGATATGTCCATATCATCGCTTATCTATGCACTTCGGCGCGCGGCGTAACTTACACCTGAGACAAGAGCACTTTCAAAAAACCATGGAACCTGTCTTTCTTGGCGTATGGCGAAACCAGCCAGATGGAAGCGTTGGCCTAGAAATATAAACTTGGTTTTATTCTTTGGCTTACAATTCTGCGTGCGGCATTCGCCACGATTGCTCGCAGGCAAATTCGCGGAGAAACGGGGAATTCCGCCAACGCTTCCTCTTCTGACTCGATAACGCAGTAGGCCGGATCGAATGTAAGCCGTACTGCACACAGCCGGGCGCCGTTCCATCAAATGGATGCGCAGCTGCGCACGGAAAATTCAGCTTCTTTCCGTCTTGACAGAAGATGAATAGCTACGGGCATAGAAACGTCTTGTAATGACATTCAAAAAAGATGTAAAGCCCTGTGAGGGAAGTATACTGCCCAAATTGGTCAATCCCCTTTTTTTCCGCCCTTCTCCGCTGTTTTCGCCTCCATTGCTGCGCCATTGCTGAAGCGCAATTGACTTCTTCTCTCGAAGACCCTCGCGGCATTAACACATGCAGTGCATTTCTCCGTCTTCTTTCCACATTATATCCGTTTCGCCACTTGTGACATAAAAGCACCCACTTAGCGCTTCTTTGACGCTTGACTCACATCTGTTAAAAGTTCATTCCACATAACCTTCTTTAGCCATGTCAGAGCACCGTCTACAGAGGAGGCTCTTGACTCCCTTCTTGCTGAAAAAAGTTCCTCCTATCCCGGAAGAAGATGAACGAATAGTCTACCCCAAGCGGCCCAATATCTTTTCCATCATGTTTTTCTGGTGGCTAGGTCCTGTCATGCGGGCCGGGTACAAGCGTACTTTGACGGCGCAAGATTTGTACAAGCTCAACGATGATATCAAGGTTGAATCCATGACCCGCCGATTCGAGCAATACTTTCAAAACAGCTTGAACAAGGCCATGGCCGCCCATGTCCGGGCCAAGATGAAGGCGCGTGGTGAAACTGCCGAAACAAACACGGTGGATTTCGAAAAGGACATGGAAGACTTCAAAGTGCCCAAGATGATCATCGTTCGGGCCATTGCCCGAACCTTCACGTTCCAGTACGGAATGGCTTGTCTTATGATGGCTTTGGGCAGCACAGGAAACAGCACAACTCCTTTGCTTACAAAAAAATTGATTCGTTTTGTCGAATTGAGAACCCTCGGGTTGGAAAAACACATGAATGCCGGAATCGGCTATGCCATTGGCTCCAGTATCATGGTTTTGGTCAATGGTCTTTTCGTTAACCACGCATTCCATCTTTCTATGCTCACAGGTGCCCAAGTCAAGGCGGCCCTTACGAAAGCTTTACTCGACAAATCTTTCCGTCTAAGTGACGCTTCAAAGCATGAGTTTCCTACATCGAAAATCACCTCCATGATGGGAGCAGACTTGGCGAGAATTGACTTTGCTCTTGGTTTCCAGCCGTTTTTGATCACTTTCCCAGTGCCAATCGCCATTTCTATTGGTATCTTGTGCCATAACATTGGTGCGCCAGCAATGGTTGGTGTGGGCTTAATTATTGTTTTCATGGTTCTCACCATGTTTGTCACGGGAAAGTTATTTGCATATCGTAAAACAGCTAATGTTTTCACCGATGCAAGAGTCAACTACGTGAAGGAAGTCTTGAACAACTTAAAAGTGATCAAATTCTACTCGTGGGAAGTCCCTTACTCCAAAATTATTACCGAAAACAGAAACAAAGAAATGAACATTGTCTACATTATGCAAGTGGCCAGGAACATCATTACATCTCTAGGCATGTCCTTGACTCTATTTTCCTCCTTGGTGGCTTTCTTGGTGTTGTACGCCATCCAAGGTTCTACAAAAGATCCAGCCAGCATTTTCTCTTCCATTTCCTTATTCAGTGCTTTGGCGCTGCAGGTTTTCATGATCCCACTAGCATTAGCATCTGGTTCGGATGCTCTCATTGGTGTCACTAGAATTGGCGAGTTTTTAGCCGCTGAAGAAATCAACCCAAGACTGGCTAGAATCACTGCATCTGAAAAGACAAAATCCGACATGGAAGCTAACAAGTTGGCACTCAGTATCAAAAATGCATCTTTCAAATGGGAAACATTTGGCGAGCAAGCATCACACACTAATAATACTCATACATTATCCGAGAAAGAAAATTTTACTGCTTCCGAGAAGGAGCTCTACAATAAGCTCGAGAAGCACATGACAAATAAGCTGATTTCCACCATTAGCCATGAGTCAGCAAGTTCCCCAGACCATGGGCCATTTTCGGATTCCAGCTCCCTCGCAGAACAGAATTTCCCTGGTTTGGAGTCGATCGATTTAGATGTGAAAAAGGGAGAGTTTGTTGTCATTACAGGTCTTATTGGTTCTGGTAAGACATCTTTGTTGAATGCCATTGCTGGATTTATGAAAAGAGTGTCTGGCTCTGTGGATGTCAACGGCTCCTTATTGCTCTGTGACCAACCATGGATCCAAAATGCTACTGTCCGCGAAAATATTCTATTCGGTTTGCCTATGGATGATGCAAAATACAAAAATGTTGTCTATGCTTGCTCCCTCGAAAGTGATTTGGAAATCTTACCCGCAGGTGACCTCACGGAAATTGGCGAGAGGGGTATCACCTTGTCTGGTGGCCAGAAAGCCCGTATCAATCTTGCTAGAGCTGTGTATGCGGATATGGACATCATCTTATTGGACGATGTTTTGAGTGCTGTGGATGCTCGTGTGGGGAAACATATCATGGCCCAATGTATCATGGGCATTTTGAAGGACAAGACGAGAATCTTGGCCACACATCAATTGTCTTTGATTGGATCTGCTGATCGCATTGTCTTTTTGAATGGTAATGGTTCTATATCTGTTGGTACATTTGAAGAATTGAAGTCAAAAAATGAAGCTTTCAGTCATTTGATGGCCTTCAATGCAGACAGCCATGACTCAGAGGATGAAAAAGAAGAAGAAGTTGAAGATGAAGAAGAAAGAGAAGCTGTTAAAGAATTGGTTGAGCGCCAGGTGACTAGATATAAATCTAGAGCAGATGAGGAAGAAATCCGCCATGATTATGAGGCAAATGCTGACAAGGACGGGCGTTTGATTGATGATGAAGAAAAAGCGGAGAATGGAATCAAGTTTGAAGTTTACAAGAACTATCTTTCTATTGGTTCTGGTATTTTCAAGCATTATTCATCTGTTCCAATTGTGATCGTTTTGATTGCTCTTTCTGTTTTCTGTCAGTTGTTCACCAACACCTGGCTTTCTTTCTGGTCGGAAAAGAAGTTTGCTCATAAATCTAATGGTTTCTATATCGGCTTCTATGTCATGTTCACATTCCTTGCGGCGATTTTCCTCACATTGGAATTTGTTCTTCTCGCTTACTTGACCAATAATGCTTCCACCAAGTTGAACTTGATGGCTGTCCAGAAAGTTTTAAGAGCACCAATGTCGTACATGGATGTGACGCCTATGGGCAGAATTCTTAATCGTTTCACTAAGGATACAGATACATTGGACAACGAAATCGGTAATCAAATCAGAATGTTGACTTATTTCTTCTCTAACATCGTTGGTGTTCTTGTTTTGTGTGTCATTTATCTTCCATGGTTTGCCATTGCCATTCCATTTTTGGGTTTCATTTTTGTTGCCATTGGAAATTTCTACCAGGCATCTGCTAGAGAGATCAAGAGATTGGAGGCAGTTCAAAGATCGTTTGTCTACAACAACTTCAATGAAACATTGAGCGGAATGAAAACGATCAAAGCTTACCAGGCTGAAGAAAGATTTTTGGAGAAGAACGACACTTATGTGAACAACATGAACGAAGCATACTATATCACCATTGCTAATCAGAGATGGTTATCTATCCATCTTGATTTTGTCGCTGCGGGATTTGCTTTGATCATTTGTTTCCTCTGTGTTTTCCGTGTTTTCAAGATTAGTGCTGCATCAGTTGGTTTGTTGTTGTCCTATGTTTTGCAAATCGCTGGTCAGTTGTCTATGTTGGTCAGAACATATACCCAGGTGGAAAATGAAATGAACTCGGTCGAAAGAATATGTGAATACGCACTTTACTTGCCAGAGGAGGCTCCTTACAATATCAGTGAGACTAAACCTGCTGACTCTTGGCCGGAGCATGGTGCTGTTCGTTTCGAAAATGTATCTTTGGCTTACAGACCTGGTTTGCCTTTGGTGTTGAAAAATTTGAGTGCTGATATCAAGCCCAAAGAAAAAATAGGTATTTGTGGCCGTACAGGTGCCGGAAAGTCATCCATCATGACAGCATTATACAGATTATCAGAGTTGAATGGCGGTAAAATTGAAATCGACGGTGTTGACATTTCGAAACTTGGCTTGAATGATTTGAGATCCAAATTGTCAATTATCCCACAAGATCCAGTGTTGTTCCGTGGTACGATACGGAAAAACTTGGATCCATTCAACCTCAGTTCAGAGGATGTTTTGTGGAGCGCCTTGAGAAGAGCTGGGTTGATTGAAGAGTCAAAGTTGGAGTTTGTAAAGACCCAGAAACCCGACGCAGAGAATTTGCACAAATTCCATTTGGATAGAGAAGTCGAAGATGAAGGTTCCAACTTCTCCTTGGGAGAACGACAATTGATTTCTTTCGCAAGAGCCATGGTGAGAGACTCAAAGATTTTGATTTTAGATGAGGCTACCTCTTCTGTGGATTATGAAACAGACTCAAAGATCCAAAGCACAATTGTCAGAGAGTTTGGCAACTGTACGATTTTGTGTATTGCCCACCGTTTACGGACTATCTTAAATTACGACAGAATCTTGGTTTTGGACAGAGGTGAAATCAAGGAGTTTGATACTCCTTGGAATTTGTTCCAGTCTGAAGATGGCATATTCAAACAAATGTGCGAAAGATCGAACATCACGAAGGATGATTTTAAGCATTAAACAAACACGTTTTACTTATTGATATAATATTTAGGATTAGTATACATCTATTTAATTATGAGAATGCCATCATTTCATTTTCTTCTTGTAGTCTGCGAATGAAAGTTTCTTGACTGTCGGTGGTTTAGGCTGGCCAGTCACTGGCGCATCTTCGCCAACCTTTTTTATGTCAGGCACTTTGTCCTTTTGCATAAGAACTGAAGGAACAGGATTAGCAGACGTTACTTCCTTCTTTACTGTGGAAGAAGCTGTATTGGTAAGCTTTCCAGGGAGGTGCAATTTGTTTTTCACCGTCTCCTTTATTGTAGTCAAAATATCATCAACCAACGGTACAGCAATGATCTTGGGAACACTAAGCAAAACTTCTGCATCATTTACGCTTTCAGGAGTACCAGACTCGATCTTAAACTTCTTTGATGCGTACCGTTTGCCTTGAGCGAACATTCTCCGCTTGTACGGAGTTTTGACGTTGGCTTCATCTATAACCTTTTGCACCGAAACAGAACCTTCTCTGCTTGTAGCATTTAGATCTGAGCCATATTCCTCGTCATCACTTCGTTCGTGTAGTAAATCACCAGCAAAAATAGCCAGATAAATAGATTCATCTCTTTCCTTTAATCGCTGTATCCAAGAGAAAAATTCTCGTTCCTTCTTCGGCATCACTAATTCCTCCTTAGATTTGTTAAACCCAGCATTTGAAAGGCTAGACGCTTTTCTTGTAGAGCGCAATAAATATGAAGTCGCCTTTTTCACTTTGAAGATCAGACAAATCAGATTCATGGAAGTGGTGTTGCAGGCACATTCTACAAAGTTCAAAATCTTGTCGACACCGGAGACAAGAAGAACCTTTTCTTCGTCTTCGAAATCATCAAACTTTGCTCCTTCTTCAAACTCGCCACTGGCTGTTTGCTTGATCATTTTCTTGATTGGATGATGCACATCCCATTGCCAAGGAAGCCTTAACTCCTCCTCCATAACTTCTCCTTTAAGTACTATAGGTTTCGTGGTGTAAACGACGAATTTGAATGTTTTGAGTTCAGGAATATAAATGGGCCTGATTTCACAGTTTGCGGCATGGATACAAGATTTGCGAATAAACCTCGCCTCATTGCCCACAAACCTGGAATCAACAACAAATGAAGATGATTCCGAGGAATTTGTATTAGGTAGTTCCACTCTCACTACCTTTGGCTTCACAGTACCCCAAGTACCATATTGATTAACGCAATTTGTAGCATACAGATCAAAAAAATCAACTTCTCCCAAGTACTCTATGATCGCTGTACCTGAAGAAATTGTAACTTCTTGTTCCGGAGACTTCTGATTTCCCGAAATGAAAACTCCGATTTTTGGAACACTAACATATTTTTGCTTAGGGTTATCGCTGTACGTCTTAACCTGGATTGAGGTTCCATTACAGTGCTTGTTTCGGCGCCCATCTTGCTTCTCTTGTAAATGCTTTTGATAATTGGGCAAAATAACTTTGCTCAATTCGATGGATTGAAATTGAGATAATGGAAGAGTTTCGATGCCAGGAAAATTACCTTTCCCGACGACATCGCCCAAACGAGCCATTGTTTCCTTGACGTATGGGGTTTTGAAATCATTGGCTGTCAATTTATAGTACACTCCTTGATAAGCTTCTGCAGATACTCCGTCCTCAAGTTGAGTGTTATTCTTGTTGCAAATATTGATTGTGGCTGACTGCACTGTAGATGCAGAGGATGATGCGTTAGAGCCAGAAACTTTGCGTTTTTCTCCACCTTGCTTTTCGGAAGCGTATTTGGCATCTTTTTCAGATTTTCTTCTTTTCTTGTCATCGCTTCCGGACGTCAGAGACTTTCGTTTAGTTGCTGGTGGTGCTTCTGGCTCATTTACTCTCTCCAAATCTAGTCTGTGAAGTGTATCGTTTCGGCATGTGGAGGGATCAAATTTGTTCCACTTTGACTCATCACAGTAATAACACTTGTACACGTCTTCGGGAACTTCCTCGTTAGTTTGGTACCCCATACACATGCAATGCTGCCAACGGAAACAGACATCACACTGGATAGTAAAGCCATCATCTTCTTCGATTCCACATATGCAACCGATGACACCAGAATCTGGGTCAACTTTGTAGGAATCGAGTGGCGGAATCGGAGTGGATTCCCTCTTGACAATGACTGTTTCCGGTTCAGTTTTAGATTCGTTTCCGTCAACACCAGGGTCCGCCACTTCAGCTTCTGTCATGCTTTGCGGAGTGTCGGGTTTGATTGGTTCATCTATCAAAGGTTCTTCATCTGTTTGTGCATCGTCTTCCGGCTCTGTAAGAACTGCTTCACGCTGGAGGTTTTCTTGTGCTTGAGCCGTGGATATCGGCGCTTGATTTGTTGCTGCTGGCGCTTCGGGCTTTCCCGAGACCTGTCCTGCAACGGCTTCCAGTGTGTCTTCTTTCTTCGGTTGCACTGATTTCTCCCACTTTGTGTCTGATGAAATGTCTGCTTTCGGTTCCCGCGTACTGTCGATGGTCTTGGTTTCATTTTCTCGCTTTTCCTTTTCTGCAGCTTTCAAAGGAAGAGGAATGTCAGCAGCAGCCGCTAAAGCTGCTGCGGCAATGACTGCATTGTTTGTGTTTCTCTTGCCCGACTCCACATTGATTCCCCGAGAAAGCACCATGCTTGCTGGGCCGGGAGACGTAACGTGGCCTGGGGGCAGCCTGTGTGGATAGTACCCACCGGAAGGCGTGCGTACATGGGTTTGAAACTTGCCCTGGGCTGGCAAAACGCTCTGAGCCGAGGTACTCGATTGTAGAGGCAACGATGAGGGAAAAGCTGTCAGCGCACGGCGAGGCTGCTGATCTGGTTCTCCTGGAGGAGAGTACAGATTCTGCACAGGCTGTTTGGGCGGTAGCGCTGCGCCCGCGCCGAAGGCGTAGGAGTAGTATGCTTGTGTGGGCACCATATGCGGTAGAGCGGTGTGCGGAGAAAAATGAGGCCGCTGCTGCTGCACGCCTTGGGATGTGTTGCTGACGTCCTGGTGGCTGCCAAAGTTCGTTTGCGCCTGGATTGGCGGGTAGACGGCTGGAGGGGCAGGCTGGTCGTATGGTCTGTTATGATCAAACAGAGGCTTGTGTTCAGGGGGAAACGGGTGCTGGACTGGAATAGCCGCCAGCTGGGCATGGGGCAGACGTTGTTGTTGGTTACCTTGAGCCAGCGGCGATGGCGGAGATCGTTGCCGGGCAGCGGCGTTAGCGAACATCAAAAGCGTGGAGGCATCTTCCAAGAGCTGTTTCTCCTCCTTGTCCTTGCTCATGATCAAAGGAGAGAAGCAGGTCCAGAGAAAAAATGGACAGGGAAGGAAAAGAAAAGGACCAAAAAGGAAACGTGCAAAAGCTAAAACACAAGGGTGCTGTCCAAAGATGTGATGTTGGAGAAAAAAGCAGGTTGAGGCTTGAAACAATCGGAGTGCAGGTTGTGCGGCCTCGTTTGGTATACGACAAGACACAGCGGAGTGGTGTTTCGTTTTCTTCTTTATATGTATCGGGCGTCGTTTGTCGTGTAAAGGTGGTGTTACTTGCTCTTTTTCGGTTTTTTTTTTCTCCTTCTCTCGTTTTCTGATCTTGCTTGCGGTACTGCTAAACGAATGTTGGGTGGTGGAGTTTGATGCGGATCGGACTACATTCTGACTCTTAGATTCGCATAGTCCTAAAATCTATATACGACGCGAAGAAATGCATGCTATTCTTATATGGTCGGTGCTGTGATGAGTATCTTGTGTTTGAGTCCCGGTGTTTAATACGAGAGTATACGAAACACACCCACCTATGTGATACGAGACGGCATTGATGACTGATGTGATTGCACACGTTCTGATGAAGTATCTGATGCATGTACCGGATGAACATATTGAACGTCCACAGCGATGAAACAATGTGGTGCTGACCTGAGCGAAAAGGTGCTACTAAAACAGTACTTAGATATGCTGAACCTTCTACCTGTCTGATGTTTACGCTCTTGAATTGTGCCAGGAACACTGGGTAATCAGAAAATGGCGTACGGAAAGACAAACCTTTACTACAGTCTACTATCGTATAACTGATGGCACTTGCCGGTCATTTCCGATCGCAAAGCCAACTGCGATCTTCTACTCGTTTCTTTCTCTACTCGTTTCTTCTTCGCTACTCGTTTCTTTCTTCTCTAGTAGTTCTTCTTCTCTTGAATTTAACACTCAGTTCACTGGCTTTGCCGTCTTTCCTACGGTGAAGCTAGCTACAACAGCCCTCTCACTAAAAGTTCGCATCACACTATTCACTAGAAACTATGTGCCACTTATCCCATGTGCTCTTGAATGCAAATCTGCACATTTCCATTATTGGAGCTTCTCAATCCAAATGAATATTCAAATCAAAAGCCGACTTCAGTCCCGTTTACTATATACAATGCACTCACGCAGACTCGCCCGTCTTGTCCTTCTTCATCTTCTCTAGATAATCGAGTTCCTTTTTCAACGCATCCATCGCATAATACACTTTGGACTGTAAGTAGAACGAGTTACCCTTTTCCTTCGAGTTCACATCGAACAAGTACTCATACTTCTTATCGATTTCCGCCTGGGTCAACTCCTTGCGATCGATATCCAAAATCTTCAACGCTTCATCCACAGGAATGCCTCCAACAGATTTTGCTTTGGTGGCTCCAGTGGCTGCGGCGGTAGCGCTGGCCTTGGCAGCTTGTTTGTATGCTTCAGTGAAAGCGCGGCCGAAAACGGCGGCGCCTGTGAAAATGACATTTACCAATAATCTGTGGGCCATTTGGGACTGGAGAAATGGATGATGGAGGCGATTAGTTTTTGTGAGAAATCAGAGTGCACGTTAGTATTAGAGCGCGACGTGCGTGACACAAAAAAACTGCGAGTGCGCAGAGGAACAGAAGAGCATGGAAAAATGCTTTAGAGAATTTTACACATGGGCTGGTTAAAATGTACTACACCAGACTAAATATGTAGCATCAGGCTTTAATCCGGCAACAATCGCCACAGTGAACTGCGCTTTGCCGAAACTATTCTAAAACCTAAAATGCCGAAGCTCTAAAAGACCGAAACGAAGTGCTACCTGTGGCCAATCTGTTGAAAAGGTCAGGTAGCTCTTAGCTGAACGTAATACCCAGTTCATGCCTGCTGATGCGGCATACTTAGGATAATACTAAGGCCCTTATAGTAGTGTGTCTTACGACACGAAGTTATACTTATTAAAGTTTAGTATAACCACTACTGATGGTTGGCCTTTGAAAATGGTGCGCGGGATGCGCCTTCTTATATACTTGGAGGTACGGGGCGGGTAACGTTATAGTATACAGGCTTACATTCACAAAGGTTTGACTTGACATAGAAGAAATGCTAGAAATGAAGCGCAAAACATAGTATCATCTACCATGATCATAGGATCCGTTTTTGTAAGCTTAGCTCTACCTCCAGCTTTCTTTATTGCAAGAGGGCTCTTTCAATTTCCAAAGATGGTTTTTCAGTACCTCGAATGATGCTACCTTGGGGTTCTTTAGGAGGCGGTTTCATAAGCTTTGTGACCTGATATTCGGGTGACATTATTTCCTCTTTTAGGCATTTTTGTTGTGCTCTTGTCTTGTTGTCGTATCGATCGTCGTCATGTGTGTATATGCACTCTGCGATGATCTTCACCACTACATACCACCTTCTTCCCAAAAGCCCAAATGTCTGTCACACGGAAATCGAAAGTGGAGGCGGTGCTCGAGTGGCTCGAAGAAAATGCCTTTTGGAATTCTGAGTTGCTTGAAGTGCGTGAATCCAGTCTAGGCGGTACAGGCGTGTTTTGGAAATTGGAAGATGATCTGGACCCAGACGACGACAGATTGCTTCTTCGGATCCCAAAGAGCAGTGTTTTATCTCCCAAAAACTCTTACATCTACTCCATGCTAGTGGACTACGAGCCTTCTGAACCTACGATCGACTTCAAGGAAGGTATGCATTCTATTGTTCTTACGTTCATTTACGAATTGGCCTTGGGCGAAAAATCTCCTTGGTTTGCATACTTGGACTCATTTGAGCTCAATTCCAAGGTTGGTGCTCCCTTGTGTTTGTGGGATGAGAAAGAAAAGCACGCCTTGTTCAATACCGAGCCAGATCTTTTGAATATGCTAGATTCGACTGAGCTCATTCATTTTTACTTGGAGTGCGTCAGGTTTGCAAGAACAAACGAGAAGTACCTAAGGATTCCTTCCGTTTTACTGTTAAAAGACAAAGAAATGGATGCAGAGAAGGTGGAGGGAAAATATCACAGCAAATTGATCCAGTTTGGAACGTATGTGCAAGCTGTTATTTCTCGGGCCTTCACAGTAGATAGATACTATGGTCTTTCGCTTGTTCCCGGTGCCGATTTATTCAACCATCTTTCTCCGATTGTGGAAGGTGACAATCTAGTTCCGAGAGAAAATGTCCACTTTGTTTGCGATGACGACGAAGGCCTTTGTGAAGAGTGTGGAGAATATGGTTGTGCTCACATGGACTCGGAATTGGACAGCGAAGACGACGGTATGGAAGATTTGGAAGAAATATCAGATGATGGCTCTGAGGATGAAGAACAAGAAGAGAATGAGAATATGGACGACTTGATGGAGACAGACATTGAGTTGCCAGAATCGGAAACAGAATCAGAAGATTCTGAGGATGAAGAGCTTGAAGGAAATGAAGAAGATGAAGGAGAGGATGAACTTTCTAGTGATGGCGATAATGAATCTCAGTTAGAGCCAATGACAAAAATTACTTCCCAAGATATTATGGAGGTGGAAGCTGATTCGGAAGCAGAGACTGAACAAGACGACGAAGAAGTCTCTACTTTGTCTTTGAGTGATGATGATGTGGAAGATAAAAAACAAACTGATCAAGATGGTGACGCCAATGGAATTCAGAACAATGAAAACCACGAAAGCTGGGACTACCAGGAACTTGCAAAAGAGCTTCTGGATTCTTCCAAATGTTGTGATGTGGTCTTAACTAGTCCACCTTCGAAAGATCACAATTACGAGTTGTTCAACACTTATGGCAACGACTTGTCGAATGCCTATCTTCTTCAAAGGTATAGGTTTGTCTGTGAAGGCAACCCCAACACCACCTGCCTTTTGTCTGTGCCCATGTTTGCGTATTTAAAGAAAGAAAAAATGAATAAGCGTAAAAAAGCGCAATTGGAAATGAAAATCAACTGGTACGAGGAGGTTGGATTCGAATTGGTCAACGATCTATGCCGGGAAGACTTTAACCATGAACCCCACAATGATCACGAGTCTCACGAGGATCATGACTCTGAAGAAGAAAACTACTGTGACGAAGATGATTGTGAAGGCTGCGGAGAGGAAGAGACTTTCAAGGAGCCAGAATCGTGGCAACTTTCCCCAAAAATCGAATATGAAGGTACGCCTACGGACCAGACTGTGGCTCTTGTAAGATTGTTGTTGATGCCTTTCAAGGTTTTCTTCCATAAATTGGCACAGGCACCAAGCGAGAGAAGATTGGCAAAAAGAGTGGACAAGTACTTGTTGAGTGGTGAGATTCTGGAGGAAGAGAATGATCTTATTGTTCTGTGGGTCCGTGCCAGATTGGGAAGGTATAATGAAGACAAGTTATCGGGCGAAAGAGGTAACATGATAGCCTTGATAAAAGCTGAGGAAAAGGCTGTGCTCAAGAGAGCACTCGAAGTTCTTGGGGAAGGAAATTAAGATAGGGTGGAGCGGAGAAGGATATATAGCATTAGAGTGCATGCCTACAGCCACTAGACTGGCGAGGCTATAAACGAAAATTCTACTTTAATCCAGTAATGGAAAACGTACAATTACTTGCATCCATGTTTGTTAGTGTTATGTACTATCTCTAAGTTATGGTATTCAGATGGTGTACATTAGTTTATGGCACGTCCTTTTAGGTATCTCTATCTGAGTCTGAGTCTGAATAATTCGTCGTGAAAGAAGTCAGCGGGACGAAATACATTCCAAGGATGCAAAGTATACGATATCAATAAGTTACAGTGAAAGTCTTGACTGTTTCCAACAATGAAATTAGTATGGCTTGACTGTTTCCAACAATGAAATTAATATGGCTTTATCAATGAAACTTTACGATCTAGAAATTAACAACCTGAATAGCAATTACTCACCACTTCCACAACAATAACCAAATATGAACCATCAGATCGATAAGCCCATCGCTTGCTTCGTCTTTTCGTTTACAGTATGTAGTCCATGCTTTTACGAGCGTATGCGTCTTCTCCGACTGTTGGGACTCAACAAATAGATGGCGTGTGCCGGAACACCATATTTATAGACGCTGAAGTACGACTTCAATCACCATGAGCTGACCATGGGCAGAATCGCCATTTTTGTCTATGTGACATTGACTTCGGTTCCATACTACTACTTTGTGAAGTTTGCTGCGCCCTTCAACTTAGTGGCCACTGTGTCTTACTGTTATTTCCAGACAAAGTTTATCGCCATTGATTAGATGTGCTGGAGACTGATCTCAGGCGGATATGTGTTTTCGTGGCCCGTTGGGGTCTGGTTTGACAAGATGAAGAAAACGAAATGACAAGACAAAAAGAGGAAAAGAATAAAATGGGAAGGAATAAAAAAGTAATATATGGAGAAATAAAGCTTTGGAAAGAAGACAGATTATTTGTTTGCTTATTGAAGTATTTTGAACTTGTGTAGCCTCTATTCCCGTACATTGACACAATTAGAACATTGATTAAAGTACGAGGTGCTGAGCTTTCGTAATAATCAGAAACAACTTCATCCATGCATTACTGAAGCCATGCTTCTAAGTTGATTTGGCCCGGCCAAATTGAGACCGTATATCAGCATCTTCCAGTGTTCTTGACCTGATTTCGATTACCACGCAATGTCTTACAATTGGACTCGCATTTCGGCGAACGTGAATGATTTCCGAAGTGCCACCTCAATTATATTTTCTTTCTTTTTCCTCTTCTTCTACTATTTCCTTTTCGTCTCAGCATGCTTTTCATCTGTTTTGCCAAATAAGTTGCCTGTAGTCTTTCCATATCGGGTCTTCTATCATCGTATCTACATCTCATTATTAGTCGCGCACCGATAACTCATGCTTTAATGTCTGATTCTGAAATCAGTTTCGACTACGACGACGACTCCCTTCAAAGCGGCTCAGAATTCTCCGATGACCCGCCTTCCTCTCTCGCGGCGCCGCTGTCCCAAATTCCGCCCCGCAAATCGCCAAACTTCCTCTCGTCTTTCATGTTCCGGCCCACGCGGGTGCTGGGGTATATTTTAGAGCATTTCCTCACTCCGGCGAAGGCGCTCCAGGCCCTTTTGCCTGATTTCTCCATGGACGAGCTTTTGGTGATGTTACAGTACAAAAAGTGGCTGGCCAGCGAGGTTACAAGCGACTATTACGAGAACTGGCCTAAGCTACGCAAGTCTTGTGGACTTCCAGAAGAAAGAGGTGTCTCACACCGTTTGCGGGACCAGGTGCCCTTTTTGTGTCCTATTTGCTGCGAGGACTCTGTTACAGATGTGTTTCTGCTCCTATGTGGCCATGAATACTGTCTTCCCTGCTATAGTCAATACGTCAAGGCCAGCACGCGAAAAGGCTCGCTAATTCGATGTATGGACGTCGAATGCAACTTTGCTATAGTTCCTTCAGACGTGGAGTTCCTTCTTCAGGCTTCTGTGGCTGCTCCTGAGCCTGAAGCAGATGTTTCAAGCGAAAGCAGCGCTAGCATATCATCATACGACCAGCAGTTTGAGAGACTCGATCTTCTGGGCCGGTTGGTGGCACACGAGCCTCGGGAACCTTTACTTGAAAACGCATATCTCGTTTCTGCCGCTTCGCTTGACATAGACTCACGGCATGAACAATACCGCTGGTGTCCTGCGGTCGATTGCACCGGACTAGCTGAATTGGTGGTCAATCCCCGGAAAGACGATTTTGAATTCTCGAGTGACATCGACTTGGCTAATGTTGCCATTGTCTCGTGTCCCAACTCACACGAGTTCTGCTTTGATTGTCAGTATGAAAACCATCTTCCGTGTCCCTGTTGGCTTGTGAAAAAATGGGTCAAACGATGTGAAGACGATTCGGAAACTGCGAACTGGATTGAGGCAAATACCCAGTCATGTCCTCGGTGCCACACGCAGATAGAAAAAAATGGGGGCTGTAATCATATGAAGTGCCAAAAATGCACTCTCGAATTCTGTTGGATCTGCTTGGGGGATTGGGCCGTGCACCAATCTGCGTACTGGAAATGCAACCGTTACGATCCTAAAGAGGTGGAGCAGGTCAAGAAGAAGCGCTCTGACAAACAGGCGTCGCTTAGCCGTTATCTTCATTTCTACAAGCGTTTTTGCGTGCACCAAAAGTCGATGCAAGGCGATGAAAAGACTCTACGCAGTGTTCATCGGTGTATGCTTTCATACATGAAAGCTCAGCGGCTCAGCTCCGCCAAGTCTGTGCTGTGGAACGATGTTCAGTATCTTTCCGATGCTATTCGAAGTCTTTCCAGCGGGCGGAAAACGTTGATGTGGACCTATGCATTTGCGTTTTATCTTGAGAAATCCAACTTTGCAGAGATTTTCGAAGGCATGCAAGATTTCCTCACTAAGACCGTCGAGGATCTCTCGAGCCTTTTTGAGGAGCTAGATGGGGTCAATGGGTCAGAAGCAGTTTCTCGAATCACGAAGAGGAAATCAGATATTGTGAACCTATCTGCACTTGTGACTAGGCGTCAGCATTTGCTTTTGGAATGCGCCCACACGGGACTTTTGCAGGGCCAGTTGGCATTCCGTGAATTATAGAAGATTGCTAGTCTCTCACATTTTCGAGTACAAAGTTCAGAATGGGACCAACAAATTGTTTGTGGAGTGGTTTGGGGTTATAGACAGTTAATTGAAATAATGTAATGTAAGAATATTGCTTACAAAAGTCTGTACTCCGGAAATTTATCGAATAAGACAGAACAAATGAGAGATTATTGGTGTTCCTCTTCTGTACAAACGGGTTCTGTGGATCATCAAGAGACACTATCTTCATTTTGGAAACAGCATTAAGGGAACAGAAGTTAAACAAGCACAGTAAAGGACCACATGGCTAATAATCTTTTTGTTCACTATCCCTATTCGCACAGTTGAATACAAGGGCCCAAGGGTAACTCGAGGAGAAATGAATACAGAGATGCTTCTATTCTTTCGAAAGTCGTCCATTTAGGAGCCTTCCTTCCTGGCTTCAGAAACGGATATAGCATTCTATTAGATGCTGGTTTCAGAACCTACTTTTCCTCGGCACTTTGACCCAATATTGCAAGTATCTACGACAAATTATTGACCAAGAATATCAAGCGTACGCACACTTCAGGCTGCTTTGAAAATATCACAAGAATGGCAGTTTCACTTGAGCCCGAAATTTGAGGTAAAATGGCCATCCAATGGAGCTACTTTTTCGTATACCTCTTTTATTTTCGTGTATATTTTTTACGTCATTTCCACCTTGGCACCAATGAGAGAATTTTCGTCGACACATGCGCGCAGTCGACAATAAATGCATGTTTGCCATGCGGCTTTTCATCAAGACCAAAAGCCCCCAGAAAGCGAGATGATACAAGAAAAAAAAATCAAAATAAATCGGAGCACAAAGACAAGAATCCCACCGCAGCAAGACAAAAAGCGAACAACCCAGGCTTTTCCCATCACAAACTTAGCTCATCGGACATTGACACTTATCTCCCAGACGCACGTCCAAGTGCAGGTGCGATAAGCATAGATAAGCGTCGCCAAATCACCTGTCAGTACCTCCACCACCAACAAAGAAGCGAAAACCAATGTCCGAAGATACAAGAGGCCGCGGGCTTGTTCGTGTGCATTCGGCAAACAGCATCCACGACCGAAAACACATTGAGGTGGCCGAAGGGCCGCCGCGGTCCATTTCGATGCAACATGGCCAGGCCCACCAGCGGAAATCTGAAGATCTTCGCCACACGGCGGTCCGAAACGGGCTCCGGAGCTCGAAACTTTCAATGGCGCTCTCGCGGGCGCAATCGGTTGCCTCAGCGACCCACAACCACCAGTTCCAGAACAAGAACATCGCCATGGTCCAGCATGAACGCAAACCTCGCCCCAATTGGGACAGCACCTGGTCCAACTTCACGCTCACACAGGCAGAAAAGGAGCCCGTGCAGAAAGACGGCCGCGTGCTGAAATCCAGCATTTCGCCGCTCACTCGCCCGGGCCAGGCCACAAGAGCCACTCCAACTTCGCTTGCACCTATATCCAGTCCGCCCATGGCCAGTCTGAATGTCCCGTCCACGGACAACAAGTTCTCTGACCTCGGCGAAGTGACGCCCAAAAAGCCTCTGTCGGCACGGAGCAGGCTTTCTGTCGAAACGGGCCGGTCGAAAACGCTGGCCAAACGCAGCTCGATCCGCTCAGAACCTCTTCTGAAGTACGCAAGCGAGCCCGACTCGAGCGACGACTATGACGAAGACGACGACGATGGACAAGACGAACATCTGTCTTTGCTAGATCCGGAGTTTTTCGACACCGACGGCACGAGCTCGCTCTCGGCCTTGGCCCAAGAGATTCTGGTGTTCCAAAAAAGCCTCGTGGGCTCTGCTCCGCATGTACAGCCTACACGAACCCAGCAACGTGTGCTCGACTTGCGGGATCTTCTAAGAGAAGAAACTCAATCTCCAACACAGCCAACTTTGGGAAATCAGAATTTCATGGTGCGTATTCAGCACGACAAGATTCTTTCCGAATGGACACAGATCAGGCTCCGCTTCTCCAGCCACATGCACTCGAAGAACATGACTCGCTGCAGTGCCGGCATTTTGGGTTTTGTTGAGCGGTACAAGGCTCGGGGCTGGCCCGAAAAAACGTCGAGCCACACTGTGACTAAAGAAACAAAAGATGAATATCTTGCCAGCATGTGGCAGTCTGGCTTTCTGGTGAAGAAAGATGTCTTGGAAGAGCTGCGAGATATCTACAAAGAGCAACGAGATATTTACAAAGAGTCTGCTGCCTTTGACATGTCTTCTTTAGCACAGACTGCCATGTCTCGACAATCGCCCGTAGCAGCAGAATAATCGAACCACATTGCATCCAAACAAATAGCATTTGAAGCATCACTGGAAACGTTTCCCATTCTAGGTATTAGAGTTGTATAATCAAATCTGGCGAGCACACGGTAATCATGCCCTCATTTAAGAATTGATAATTAGATTTCTTCATGGTGTTTTCTACCCGTATAGAAATTACGTAGTGAGTTATATTTTTGTACGAGTTAAGGAAGTAATATCTATACTTTCTCTGATACTGTCAGTCTATTCCGTTTTCAATTCCAGTACAGCGAATAAAAAATATTTCAGTAGTGGTAAATGGAACGTTGGCAAATTGAGGCAAAAAGATAGACCCTCCGAGAACCATTATTCGGTTATAGTGATGATTTTTGACTCCACTACGCGAGTTGCACTTTTTGCTATTTTTTGACTACTGTAGCCACTGTTCCTACCGATAAATCCAATTTCCGGTTGTGGTTTTCGTCTACAATGTGTTCCTTCGTCCTGTCAGTTTGTATTAGACAGAGAACACGCCGAAACTAAAGCCACAAGCCACCTGGAATTCCACGAGTAGTAGCTACGATACGAGATGATACAATGTGTTCGCACCAAGATTCAGAATTGACAAGTTGAGACCTTCTGTTATATTCTGAAAATCTGACTGACCACCTAGACACCTCTCCTATTTCTGCCATATGCCTTCACTTCCATTCAGCCACGTAAAGAATCCGATTCTGTTCTCTGCCCTATAGGGCGGAATCAAGGTGCGGCACAGGTGTAATTTCGCGCATAGTAACAGACAAGTACCATAGAAACAGAAACGGTGAAAACAGGACTCTGCAATTGCGTCTTGTCAGTCTTATCCCACTCTTTGGCCGAGCTATTTTCGTTTTCCTGTGCTCTTTTTGTGACCAGAGCTTGTGCCAAGTCGACTTCTGCTCTATTTGACCTGCTTTTGCACTTGGACATCTGATCCCAGGTTTCTCACCTCCACCTACCTAACTCATCAGCACAAACTTCTGCCTTCATGAGCAAAAGAGCCAATTTGCCTTACACCTATCAGGATCTTTTTCCACACGTGGCGGCTTCTCCGCGAGATCCACGGACGCCAGGCTCCATTTCCGGGGCATCTTTCGCCGAATCCAGATCCCTAGCCTTCACGCCCCGCAGCCCCGACCACAAGCGATCCAATTGGAAAACCATGTTCCGGCGCCTCTTCAAACCTAGAACACTTGATTTTGAGACGGCCATCTGGGAAGTGTTCTACCTCATCATCAATCCACGAAAAATGTACAGAACCCACTACACTTACAAACACAGCAACGGCAAGGCGTCGCTGCGCCGAGACGATCCGTCTTTCCTCATTTTGGTCACCTGCTTCTTATGTATCAGCGCAATTGCCTGGGGGCTTACGTATCTGCCGCATGTGTGGGACATTATCAAACTAGTGGTCAACATGGTGATCTTCGACTTTTACGTTCTGGGAGTATGTGTTGCTACCGTATCGTGGGCAGTGACAAACGCTCTTTTCAATAACCAGTTCTCGTTACTGACTGCGTTTTCTGCCTCGTCTCGCTACGCAGTCAACTACATTGAGTGGGGCTTCTGTTTTGATATTCACTGCAACTCGTTCTTGATCATTTGGGCCGTGCTCTACTTGCTCCAGTTTTTCTTGCTCCCGCTTCTCACAAGCAAGAACTTCTTGCTGCTTTTGTTGGGGAACACCCTTTATTTCGGCGCAGTGGGCCAGTATTTCATCATCACTTTCTACGGCTTCAACTCTTTGCCTTTTGTTAGCAGTGCTTCTACTCGAGGCTCAAGCCCGGGAAAAGTGTTCCAAATGGCCATTTTGGCAGGCATTTTGCCGCTATTGGCCCTCGGCTGGTTTTTGTGCAATGTTTTCCGCTTCAACGTTGCGCAAGTTATGGTGCACAATTACTTCAATTAAGAAACACTGTTTCTACCTGTCCTTGAACTTGAACAGTTGCTTCTCGGTTTTTGAGGGCTAGGAATCGTGTAAAAGTATCCAATTCATGCCACCTGGGTCGTTCGTAAAGTAGTCTTTAAACCAAATAAAACGATCAAGAGAATCAAATTCTGTGGACTTTGAAATGAAGAAAGGCCATTTAATCAGGGCCATTGTCAAGAAGTGGATAAAGGAGACTCCTGAACCAATGATTCTCCATGTTGACCTTTTGTCTAAGCACGTCGTCTGTTATTGCGAGTTAAGATTTCTAACAATGGATCACAGGTTTTCTGCTATTTACATTTGGGAGTAGGTCAAAAGATGTTTTTGTTCTGAGGGTAAATATTCTTTATTCCTGATTGAGGGCTTCAAGTATGTCTATGAGTACTGTTAGGTCGACCTTACAACAGGTTTTCACACCAAAGTGCTACAAACCAGCTCAAGATGAACCTATAGTTAACATTTCCTTTCGTTCTCCACACATTTTAACATTTACCAACTGGATGAAAAACGTTCATGCAATCATGCTTCATAGTAGTTTTATCGCGTTGATTTCTCTAGCGGAACTACATGTAGAAGTGTATCATCTGCTTTATCTTCTCTCTATTTCTTTTCTTTTGTATTCTGTCGAAATATGCTACGTCTAACTGCTGCTGACTATCGTTTTTCACTAGAAATTTAGGCTAGCGGCTTCAACAGCTCAAGTCGCTCTGTTGCCGCCTTGATTTTCATACTTGTCCGATTACTCAACTCGTAGTCGCCCACATCTGCAACTGTCTCTGCCTTCTTGAGCCAGCGCAAGCTTTCTTTGACCGCCAATTTAGCATCGCCATCTTTCGTTTCGATCCAAGAAAACATTGCCCGCTCGTAGAGGGCTGTAGGGTATAAATATGGCGAGAAAGTCATTTTTGTAAACTTAAATGGTGCACTTGTCCCGTCTGACACCACATACTTCGAAATGACTTTTTCGTCGAGTGTCTGCTGGCCCTCTTTCACCTTGCCCAATTGCCGGAGAATGATGCTTTGGAGGAAATGGCGGATCATAGCCTCGTCGTTAGACTCGCCAAATTTTGATTGCGCAGAAAAGTCTAACATGCGCATCAGCACTTGTAAATCATGCTCTGGCATTCTGTTGTAGGCGTTCCAAAAGTAGATGAGCTCGTGAATAAGAGACGTTCCCACGCATTCAATGTATGAAAGATTTGGATTGGCCTTCACCCGCTCTTCGATATGGCTTGTCTTACGCAAAACAAACTTGTCAAATGGCATCTGTTTGCTGGATCCGCCAATACCTCCTTTCTTCTTTGCATTGGCGCCATGGCCGGGCACGTATGTCGGAGCAAGCTTCAAGTACTTTTCTGCCTTGTGCGCAGCTTCGGCCAAAACTTTTTCCTTTTCGCCTTCACTGGAAAACGTAAGTTCTCCCTTTTCGATCATGCGCCATTTCTCCAAGAAGCATGCTCCAGCCATGAACATGTACACGGCCTGCAGCCACGAATTGATTTCAATCATGTGGAGGAAGTCACGGGCGGCTGAATCGTAGTCGTGGACAAAAGCGTAGAACAATGCTCGATCGAAAGTGAGCAACGCCTCAACTTGTTCCATTCCAATATGTGTTTCCTCATTGTCTGTGAAGGATTGCATTGTCTGAAGGGCCTGACAGATTTTTCCCTGAGCTGCAAGCATACGCCCTTCTTGAAGAAGCCACAAGGCATTGTGGGGGAAGAAAAGCCGGGCTTTAGCCAAAAGCTGCGGCGTGTATAAGTTGGGATTGGCGATGATGGTGCTGAGCTCATTGTCTGTGACTGTGGAGCGTGCCGATAAATCAAGCACCTGTCTCACATTTTCGTCTTCATGGCCTGGAAGCTGGAACCCAACATCAATGAATTGAATTGGGCCATCGTAGAAGACCAAGAGACACAAGAGCGCCAACTCGCCATGAATATTCCGACACGTAATGGCTGTACGCCAAAGCATGCGGAGGCCAATGTCACGGTTTCCCTTGAATCCAACAATCGACAAAACTTTACCAATTGTAGGTGGGATGAGCGAAAGTACCACCTGGAGAATTCCAAAACACAATTGCACACCAGAGTGGATGAATTCGTCAATAGTAGAAACATGCAAGTGGTCTTTTGATGCGAGCGAAGTACTAGATGCATTGGACAAGAACGACTCGGCAAAGTCAGCGCTGGGCCGCAGGAAATCGGATCCCAGCAATTTTGGCACCTCGAGGTTCTTTTCCTGTTCCGAGCACTCGATCTGTAACGCCTCAAACGTATCGGTAGCGTCCTCGAAATCATCGCTTTCGTTCGAAACGGTGGTAGAAAGGGCATTTGCTTCTGTGGAAGTTCCGTCCTTGAGGAACGCTTCGTTGCCACTGACGGACCCATAAGGAGACCCATAGGCTCCGTTCCCATTGGTGCTTCCTCTCTCACTCGATGTCTTCATCTGACCCACAGAGGCCAATGAGGCCGTACTCTCGCGGAAAAGGTTTACCTGCGACAGATGGGGGCCCAAGTTTGTTCCCTCAACACGTTTCTTCCGCATCTGGTAAATGCGCTCCATGTTTTCCATGAGCTGGCGATCTTCAGGAAGGCCGTTTTCCGGAAGAGAGTAGCCAGGCAAGTCCACGGAACTGACACTGGCAGAAGACGACATGGCTTGTTTGCGGAACTTGGCCAAGTTGTGATTGAACAAGCCTTCCAGGTCTTTGATGCGCTTGTAGGTTGCGTCCAAGATCTGGTACGCGCGGCGCAACTTCAACAAGGCCTTCATTTGCTCCATCATGCTGTTGTTCTCTTGCAAAAGCATCACTAGCGCATTAAGAAGCGTCAGCTCGGCGTATGTCACCTGGAACTCTGTGCCCGGCGGATAGATGTGCGATGTGGCCAACAGCATTTTCTGGTTGAGCTTGGAGTGGGCTAACGACGCATCCTCGGCGGCAGAAAGCGTCGAGTGGGCTTTTTGCATGACCTCGGCTTCGAAACCCAACGTTGCTTCGATGAATTCCATCACGCCGAGCGCCAATGGGAAAATGGCCGCAGGCTCTTTGCTTCTCTCGCTGTGGGACTTCTGTGCGGTTTTCAATAGCCGGGTTCCCTCGGCGCTGCGGTCGTCCAAGAGAAGATCCATTGCTTCCAAGGCCACTTCGAAATCATGAACTTGCTTTAGCACTTTCTTGTATGCGCTGGCTTGGTCGGCGGGCCGCGACGGCGTTCCGGATAGAAGCGACGCCTTCTTCTTGATCCCTCTGAGCATCGTGGTTGCTGAGAATGCTGATGTGGTTGGAATGTGTCGTTTGGGCTCCGATTTGCAAAAATCGAAATGGAAATTCTATGATCTGGTTACGTACACGCGTCGGAATCGGCAATGAACAAGACTGTGGCCGATTTAAGAGCTGTTTATGTTGGTGAACGCTGCTATCACGTGAAAAGTTTCCAGATCTGGCACTTGTTTGATGGTCTGGTGTTCTATCGTATTCGAGCGTATAGATTAGGTCGATCGCGGCACGTGACTACCGGCCACCTTTGCACAATTAATCCCTCATGGAGAATATGGGTCTGACGTGGTTATGTGCAGGATTGCTCTCCAGCGGATAGGGGTACGTTTGATTTGGGCCGTTGTGGATCTTGTCCGAAGAGCAGAATGGGCTAATAGGCCAGAAAAACTATTCGGATCTTGCAGAGGCCAAAAAAGGCATGCTGGTGCCCAAATTGGAAAGCACTGGTTACTTGTCCGGATTCGTGCTTGCTAATCCGATAAAAAGAGCTGGTCTCCTGCATGGCCGTTTCCGGTGTATAGGCCCTCTTTACGAACGGACTTTCCTCGTTGCGGATATAGAGTTGGATGAAAATATGTCAAAGCCGCATTTGGAGATCTTCAAGAAATACCAGACACTCTTCTTCTTTGGCACACCGTCATTCCAGGTGGGAAGAACAAGTGTTTCCAATCGGTTTCCCAAAACAACGTATGCATGTATCCCGAAACAGGCATGGTGCAAGAAACACCGTTCTGTTCAAGTAGTAACTAGCAAGTACAAGCGCAGAAGTGTTACTGGAAATGAGTATGAGCACTGATTGTGCAAAACTTGAGCGAAGCCAGACACATTTTGACGTTTTGCCCATCATCGCCAGCCAGCCCAGATCGAGAAACGTGGATGCCCCATTTCGAGCATTACTTTTCCCTTTCGAGGTGATCTCTAAAAGTGCAGTCTTCTTGTGGTTTGGGCAAGTTCTGGCGGACTGTATGTTACCTAATGACTTTACTGGGTACAAGCTTTAATGGCATAGGGATTCGGAGAAAGCCTAAAGGCAAAAGCAGCTACGAACGCGGAATTACCTGATGGATGTTCTGTATAGTAGGAAGAGAAAAAAGTACAAGAAAAAAAAAAAAGTTTGAGGCTTACAAGTTAATTTGAGGATTGAGAGTCGCATTTGTAGGACATTTCCGAATCTGCTCGGAAACCAGACTAGGAATCGCCCCATATGCACACCAGTATTATTATGCAAGATGTCCAGATGCTGCAGTGCATCGCATCTGGCAGGAGCTGGTACGTTTACCCGGGCATGTACTTGCGATTTCCGGAAACAACCAAACCAGCTACAGAAGAGGTGAAAACCACTGCTGGTCCACCATTCTCGGCCACAGAAACTCACGAGCCAGCTGGATGCTTGGGAGGGGTAAGTCTTCTACTTGTAACCTAAAATATACTTTTTGTCTGGGCGGATATTGCGGAAACTATTCTTTGATGCAATGCCTCGGCCCATAGTTACAGTAAATTTAATCCGGATTCGATGGAACATGCACTAAATCCGCCCAGTGAAGAAATACAACTAGTTAGCTTGCGACATCGAGCTGTTGCAGGCTGCTGGTCTGCACAGTGCTCAAAATGGCGCCAGCATTTTGCATGCATCATGCATGCAACTGCAACGGGTGCAGATCCCCATTTGGCACCTCGGGTGCAAACGACTTCATTTATAAATCGATCTTCGCCCATCCCAAAACGGCCTATCTTCTTTCGCTAACCGCATACAATGAAGTTCTCCCTGTCTGTTCTCATATCGCTTGTGGCTGTGTCCAACGCCATGACGATCACAATCACAAGGTCAGTCCCTACGGCCACATCTGTTCAAACAGAGACGCTTTACTGTTCTCCAACAACGGACGAAAACGGCAACTCTGTGTGCCCTTCCTCTTCCTCAAACGAAGTGGCCACATCTTCATCTGAAGCTTCCTCTCCTTCTTCTGCAGTCGTCTCGTCTTCTGCCATTCCTACTTCTACGGAAGCTGCAACTTCTACCCCCACAACCTCGTCGGTCCAACGAACTTCTTCTGCCGCTACATTCTCGGCTGCACCATCATCTATTGAGCTGTCATACATTTCTTCAGCTGTGGCTTCATCATCCGCTCCATCTTCTGCCCCATCGGCTTCCCCATCTTCATCCCAAACGTCTACTGCATCAGACGTCTCCTCTTCCAAAGCCCTTGGCACTTTTGAACAGCAAATTTTAGACGAACACAACAAAAAGAGAGCCTTGCACAACGTCCAGAGCTTGACTTGGAACTGGACCTTGGCTGACTACGCTGCTGACTACGCCGCCAAGGCCTTTGACTGTAACAATGTCCAACTTATCCACTCGAGCGGCCCATACGGAGAAAACTTGGCTGCAGGTTACGTTGGAGGTATCGAGCCTACTGATGCTTGGTACGACGAAATCAAGGACTACGACTACAACAACCCAGGCTTTTCTGAGGCAACTGGTCACTTCACTCAGCTTGTCTGGAAAACAACAGCCCAGTTGGGTTGCGCCATGGTCAAATGTGACAACGAGTGGAGACAGTACACCATTTGTGAGTATAACCCTAGAGGAAACCTTGTGAGTTCCAACCCTTCGATCACTAAGGAGATTTTCACCGACAACGTTCCGCCATTGGCTTCTTAAATTCCGCCGAGACTGGTGCTCTAGAGGAAAACGTAATCGCTAAACTCATGAATTTACAATATCAATACTGCTTCCTGTAGGGGATAAACTTCTTCATGCAAGTGACGCGAACTATCTCATGATTGCATGTCTAGACCGAAATGCATATTTCGCGCCTCCAGATATTTTCTTGCACAGTCATTCTATTTTTCTTATTTTTTTCTTGCATTTCTGTAGAATCCATCAATAAAAATCTTCATTCGTGACAACCTTCCGTAAAACCCGGGGCTACAAATATGTAGCTTGAACGAAGTGCTCTAGATGTCTTTTCCCACTCTTTCGGAGCATAAATTGTCATCGCGTTAGGCTACGGTTGTACGTTTTCGCGGACGCAGCATGCGTCCGCACCGACAATGACGACTTGCGTCTGCGTGCATTTGGTCTAAACCATGTTACGCATCAGCCTTCCTTAGTCATATGTACAGGGAGGTTGTGAAACCGTGTTGACATGGGTCGGTCAAAGCACTCATCTACTTTTGTCATTGGGAAAAGGTGGCCATAATCGCCAAGTAGATTCAAGACATATGAAGACAACGCGGAAAGTGCGGGCAGAATCCCGCATGCGACCGTTCGATTTTTTTTCGCCTTGATATTTTTTGGGCACTGGGGTACATCTCTAAGCGCATATTCTCATCCCATAGTGTTGTGTGTTCAAAATGCGATCATTTCTTCCATGGTGCGGGCAATTCCTTCTCTCATGCAAGGTCTCGGGATTCCAAATCATGCGCCTGTTTTCATCTAGTGCAGATTTCGCGTTCAAATGCAGCAGCGTCCTGTCTAGTAAGCGCAACGCAAGTGCCTATTTTTGTATTTTCTAGAGATTGCATCTTTACTGCATGATTCGATTACGGTTCTTGCCAAGACGTTTAGAATTTTGGTTTATACGAGACGAGGAAAAGTATTCGGCATGGCCCAGTATCTCATGGCCCAGTACTTTAAAGAAGCAGAAACATGTACGAGTAAGCATATACTCAGGGAATAGTATTGGCAAAGTAGCCGATAACTTTGCACGTTGGCAAAATAACGAAAGCGTTACTGTGGCACCGTACATTTGTTAACGACTTTTCGCTTAGACCGGCCGGCCGCTTACGAGAAATAGTGACGCTACATTCACATAGAAACATCCATGCATTCAAACTCTACAAAGTATAAAGCCCAATTACACTAGCCTCATCGCAACGCGCTTATTGCTTCAACACGTTGACGAATTGACCCTTGGATGGCTTGGTCTTCTTGGATTCAACCTTGATAGAGCCCAACTTCTCAGCAGAGAAAGTCTTGGCGTATGGGTTCAATCTCAACATGACTTGCTTGTTCTTCAATGGGTTCTTCTTCAAGACGTGAGGTCTCTTGGTGTTGGCCTCGCCAGCTGGTCTGACAACAGCTTGGATCTCAGTGGAGTTGATCAAAGACTTGTAGTCGGTGTTGGAAACAATGTTGGATGGCAATCTGTAGTTGGACTTGGCCTCGTAAACAGAGTCCAAGGACTCGAAAGCAGCCTGGGTCCAAATGACAAATCTACCCAAGTGAGCACCTGGAGCCAATTGCAACAAGCCCAAACGGGAAACGTGGGCAGCATCGACACCTGGGATGTTTCTCAAAGCCTTGGAGATACCGTTGTCGTTGGCGTAAACCACCAATGGACCCTTCTTTTGGACAAATCTTCTGTTTCTCAACTTACCCTTACCGGCTCTCATCTTCTTGGACTTGAGGACTCTGACAATGTCCTTGTGGGCACCGACAGCCTTCAAGACAGCAACGGCTTCCTTGGTCTTCTTGACGGACTCGAAGTCGTTAGAAACAACCAATGGCAACTCAGCAACTTGCTCGACTCTGTGGCCTCTGGCCAAAACCAAAGAGGTGACAGCAGAAGCAGCAATGGCAGAAGCGGTGGCGTAACGCTTCTCGTTCTGGTTCACCTTGACGTGCCATCTTCTCCAGGTCTTGGTTGGGGCGAACATACGACCGCCTCTACACATGTTACCGAAAGCACCCTGGCCGGCTCTGTGGGTACCGGAACCACCAACTCTTGGGATTCTGGCAACAGCACGACCGGTACCCCAGGACTCAGCAGAGGTCTGGTGACCAGCCTTTTCGGAAACAGCGTAAGCTTGTCTCTTGTTCTTGTTGACTCTGACGAAGACAGAGTGAACCACGTCGGCTCTGATTGGGGCAGCGAAAACAGCAGGCAATGGCAATTGGGAGGAGGTCTTCTCGCCTTGGGCGGAGACAACGGAAACTTGAGGACGAGACATGTCGAGTATGATGGAGAAGAAGAAGAGAAAAATTTTTCAAATGTCTTATGTAGGTGAAAAGTTTTTTTCGCGGTCACGTGAATAGGCGTGTGCGGCCCATTGTGTGTGCAGGGAACGATGGAGACGACATTTTCTGTGTAGGAATGCAGGCCCCAACTTCAGTTATGTTGATTTCAGCTAAAGTCACCTAAGTCACCTGTAGATTTCTTATCAAGCAACTCAAGAGTTAGATGATAGTGGCATGGTGAACAGGTTGTTTTTGAAAAAAAAAGTTCAAGTCACAACTCTGAATTTCACTCACTACTGAGCGTTTCACCATTATTGCAGGAACGAGATGCATTCATGTAACTTGTTTTCATGACTTGTACCTATAAGTTTTCTGCCCATGTGGAAATAATACAAGAACAATATGGGTGGATGATGGCATTTCATGGTAGCTATAAGGCTTTTCGCTTAATCGTTTTGATTGGATCTGAATGATGGAAACATAACTAAACTGGTATTCCCCATTGTTTAACTTGGCCACTTGAACCTCCTCTGTAGTCAGTTAGGTTATCACCTTAGTGAAGATACCTCTTCGTGTCAATACTTCAATTTTATTGCGTCTTAATGACAAAACCTGCGGAAGTGACATTGAAGATCAATATCCGATTTCTATCATATACTCTGTGTGTTGTTCTTGACTAAACTTTCAAGAACTTGTATTGGCATACCATCTATAATATTTCTTATTAAGTTTTGGCTGTTGACTTTTCGAAGCTCTACACGTATTTTTTTTGTTTCATGGTTCACGCTACGCTTTTAAATCGGAAATTAAGAGTTTGATTCTGGTTTTATATACTGAATGTAGATTGGCTATTTAGGTGAGCTGGTATTGTCAATCTTTTTTTCAACCAAAAAACTTGGCATACTTTGCTTTTTCTTTCTGTATTTGTGCATCCTGTAATTCCTTTGCTTTTTTCAACTCATGTTCTATTCCAACATCACTCGCCAACGCCCGGGCTTTTTCCAAACTGGAAATAGCCTCCTTGTATTTCCGCTGCGCCAGATAAGCACAGCCCATGCGATAGTATACTTTTGCCTTTTCTTGCGGCGTAAGAGTCATTTCTAGTAAATACGAGCCGTAGTCCACACATTTCACATTATCTCCCAATTTGAGTGCAACCAACAGCACATTAAGGTAGAGCTTCTTCTTTAACTCGCTGTACTTGGCGTGGAAATCTGGTTCCTGGTCCTCATCCGGAATATATTCCATCACGTAGCGCAAAGCCTTTGTATACTTGAACATGGCGTTCTGGAATTCGCCCCGCTTGAAAAGAGCCGCTCCACTGTTCTTGATGGCACATGCTGCGTCATAAACGGAGCTTGATGAGTCTTTGTCTATATGTTCGTCATCATCTGGGTATTCTTCGTAAATGTCGCCGCCCACGGTGTCGTAGCATGCATTGAATATGGGAATAGCGTTGCCATCTCTCCACGTACCTGTTTCCGTGATCACCGGAAGCTCTTCTTTGGCGGGAACATTTGCGGCATTTGTCTTGACCCGTTCGATTGCCCGAACGACAGATTTCCCGTGGATCACGCGGCCAAACACCGTATGCTTGCCTTGCAAATGCGGAGTTGGGTATGTGGATATGAAGAATTGGGTAGAGTTTGTGTTGGGCCCGGAGTTGGCCATGCAAAGTTGAAACGGCTTGTCTAAAGGTGCCTGGAGGTTCTCGTCTGGGAAGAAATCCTCTTTTCCTGTTCCGACGCTGGCATCTCCATACTGGTCTTTGTGCCCGAAAACGACATCTCCGCCTTGAATGACAAAGTTCTTGATCACACGGTGGAAATAGGTGTCTGTATAACGAGGCAAGTTGGAGCAAAAGTGTTCGCAAGCAAGAGGCGCTTTTTCATGGTCGAGAGAAAGAACGATCCGCCCACAAGGCGTGCCGCCAATGGAAACGTCAAGATATACGTTTGACATGGAAGTGAAACGACAAGGAAAAATGAAATTGAAGCTTAGTAGAGGAAAGTTGATGCGAAGGTGCGAAAGATTTGGCCAAAGACAGAGGAAGGCAATGTGGTTCAGAAAGCAGGTCTAATTTACATCATTGGGTGTAATTGTATATGATTTCACGTCACTTTTCAAAAACGGTTACATTCGAGAGAGCAAGAATGGAAATACCCTGTAAAAGCTCGCTTGCTTGTTTCTTTGCGAGTGCGCACTAGCATCGCAACTTTCTTCTACTTTATTGAATACCGCTGAAAGATAGACTTTGCGTCCACAACCCAGATTCTCTTATTCTGTCGCATTTGTCTAGAAATAGGTACAACAATCTGACATTCAGTCGGTCATCAGATTTTGAAACTCAATCTGAATCTTCGATCCCATCAGATTCTACGTCAGCAAATCACAGCCTAAAGCATTGGAGCCAGTGCCATGATTCTGCGCCGCTTTTTCTCCGTTTCTCGGGGCCACTACACGTATGCCCAGCAGCTCCATAGCGCAGTTGAGAACGTCAACGTTCTCCTCGAACAAAACGACCGCCTGTCGTATCTTTTGGCTCAGTACATTCCCGAGCCCGCAAGAACAGCGTTTATGGCAATCAGAGCGTTTGGTCTTGAGGTGAACAAGATCTCCTCGACCCAGCGGACGGGAATGGCCGCTGCGGATCTCAAATTCAAGTTCTGGAGCGATCTTGTCTCAAGCGCATTTGCAGGCCGTGCAACTGGAGAGCCCGTGGCGTTTCTTCTCCGGGACGCGGCAGACCGTGGCTTGAATCTTGATGCGGCGCCGTTTCTCCAGTTCTTGCAAACAAGACGGCATTTTTTGCGGACGCCGCAGTTTGCCTCGGCCGAGGCCATTTGTTCCTACGGTGAAGGCACATACTCACAGCTCAACTACGCCGTGCAAGGACTCCTTCTCCTGCCTGGGATCTCGCCCTCCTCGATCGAACTACTAGAGCTGTCTCCGCATCTTCAAAAGGAGGTGGGTGATGTTGCAGCGCATATTGGTCAAGCCACTGCTGTTGCTTCTATGCTTTTGGGGCTTCCGTACTATGCGTCACGCGATATCGTCACTGTTCCAGTAGACATCATGGCAAAGAACGGACTCTCCCAAGAAAACACTTTGCGTCTAGTCCAGGGCCACTTGGAAGGCAACGAGCAAAAGCATGCACGCGAGCAGTTGCAGAATGTCGTTTACGAGACTGCCGTTTTCGCCAACGATCATATTTTGCTGGCTCGGCGTAAGTTGGCTCAGCTTCCGGACGAAATCAGAAAAGTGGTGGAATCGAAGCCTGACGGTTTATTGCCTCGCCAAAGCAAACGGTGGCGCCGTGGCTTGCCTGATGCGCTTTTCACACCTTTTATGTCGGCCATTCCCACGGCGTTGTACTTACGGAAGCTTGAAAAACATGACTTTGATGTGTTGAGTCCAAAGCTCCAGCAAAAAGAATGGCGTTTGGCATGGACTTCATTCAAAAGCTACTACCGGCGCACGATTTAATCCAGAATGATTGGTCTGGCGTATTTACGTCATCAAACTAAAGATGCCGGAGACTTTATCTCGAAACAAGATGATCATATCTAATCTATGGTATATCATGGCGTCAAATGTACATAACTTGTAAATAAATGGCTCGTGCCCTTCAGCAAGATTAAATTACAATAAACTTGTTGTACGAGAACCACTGCGGGAGGATGTTCTCATAATCCAATTCATCAAAATTGGAAAGGTAACCAAGAACGTACGACGCAGCTTTACTATTTGCATTCGTAAACTCTATTAGTTTTCTTTCTAAATGTATTAAAAATAATAAACAGCAGTGGCGCCGACTAGATTCTTTCCTTGAAGCCTGCAAGTACATATTAGACTTCCGACGCATCCAGAATGTCGTATCAAATACAGGGCTACTGTTTGGAGCCAGTCAAAAACATCGAACCCAAATTACGGTTAAAAAAGATAAAGGTAAACACCATTTGGAGTAGTTATATGAGGATGTCTTTGACATAAGAAATTGCAGGAAAACGGGGCTGAAGATGGAAGTAGATGAGTTGAATCAAGAGAAAAATAAGCCATCTGCATTTTACTAAGTGAAGAACTTCAACAATTAATCTATGACTGGGAACCTGCAAGTAAATGAGGCATATTAAACCAGAAACGCGATTTGCGATACCTGGCCAGATCTACAAAAAGCACACAAAACTCCACTATTCCCAACCACCACATTCAAAAGAGACAAAAAAGTTACAGTAACATAAACCAACGCCCACTGTAAGATAAAAACAATCTTCTGGCTCCATTGCCCTCCATCATTGACTCTGACTCCCAACCTGGACTCTTAACCCGCACACGACCACCGCACATACTTCACACATACAAACATTTCCCAGTTATCTGTCCATATGCTTGCCCAGCCGATCTCCCTCTCCGCCCCGGAAAAAACCGAGGGACACATGTTGTCTGGATCATCGCATAGTGTGTCAGTCGACCCCATCACTCTTGTCATCAATGAGTGCATGGTGATTTCGCTGGCGATGCGCAAAATGAGCAGATGGAATCAAAGCGGCGTAGCAGCGATTCTTGGCGCAGGCGATCTTTTCGCCGGCGACGACAGTTTGACAGTGGCGTCTTCTGGCGCACGGGCTAACGGCGGCTCGTTGGCTCCCAACAGCAATCCGCTCCACTCGAGTTTCTTGCAATTGCGGGCGATTTTGACGGAAACAACAGACATTTTCGCTGTGGACAGCTTGACGGTGTTGCAGCCATTTTTGTTGGCTATAGAGTCCAGCACGACGTCAGGGAAAGTCACAGCGTTGGCCTTGGGTGCCATCACAAAGTTTTTGGACTACGGCATTGTTTCTCTGCGCCTGAAAAACTTGCAAGGTCTGCTTATACAGTTGGCGTCATCCTTGACGCACTGCCGCTTTGAGGCATCTGACCAGGGCTCCGACGACTCCGTCTTGTTGAAAGTCTTGCGCCTTTTGGAGCGCATCATCGATCTGGATATCTCAGCTCTTTTGCCCAACCAGGTGGTTTCCGAAGTCATCCAAACCTGCTTGTCGCTTGCATGCAACAAGCGCCGGAGCGAAGTGCTAAGACGCGCCGCTGAGATGGCAATGGTATCCATGACCGTGCGTATTTTCTTGCGCCTAAAGGAACTTGAACCTGACCATCTGAGAACCGAAGATGTGCCCACAAACTATGCAGAGTTGCCGGACGATGTCATTGGAGGCACGTCCCCTGCGTTTAAAGAGCAAAGTAGCGAGCCGGAGCAAACAGAATTGTCGCCACGTAAGCACTCGGACAAGCCAGAGAGCCAGTTTGACATTGAGTGTATCACCGAGTTCTTGGGCATTCTAATATCTATGATCTCTCCCTCAAACCAGTATCAGCATATGGAGTCCACGCGTGTTTTTGCCTTGTCTTTGATACACACGGCTATCGAAGTTGCTGGCGTTGATATTCCCAAGCACCCTTCTTTGATGGGATTAGTGGCCGATCCCGTATCGAAAGATGTATTGCAAATCATCACCACAACTGACTCGCCTGCGCTATTGCTGGAAGCACTTCGTCTTTTTTGCACCATGGCTATCATCCTCAACAAACACCTCAGCTCACAGATCGAATTGACCCTCAACTTGCTCTTCCGCTCGATTTTACCACCCGAATCTAAGAACGATGAGTCCATCAAGGGCAACAGAACAGAGGTTTCAACGCGGATTGCATCATCCAAGGAAGCTATTGTAGAGTCGCTTTCTTTGTTGTGGACAAGGTCTCCGCAATTCTTTTCCCAACTCTTTGTTGAGTTTGATTGCGACTTTGAAAAGACCGACTTGGCCACTTCGTTTGTCCATTTCTTGTGCAAGCTTGCTTTGCCTGAATCTGCCCTAGTTGCTACTGACAATGTTCCACCAATTTGTCTCGAAGGTGTTCTTTCCTTGATTGCAGGAATTAATGATCGTGCTAAATTTGCTTCCAAAAAAACTGCTAACGACACTTTACACCACCTCATCACAGACAAGGAAAAGAAGAAGTCTTTTATTAAGTGCACAGAAATATTCAACGAGAGTCCCAAGAAAGGTGTTGCTGCCCTTGCTGAAAAGAAGTTTATCAGCGATCCTAATGATGTACATGAATTAGCTGAGTTCTTCTTTAATAAGTCTGCAAGATTGAACAAGAAGGTTTTGGGCGAGTATTTGGCTAAACCTTCCAATATGGATCTTCTCAAAGAATTCATGCACTTATTCAAGTTTGCTGGCCTCAGAGTTGACGAGGCATTGAGATTACTACTCAAAGCTTTCAGATTACCGGGGGAATCGCAGCAGATTGAAAGAATCGTCGAGTTGTTTGCGGACGATTATGTTGAATGTATCTCCGACGAATCGGCTTTGCCAGCTACTGAACCAGGGCAAGAACCTGTAAGGCCAGATCGTGATGCAGTTTTCGTTCTTTCCTACTCTATTATCATGCTTAATACAGATTTGCATAATCCAAAAGTGAAGCAACAGATGGATTTGGAAGCTTACAAGAGGAACTTGAAAGGTGTTTATGGCGGAAAAGATTTCCCAGAATGGTACTTGGCTAAAATATATCAATCCATTAAGGATAGAGAAATCATCATGCCCGAAGAACACCACGGCACCGAAAAATGGTTTGACGATGTGTGGCACAATCTCATATCCTCGCAGTCTAAGGTTGCCCACAGCAATCAAGTCTCTGTGGCCACTTTTGACATGGCCACTTGGTGCCAGTTTGACAAGTTGTTATTTGAGACCATTGTCGATGAGACCATTGACACTTTGATCAAGATTTTCAGAGAGGCGTCTGATGATAACATTATAACAAAATTGATGTCTTCTGTGGACAAATGTGCAAACATTTGTATTCTTTATGGGTTGACGGAATCAGTGGATAAATTGATCACTACATTGTCGGAAATGACCACTCTTACCAGTACAGAACACCTCAGTATTGTTCCCGATGAGAATGTGCGTGTGGAGATTCCCATCACGCAAATCAAATTGGAAAAGAAGAACGAGACCATCACCGTTAGTGAGGTTGCTGTTCATTTTGGAAGAGACTTCAAAGCACAATTGGCAACTGTTGTTCTCTTCAGACTCATCAAGAAATCTGATTGTGAAGTAACAGATTCATGGCATTCAGTGATGAGAATACTAATGACTTTGTTCGAAAACTGCTTGATAAGCCCCAATATCTTCAGCGAGTTTCAAAAGAAGCTTAGATTACAAAGCTTGCCTCGGGTGCGGCCACAATATGTGATCCAACGCATGAAGCCATTGAAAGAGTCCGGTCTTTTATCTACTTTTTCATCATTTTTGAAAGGCTACAATGACGAACCTCCCGAACCAACAGACCAGGAGATTGAAGCAACTCTTTCGACTACCGATTGCGTCAAATCAGTGAATGTTTCTGGTATTTTCGACAATGTTTCAAGAAGTTCTCCGTCACAATTGAGGAAGTTTATCAACATTGTTTTCGAATGTTTCCCGGAGTATACAGACGAGAGCAAGAGATACTTTGAAACTGAATTGATGTTCTTGTTTGAGATCCAAGTATGTTTCTCTTTGATCATCGACGATACAGAAGTGACTAATCAAGTAATCGACAAGTTGTTCCATTACTTATCAAGCGACCACTTCACAAAGAAGGGTTACATTCGTCTTTGCACTTATTTATTTTTGCTTGCAAGACAAAGCGACGGTTCATGCAAGGATGCTGTTTTGAAGAGCATCAACCATTTGGCAACTTTTGATAGAGAAGTGATCAGCAAGCACGGTGCTTCGTTGATCCGCACAATGTTTTCTTTGATTGACCATGACTCAAGTTTGAAAGAACTAGTCCTCGAGGACTCATACTGGCAATTGTTGCGAGTATTGGGATCAGTACCTGATTACGCAGAAGATATTTTAGATCTTGTCGAATCGATTATCAAGCACTCGCCAGAAGAGATTACAGATCAAAATTTTATTTCGTTTTTGGGATTACTAGATGAAATCTCATCTCTTGGTGCGGTTGGAGCTCAACTAGAGCAAACTAAAGAACACCCCTCTCCAGGACGCCAAAACCAAGCACAGGAAGATGAAGAGATAATGAATATGGTTAATTTGTCGAAGAAGTCTGTGGAATTGACTGGGGAATTAGGCGCTGTTCGCAATAAACTGTCATATCCATTTATTCAAGCGTTGGCTCATCAATGTTTCAATCCTTGCAGAAAAGTGAGAGCTCATGCAATTAAAATATTGCAAGCTTCGTTGTTATCGAGCACTTTCAGTGAAGAATACTCAGCATCAGGTGTTTACGAGTACGGATTATTCCCGTTGATGGCAGAGTTGGTGAAGGATGATGTTTTCCATACAGACTTGAATGGGTTTTCAGAGACGCACGTTCAAATCCTCAGCTTGCTCAGTAAGGTGTTTTTACAATACCACTCGTCAATCAGTGACGTCGACAAGCGCAAAGTATGGTTCGGCATTGTGGACAATTTCGTGACCGTCAACCAGATGAATGCAAAATTCCAAAAGGAAGAAGTGCGCGAGCCCAGCGAAGAGGTGATGAAGAACATGATTTTGGTTTTGCAGAACGACTTTCTCAACCAAGAGAATTCAGACGTGTGGGAGCAGACCTGGCGTCGACTCGAGCCCATTTACCCGGGGATGAAAGAGGCATTGGTGGTCTAAGTAGGTTAGTTTTGGGACGAAGAAATATCACGTGATACATCGAGTAGTGGAATCATCGCACTTCACTTGCAGAGGCATCTTTCCAGCATATTCACAAATGGCAGAAACTTACACTCAGAGGGCCGAAAAGCATGCGTCTCCCGTGGCTCTGCGTCTTTTGCGTTTGATGGAAGCTAAAAAGTCCAACTTGTGTGCGTCTGTTGATGTTTCAACCACTGCAGAATTCTTGGCTCTCATAGACAAGTTGGGTCCTTTCATATGCCTCGTAAAGACACACATTGACATCATTGACGACTTCTCGTACGAAGGAACCATTGTCCCTCTTTTGGAGCTCGCCAAAAAGCACCAGTTTATGATTTTCGAGGACCGCAAGTTTGCCGATATCGGGAATACAGTCAAAAAACAGTACTCCGGTGGAGTGTACCAGATTGCTAAATGGGCGGACATCACCAACGCTCATGGAGTCACCGGCGCTGGAATTGTGCGTGGGTTGAAAGAGGCGGCACAAGAAACCACACTGGAGCCTCGTGGTCTTTTGATGTTGGCCGAGCTCTCTTCCAAAGGATCTTTGGCCTACGGCGAATACACCAAGCAAACTGTGGAGATCGCCAAGTCCGACAAGGATTTTGTCATTGGATTCATTGCCCAGCGCGACATGGGCGGTAAAGACGAAGGGTTTGACTGGTTGGTGATGACCCCAGGTGTTGGTCTTGACGATAAAGGAGACGCTTTGGGACAACAGTACCGGACAGTTCAGGAGGTCGTTTCGACAGGTACCGACATCATCATTGTGGGCCGTGGATTGTTTGGAAAAGGCAGAGACCCAACAGTAGAGGGGGCACGTTACAGAGACGCTGGATGGAAAGCTTACACGGAGAGATGTGCTAATTAATAGATGACGTAGAAGGAAGAATGTAGAGGCGGAAGAAGGAGGAAGTGCAGGTCACATTGTACCATGAAAGAAAGAATGCAAAGTACATATTGTTCCAGAGTTGATCCGTGTTCTATGTGTTCGTAAAATAAATAAGATTTGTGTTTGCCAAACCATTTGAATGGAGAATGTCATCTCGAGAATGTCATCTCGAAAGCATCAAAGTCTTTAATCTTCTCCTCAGATTAACTTCTTCTACTCCGTCTCTTGTTCATCTCCTACTCCTCTGCTAGTCTCGTTCGCATGATTTCGAATACCAACAATCCCACAGACGTTGCGGGAATTGATGTAAGAGCATTCCTCACGAAGCCCTTATATGCCAATTGGAGCCAAGGCGTCTGTGCCTTTCTTTTCATGCGAACAACCTCGTGATAAGTATCCAAGTAAGCTCGATAGTACACTGCGCGAGTCTCTGTGCGGGCTGAGTAAATGTCTCGAGCTTCAAGCCGAGCCAAGTGAATCTTCTGCACTTTTGTGATTGGATACTGAACAGCCAAAAGCGCAAAAGCGGCAGATGCACCTGCTAAAAGAACAAACGTCGACTTGAGAAACTTAGCCTGGCGCTGTTCCGCTCGAAGTGACATTGCTGGGTCCGGAGAAGGTAGATTGAAGAGCCTCCGGAAGGAATCTTTGGCCCGACCAAATGCTGCGAGGACCCGCCGCGTCGCCCGATATCCACGAGTCTTGATGAGCTCAAACGTCAGGAAATAAAATGCAAAGCCCACACTCTCTTTGGCAAACGAAAAACCATAGCCAGCAAATACCCCCACCAAGCCTATTTCGCGAAGCTTCCTAATGCCGTAAACCCACAAGTTCGTATGTTCTCCGCTGATCAATTCCGCAGTAGACAGACGAGTATAAATGGCATCAACAGGTGCTGCTGCGAGAGACTGCGCTGCTCCAGCAAGAAAGCCCGCCTTCCACGTGTCAATCGGCGAGTAGTCGCCTCTGCCAGGCGAGAGAATGTCAAGGGTAGTCAAGTACGTAGCATAGAGAATCACGCCTGTCGCCGAGTTGGCCACAAGAGGCGGAAGAACCTGATCTGGGAGGAATCGCCAGCCGTTTGTACGTGCTACACTGAAAATCATGCCTGGAGTCAGATGGGTTCGGAAGCTGTATGGCTTGGACTTGATCTGATGGTGTTTGTCTGCGAGCTCACGCACATAGACCAAGTAATCGAAGCGGGAGGGCCGGAAAAGCTTCACCGGTGTTCGGAGATAGAGCGCCTGGAGCTGGGCCACTAGGGCTCGCATACCTGCAGTGGAAAGAGACACTGTCTGGTTACTCGCCTGTTTGTCTTCTTGCATGAGAAAAATTGCGAGCTGACAGAAGCTGTTTTAGGTCAAACCAGCGTGAAGATGCGTGATTCGAAGGATATGGAATAGTGACGGTTCAAGACAGTAGATTCGGTATTCAGTTCTATTGGCAGAATAAATATGGGATGTTCTGTCCGTGGGTTTGGGTTCCGTTGGCAAGAAAATTGTAATTGAATATATGTGGAAGGCGATCTGGTGAAGTTAATTCATGGATGGATGGGAAGATGCCCGACCGAAAGCCTAATGACCTGAATATGGAATGGATCGAACGCACTAGAAGGCTGATTAGACGGACAGATATGCAAATGAGTGGTACAGTGTGTAGTTTCTCAACGAAACCGCTTCCATTCAAGATGTGATTTTGAAGTCGCAGTTTGTGTATTCGCGGTAGAATAATGTAGATGTGCAGATGATCTTGTTTACTCAGTACAGTTTTATTGTTTAACTGAATCAAGCTGCACATGACCGTAAGATTAAAATAAAACTTTTCTTGTATCACAACGTACTATGTTCCGGCTAACCATTTCTTTATATGACACTTTATGAGAAATGAGCTACTAATATCAATCGAGGTTGAATCTCTCGTCAATAATCCTTCCAGTTATTTTGCTTGATTGATTTGCAACTAGATAACTTTAATTGTGCTCCTAGCGGTTTAGGACGTAATTTCATTTGATAGCAACTTCTGTTAGCCTTTCCCCCTTGGATCATTTTCCGTTTTCTCGGCTTTCGTGTCTTGAAGGATCAATTGAGTTCCTGTTTGGATCTAGTTCTTTTCTTTACACAATTAAATGTGCCACCAATGTCTCTCAAATAGTACCATTGACTGAGTTAAAAAACGACGTATCTGTGTCCAATAGTTCTCCAGGATTAGAGTTCATAGTTCGTTGAATGTCATTCAAAGAACTTCGCCTTTTCATTCACCAAGAGCTGGGCAGCTATTTTAATGGTCTACGCAAGTGTAGATTGAATGAACAGTCTAACAATACGAAAGTTACTGGTATATCCTAATCTGGGACTCTAAACCCGATACTAGGGCGATGGCAAAGATAAGTGGTTTTATTTTAGTGAGTGTAAGTGGTTCCGCAATGTTAAGTGATGTTCAAAGCACAGTAAGACAGAAGAGAATCCAGCTGGCCAAATTGAATACTGTCCAACTTGGGCACATTTCAATACCATGTTCTGACCATGTTTGCCAAGTCCTAGCAAAAGCAAAGAACTTTCGGTGATGTACCAGAGCCATCACTCTTATTCGTCACGGTATAAGATAATCTCGCTCTGTTTAAAATACCGGCGGGCATCCTCGTCGATAAGCACCAAAGATAAGAACGTGCGTGTAGAAAACTTTTTGTTCACGTCTTTGTACGTCGGCGTAAGGTTGTAGCCTCCCAAAAATAAGCGGATCGGAATGCTTTCACCTTTCACCGGAGCGCCATCCATTATCTCAAACCGCACAACTGTTTCGCTGTCAACCAACTGATTGGGCGGAGCTCCCACAGTCTCGCGGCGGATCAACGATAGCTCCATGTGCCTGATCTTCAACCGGACAAGCAAAAAGAAGATTCGTCCCACAATAACCTCCTTCAAGGAGAATCTCGATTTCAGATACTCAAACTCAATGTGGAGACAGTGTTCTATGCCCACATCCATTTTCACTGTTGCGCCGGGCGTTTCTGCCACGGGGCCCGCCCGCTGGAAAACCCAGAGCTCCTTTTCTCGGACCACTTCCGCCTTATTCTTCCGTGTCACCACCACGCGAACATAGTACCTCAACAGCACGTTTTTGCCCCGGTAGCTCTCGTATTGTTTCTCGACGTTCCGGAACTCGAACGGGAACGTTTCCGGATGTAAGAGCAGGCCCGGCGCTGCCAATTCTGTAGCCAAAGATAAAAACTCCAGCGGTCCGCCCTGGTCCGCCGGAGCCTCAATGCTTCCAAGTAGCTGAACTTTGATCCCCACATGTTCGACTTTTCTGGCTTCTTTCGTTCTTACAGTCACAGTTCCTTTCACCGACTCGCCATCGGTGTAAACAGGCAAGGAGTCAATTCGTCCCAGCAGATTGGGCACTTCGACGTGTCGGCGAGAATCTTCGTTTTCGAGGCGAATCTCAATGTCAAGCGGCGACTTGTAAAAGAGCGACATGCTTGAATGTGATGGGGTTTAGATATCACTGGGTAATGATTGGGATTCCGTATGAATCTCGATTGGGGATAGGATTGGGTTCAAATGTGCGACTCCCAATTGTACTCCAAAGAATGGCTATGTGGGTACGTTTCTGTGTTTCTGGAATTGCTTGGAGCTGTCGCCGAGTTGGAAGATATGGAGATTCCAATGGCCGTCGATATTAATGTAGTGAACGCTAGGCCAGAATTCAAATAAATCAGCCTGTAAAGGTGTGTAGTCAGGTTTTCGAGGTGATAATCGCGAAATGCGATTAGAATGAAGGCTTGTTGAGATTAGACTAGGATATCAAAATCTACTACATAGAGGGAAGTAAGATTTCATTGATGGATCCACCATACATGGGCACTAACTTACTAAGCCCATTGACAGTACAGCCACGAATTTATCCATGTAAAAGGGGTAATGGAGCCACTAACATGCAAATTGAATGGAAACTATTAATCCATTCATAGTTTGAGAGAACAATTTCCAATAATAGTAAACGATCTAGAAGAAAAATGCTTCAAGATTCCATTTAATCAGCGAATGAATTTACTAGTCAAATTTTTTAGGCAACTTCAGCAACCTTGGTAGCCTGCAGCATTCGAAGGACAAACTGGAAGTTAAACAGAAAAGAAAAATGGGCCAAAGAATGACAAAAAGCTTCAAGCACTTACCATACCCGATAAAGAGAAATCTTCTCATGAAAGAAATCTTCTCATATGATTACTTTATCTACACGTAATTGAATCTCAATCAATCAGGTTTATATTCCTATCTAGTGCTTGGACACATACTCAACCAAGTCAACAACTCTGGTGGAGTAACCGTACTCGTTGTCGTACCAGGCAATCAACTTGACGAATTTAGGAGACAACAAGATACCAGCCTTGCTGTCGAAGATGGAAGAGTAGTTGGAGGTGAGGAAGTCAGAAGAGACAACAGCGTCTTCGGTGTAACCCAAAACACCCTTCAACTTACCCTCAGAAGCCTTCTTGACGGCGGCGCAAATGTCCTCGTAGGTGGTCTCAGTCTTCAACTTGACAGTCAAGTCAACAACGGAAACATCGACAGTTGGCACTCTCATGGCCATACCGGTCAACTTACCGTTCAATTCTGGGATAACCTTACCAACGGCCTTGGCAGCACCGGTGGAAGATGGGATGATGTTACCGGAAGCGGTTCTACCTCCTCTCCAGTCCTTGTGGGATGGACCGTCAACGGTCTTTTGGGTGGCGGTGATGGAGTGGACAGTGGTCATCAAACCTTCCTCAATGCCGAAGGTGTCGTTGATAACCTTGGCCAATGGAGCCAAACAGTTGGTGGTACAGGGAGGCGTTGGAAACAATGTTCTGGCCAGCGTACTTGTCTTCGTTGACACCAACAACGAACATTGGGGCGTCAGCAGAAGGAGCAGTGATGACAACCTTCTTGGCACCAGCGTCAATGTGCTTCTGGGCACCTTCGAGCTTGGTGAAGACACCAGTGGAGTCGATGACCAACTCGACACCCTCCTTGCCCCATGGAATCTGGGCTGAGTCTCTCTCTTGGTGGACCTTGATCTTCTTGCCGTCAATGACCAAGGCACCGTCCTCCGACGAAACTTCACCCCTTGAATTGACCGTGGGTGGAGTCGTACTTGAACATGTAGGCGGCGTAGTCAGCAGCAATGAATGGGTCATTGATGGAAACGACCTTGATGTCTGGTCTGGTGAGGGCGATTCTCAAAACGAGACGACCAATTCTTCCGAAACCGTTGATACCGACAGTGACCATTGTGTTTAGTTTTTGTTGTTGTTGTTGATAGATGTGACTGAAATGTCTGGCCTTTGAAAGCACACGGGCTAGCCTCCCTCTTTATATGGGCCGCCGTTCATCACACCACCTAGTTTGGTGACTGCGGCCTGGCGCTATGCGCTTAGGTGGCGTGATACTCGGTGTTATGCATAGAAGCATTCAGGGGACCGCAAGTATGCACCCCTCAACCGCCCTGGTCCTGGATTATAGTGGTTACGGCTGGGATTCCGGGCCGTGGGCCGCTGGAGACGGCTCAATTGCCTTTGCAAATGGAGACAAGAGTGGCTTCGCAGTGTTGAGGCGCAACCTGGCCCCATTTCGCCCGCCCTGGACCCAATTTCGCTGCTCAGACCATGTCACCGCAACATCACCTGCGCGCGGCCGCAAACCGGGTCCGACTGCTCCGGTTCACGTGGCACCCTCCCCTACTGCCTCACGTGGGTGGGATGTTGGGAAGCCAATTGGCAAAGGTGTTGGCGTGTCTGCCGGTCTTGTCGACGTCTTGTCACCGGGTCTTGTCGCCGGGCCATTGAACCTCTCTTTTTAATTATATTATATTTAACTATAAAATTGCTGGACCATGTTCGGCCGGATGGGAGAGCCTGGACCAAAGTGAACGTTAACAGCAGTGCTGTGATGTGTATACTGTGTATGCTGTGTTGTTTGATGTGTTAATACTGGAGCATGCTCTTGTACCTACGTGCTTACCTACGTGCTGTCGCACTGTCTATGTTCTACCATTCTACTTCGTGGTGTGCGATATTTGTTGCACTATTCTTCAAATACTATATTCGCATCGATTGGTGACAAGGCGAATCTCTAGCTGTCGGATTGGCAATTGGCGGGTCTTCGTTTTCCACATGTCTCACTTTTCTCGTCTACTCTTCTCTCGTCACTCTTCTACTCGCCACTCTTCTACTCTTCATTCTACTCTTCACTCTTCTACTCGTCTTGTCTTGTCCTCTCCTTCTCGTCTCGTCTTGTCCTCTATCCTTCTCTTTCTTCACTTTCTTTTCTTTCTTCTCTCTTCTCTCTCTTCTCTTTCTTCTCTTTTTTCTCTCTTTCTTCTTTTATCACGGTTTTCCGACTAACCCATTTCCTTCTACTTTGGCGCGAATGGCCCCGGAAACGCACTTTTGTTCCTGGGCTAGTTAAGATTGCAGCACCTGCACACAGACGGGACTTAGCGTCTCCGCAGTTAAGGTGAAGATTTGACCTAGACCCAACCAGAGTGTGCATCCACTGGCTGGAATTCTGGATATCTTCGAGCACAAGACAAGCAGCCATACGTTAGAAAGGTAGTGCTAGACACAGAACGCAACGGTTGACTCAGTCTAAGCATAGCAGCAGATATAGCGCCAACCATTCACGCCAAACAAACAAGAAACCCCAGCTGCAAGCGGCTCCACCAGCAACACCAGGGCCCAGACCATTGCGCGCAAGTTGAAGACGCCAAACCAACGGCCCACCTGAAAGAGCGGCGCCGTAAGAAACCCGCACTGACCCGCTTCATCAGAAGATAAGCACAAGGTCCCGGAGCAATTCCAACTCGTTGACTAGGCCCAATCGAGTTGACAAACACAACAGGTCCAGAGCTGAAAACGAACAAAGCTTAGACAGCTCGTAATCACAACGGCCAAAACTCAAACTGTCCATCTCGCGAGCCTCACACTGTCCATCTCGCGAGCCTCCAAACACTCCTCTGAACCCATGGAAGACGTTGCGCCCGACTCGCCCGCGCCCGACTCGCCCGCGCCCGACTCGCCTGCGCCAACCGCGCCGCCCGGCGTGCGGTGCCTCGACACGGTGATCGCGCTCTACGACTTTGCGCCGCTGCACCCGCTGCACCTCGCGCTCGACCTCGGCGACACCATCTACGTGCTCGCCCGCAGCGGGCCCTGGTGGGACGGCGTCTGCTTCCGCGGCGGCGCCTGGACCCGCGGCTGGTTTCCGCGCAACTACGTCCGCCTGGTCAATTACGTGCAGCCGGTGCTCAAGCAGCTCCACAACCCGCAAGACCTCGACACGTTGACCGCCGCCAACACCGCCGCCAACGTGCTCATCCCGCTGTTCACGGCGCTCCTCCAGAAAAACTTGGGCGACACCTCGGCGTCCGCCACCCGGAAAAACTCGGTGGTCAGTTTTGCCCTGGACGCCGACGACGTGCGCCTTGTTTCTGTCGAGGAGGCCGAGCAGTTGTCGCTCGAGCACCGCCGCACCCACGGCCGGCCCGCCGTGTGGCTTCCGCGCGCCACCGACGAGGGCGACATTGCCTTTTTCTGCGACCATCTCCGCGTGTGCTGCGCGTCCTTGCCGCTCGTGCCCTGGACTCCAGGCGTCGACACGGCGCCGCCTATCTTGCCCTCGGCCGACGCCGTGGCGACGCTGGAGGTGTTCCGCATGCGCACGCGCGACCTGTTTGACGAAGCCTCGCGCACCGCGCCCAAACGTGGCCTGGCCGCTAGCCTGGCGCTGCAGACGCTGGCGGCGTCGTACCACCACTTTCTGCAGCCGTTTTTCGCCGGCCGCGGCGTGTTCTGGCTGCACTGGGGCGACGTGGCGCGGTGGCCCGAGCTCAGCGAGCGCTTCGACCAGGCGCAGGCGGGCGCCCTTGCCGCGCTCCGCGCGGGCGACCGCGGCCGTTACGACGCGCATTTTCTGCAGCTCACGACACTTGTGGCTGGCGCAGTTCAGAGCGCGCGCCTTTCGCACGCCGACTACGCCGGCTCCAAGTACGAGCGCGCCGTACACCGCAAGCTCAGGCGCTTGGCCGAGGGGCTCGCGCAGTTGGGCATCAACGCGCAGCTCCATGTGCTGGCGCCGTCGAACAGGCGCCAAAGCGACCTCCAGGAGTCGCCTCTCGAAGGAACTCCCGAATCGGCCTCGAGCCTCAAGTTGCCGAGTCTTGCGCTGGGCGTTCGCGACTTGAGTCTCGCTCTGAGTCCGCGCGCGTCTGTGCTGCCTGCCTCTCCCGGCGCGGACACATTGCGCGGGTCGCGCGCTTCGGGCGCTTCGCGCGTTTCGGGCGCCTCTGCCGCCGCGCGCGGGCCCACGCTGCTCAAGCCGGTCGATGCCACCGTGATTCTTCCGGCGGCGCAGTCGCGCGCCCAGACGCCAGAGACCGCGCCGCCCGAATCGTACCTTCGACAGGCAGAGATTGAAGCTGAGAACTTGCGCACAACGATGCACGGCTTGGTGCGTCTTTTCCGCCATCTCTCGCGCAACAAGCGGGTGTTTGTGCGCGACTACGACTCGTCCGACCTCTCGGAGGACGACGGCGAAGACAGAACAGACTTGTTGCCGCAGGTGTACCCGCGGTTTGTCACCAACGAGTTCAACGGCGGCAACTGGTGCAACCCGTTTTTCGTCGACTCGCATCCGTACTTGAATCTCAGCGGCGATCTGTTGAAGAACCGCTACCATCTCAAAACCATCGTGGACCAGGCCGCGTACGACGAGGCAAAGAAAACTTCGGCCGAACTCGTGCGCTTTTCTCGCGATGTCCTCCATTACCTAGATCCTGCTTTGCAGTTTCGCTACTACAACGAGGCACTTAAAAACGAGCGAAACGATAATATCGTGCGCATCATGTATAAATTCATGCATTGTGCCAGTACCTTGATTGACCACTTGGAATCGTTTGACTTCACCGTGTTCTGTCTCATCAAGCGTAACTTTTCGGGCTCGTCCGCCGATGATCCGCTGTCTTCTCTTGCCGCGCCGCGGTCCACTCTCCAAAGTCTGGTTCCCTCTCTAACTCCAACAGACTCTTCTCTTACTCTCGCAGATCCACCTTCCACGCCAACAGATACTGCCATGTCCACAGAACCTTCGACAGACCAGCTGCTTTCCCCAGGGATCGCCATTGGCGCAAGGAACATGTCCAAAGAAAATTCCAAAGAGACATCTATCGACTCGTCTCTCCCTGCAAATGTGGCTAGCAATCTCACCTTCGATTATCCTATGGTGCTCGAGTTCTTCCAACGCAAACAGCAGCTTCACGATATGCTTGCTCGAATCATGATGCAATCTCAGACTTTGACGCTTGAAGACCCAGATGTGTTTACACCCATGAAGGAAAGCAGCCCTGTGCTCTACGATCGTGATGCTTTGAAAGATCCAATTGAACGCTCCGCGTTTCTTTTGGCGGGTATTCTTGCCGACCAGAGTCTGCACAATGCTGAAGATCGAATCTACATCAACCAAGATAAAGTGCTCTCAAAAATGCTTGAAGAGCTCATTGATTTTTGCGATGACGTGCTTGTGCTTATTCGCCAGTTGATCGATGAGAGGGAAACTATTTTGAACTATGCCACCCGTGTCATGCATGATGACTTCAACATTGAGTTGTTGGTGATTGAACGCAACAACACCGTCACCAGCACGAAAACTGAAGATGTAGAATATTTCAGTGGAAAAAGCTCCAACGACAATACCCCTTGGTATTTGCAAGGAGACGAGGAGTACGATTTACTTATCGATGTTAATGGAAACATTAAGGGAGGCACTAAAGAAGCATTGGTGGCGCATTTGACTCATCATTCATCTTTTGATGCCACATTCAACACAACCTTTCTTATATCTTTCGCCACAATGATGACTGTGAATGAGTTGATACATTTGTTAATGAACAGATTCAACATTGAAGCACCCGAGGGCTTGAGTTATGAAGAGTATTTAACCTGGCGTTCGCGAAAGAGGGATAAGATTAGATTCAAAGTGCTCGATGTCATGAGACTTCTCTTGGAAAATCATTGGTGTGGATCCTATACCAATAAGTCCTTGTTGACGAGGTGGATAAAGTTTTTGAGACTGAATGAGCCACAACAATTTGACATTACGCTGACGATCATTGAAGATATCAAATTCATATTAGACGGCGGTGTGTTCAACACCGAAAAAGTACCTACAATCATAACGGAAAAAGCTCCGGCTCCGCTATTGAAGAGTTTTTCTTTGAGAAAGTTGAAGCTCATGGACATTGAGTATGTCGAACTTGCCAGACAACTCACACTCCGAGAATTTGGCTTATATTGCAGCATTTCCAAACTTTCGGCAATTCACAAAGTATGGGGGAAGAAATCTGGCTTGAATGAATCAGTTGAGAACATCACCAACTTTATCAAGGCATCAAACCAATTGACTAATTTCGTGGCGTATATGATTTTGCGCAAGGATGATGCGAAGAAACGAGTACAAATAATCCGGTTTTTTGTTCAGGTGGCCGAGAAGTGTCGGTCCTACAACAATTTTTCCTCAATGACGGCGATTATTTCGGCTCTTTACTCCTCGCCTATTCACAGACTTAAAAAGACTTGGTCATACGTTCCTCGAGACACGATGACGCTGTTGCAGAATATGAACAAACTAATGAATTCGAGCAGAAACTTCAACGAATACAGAGATATGCTCAAGTTTATTGGCCTGGAACCTTGTGTTCCCTTTTTTGGCGTTTACCTCAGTGATTTGACCTTTGTGCTTCATGGTAATCCGGACAATTTGTTGAACCGAACAAGAATGATCAATTTTGCCAAGCGAACGAAAACTGTCGACATAGTATTGGATATCGACCGTTTCAAACGGATCGGATACAATTTCCAAGAGGTGAGTGAAATTCAAAATTACCTTGATCTCTGGTTTGATAAATGCCCAACAATTGAGGAACAGTATCAGCTTTCGCTCAACATCGAACCACGGGAGCAAGGCGATAAGAAGCAATCCACAAAACCACAGCCTAACAAACGGTCTGCTCCCGGTCGCGGCCCAAGTCCGAAATATCAGCAGTCGGTCAACGTTCTTGGGATTCGCTAATCGAGAAGAATTGGATGGGCTGGAAGAAAGCAACCACTTCACCGTTTAGTGGTGTGTCAATTGACTGTTATTTATTATGGCTTACTATTGTGCTCATTTCATGGCGTGCTACTGAGTATTAATTACAATGTGTTTTTTGAGGTGATCAACCAATCATCTCGTGAAATTCTTGTTACGCTAGCTACTCAGAATGTATATATATAATTTGTTAATCTACTGTTATTAATTTTGAAGTATAATAAGTCAGAAAGGGATGTATGAGCTTTCTCAAAGTAGGAAACACTTGAGTGCTGTGCCAGATACCTTACGTTTACTCTACCCATCCCAACATATTCTCGTGTAATTGCGTTTAGCCACTGACAAATCTGTACCTTGAGCACTTAAATAAACAACTATTGGCATCGCTTCTACACTAGTAAACATTTATAAGAATTTCTGCATTCTTGAAGTCGCAGACAATATTAGGAGTGGTTTGCTTAGAGTAGTGAAAATAGTTCCTTTACTAAAGCGCTTTCAAACTATGTTGGTGTCTATCGCCATTTAATGATCAAACATGAAGTATTTAGAAATAGATCACCTACGCGGAGACAAATTGACGTGGATGGCAACATGGCTTACTCAATCCAAAAGGAAGCTTGAGCTTTTCACAACAGACAAATCCAAGGACACTCTCACAAAAACTACGGCAAACTCATTTTGCAATGAGAGAAAAAGTGAATTGCTTGATTTAGCTCAGGCCCGGTCATTTAACTGAATTCCCCGGAGTTTAGTAGGATTCTCGCCAACGAATGGCTATACCACCCATCCGTAGAATTGAATTAGAAATGAAATAGACCGAACATTATCGTTCGTGTTCCTACTGCCTTCAAACTTTCGCAACCGGTTGATCTTGGAAAGTGTAAAAAATACGCTTATCTATTGGACACTCTAGTTGGTTTGAAGTCCGCAAGCAACTAGAATGAATTGGTTCCGTCAAGTTTCAAAAGAAATCTACAAAACAGTCAATCACATATACATCGAGTGTGTATACATTACGTATGTGGAGATAGTGCTGATTTTATATGCACTCGCCGACGCTCGGATCATAAGCCTACTTCTAATACCAACCAAACTGGTGGTGGACAGCCTACAATGTTCAACAAACTCAAGTCTTTTTCCGAAGACGTGGCCAAGAGTTTCAATGAAATACAGAATGTGGACGTTTCTCGGAAAAGCGCAGACAACATTCGCCAATTGAAGAACGGCGTTTCTGTTCTCACCACAAATACTCCAGATTCTAAAGATTTGGGTCAGCCCGAGGATGAGGCACTTAAAAGCACACTGGAAACCCCAGAAGACGGGCAAGCTGCAGTGATACCTGTTGCCACCTCGGGCCCTTTGAAAGATATCGACTTGAACCAGCTACCAACTTTGGTTCGGGCAAAGTTGAAGAAGTTTGCAAAGTACGAGGAGAAGTATCCCGTGTTGTTGGACGCCTACAAAACAGAGAAAAGAAAAGGCGAGCTTGTGATTGCTTTTGAAAAGGTGCTAAAGGAATGCACCCCTGTATCTTCTATTTCCGATGCTGGTCTCCTAGTTGATTATTTGACGAGCTTGAACGAGAAATCGTCTTTGTCGGAATCAGAGCTACGCAAGACACTTTCCGAATTGACAAAATCAAACAAAGAGAACGCTGACCTTGCCAAGAAACTTGCAGATGCGCAGAAAACTTTGAAGTACGCCGAAGAAAATGCAAACAAGGCTCAGGTACGCGAGACGACATTAGTCAAGGAGAAGGAAGACTTAGCTTCCAGAACTAGCCAACTCGAAATTCTGCTTGAAAACGAAAGGAAAACAATTGCTACGTTGCAAGCCAAGTTGGAACAAGTCGAAAAAGAACATCCTCCAATAGATACAGAAACAAAAGAGACAACAGAATCTCCCGAGAGCGTTTCGAAAGTTCTCAGTCCCGAGGAAAAGTCTCGCTTAGAGGAAGAAATAAAGCAACTAACATCAAAGCTTGCATCAGAAACCAGCGAAAAAAGCAAGTTATCCAGCCAAGTAGAAGAATTGGTCAAGAAAAGTACGCAAATCGAGGAAGAAAAAAGAGCATTGACTGGTGCAATTGATTCTTCCAACACGGAGAAGGCTGACTTGACTCTGCAGCTCGAATCGTTGCAGAAGTCCTCGGATTCGCAACGTGCAGAATATACTACGCAAAAGGAAGTTTTAACGCTGAAAATAGAGGCTTTAGAAAAAGAAAAAGCTACTTTAAAGGAACAAGTGGATACATTGGAGTCCGAGAAGAGAAGACTAGAAAAGGATCTCGAGAAAACCAACGAGACCGTTTCCTCTCTTCTGGAAAAGATTTCAACTCTCCAGGAAGTAGAAAAGCGAGAGAAGACGTTGAGCGATGCAGCTATTCTCAGCGAGAACACCATAAATGAGTTGAAGAAGTCTGTGGAACTTTTGGAAGCACAAAAGAAGGACGTTGAATCGCATCTTGAGACCGACCGTGCTCTGTTGAAGTCACTTGAAGCTGAAAATTTGACGCTACAAGAAGCAAAACAAGCTTTGGAGAAAGAATCGGAGACCACAAGACTCACTATTAGCTCCTTAGAGTCCAAGATCTCGCAATTAGAGAACGCCATTACCGAACCAGAGCAACTGACATCTGCGCCCGAAAGTCCTAAAGTGAATCAACACGCGAAAGGAAAGGGTAAAAAGAAGAAGAACAAGGCTAACAACTTACAGGCGAATGCCAAATCAAGAACTGCGACAGAAGATTCAACTTCTCATGATTTGGAAACAAAGATCGTCGTTTTGACTGAAAAGATCGAAGCATTAGAGAAGGAGAAGTCAAAAATCCTTGAAGACAAACAAAAGGAGCTAACTGAGAAAGAGGAGACTATCAAAGAAAAGGAGGCTCTTTTAACTGAGAATGAACAGCTTATAGCCTCCCTCAAAGCGGAGGATTCTTCATCTTCTAATGACGAGCTCGAAAAAGAAAATGCTATTTTGAAGGAGACGAATGAATCTCTTTTGAAAGAGAAACAAGAGCTTCTCGATGAGAAAGATGTGCTTGCCAAAGCCAAAAAATCATTAGAGGAAAGTAAAGACACCTTTGCGACTGAAAAACAATCATTAGAAGCCGAAAAGGAAGAACTAGTCCGGCTCAAGAGAGAAGCAGAAGAAAGGATGGAACAGAGTACCAAAGCATTGGAAAAATTCAAAGAAGAAAATAATTCACTTACTGAGCATGTGGAGAAACTACAAAGTCAAAAGATACAGCTTGAGGCTGACAAAGGTGAGCTTGAAAAGACTGTTTCCCAGAATAACAGAGATTTGGCAACGAAAAACGAAGAAATTGAAAACTTGAGAGACCTGTTGCGCGATATAGGTGATGATTTGGTAACCGCAAAAGATCTGCTCAAGGAGTTGAAGGAGAAGGCTAATGCTGAAACTGAAGAGCAGTTGAAAGAACTAAAAACACAAAACGCTCAATTAAAGAGTACCATTGAACAGAAGGAGACAGCGTTGTCGGAGACCGAGGCTAAACTCCATGAAGTGGAAAATGAATTGGAAATTTCTAAAGAGGTATGCACTAAAAGTAAACAAGAGTTGAAAGACGTCAATACCAAGCTTTCTGGGATCACAAATGAGCTTCTTGCATCCAAGAAGGAAATCGAGAGTTTAACATTAGAGAAAGATAAATTGAACGAGAGAGTTGCCGAATTGGCTAAATTCAAGAGCGCAGATTCGTCATTGAAGCTTGAAATTGCATCTATGCAATCATCTATAAGTCACAAGGATGAGCAGATCCGGGAATTGAAGGAAACAATAGAGAAGAAAAATAAAGAAAGAGATGAATTGAATAACAATATTGCAACTTTGAGGACTACTAACACCGACTTGATCAATTCAAACAAAGACTTGGTTTCCGAAAAATCGACTTTGATAAGTAAACACGAAATGGCAGTTGAGAGAATGAATTCGCTCAATAGCGAACTTTCAAAACTACAAGTCAGTCGGCAAAAAGTGGTGACTGAACTCGATGCTCTCAAGTTGAAATACGACGCATTGGTGAATTCCAAAGCAAAATCTTCGGACGACATTCAAGTATTCAAGCAACAATGCGAGGAACTTACAATGAAAGTGAAAGAAGCCCAACTGAAGATTAACAACCTCGAAGATGATCTTTCTGAAGCCAGAAATATGTTGCAAGAGAGGACGCGGGAATCATCGACAATTAGAAAGCTTCTTCTTGATGCTGAGGAGCAAAGCAATATAAAGGCTGCCGAGCTCAAAAATGAGATTAGGAACATTACAGAGGAGAAGAATGAAGTCGAGTCAAACTTGCACACTGCCTTAAAAAGGAAGCAAAGGGAAAGTGAAGAGTTTAAAGAGACTGCCGAAAGGCATGCACTCAAGATAAAAGAATTAGAGACTTCAATTGACAATCTCAAAGCAAAATATGAACCTCTTTTGAAGATGAGCGCTGTGTCACCAGAAGCACAACAGAAGCAAAAGGATTTAGAAAACATTATTGGAGAGTTGCGTGTATCGCTTAGCGATGCCAGCAAAAAGATCAAAGATTACGAGAATTTGAATTCTATTTTGAAGAAATTGAACGATGAAACTTTCCTCAAGTTTGAAAGATTATCGAAGAACTACAAGCAGATCACGCAGCAGTACAGACACATGCAAGAGCAGAACTCAAAACCTCAAAGCACTCCAGTACCTGAGCACAAAAGTCGGGATCCTGAATCGGCAGTGAGTGTTCCTTATTTGAAAAATGTGTTGGTAGGGTTTTTTGAGCACAAGGATCAAAGGGCACAACTATTGCCAGTCATGAAAACCTTGTTCCACTTTAGCGATGAAGATGAACGCAAGCTTATGGCGGCCTTGAAGTAAGTATAAGGAGATTGTTCTATCTATTTTTTTCCATCAATATATATAATCTTATCTAAAACATACATAGAGAATTCAGGCAGATAAACCGCGAAGAGCATCACCAACATCCATTACTTATTCCCGCATGGCTTCTCCCTTCGACCAGAAAAAAGCGTCTATTTTGCAAGAAATTGGAGTCACATCAGAAGCGTCTCCCGATGCTTCTCCTAAGGGAACCATAGATGAGCTTTGTTTGCCTATCATCAATGTCATAAACTCACATCCTGATATGGTTACCACATCTCTGTGTTCCGGGCGGGTATCGGTTTTTCTAGAAGGAAAAAAGCTGGATCACCAGATTGGGGCAAAAGGAAACGAAGGCCGCTGGCTTTTTGTAACACACGAGCCCCTGGCCTTGGAAAAATGGTACGAACAAGTGGATTTTGTTTACGGTTCCGATATGGATACCAGTAGTGGAACAAGATACATTTTGTTCAAGTTTGAGCCTTTAATTTTACATGTCAAGTGTCGAGACCTTAAGACAGCCAACTTGTTGTTTTCTACGGCCATGGGTTGTGGTTTCCGTGAAACGGGTATTGGATCAAATAATATAGTGGGGATTCGAATTCTGATCAAACTAGATGTGCCTATTGGCATGCTTCAAGGCGATAAGCTTATGCTGTTTGTATCGAAGGAATACCTTGAGCTCATCACAAGACTTTCTTACGATCGATTTACAGAAAACTTTCGGAAAATGGACCAGCTTAAGAAATCCATCGCAAATATGGGACAAGCCAAAGAGGAAAAAACAGAAACAAAAGAAGAGCGTCGCCTTCGAAAAATGGCCGAGGGCATGGCAAGACGAGAAGCTGTTAGAGCAGAAAAGGAGAAAAAGAAGTTGGAGAAGCTTGCCCAAGAAGAATCAGCTGGGACGAAAGAGTAAAGTTGCAAATGACCTAGACAGAGAAATTACCTCCTTTACAATTCTGGAATAGACAAAACTCAATGACAATACTCAAGTGTCTGCTAACCCACAAATAACATGAAAACCAATGGACATCGACACCAAGAGATTGAGATCGATTTTCTCAATGTCCCATGCCATTTATGCCTTAGCTGCCTCTGGGCTCATTTTCTCGCCCCAAAGATTCAGTCATTAATATGTACATTTCTATAGGGATCATAAATGCTATGCAATGCCGGTAATGCCATCATATTAATCATTGGGCATTCTCATCTGTTTGTTCTGTCTGCTCTGGATTTCCCGATCCCTCCGAGCTGTCCGAGTTTTGGGACCTTGGCCGCACCTCGCCACGCAAGTCTCCCACCAAGCTCGTGAAGTGTTCAAACGAGTCTCCCGAGGCCAGATCAGACGTTACTGTTTCTACGCCAGAAGGGGTTCTTCTGCTAGCCACACCTGTGGCAAAAAGTGGAGAACCTGAGTTCTCTTCACGCTGTCTCCGTGCCCGGCTGAAGTAATTTATGATGTTATCAATCACGGGAGAAATGCTGGAGTTGCGCGGTCTCTCTTCAGCCAGAGGCGAGATTGGTGGAGGCGGTGCCTCATTATGCCTCGGCCTATCTGAGTTGAAGATGACTCTTGTGCTGCGTCGAAGAATGCCGTCTGCACTATCATTGCTGTTTGCGGTGTCATCTGCGCTTTCTGCAGCTTCCCCTAAACCGCCAAGCCGGATATAGCTGATGGGTATGACGCTAGGTGTTTCAGGCTCTGGCTCACCAATCGAAACACGGCACAATGGACAGCTGGTGTTTTCGCGAAGCCAGTATGCTAAGCACGACTGACCAAAGACGTGGCCACAAGGCATACGAAGGGGCAAATGCGGGAACTCGCCAGAGTGCTGGCACAAGTATTGTGGCGTAGGCGCCGATGCGTCTGAGGCAGTTTGATCAGCCGGCAGAGCGCCAGTCTCTGCATCCGTATTTGTATTCCCATCCGTGGACTCCGCGTTGCTATTTGTTTCTGTGTTTGCGGCCCTTTCCGTGGCCGACAGAGTGCTGCTACCTGTATTTGTGTTTGCTTCCACATTTGTACCGGCAGTTTGTTCCGAAATTTCGGGGGAAAGCTTGCGCCGTTTGGCCGACGGCATCGTATCCACATCTGCCATTGCTTTCTTGGGCGATTCGTAGCTCTCAAAACAAATAGCACACGTGGCGTCCCGCACCTCGTCCATATGGAGAACTTCAAGCGATCTGAACTTGTCAAGCGTGATACCAGAGTGTGGCTTTGGGGCGCTCGAAAGGGCAGAGTATGCCATTCTCGTGGCCAAAGAGATAAACTGCAGTATGATCCGCGGTTCTCTATTAGTGGCGTTGTTAGGCAACGTTACGACCAAAGATCCCGTGCGTCCTGGATTGACTTGGTCACTGCCATCGAGGAACATGTAGTTGACCGTGATGATGATGGCGCTATTGTCGCTATTGACAGTGGACGTGGCCGCAGGAGTAGTGGTGCTGCTTTCGTTGTCACTGGTGGCGCTGCCTCCGCCAGCATTCTGGTACTGGCCGAGCACGGTGTCGAGAAGACGGTCAAAAAGGTTGGCGCTGGCCTCGGTGTTGGGGCGATCCGAGTGATCCGAGTCACTCAGGGGTGCTTCGCCTTCTGTGTTCGTATCGGCGCTTGTGTTTGTGGCGGCTGTTGTATTTGCAGCCGTGTTTGTGATGTCAACATTGTTAGGAGCAGCATTGCCGCTGCTTGAAGCTTGCGCTTGAGTCGATTCAGTAGTGGTATCGGGCACAGTTTCGTGCTCCGAACCATAAGCCGCCAGGCTTTCTGCTGGCGAAGAAGAGGGTCTACCAGACATTAAAGGGGCAAAAGGTTGGCCTGCTTCAGAAAAAGAAGAGGTGTATTGTGATTACAAATGAAGAGGCGAGCGAAACCTAAAGAAGGAATCGGCCTCGTGCAGTCACATGACCGGTGATCTCGTTACGTAATGAACAGAAAGCGGCACGTGATCCTGTCATCATCTGCAAGCTGACTGATCATTGAAACAGATCGGAGCCTGGAATATTCTGGCATGTTCCAGTAGTATCAGGAGTGCCTTGGGGCCTTTACAAAGTTGACACCTTTGTTGAAAAGAGTTGGATAAAAAGTAGGCTATGCGAATGTGCAGGCATGTTTTAGTGTTGTGCGTTTGTGCGCGCAACAAGTGTTGATGTGTTGGTGAAGGAGGTACGGGTGTAGCTTTGGTGCTGTTTTCCTATCAAGACTACACCATTGAAAAAATGGTCTTATTGAAGAAAACGACTATACAACTTAGTGAATGACTCTACTTGTGCTGTGCAATTTGCGTACATGCGACATTGTTCAGCAAAGTTTAAGTTTAATTTGCGCCTCATCCATCTGCTGATTACACTTCTGCTGATGTCGTATTCGTTTAGGTAAATTCGGTTTCGCTATTTTCAAGCACAAAAGAACTGACATGCTGGGCTAATGTCTTTGCGGTTGTTATTAAATTTATGAAATTAAGATACATAGGCAGAATTAGCTATTGGTGTACATTCGGAGTCTTAAATCATAATTTCTGGAAAGAAAGAAAATTTTAGAGACAGACATAAATAGCCCGATAGCTCATAGAATTCGTAACATGATTATACTTCTTATTGTTATTTCCAGATTTACCTTTATTGTCACTTCTGCTTATGGCCAGTTGATCTACAGTCTCATTCGCGACTTACAGCATTCGAGAGAATCGGCGGAGGTACGGGTGTGGAATCCACTACTTCATTCCCACTAAAGCACCGCTGCACCAAGCCGGAAGCATTCACAACAAGCCCAATCTTCTCTAATAGCCCCACCAACCCATACTAGCCAGCCCGCTGTGTCTGGATCTGGGGTAGGTGGGTGTGGAGGTACGGGTGTCCATCCTCCAATGGCATGCGCACAATTACATACCTGCACTCCGCCAGAAAAACTAACCCAACTACCATTCTCTAGCATTTTCTTCTCCAGCGCAAATGTTGGCTAAAACCCCTATCCGGATTGCCAGAGCGGCCAATGTCGCCCGCAGCTTTTCCGTTTTTGCCCCAAGGGCGCTCCGCGCGTCTCATGTCGCCAGAAACTCCGAGGAGCCTTTGGTGGACTTGAACAGCTTGCCCAGAAAGTCCAAGGGTCCTCTTCATGTGCCGCTTGTCAACCCTACGGAGAAGTACCGCGAGGTTCTGGAAGAGTTGCACAAGTTTGGTACTTACATCATGTCTTGCATGCCAAAATACATCCAGCAGTTTAGCGTGTGGAAAGACGAATTGACCATCTATGTTGCACCTTCGGCGATCCGCCCTGTGATGGTCTACTTGAAGAACCACACTCCTGCGCAATTCAAGGCATGCATGGACATCACGGCGGCTGACTATCCATCCCGTGCCAACCGTTTTGATGTGGTGTACAACTTGTTGAGTGTGCGTCACAACTCGAGAATCAGAGTGAAAACATACGCTTCCGAAACATCCTCGGTGCCATCGGTGGTTCCTATCTACCAAGGTGCGAACTGGTACGAGAGAGAGGTGTATGACATGTTTGGTGTGTTTTTCGAGGGCCACCCAGACTTGAGAAGAATCATGACCGACTATGGTTTCGAAGGTCATCCTTTGAGAAAAGACTTCCCAACTACAGGCTACACAGAGGTCCGTTACGACGAGGAAAAGAAGCGTGTGGTGTACGAACCTTTGGAGTTGACCCAGGCTTGGAGAAACTTCACTGTGGGTTCTTCGGTGTGGGAGCAAGTTGGAGACGGAAAGGACTTTACCCCAGAAACTTTCAAGTTGCCAACGCCGGAACCTGAGCCAACTGAGGAGGAGAAGAAGTAAACTATTCACATACTAGAATTCACGGAAAGCATGAGCAGCAGTAGGTTGAATGACTAGGTAAGAAAGGGGTAGAGTAACACAGAAATAATAAAAAAACCGTTTAAAATTTCAAATGGTCTGTTTTTCAAAATGGATTGTTAGGTCCTCTAAAACAATCGAAAGACAATGCAAGATTCAAAAAAGAGTAGCGCTACCAGAAACCAATGTAGATTCAATTAAAGATTATCGTGTGGTAGTCTAAACAGCCAATAAACTCCCTCAATGAAATGACCGGATACATACTCGAGACATTTGAAAAACATATTAGCCCCGCTTCTCTACATTTCCACCCATCCAGGATAGTTCATCGGCTACACCAAAGACTTCAATATTGTTGAATGTTTTATTGCCCCCGGGGCCTATTGTGCGAGCTGCGCGCGCAATTCCGCCAACTCGCGCTGCTTCCGCGCCAAAAATTCCTCCAACGTCTGCACCTGCGACTCGATCAAGTCCACGTCTGCGCGCACGTCGGCCAAGTTTTTGCCCGGCGCCGCGCGCGCCTGCGCCAAACGCTCCTGCTTGTGCTTGAGCAACTGCTCAAACTCAAACCGCCGCGCCGCCAGCTCGCTTGCGCCTTGCGACGTTTCGCTCTGCGCCCGCGTCAAAAGCGCCTCCAAGTCCGCAAGCTCGCGCCGCAACCGCACCTCTTCCCAGTCGGTTCCTTCGGTGGCTGAAAAATCCGTGCCGCGCTCCGCATGGTGGCCCTGCCCAATCTTGCTCAAGTAGCTTGCGCCGAAAGCGTCGCGGTCGTTTGCGCTGGGCTCGCTGACTTTCTTGTCCACGGCACTCAAGTCGTAGCGGGGCACCTCCTTGGAGAAGGTCGCCCGTAACAGCGCTGGAACGCCCCGCGGAATCCGCTTGCCGTGCTCGCGCTGGTTCAACATGTGCAAAAACACAAGCGCCTGGTCCTTGTCGATGGTCTCAAACTGTTTTGGGTTCACAAGGTTCCACGCCAGCAGGATGTCTGTGCGGGGAACTTTGCTGAGCGTGCTGTACAAGCCGTTCAACGACTCGAACCGCACTCGTCCATACGAGTCGCTGTTGGCATTGTAGATGCTTTCGTACGTGGCACGGTCCGTCGGAGAAATGTACCAGTCAAAGTTGTCGGAGAGGGTGTCGTCGTCGTCTCCCGTGTCGTCGGCCTCGCCGTTGTCCTCGAATCGCCCGGTGGCCACGGCTTTGTTGGCGTCGATCAAGTGGCGCTTCAGCTGCGGCACCAACCACGCAGGCAACTCGGCTGGCACGTCGTCCATGTTCCCGTTGACCAAGTCGAAGATCAAGCGCATGGCAATGCAAAACTCCTCAAAGTCCAATGTTCCATCGCTGTCGATATCCGCCAAATCCCACAATCGCGCCAACTGCGCTTCGGGCAAGCGAGAGTTTTTAAGAACAGGCAGGACACGGTCGCCTGTGAGCTTGTTGTCTTTCGGCTGTAAGCCTTGGAAAATCTCCCAGTACTTTTTGATTTCCCACTCTTCGAGACGAGGCATTGTCGTTGGGTCAAGTGTGGGCGCAGTGGTTTAAGTACGGCACCTGTACACCACAGTCTGCCCTTCAGATATACCTGGCACAAACGATGGGAACCCCAGGAAAAACAGGCCTGGTCTCATCCGTTCGTCTTCAGTACTTGGCGGGATTTTAACTACATACTTGATGGCTTCGTCTACGGTATTTTTATAACGTTGGTCCATTGCGCAAGAAATCTAGCTGCCTCTACACTTTTGCGCGGGAGAATCAAGTATTTAGGCACAACTGAGACAAAGAGAACAGAATACATAACGTCTCCATTGCACATTTCACTGCTTCAAGAAAGATCAAGCCGGTTTAAACGAGCACGTAAAAACAACTAAAGTCGAAATTTCAAAGCACGTTGATCTTTGGTCAAAACATGACATGAATAGGTCAACGGTTAATAGAAATCAAACTCGCTAATTAAATGTACTTGCCGTTAATTCCAATTGTGTTCAGCTCAATGGACACATGCTCATCTACATCGAATTCCATTCATGCTTATTATCTGGCCACATTGGCCGTCTATGCTATGTTACACTCGATCCTTAGTTCTCTTCGACCTCTTCATCTTCATCTTCGTCCTCCGAGTCGTCCAAACGGCCTGCCTCTACGGTCATGACCGTCTCGGCACCACCCTTGTACTTTCTGGCAATACGCGACGCCCGCCCCGCCTCTTGTGCCACTTCTCTGGCCCGTTTCTGCAACAGGCCCAACTCAGCACTGAAAGCATTGCGCACGGCCCTGTTGGAGAAACAGTCCCACATCTTCAACGCACCCAGGACACCACCAACACTCATGTGGCCAGCAAGCTCCAAATCGCCAGCAAAGGACGCGGTCAATACATTTCCAACGCCAAAGTCGCGCAGCAACACCATCGATGGACCACCCTGTTCAGCCGGACATTTCCACAACTTGACCACCTTTTCGCCCATTGCTGCCGTGACAAGCATGCCGTCCACGTGCCCGCTCACATCTAAAGCAGAAATCCCAGCATCGTGGGCATGCAATGTCCAGACAGGCTTTTCGGGCGAACGCACATCAAAACAGTACACATTACCGTTGTCAGTTCCACAGTAAAAAACCTCAGGACGAGCTCCCCACCGCACAGACTCCACATCCTGGTGACCCACAGAAAACTTCTTGCACATGTCCTTCTCGGATGCAATACGCACGTCGGATACGGCACAGGCGCTGTCGTAACCACCAGTCAATAAGATCGAAGCCTCGGTAGCGTGCCATTGAGACGACGAAACCGTTTTCCCGCCGTGAGCTGCGGAAATAGACCGCACAGCGCTTCCATTAGCCAAGTCCCATAATTTGACAGTCGAGTCGGCCGAAGTCGACGCTAACACACTGCGGTGGTTGCGGTTGTGTGCCAAAGACAAGACAGCGTCTGTGTGATGCGTTGTGGCAGGGCCCTTGCTCTTCTTCTTCTTCTTTTTGGCCAGCATAGCAGCTGCAGAATTGCTTTGCACCTCGCCCAAAATCATGTCAGGGAAAGCCTTGTCCACACAGTCCAAGTTCCACACCTCAATCTGCGGATCGAATGTGCCAATGGCCGCGAAGTTACCCACTCCATCGCTGGTTCCAGGGCGGAAATTCACCCACTCCACGCAAAGAGGGAAGGCAGGCAACATCAAGTCATGATGAACGTACAAGTTAGGTTCACGCACAAGTCCACGCGCCACATCGGCATCGAGCTTGTCTCCTTCTTCCTCTTCAGCTCCGTCTGGTGCTCCGGCACCATCATCATAGACATACACGTCCAAGTAGGAAACATCGTCCTCAGTACGTGTAGCCAAAACCAAACTGTCTGTAGGATAAATCTGCATCTCTTGCTTGGCCTCTTGTTCCTCTTGGGCATCGGGCAATGTAAGATAGGCATCTCCACCGCTTTCCTGGAAAGTGGCATCTGTAGCCGCCAAGCCTGGGAACATCGAGATGCTTTCACCCTCAGTTTCTTCTTCATCGTAGTTTTCCAAGTCATACTCCTTCAAATCGTCGTCAATGTCAATCTGGTTAGACAAGGCCGCCTGTTCTTTCTGGGCGTTCTGCAAGTCGTCCTTGGCATCGTCCAACTCGAGCTGGGCCATTTTGGAAATCCGCTCCATTTCTGCATCATCCAAGTCGTATTGCTCGGGAAATTCCGAGGCAAAACCACGGGGAACCCAACAGCTGGAAGAAATCATGCTGATGCTTGAGAGTAAGAAGTGCGATGATGTGCCAGCAGAAAATCTTTGAGTGTGTTCGTGTATGCAGGATGACCATCTTCTCTCAGTGAATTGTTTTCTGGTGGTGAGAGTTTTTTAGCCCAACAATTCGTCGAGGAAAGCATCGGCATCAGATGGTGCTTGTGCCGTATGTGGCGAAACGGTTTCCTTTTTTGCACTGCTGGAAACGGCAGTGGCTTGTCGAAGTAGGTCGTCCAAGTCCGGAGCCTGTTGTGCAGGTACATCCAAATCCTGCCCACCCACCAAGTCTAGCAAGTCCCGCTCTAAATCTGGGGCAATTTCGGGTGCCTGGGAAATCTTTTGGTTTAATGCTTGCATCAGCCGCTCGTTGTCTTTGTCGATGTTGTTGATTTCCAAGACCTTGCTTCGTTTTTCGTTATTGCCGAACTTGGTGCGGATCTGGTCGTACAAGCGCTGGCGCTCGAGCTTTTCTGTGCGTTCCAAGTGCTCTCTTTTCTCTTCTTCGCTCAAAGCACGTATGTTTGTTGTGGTTTCTTCTTTCTGGCCAATGCGCATTCCGTCCAAGTCGCTTGCGCTGAACCTGGAAATATCCACGTTGTTCTTCTTGGCCGCGTTGTAGTCGGTTTGTTTTACTGTATCTTTGTAGCTTTCAAGGCCATAGTCCTGCAACAAGGAGTCGTCAACCTTGTTTTTCAAGAGCTTTCTGTTCTTCTGTTTGAATGTGTCCGAAAGAATGAACTCGCTGAGTTTCGTCTCGAGGTCGGGAAGCTGTATTTCCGGCTCTTGCGTGCCCAAATAGATCCCACCCATTTCGTCTTCGCTATCAATTGGCTCTGCATTGTCATCTTCCGTTGCCTTTTCTGCGTCTTGTTCATTCTGCTCATTTTGCTTCTCGCGAAGTCCGTTGACGATTTGCCGCTTGATCTTGAGCTTCTGGTCCACAGATATGTTTTGCTCGCCGATCTCAGGGTAAAAGTGGTTGAGAAGCGCCTCGTCTTGTGAATCCCAGTCGCTGTCGTCCGAATCGTCTGCGTAGAACGCTATAGATTTCGACTCGCCCGTTTTCTTCGAGGACCACTTAGGAGTCACCGTCGGCGCCTGTTTGGGCCGCGTAAGCCCGTGCTTTTTGAGATAGCTGATTTTGGCCTTGTGGTCCCATTTGTTTTTGTGGAGCACCATGAGAAAATTGTAGATGGGTGAATAGGGCGAACGAGTAGCGCGAAGTCTATAATAATGTAGTGCGAAGTAGGTATGAATATGTCATAGTACAAGTGGTCAATTGCATTTTATATCATTTTTGATCTATGATTCTCTTCTGTTAGGTTCTCTCAGAAACGTTTATGAAAAGGAAAAAGAAACCTCCATCGTCGTATGTCTTGGCTAATTTGCATCTAAAGCTTAGACCAGCATTTTTTCCACTCCTACAGGTTTCGCGGCGCCATCTTTTCTTCACCCTCCACTTTAAGGCAATACATACAAGCGCCCATGTCTGGACCTAAGCTGATTGAGGAGCTCCTAAAACTTCTCTCGATGGGTGAGGCCCTCGATGAAGCCCAGCAAAAGCAAATGAAAGACTACAAGTTTTGGAAAACCCAGCCTGTCCCTGCTTTGGGAGAAGTTGTCGCCGAAGAAGGACCGATCGACTCTTCTCGCACACCAGAGGACATTCCAGCGGAACCTTTGCCGCTTTTGGGTGATTTTGAGTGGTCCACCATTGATGTGGAGTCGTCCAGCCAATTGGACGAGGTCTACACGCTCTTGTACGAGCACTATGTCGAAGACCAGGACGCTACTTTCCGCTTCAAATACTCGCATGAATTCTTCAAGTGGGCATTGAAACCGCCCGGATGGCGCCAGGATTGGCATGTGGGTGTCCGTGTGAAAAGCACAAAGAAATTGGTTGCGTTCATTGCTGCTGTTCCAGTGACTTTGAAACTCAACAAGCTTGACAAGACGATTCCAAGCGTGGAAATCAACTTCTTATGCATCCATAAGAAGTTGCGTAGCAAGCGTTTGGCCCCTGTTCTTATCAAGGAGATCACTCGCCGTGTCAATAAGCAGAATATCTGGCAGGCGTTGTATACAGCCGGAATTGTTCTTCCGCTGCCTGTGGCGTCTTGCCGTTACACCCACAGACCACTTAACTGGACCAAGCTTCACGAAGTACTGTTTTCCCACTTACCCGCAGACCAGACAAAAGCTGGAATGGTGGCACACTATGCTTTGCCTAATATAACTAAGACGTCAGGTCTTCGGCCCATGGAAGAAAAAGATATCGACCAGGTCTTGTCTCTTTTACACAGCTTTCAAGAACGCTTTGATTTGGTTCAGATTTTCCACAAGGAAGAGTTGGCCCACTGGTTGTTGGGCGGTGAAAACAGATGCGATGTCATCAAGTCATATGTGGTTGAGAAAGATGGTGTGGTGACCGATTTTTTCTCCTATTACTTGCTTCCATTTTCTGTTTTGAACAATGCTGCCCACTCCGAATTGGGCGTGGCGTACTTGTTCTACTATGCTCTGGACAGTGCAGAAAAGGAAACTGAGGTTTATAAAAAGAGATTGAATCTGTTGATCACCGACGCGTTAATCACAGCCAAACACTTTGGTGTCGACGTCTTCAATGCCTTGACTTGCCAGGACAACCCATTGTTCATCAAATCTGCCAAGTTTGGAAGCGGCGATGGTCTTCTCAACTATTATCTTTTCAACTATAAGCTCAAGCCTATTAGCGGCGGAATTGACCCAGAAACGAAACAAGTTGCGGATGACAAAGGAAGCGGTGTCGGTGTGGTTTTGTTTTAATGTATTAGTATCTGGGAATCAGATCTGAATTACTGGCTATATCGCGTGGTTGTACTACATTTGCTGCCTTATCTAATTAGAGAGAACAGATTATGTATAGATAACTGAATCATTCACTCCTTTGTGCGGTCTTACCATTACATCGTTATAGTATCGAAAATCCAGAGACACATTCGTTTCGAAGCGGTGAAACGTGCACCACCGCCTAAAGAAAAGAAGAAATTTAGCTTCAATGCGAATTATTGAGGTTCAACTACGTAACAGTTGCAATTTCTAATTGGTTTTAGGGCAGTTTAATATTTGTTTTATGGTCTGTCTACAATTAAATTCATACTCATCTCATCCTTAGACGAATCCACGTTGAATTCCCATTCTGCCTATGAATATTGTTGGTAGATTCTTCACACATATAACTAATAAATTCTGATTTCCGATCATGAGCTAAGTAGCTTTGCGGCTTTACTGTTAGGTAATTGTGAAAATATTCTTCTTCTTTTTCGCCATTTGACGTGTATTCAATCCACTCTGTAAAAATGTGACGGAAATAGGATGTGGATCTGTACAGATAGATAGTGCGCAATATCTACACATTATCTACTTTTTTGCATTATCTATGAGTTCGGGCGATTTGGGCGACCGGGATCGCCGGGCCATGGATCTCTTTGAAAAGGCCATGGAGAAAGAACTGCATGGCCTGATGTCTGATGCTGTCAGGTATTACCGTGAAGCATTCAAGATCAATGACCATATCGACCTTCTTTATAGACAACAGAAGGTGCCCAAAGCAATACAAAAGCTTACCAACGAACACGGCAAAAACGCAGGTCGGAAGGTCGACGAGGATGCAGTTAATAGAATAGACGTAGATCGTCTTCTAGCCTCGTTTGCGCATGAGGAGGCACATGCGCCAGATCCAAATAATCCTGACCACCAGGACGAAAACCATATGGTGGTCAAGCTTTCCAACTTGGGCCTTGATAACCACAGCTACGTGGAGGAGGCCAAACCTGTTTCTCCGCTCGTTCATCTTCCTCGTGAATTGTGGACTGCAATCTTGGACATTTTGATTACCACAGATCCAGAGCTGTGGTTTCGTTTTGGTGTGACGTGCAAAAAGCACGCCTATTTGGCATTTGGATCCTCGGTCCTATGGAGCCGATTGTGCCACCTCATATATCCACGACAAGTGTACGAAGAGAATCGTGGGTACCAAGGGAAAGACTTGCCTGTTCCTAAAGATCCGCTTCTAATGCTACCGCAGTATGGCAACTCGTGGAAGAAAATGCTTCGAGAAAGGCCCTTTGTCAAATTTCTTGGCTGCTACATTTCTGTGGTCAACTACTACAGTGAAGGTGCGAGGGAGGAATTTTCTACCACATGGAAAAACCCAGTGAGAACTGTCACGTATTATCGCTATCTCCGCTTCTATCCCGACGGAAAATGTGTAATGGCACTAACTGCCCTTGAACCTGGAAAAGTGATCCCACAATTTCTGCGGACCAATAAACTCAAATGCATCCTTGCTAATCCTGAAAAGGATATAGGCCATATAAACGTTGCCAAGGAGCCTCACAAAATCTTCCATGGCTCGTGGACAATTTCTGCTGGAGGAGAAGTATATGTCAAGGTTGAGGAGGGCTCTGTTGCATATTGTACGTTCCATTACAGGTTTCAGATCAAGTCTATGGGAAGCGTCCCCAACCATGCCAAATTGGGTTGGATAAATTTTTTTGCTGTGTATAAAGACATGGGTGAAGGCGATGATCGTGAGGGTGAAGTGGTGGAATTTTCTTTAAAGAACGAGACTTCATTCAAGTTTCTGCGTGTTCGATCCTATACGTTGGATAACTGAGGGAAGAATGCAAAGTCGGATAATGCTTCGATACGGAAACGACCATTTAGTCATTTAAACTGGTCAGCGCATGATGTGGGAAGATAGTACGCGGTCATTATTAGGAAGGTATTGTTCACGTTGACTGCGAGATAGGTGGTATAGTGGTTGAACGACAAACATAGAATAAATTATTGATGATCAATTTGCTTGACAGTTTAGCTCAATGGGAGATCGTGCTATCCGTAATTACTATGGAGCATAGCGTACATGTGGCTTTATTGCTTGAAAATTAAGTAAGATTACTTTATGGTCAGAACTTAAACGCCACATATTGTATTCTAGTAAATAAGTGCGAGAAAGGAAAGGTCTGGTTTAGTTTCAAATACTTCTTTATTCTACGTGATGATGTTTATCACTAAACACTCATCGGCTTATCCAAAGAAGGATATTAAATTCGAAACTAGTCGGTGGAGAAGCCAGTATCGATTCTTCAATTTTGCGACAATGAATAATATGAAACGGAGAATGTTGGAACCACGCCAACAAAAAGAGTGAAGATTTAGATGAATGAATTCAAGAAATTACCCAACTTTACACGTGAAATTGAGGCTCAAGTTTTTGCGTAGGTTCTGGACAACCGTTGGAACGTAGTGTTGAGCAAAGAAATTGCTTCTTCCAATGCGATGTAATACTTTGCAACATAGCCTGTATGATTTAAAACGTGGAAAACATTAACAAATTAGGGCATCGAGCCGGAATCGCCTTGATTGGCTAACTGCCTTCCGTCTCTTAGACTGTTAACGCCATTTTAGACTATGTTAACGCCTTTTGTCTTTTAAACTATGTTGACTCTAATGCCTGGTCAATAATCTACTTATGGGTTTGAGAACAATCCAAAACCGTATTTTAGTGGTAAGTCAACCATTCCTTGGAGTTTGTTTCCTGATCTACTTAAGCAAAGCATTCAACCATCCCAATACCTGGAAATAGAGAGGTGCCATGTTAGGATTCTGACGTACTTGTGCGCGACTGAAATGAGAGGCAAACTGGGTGCGACTTTATTCCTGGCGAAAAAGGGTCCCTCTAAAAAACAGAAATGTAGGGCGATCAACCGATCCGCAGAGGCGGCCAAAGGCATTTCTTAGCTACATGGGAAGAATGGCCGCATCCTTAGTACTTTAGATAGCCATGTTGTACCGTTTTACTCAATGTTATACAAGTGCCAGTATCTACGCCTGTATGCGTATCTTCCAGCACTAAGCGCTGGTGTGCCCCGTGCAGGCGCCCTGAAAATTTTGCCAGAGAAGAACCCATCTTCAAAGTAAAGCCGACCAGAACGATCCACCATGTCGAGATTTTTCGCTTCCGGCTACAACTCCGATTCGTCTTCGGAAGAAGAAGACTTGTTGAGCACCTCCGAGGAGGAGTTGCTCTCGTCGTCTGAAGAATTCTCCACAGACAGTGAATTTGAGAACGAATCTGAAGAAAGCAGCGACGACGACGATTCCGACTACAACGCCAGCGGGCCTTCGTATTTCTTGAAGAAGGACTTTTTGAAGAAGGGCGCCCATGACTCTGATCTGGACTCGGATGGCGACGGCCGCAAAGTGGTCAAATCGGCCAAGGACAAGTTGTTGGACGACTTGAGAGAAGGCGTCGACGCTCTCTACAACGCGAAAAACTTGGAGATCTGGAGCAATGTGCTCACCGAGTTTGACCGTTTGTCGCGTTTGGTGATCCGTGTCGGCCAGCAGAAGTTGCGTGTGCCTAATTTCTACTACAAGATGTTGGGTCAGTTGGATGCGACGATTGCAGAGATCACAGCAGAGAAGGACAAGCGCAAGTTGCCTGCGGACCAGAACAGAGCCTTCAACACCACTCGCCAGAGAATGAAGAAGATGGGCCCAGACTTCCAGGCGTACTTGGAATATTATAGAGACAAACCTGAGGCGTTCGATGCGGAAGAACCTGTTGAAATCGGAATCTTTGGTGCCAACGACGCAGACGACTCCTCTGCTGTTGTGGGCGCCGTTTCCGGTACTACTCGTCTTGTCAGCCCTCTTTTCACCACGTTGAGACAGATTGCCGACTCTCGTGGTAAGAAAAACATCGACAAGATGGAACAGGTGGAAATCTTGGAAAAATTGTTGGATGAAGCTCGCGAGTCTGGCCGTGTATTTGATATCATTTGTGTTTACCAGATGTTGCTTTCTGTGCGTTTTGACGCCGGTAACAGTGCTACTATGCCTGTTTCCTTGTGGAAAGATAACCAGCGTGACTTTGAATCATTTTTGACATTCTTGGAGCAGAACTCCAAGTCGTACTGGGTCAGCGAAAAGGGTGTGTCTCTTGATGATTGGGACGTGGAGCCTCCAGCAAATGAAGATGGTGTCCGCGTCATTATGGGCTCGGTTGCTGCGGTGATGGAAAGATTGGATGATGAATTTGCCAAGGGCTTGCAGACCACCGACCCACATCTGACTGACTACATTGAGCGCTTGAAGGACGAAACCGCGCTTTACCGTTTGCTTGTGAGAACTCAAATCTACGTGCAATCAACCACAGGTGCCTCGGAGCACTTGGCTCGTGTCATTGTGCGCAGAATGGACCACTTGTACTACAAGCCTGACCAGTTGATCAGCGCATGTGAGACTGCGGCTTGGGAGAACGCTTGGCCTGGCATTGGCATCGAGGACTCTCTGTTGATGACTAAGGACAAGGCTCCAGCTGATGTCTTGGCCGCGTTGAGCAGTTTCTTGTCGAAACAGGAAAATGCCATCTACGGCCAGCACGCTTTGCTCTGCTCGACCTACTACTACGCAGTGAACAGCAGGTACAGCGATGCCCGCGAGTTGTTCTTGTCCTCGCAAATGTATAATCACATCGCCACCGCAGACTCCAATATTCAAGTGTTGTACAACCGTGCGTTGGTGCAATTGGGATTGAGTGCTTTCCGTGCCGGTGAAATCGATGAGTCGCACCAAATCTTGAACGAGATTGCCAACTCTCAGAGACTTAAGGAATTGTTGGGCCAGGGGTTCAACTCCAAGTACCCTAACCAGGCCACGACGGCAGAAAAACAAAAATTATTGCCTTTCCACATGCACATCAACTTGGAATTGTTAGAGTGTGTTTTCATGACTGCGCTGTTGTTGATTGAAATTCCAGCGTTGGCTGCACAAAGCTCCACCAAGGACTCTCGCCGTAAGGCCAGCATCAAATCGTTCAAGAGCAAGTTGGAATTCCACGACAGACAATACTTCACAGGTCCTCCAGAGAGCATCAAGGATCACTTGATCTATGCTCTGCGTTACTTGCAAAAGGGTAACTGGGCCAAGTCCTACGACTTGTTGTCTTCCATCAAGATCTGGCGCTTGTTCCCTGACCATGCGCAGTTGTTGCTCATGTTGAAGCGCCAGTTGCAAGTGGAAGGCTTGCGCACATACATCTTTACTTATAAGGCCATTTTCTCGAAGTTGTCTTTGGCCAAGTTGGCGTCGATGTTCCAGCTTGATGACGAAAACGTCGCTGCTCTTGTCGACAAGATGCTCTCGAGCGGTGAAGTACAAGGCTCGGTGGAGAATGGCTTTGTCAACTTTGTCACAGATGCGCCACAAAGATCCAAGTTGCAGGAGTTGGCGATCGTCATGAACGAGAAGGTGGGCTTGTTGAACGAAAAGAATGAGAAGACCGCATCTAATGGTCATGGTAGAAACAAGAATGCCCAGCAGCAGCAACAACAGCAGCAGCAGAAGGAACAGAAGGAGCAGAAGGAGTACCAGCAGGAGGAGAACAGCAAGTTCCGCTACGCCAACGTCAACACCAACAATGACGAGTTCCAGGTCACAGCTTAGGAGCGCTTGTAACATACGGTTTTTTCTATCTTTGCTTCCATATTGCATGTTGGCGCTGCCTCCGGGTGGCTCCGTGTTTTAATAAATCACTGATGTCAAATATGTAGAGCATACGACCAACTTAGATAAATGGTTTCTGGCCATTAATGAAATACAAATCAGTTCAGTTTAGTGCACCAAGTGTATGAAGGCTACCGAGGCGATTTTAAAGCCTAAATTTCAACTCTATTTGCTCAGTAACTAGAAGATATCTCTCTTTCAGTATCGCTTTTTTCGACTGGACAGAGAGAAGAAAATAAGATCATAGGACTGAACATTTCAAAAAGCTCTTCGTGCTAAGTATTGCACACTAAAAGAAACTTCGTTCGCCAATATATATGGAGTAGTACTAGCGCACTCATAACTTGTTAGGATATTTCAGTACGTCGCCTTTCTATTTTTCAATGTTCCAAAGACTATTTGGTTTAAAATTCAAAAATCTCATAACAATGAACAAATGTCCAATGTCTGAAGTGCTTAGTAGGTTTTTTTTTTCGTGATGCTAATTTGCAAAATTCAGCCGTGTTCACTTTTTCTTGCAAATCGCTCTTTCGTTTCTCATCTTATACCCCACATAAAACAAAGAAGCCAAAAATCATGACCCACACGATTGCAAGCATTACAATTCGAAAAGTCTTTATCATGTATTCTTTTCCTGACTTAGAAACTAAGTACTGACTAAAGTTGATTCAATTCTTTTCAGCAATTTCAATATATGCGAGAACCACGAGCAACGAAGCTCTCACTTGCAAACCCAGTTACTTTCAACTAGGTCTCCGTTTCACCCCTACTTGGTCTATGCTTATTAATTTTCTACGGTAGATAAGATCTGTTGATGTTAGCCATTGCTTTTCTCCAAAGTTACCTGCACACATGATCTCATCGCCATCTACCTACATCTATCAACCTTTGGCATTACCCAGCTTTTTATAAGTAACGATATGGAGAAAAAAAATCAAAGTTGCATCGCTTTGCCAGCTATGCCATGGACGACGTGCCGTGGTGAAACGACCCAAAAACCTCCAGCGTCTATGCAAAGAATGCTTTTTTACCGTGTTTGAAACAGAAATCCACAACACCATCGTCACAGCGCAGCTTTTCCAACCAGGCGAGCGTGTTGCCATCGGCGCATCTGGCGGAAAAGATTCTACAGTTCTAGCATCGGTGCTCAAAACACTTAACGAAAGGTACAACTATGGGCTTGATTTGGTGCTTCTTTCTGTGGACGAAGGCATCAAAGGATATCGGGACGACTCTCTCGCCACTGTGAAACGGAACCAGGCCCAGTACGAAATGCCTTTGGAGATTGTGTCGTACAAGGAGCTTTACGATTGGCTGATGGACGAAATCGTGGCCTGTGCCGGTATCAGAAGCAGTTGCACATACTGTGGTGTTCTTCGAAGACAGGCTCTTGATCGAGGTGCAGCCAAGTTGGGCATCCAACACGTTGTGACAGGACATAATGCAGATGACATGGCAGAAACTGTTCTCATGAATCTTCTTCGAGGCGACACAGCCAGACTAGAACTGCTGTGTGCTCTCCTTACCCACCTGGAAGGTTCTCCCGTCCGCCGGTCGAAGCCGTTCAAGTACATGTACCAGAAGGAGATTGTTCTTTATGCGCATTATAAGCGGCTCGACTACTTCAGCACTGAGTGCACGTATGCGCCAGAGGCATTTCGGGGCACGGCAAGAGAATTACTAAAAGGGCTAGGTGCTGTGCGTCCGTCTGTGGTGATGGACATCATTCACAGTGGCGAACAGTTTGTCCTCAAGAAGAAGGAGATTAGGGGAAACAAAAAGAAGGGTAAGAAGGGTAAGACAGAAAACACAAAAGATACAGCTGAAGCAGAAAAATCAGAAAAGACAGCAACAAGAGGTAACACGGTGCCGCCAAGAAAAGAAAGAGGCGCTGTTAATTCAGATGGCTCTGTTTCGCTAGGAAATACCTGTGAGCGTTGCGGCTACATCACTTCTAACCGTATCTGTAAAGCGTGCCTATTGTTGGCTGGTCTCGAAGCCAGTCGTCCGAAAATGGCCGTGGAACTGGAAGAAGGCGCCGCAAAGGTCGTTCGTGCATTGGAACTGTTGAGCTTTTAGTATAGAGAGCAAGGAGGCGGGTTGAGTCAAACAGCGTTTATCATTCAGATCCCACCTACCACCTACCAAAGACGATTAAACAGTCAGGATATCAAGCTTCATATAAAGACGATTCCAGAAAAGGAATCTTGGAGAGTTACCTTATTTATTTCCGCTGCTGCTTATAGCTCCACAATACTCGGCCGCTCGATGTGAACGTAGACTCGAATCTGTGTGAAAGGAGCAGTTATAGTATTGCATTTGTCATAGAATATACACCAGTGTTCAAAAAACTTCTTGCGAAATTATTTGATTATTACTCATCAAGACCCAAGAAAATACATACCGTCGACATAACTCTATTCTCTTTTAAGATTTATTAATCCAATTTTGATGTTCAACTTTCGAAAAATCGGTAAACTACACCAATCCCATAAGAATTTTACTTTACGATACTATAGCCCATTCCGCATTCGTCGTTCAAAATTTTATTCAATTTGACTTCGTAAACCCGAGTGTTTACTTAAGTGCATATTCCACCATGTGAGGCGATGTTCCATTGCGCTGCTCTGACACATCTTTTACGAATACATCATGAGATGAAGGTGTACTTTGCTGAAAGCTTAAATTGAAGAGAAAGCGATGACTCGTTTAATCACAGAATTCCCGTTTAGAAGAAGGGTCACTTGACAACCTAATGACTAATTGTCCAAAGGGGTCGAAGAATTGAAGGCCCTTCCCATTTCGCAAACGAACGAAACATTTACGTCGAACGAAACATTTACGTTGTGTTTTGGTGAAGCATGTCGTCAAGCATGACATGCTTCTCGATGCATGACATACTAATCACGGTACAGAAGAAATTCCATTGTTATCAAACGCAGCCTGTATAAGCTAGCGTGCATTTATTATTGTAATCTATAAGCCAAACCGGAGAAATTAATATGGTCCCGCGCATACGCGGGGATTCCTTCACATAGAGCCGAAACAATGGGCAGCGTCATGTTTTGCATCCTATGTGTAGATAGAGTCGCCAGCGCTGTGAAAATCGTGGCTGGTGGTGGAGAAGGAGTTGCCCAACGAGCTGACAGGGCTCGATGTGCCATCGCTAACTGGGTACAAATTTCCAGACGATGCTGATGCACCACTGAAGCAATAACGCTGTAACAATGCTGCATATGTGGATGAATTGAAGATGGCATCCTCAAACTTTCTTTCGGGGCTCTTGTCATTAACCTCCGCAGTGTTACCTTGTGTTTCGAGTTTCTCTTGTTTTGCGCGGAAAGACTGCGAGTATTTAGGGGGTCTCAAACAAGGCTCCGATAAAGAGTGATGCAATTTTGGTTTTTCCAACTTTTTCAGAATCAACTGTGTTACAACCTCATCCAAGTTGGTGTTCTGTGATTTTGATACATTCTTGGATGCACTGGATGTGTCACTAAAAGTATCAGATTTCTTGGACACTGGTGAAGAAGATGCAGCAAATGAAAATTTGGGCATTCTGTAAGTAAACGAATCCAGCGTGTACTTAGAGGCCGTCTGTTTTTCAAGAGAAATGTTGTAGTTTTTAAAGCCGTTGTTGTCCCAGTAGCTTCCGTTGTCAACAGTGTAATTGATGCAAAACAGAATCTTGACGAATGGAGAAAGATGAGACAAAGGAATCGTGCCTTCGAACTGATCAAAGCCAGTCATAGCAAATGATTTAACGTATTTGAAGTTCGTGATCATCATGTGGCTGCCCCAGTTATTGAAAGTGACTTTAGCGGCAACATGCTTTTCGAATGCAAGATTCTTGCACATGACAACAAGAACAAGCAGCTTCCCATCTTTCAGAACATTGCATTTTTGAAGATATAATGGGCTGTCCTTTTTATCGTAGATGTTGTTTGAAGGGACAAAGTCCAGAGACTTCACCTGGTACTTCCAATCCGAGTTGTCGACAGAAAAAACATTGTCGTCACTGTCTTCCTCATCGTCGTCTTCACTGAACTCGTCAGAGAAAATGTCATTAAAACTGCCATGATGTGAAAAATAATCACCAAAGTTTATGTGGCTATGCAGAGGAGAGCCGATGGGCGTGTTGCGGTTAGAAACAGCCGCTGGTGAATCTCTGCCGTCAAACATCTTGACGTTTTCAAGTGTGGAGGCAAAGCGCACCGATTTGGGGGAGAATGTTGTTGCCGAAAACAGGCGCAGAAGCCCTGCAAGTTTCAACGACAGCTTCAACTGGCGCAAAAGGGGCCTTTGCGAAGCAGCAGCGGCAGCGGCAGCGGCAGATGTGTCTTGTTGCACATCTTTCGCAGTAGGTGCATCGGGCAAAACCCGTGGGCGCAAAGTCTTTTGATAGTCACTCTCCTGCAGGCGGGCCGAGATCGGAAGTTCAGGGGCGGATGACGAATACGACTCCGATCCGACAGTATAATGGCCAGTAGTACGGAGCGGACGCAGAGTCAGGTGTACGGGGGCCAGGGTAGAAGGGGACAAAAGATTAGAGTGGGAAGAAGGGAAGTTGGAAATGTTTTCGGTAGCTAATCCTCCCATTTTCGAAGCATCCAGGCTAAAGTAGTCCTCCACTGTAAGTGTTAAAGCCGACATCGGAGGATGAAGGGAGGAGAAAGAGAAGTGAAAAGAAATGAAATCTTCTCGAAGAAAGATGTGATTTAGGATTAAAGAGAAGGGAGAAAAAAAAAAGATCAAACGCATTCGAGACAGGCGCGCTGCCAATTTATATCGCAAACAGCACAAGGACTTTTTTTTCTAATATTTTTTGCTTCGCCCTGCACTTTTCGCTGCGAGACCCTTCCCCATGTGGAGAGGTGTGCATACAGTGACGGGGTGCGTTTGGTTGACTCGAGGCAAGATTGCGCAAAACTCCTGTCTGGAGATGAGGAAACTTTGGGCAAACATTTGTTTGGGGCACAGAAACACGCGCAAATTGTTCAGACTAAAGCAGCTGAAGCCTGCTCGAACAAAATAGTTTTAGTGATATTTTACAGTGGTTGGTGTCAGCCCAGTTCCCTCTTGGGCTGCATGCTTAGTAAAACCACGCTTGGAAATCTAATATTTTTCTGCAGGCCCTGGCACCACTTGGTGGAGATAAGCGGGACATCCGGTTTACATAAGACCATCGGAGAAAAAGAAATGCAGATGGAAAAAAGGAACGACGTCTATAGTGTGGGGAAGACCGGTTGTGTATCGCCAACCTTATCCCCTTTCAATTTTGTTTGTCCTTGTGTTCCTCCCTGGTTTTTGTATTTTGTGGTTGTCGCTCCTTCTCCTCTACTCACCTTCTCTTTCTTTGTTGAGTACTTCCATGCGCGTACTGCATAACGGCAATGATGGCCACCCGTGGCGCCGTTCCGGCTTTTGAATTTTCGACAAGCGCTCAACGGAAAAAATGGAATGACGTTTTGTCCATCGTGGTGGCATGTTCTCTTCGCTTATCCGGCTCATGTCTCACCCCTATACTATAGCCAGATGCTGGATATTAAGTGTTAATGGGCCAACAACGCAAGAGATGCGTCGCGTGTGGCGATGTATGCAGTGCGCCATGGTGCGGCTCATGCAGCTCCTGCGCAATCTCAGCTCCTTTTGACATTTGGGAAACTTGTACGCATAAAGTGGATTCCAGAGGCGCATGCCCCAAAGAGATTTTTTGAGAACCCAGGAATGAAGATTTTGCTGAAAGTCTTTACACTGATCCCAAAAGCTAAATATAGACCGTTGAACTATCAAATATGACACAATCGTGTTGCAGGCGGGGTACTTTGTTTTGCCCAAGTAATTTTGTTTCTTTTCTCCTCATGCATACCTAGCCACATTTTCCATCTTATCTGGTGTGATTTCGCGACGCCGCAGATAATTTTTTCCGCCAACCTTTTTCTACGCACACATCACGTAAGACATTACCCAACTAATATTCTTGTCTATTTTTGTAACCTCCATGTCTTTATATCTTCGTTTTTTTATCTTTATACTTGCGCCTGCGTTGCAGGTTTCTTGTTTTCGACAGTTGTTTAAAATATTTTTTTTTTTTTTTTTCATCTTGCTCTCGTCTTCTCAGCTGGACAAGTCTTCTAAGCTGGACAAGTCTTTCTTGCACGTCTCGTAAATCTCTTTCAAAACTTTTCTGCCAATGATCGCATATTTTTTCTATGGACTGATCCTCATTGTTACCGTCTTGCAACTGATGCAAGTCATCTCTTGGCTACAACGACGAACAATTTTTTACTTCCGTCTTCATATCATCTTTTCATTTCATCTTTTCTTTTCCAAACTACATCCCCACAGCTTTCTCCACGCTTCTCATCCAGTCAACAGATTTTACTCTCCATCTATTGCAAAAGAAATGATGTCACCAAACTCATAATGAATCACACCATATAGTGGAAACTATGCTTTTCTGCAGAATACTCCGACCCATCCTCATTAAAATTGCTTAGGAAATACCGTAGAAGTATACCGTTTCGAGAATGAAGATAAATGTTGTTCCATGAATGACGTTCCAATAACCTCACTTCTGCAACGAACTACTTTTGGTCTACACGTTTGAAAAAAATATTGTAGCTTTTCACATGCAGCTCTTCCTCCATCTGCAGCTACAAGTACTTACGTCTGCAGTTCTTTTCTTTGCATTTCCTGGATGTGGTTACTTCCGCTTTCCGTCTTGACGAAAGCACCGTGGCATATTCACTATATTAACATTTCTCTATATCGTGATTGATTAAGCCTTGGCAGCATCCTCCTTCAAAGTGACAATTCTGTTCAAAATGTCATTATTCTTGCTGTCGCTGTCAATACAAAAGTACCCGATTCTCATAGCCTGGAACCGCACCGCCTCAGGGCCTGCTTTCTCCTTGATGTTAAACTGAGAGCCTGGGATTTGAATGTTGAATGGCGATTTTGCCACGACATGCTCAAAACCTTCTGCTTCCACCAAGGAGTTTTGCACAACCTCTTCGGAATCGTCGTTGATATCCTTCAAGTATCCTTCTGGGTGAGCAAGTGGGTTTTCGCTCTTAAACAACTGGTTGTACAATCTCACCTCGCTAAGTTTTTTAGCATTGTCGGCTCCAATCCATTGGATGTAAGTCTTAGGCTTCTTCTTGGCATCATTGTCGTAGTTGACAATAATCTTGGTGATCTTCTCGCCCTCGCGAACAACCTCCACCACGCTCACATTAAAGGGAACCTTCATCAAACCAACTGGTTGGCCTGGCGCCAAACGGAAGTACTCCTTGTCAATCACGTCTCTGTAATCGCTTCTGTCGATGTAGAAACGCTTGCCAAAAGTCAACTTACGGCTTCCAAACTCTGGCTTGCTTGCAATGTATGGCATATCCACAACCTCTTCGAAGTCGTCTGCGACGTTGGCGATCTCGCACAAAACTGGATCCATCACCATCATCAACCGTGGAGTAGTAGAATCCAAGTACAGTCTAACAGCACTTTCAAAACGCACAGCTTGAATGTTGGTGGTGGAGGTGGTGACACCCAAGGTGTTAATGAACGACAAAATGGCTCCTGGAGGAACACCACGACGTTTAATACCTTCCAAAGTGTACAAACGAGGGTCATTCCAACCACGAACGTAGCCTTCGTTGACCAATTTGGCGATTTTCCGCTTGGACATGATCGTACCAGTGATGTTGAGACGACCATACTCACGTTGAGCTGGTCTGTAAACATGCAAAGCATCGCACAACCATTCGTATGACTCTCGAGATAAACGGAATTCAGTGGTGCACAAGGAGTGAGAAATGTTCTCGAAAGAATCAACCAAACAGTGTGTAAAGTCGTAAGTTGGGTAGATCTTCCACTTATCTCCAGTCCGATGGTGTGGGGCGTTCAAGACTCTGTATGCCACCAAGTCCCACATTTGTGGCGAAGGAGAGTAGATGTCTTGCTTCATACGCAACGTGGCTTCTCCTGGGTTATATTTGCCGTCACGCATCTGGCGGAATTTCTCCAAATTCTCTTCAACGCTAACGTCGCGGTGGGGACATGGGAATCTTTCTCCACCCAAAGTACCATCGGGCTTCATTCCTCTTTGCGCCTTAACCTCTTCAGCTGTGCAATGACACACATATGCCTTGCCCAACTGAATCAACTTCTCTGCCAACTCGTACAACTGATCAAAGTAGTCGGACGAGTAAGTGATTTTCCAAGGCTCGAAACCAAGCCACGAAACCATATCTTTGATGCTGTTGAAGTAGACTTCCTCCTCAGCCTCTGGGTTCGTGTCATCAAAGCGCAAGTAGCAGTTTCCGTTATGGTACTTTGCGTAACCAAAATTCACCATAATGGCCTTGGAGTGGCCAATGTGCAAAAATCCGTTGGGCTCCGGTGGGAATCTCGTGAAGACCTTGCCTTTGGTGAAGGCCAAGTGCTCCTTCATCAATTCGGGATAAGCCTGAGGGTTTTCGCCTGGCTTGTGCAAGTCGCCCAAAAAGCCCTCGGTGAACATGGATCTGGCTGGTTCGGGAGCACTTTTGGTGTTTTGGGCCTTGACTTCCTTCTTCTTCTTTTCCTTCTTCACCACATCACGCTCGTCTTTAGGGCCAAAGATTTCCGCCGCAATTTCGTCAATCACAGGCTTGAACAATGCAGGTGAAGCCCACTTCAAGCTGGCAAGCTTTTTCGTTTCGCCCAACAATGCTGGCACACCGGCATATCTCTTGGCTTCGACCGCTTCTCTATGCTCATCAATGTACTTCATGATTTCTGCCTTCACCTGGTCACGCGACAAATCAATTCCGACTCCAGACGCCGCTTCCATGCCTTCAACAGTACTCTTCTCTCCGTTTTCCTTGACGTACTTGAACGCCTCGGTCACTTGCAAGTTTGTCTTCAATCTGCCATCCAAAATAGCACTAACAATCCATTTACGGCCTGCAACGGGCTCTCCGCAGTTTTTGCTTTCCACAGCCAAGCTTTGCAACAAGTTCAACTGCTTCTCATCCTTGGGCTCAGAAACATCGCCCTCCTCCAAAACGGCAAGAAAGCTGTCGGCAACTTTCTTGTTCTTCGCAATGTCAACAGCTTTCTTTTCAGCCAATCCGATCGCACGGAATCTAGCCACAAGTTCGTCTTCACTAGACATGATGTATGTGGGATGAGAGGATCGTGGTGTAATATATGCAAAACTTTCTTGTGTGTTGTGCCGGACACGAACATCGCGCTCACTAGGACTTCTCACTATGCCCTCATTAGAACTTCTCAATATATCCTCTAATTCAGTATCTGATAGTGTCTGTTTATTTTCTTCAGTTCTAAGTCTGTAAGGAGATGAATTTAATCTCAGGATAGGATTGACTGCGGAGCTAATCACTGTACTTTTCGTGGTGGAACACTGTAATATTCTTCACTTACTCCTCTAGCTTTGATACCTTCCTTTCATTTTTTTCCTTGTATATTCATTATTCTCGTGTTCTTTGTCCTTTGCCATTTCATTTCCGTTCATTTGTCCCATCCCAAGACTGGTATGTATGTCTGGACTTTGACACGTATTTACGACGTTCCATGTCGAACAAATAATAATAATGAGGTGCGCCCTTGAGTACAGTAACAGTGTCTCAAATTTACATCCCCACACTCCATATGCGCATAACGTATAATACGAGATAAACCTATTTGAATCCTATAGTTTCTATGCTCACTGTCTGTATCTCTCTATCTTTATTGTACACCTTGCACTATTTTGCAAGTCTAGTCTTTGCCACGCCAGTCTTTCTCAAGACCCAAAAAACCGAAAATGAGTTCTGTGAAGTCTGGTGGGTTATCCAAGTAAAGATGATGTCCAGCATTCTTGATGATTCCGTAGCTGGCAAGCTTACCCAAACCTGCTTTCTCAGAGAGCAGATTAATTTCCTTTGTCATTTCAAATCCAGCCTTTTCGTTCATCCAATCCTTATCGCCATACACCCAAAGTGTGGGTAGTCCCATTTTGACAAATTTCTCAGGGCATCGATCTAGCAATGGCAATCTTGCCAATGCGCCAAAGGAAAGCACGCGTGTGATAGCATACTCACCGCTGCCACCACCATTGAATATTCTGTAGAAGTAATCGTGGATATTCTGGAAATGCTGGGGATTCTCCTTGAAAACGTGCGAGAAACGGAATGTAGTCCATCCCGAGATCATCTTTGACCTTAATGGGCCGGACTTCCTCACAATGGAAAACGGTGACACGTGTTTCTCCCAGAGGTACTTGAACATCTTTTGCCCATTCAGATCCACCGTCATCTCCTTGGCCCAAGCCTTGTCATGTTCGCCCTGAACTATGCTTTCCTGATCGGCATTCAATTCTTCGGAGACTTGAATTGCTTCACTGTGCGAATTCTCTCTCCTCCTTTGACTTTCAGAAACCTGGGATGGCAGAGTGGGCTGGCTCATGAGAAGAGAGCTTTTGTTTCTCTCGACACCCACGGGACTCAAAAGAACAAGCTTGTCTATCATTTTCTCAGGAACACCCGTTGTTGTGTTGGTTACATCCTTGTTGTACTTCAAGGTATAGGCACAACTCAAATATCCCCCAAAAGAATGCCCAATAAGCACAAAGCGATCTATGCCTCTACGTTTGCGCCATTCTTCCAAAGAGTCAATAAACCAATTTTCGACTTCGTAAACATCCTGCTTCGTCTCGACCTTGAAATTAGGGAACTTTGGTCTTGACGAAAGGCCAAATCCAAGCAAATCTATCGCGTGGATTTTGATTCCCGGAACAGCCGAGAGCTGGTCGAAATTATCAATGAAGAGGCCAAGCGACGCCGCGTATCCATGCACAAGAACAATGTGCTTGATGTCGTTCTTCACCACCGCTGACAGAGCACTGGGAGTCTCGGTGTTTTCAATGCAAAACTCATGGATGTAGTTCCCTTGACCAATATCCGTGTTGATGATTTCTGCCTTGCGCTTCCCGTCCGACTTGGGGAAAAATGGCAAGTACGAGAGAAGACGGGCCTCCACTTTTTCATCCGTATAATCCTTGGTGAACTCTTGCCTCCACCAATCTTTGAAGGAGTTCTTCCATCTGTACAGCGGATACTTGCGTCCATCTTCAAGTTCGCTGACTTTGTTCCTTTCCAACTCCGTCGCTGACGCACTGGCCGTATCCGTAGACATTATTGTTATATAGTTTTATACGGCTAAATTAATGGGGGGCAAACGGGCTATTATATATTGCAATGCAGGTTGGCCGCGGAGTTCCTGTCAAAATGGCGAAGCACATCGCCACTTTAGCAATTGAGGTTTCTAGCTCCACGATTTCGATCGGGTAGGTCAACTTTCGGCTTTTCTGTTTTATTTTCGATTTCTGTAAATCCTAAATTCTACAAGGGGGAAAGTCTCGTCTGACACCATGCCCTTACTTGTGAGAATGTGCATCCGATCTAAATATTGGGTATGTCTCACGTGCGCCAGATCCAACATGGACTTTTTTGGTTAGCCCTACACATCAAGCCATATTGATAAAACTACACAAACAAACTAAAATGAATTGGATCATATGATCCAACTTGTAAACAAGCCACTTAAAATAAAGAATGTACTCCGATACTTCCGTCATTTAGGGACTCTTGAATATTTGGGCAGTGATCCATGTGCTCCATATCTGCGTAGAATTACTCCAATACTTTTTGCGCATAATCTGGAATCATTTTGGTCGAGTGACTTGAACGACCTTCGTAGACTGAATATCAATCGAACTCAAAAAAGTCCTTATGAATATTCCTAGCACGTCCTCGGGTTGTCTAGTTAACATTTCTACTTCATTCTCTCAATGTCTTGTTGTTCATTTCAAAGCACCGCAGACGTTCCTATTTCTCCACTAAGCTAGGTCCTTTCACAGTTCCGAACTTTCCATGAAGCTCTGCCGTACACTCCACAAGTCCTGTTTCTGCGACATATAAAGACCAGTGGTCCACTAGCTCAGCCAATTTCTCTGGCTGTTCTTCCGACAAGTCTTTCGTTTCGCCTGGATCTGATCCAAGATCAAACAATTGCCACTTGTCGGGTCCTAACGGCTTTGGAATAAAAAGCGCCTTGTACTTTCCTTTGCGGATAGCCTGCTGCGAGAAAAGCTCCCATCCTGTAACCGTATTGTCGTCGTGTATCTCTTGTGATTCACCGCTTAAATATTTCTTCCACGATTTTCCTCGAGGTGGGACGACGGTTCGTCCTCTAAAAGTCGTACCGGGGTGCTCGATCTTGGCTAAATCTAGAACAGTGGGCAAAATGTCCATCACAGTGTTGAATTCATGTTTAACGGCACCTTTCTCCTTGATATGGTTTGGAAAGTGTGCAATTAACGGGCAGCGGATTCCACCTTCGCTATTCCAGCCCTTATGCATGTAAGATGGAGCGGTCGCTGCTTGAGCCCATTGATCAGAATACCACGTAAAGCTGTCGCCACGGCCGATATTCTCGTACTTGTTGTTATAGTATATGTCCACAGAAGCTTGGAATCTTTCATTGTGGAGCGGCAATGCCTCCATAAACATGCCCTCTGCGCCGTTGTCTGACATGAACAAAATAAGTGTGTTATCAAGTTCTCCAGACTCCTCTAAGCTTGAAACCACCCGTCCGATGTTCTGGTCGAGTATATCAACCATAGAGGCATAAACTTCCATGATTCTTGCCTCAGTTGCCTTCTCTTCTGGTGTTAAGTCTTTCCATGCTTTGGCTCTTTGACTTAAAACCTCGTGAGGGGTGACATTTTCAGGAATAATGCCCAACTCGGCTGCACGGGCCAATCTCTTCTTTCTCAATTGTGATGGGCCATTGTCGTATATGCCTTTATATTTTTGAACCACTTCCTCTGGCGCCTGGTATGGCCAATGAGGAGCAGTATAAGTCAAAAGACCACAGAAAGGTCTGTCCTTTCTAACATCGTCGTTCAACTGCTCAATGAACTTATCGGTAAAGTACTTGGTACTGTAATAACCGTCTGGCAAAGTAAAGGGGTCGAAGTTTTCGCCATTTTCCTGGAACAACGGTTTCATAAAATCAATCGTGTCCCCTGTCTTTTCATCAAGGGGGAAATACTTGTAGTGGTTTCCAGCACCTGGCAACAAAGTAAAGGACTTCTCGAATCCTCTGGCCGAAGGCCAGTACTCTTTAGTAAGGCCCAAATGCCATTTCCCGCTAATAAAATTGTAGTAACCATGGTCTTGTAGTATTTCTGGCAATGCTGCTACCCTGTAATTCAAGTAGCCCTCGTAACCTGGTTTCCCTTGAAAAAGCTCAGGTAAATGGCGAGCAAACTCGGCCATCTGGCCCAATCCAGCAATATGGTTATCGGTTCCCGAGAGAAGCATTGATCTGGTTGGAGAGCATGCAGAAGCAGTGTGGAAATCGGTGAACCTGAGGCCATTGTCTGCCAATCTGGCCAAATTGGGGGTATCGATTTCGCCACCAAAGGCACTCAAATCAGTGAATCCTAAGTCATCTGCAACGATGATGACAAAATTGGGTCTTTTGTTGATAGTCATGTTGGTTACTGGGAAAAGACTTCATGGCCCAACTACTTATACAAGTAGTATTACGCGAATGTCGCGATTTATGACGAAGCGATTTAGTGTGGCGTCGTCGGGATTTAAGCCGATCCGAAATTAAATCAAGAAATCTCAAAAGGGAAAAAGCCACAGCGGTTCTCGGATCGATATTTCACTAACGTTTCTCTGCTAACCTAACATGGGAAAACTATATATTTCAGGCAAGAAAGTATGTGTGCAAATTCGCTCACCTAATACTGAAAGAATAAAATGAAGATAAAACAAGTAGAATTCAAGATCCAAAGAGGTTGAGACAATAAAAGAGAAACAAAAAAAAAATAAACAAATGTTCAACCTATTATGATTTTAAGATGTGAAGATAAGAATTAGAAGGACATGAGCGCAAATGGATGCAAAAGACTGCATATTTTGTATCACGTGAATAATGTCCTTTTGAGCATATACACGACTTTACACCTTTGCACCACGATGAAGAGGCGCGCAAGGGCGTGTACTGGCCAAAAGCGCCTGTGGACTCTGTGAGATTTTTCAAATTTTTTTCCCGCTAGAAATCTTTTTACTCCATCATATTAACAATCAAAAATGGTATGTGCTCTCGTCCCTCGAGCTCCTTGTCATAAAACATGTGCCTACTGAGCCCACAATAGGCACTTTCTGGATTATCCTACTGCGTGTGGTCCCATCTAAGCCGAGTTTACAGTCTTTCTTACAGAAGCGGCTTACGTTGTCAAGAACTCAAGAGAAAATTGTTTTCAGCATATACTAACAGTATTAGGACACTAAGACTCCAGTTACTCTTGCTAAGGTTATCAAGGTTTTGGGCAGAACCGGTTCTAGAGGTGGTGTCACCCAAGTTAGAGTTGAGTTCTTGGAAGACGCTTCCAGAACCATTGTCAGAAACGTCAAGGGTCCAGTCAGAGAGAACGACATCTTGTGCTTGATGGAATCCGAAAGAGAAGCCAGAAGATTGCGTTAAGCATGGTGTTCCCTCCTCCTTCATCTGTACATCTAGTGTGGAACAAAACCATGCTCTAGCTCTCAGCCAGGACGTGGTGGAATTCCGCAAGAGTGTTATTATACTTGGTCATAATAATATAAAACTAACTCGATTATCACGCTATCGTAAGCGACGTAGACAATGTCAAGTGGTGTAATAGGGAGAGCAAAGTGTGTTTCGCAGTCACAGTGTGGTCACGTGCGCGTGTAATCCTTTAGTGTGTGCGGGCCCTGAGGGCTTGTGCCTCTCCAATTACTTCATCGCGGCAGAAAAAATTCAATCCACTTTTTCAACTACTGATTAACTATGGCTCAACGTGTCACATACAGAAGACAAACTCCATACAACACCAGATCTAACAAGATCAAGGTTGTCAAGACCCCAGGCGGAAAGTTGGTTGCTCAACACGTCAAGAAGCAAGCTTCCAAGGTCAAATGCGGTGACTGTGGCAGCCAGTTGCCAGGTATCTCTTCTTTGAGACCAAGACAATACGCCCAAGTGTCCAAGACCCACAAGACCGTGCAAAGAGCCTACGGTGGTTCCAGATGCGCCAACTGTGTCAAGGAGAGAATCGTCAGAGCCTTCTTGATTGAGGAGCAAAAGATCGTCAAGAGAGTGTTGAAGGACCAACAAGAAAAGGAAAAGAAGGCCCAGAAATAAACCATTTGCTTCCACGACGCTACGACTTGCTCATTCTTAATACATGCATAGAGATAACTGCCGTAGACCTCAGCGAAGCATGTGGACTTTCTCCAACTCTGTACAATAATTTCTAAATGCACGATACGGTTCTGTTACTACTGTTAGTACCGTTAGTAGATTAATCCTGCTTCTGTTTTCGCTTTTTTCGTCTTCTTGACCGTTTAATGTACTTTTTCTTCACTAAGTTGTTCGAGCCGTTACTTGTCGCCAATATAGCAACCTGCATGCAGCCGCTGTCGATCCTTCACAACTCTTCTTCAGTATACAAACACAATTAAAGAAGCATGTCTGATATCGAGGATGATTTGTTGGCGCTTGCTGGCGCTGATTCTGGCTCTGATGATGAAATGCTGGATGTTCCATTAAAAAGAGTCAAGGCAGAAGAAGAAAGTCGACAAGCTTCCATGGACGAGAAAGCTGATGAAGATGAAGAAGACGATAAAGAAAACGAAGGTTTCGAGGACGAAGAAGAAGAATACAATGATGTCGACATGGACGCTGAAGATGACGATGACGGAGACGAAGATGACTTGATAAATCCGTATCCGTTGGAAGGAAAGTACCGAGATGAGGCTGACCGAGAGCATTTGCTCGAGATGGACGAAATTGAAAGAGAACAGACGCTTTTCGAGCGTTCTCAAGAGATGGACAGATACAATGAAAAGAAGTATTTGCAGCAGCGGATGAAGCAGCAGAAACTGGCTGGTGTAGAGAAGAAAACCAGATCCAGCAGCCGGAAAGCCGCGACTTCGGGGTCTAAAGGCTCGAAGCTGGACAAGTTGAGCGAGTTGAGAAAGCAAAGAGAGCAGAAAAGCAGAAAGGCGGCTGATGATTATGAGGAGGACGAAGAGGATGACAATGAGGCCTTCGCTGAAGACGAAGATCTCGAAGGTGAGTACGACGATGGTTATGAAGATGAGGTTATTTGGGGCAGCGGTCTGTCCAAATTCAAGCCCCGGAGCTTTGAAAGAGCGGGCGTGGAACATTTCAATCGCATCCGTATCGGCCGCAGCTTTCTAAGCAAGTATCTTTACTACCGTCAATTTGGCGATGTGATTTCGAAGACTTTTGGCAAAATCAACGTTGGAATGGACAGAAGAACGCGCCGGCCGTTGTACAGAGTGGTTCAGATTGAAGAGTTGGTGAGCCATCCTCATAAACAGTACAGATTGGGCGACACCAAAACAGATTTCTACTTGGTAGTCAGCCAGAACAAGTCGCAAACAAAAGAGTTCCCGCTCTCTGTGTTCAGTGACGCAGACATTACGCCAGAAGAGTTTGAGAGGTATGTGCAAGAGTTGAACAAGACCAACGAGGATGTGCCTTACGTGGACGATATCAACGAAAAGGCCGAACAGTTACACCAATTAATGAACAGCGGACTTTCAAACAAGGACATCGACGACATGGTGACAAAGAAGCAAAAAATGCAAGGCGGTATCAGCTCCTTCGATGCAGTGTACCAGAAATCTCGTGTGAGGGACGAATTGAAGGTGGCGAAGCAAGAGGGTGACGTTGCTCGTGTTAAGGAGCTTTCAGACCGTTTGCGGAAGTTGGAAGATATTTTGTACAAGGACACCGAACGGACGTCGGCCGGGTCAATGAATGACATGTCTAAAGTGAACGAACGGAACCGGAAGTTGAACCAGACCAACATCCGGAAAGCTGAGTTGAAATCATCCCATTTGCGCAAAACGGGTGAGTTAGACGAAGGTGATCCATTCCTGCGGTTGAAAACCACCACTAGAATATTCTACCAGGAGTTGGTGAACGAAGAAAACCAAAAGGCGTTGCAAGACGCGCGTGCCAACTACGAGACGATGATGGCAGAGAAAAACGAGCAAGAAGCCAAGATCGCCTCCTCTACATATCGTGAGCTCGGCAATTTCGACCGTCTCATCGCACAAGTGGACATTGACTTTGTGCCTGCTTTATAATCAAAAAGAAATGCTGTCGTCTTCAATGTCAAGACACTCTACGAACAAAGTAACCAATAACCAAATAAATTAAACCCGTATATACAAGACGATGGTGTCAACCAAAAGCTAACTCACGTGTGACACTAACCAGAGAGTTAACCGAGATACTTAGTAGAGCTCGCGCAAGATCTGGAGTCGGAGCTCGAGCCTCTCCTGTTCCTTGTCATACATCTCAGAAAACTCTAGCGAGTTCTTATCAAGAAACACAGAAGCCTCATCGTCATAATATATGTCGCACGGAGGTAAGCGTGCGTGGAAAGACTGGATCGACTCCAGAGACGAAAGCGTCGAAACGTCAGAGTGGTCCAAGTGCAAAGCCGGCTCTAGCATGAACGAGTCTTCGAAATCGAGTTCGACCGAGTCGGGCGAGTAATGAGCCGGTTTTTGGAAAGCCTCGGCACGGAGGCTTCTATGCGCAAATTCCGAAACGGCCCGCGCGCTTTCTTTCGGCTCGGCCTGGTTCGAAAATTCTTTGGCTTTGGTCTTCCTGTCATTGCTGCGACAATTTGTGAGCTTGGAAGTGAAGCGAGATAAGAAGTTTGTCTTCTTTGTGTTCTTGCTGTCGTTGCTCAGGACAAACAGAAGTCTGCCATCCGAGTCGGAAGTGTAATACATTTTGTCAAGACTGGATGCGTCTTTAGAGTGTAACATAGTCATGGTGCGTAAGGCTGAAGATAAGTAAGTAAAGTCGTTATTACATGCATTAAAAAACCGGGGTGGCGAGTGAATATATATGTAAACGGACAGGGTCTAAATCCGTCAGAAGCCGAAGCCGCTGAGGTAAGACGCATCCGAACACTTTCGGAATATCACCGTGATTTGTCAGGGCGCCGCGTTTGTGTGCAGGCTAACGCCGTTGCTTCCGTCTAGGGCCGTTTACCCTTCGCACGCGGCGATGCAAAAGAAGCTTTATTTCCGCTGATTAGAAACATAATTAATGCGCACGCCTTTGCCGTCAGAAAAACCAAAACAGGACATATCCCCGACGGCGAAAACTTCTGTGTTACAAGCATCTTTCTCTGATACGCGAATGCTTCCTTGTTACGGTTATACTGTCTATGCGAACACATTGACTGGTGGCTATTGTCGTAACGCCAGCCTGGGTGGTCTGAGCCAAACCAGTACCTCCCATGCGTTCAAGTTGCCCTACTCTTAGCCCAACAATGTAAACTTCGGTGTGCGCCACGTGATTTCCGCACTGGGTTACTTTGCCCTTCGTTTGACTTGTCTCCGCATTCTTACTTCTACAATCCAAAAATGGTTTCTGCCGAATTCACTGCTAAAGTATGTTATTTCCGCTCTTTGTTTGCTCGCAATTACTAACGCCAGGCCGACGCTGTCTCAAACTTGACCAAACGCCCTTCCGATGACGAATTGTTGAAGTTGTATGGTTTGTACAAGCAAGCTACAACCGGCGACAACGACACTCCAAAGCCAGGAATGTTTGACTTGAAAGGCAAGTACAAGTGGCAATCTTGGGAGGACTTGAAGGGCACCTCGCAAGCCGATGCCGAACAGCAGTACATTGAGCTCGCCGATGAGTTGATTGCTAAGTACAACTAGATCGTTCATACGAAATTGTATGTTTGCCGTAGCAGTGTCTGTAGAGAAACGACTTGACCATCTTTTCCTTTGCACTTGATCGTGCTAGATGGTTTTTTTCTCACTCAATTCCTCTTCCTCCGCCTGCTGGGCTTCACTGATGTAACTCATCAGCCTGACGCCGCAATCGATCATCATCACCAATGGAATAAGAAGATAGGGCGTGTACATTCCACTCAATGAAACGACCTCGTTGTTGCTGAGCCCGTTCGAAACGCCTTCGGCCTCAATGTAAACCAAACACACCAAGGTGGTCAAAAACGCATTAAATCCATATACGGTTAATCCCACGTAGATAGAACGCCACTGCTGCCATAAGCCACATGCTCCGACGGCAAAGAAGGGTAACTGGAAAAAGAGCTCAAAGACTCCGAAAATCTGAAGCCAAAGGGGTGGGTCTGCAAGCAAAAAGTCCTTATTTGTGCTGATATGGAAATCAGCCAATTGATTCTGGATGTCTAACCGATACTCCCGAGGAATCACAAGACATGAGTCGATGAGAAGAGTGATGGGAATATGTAAGAGGAAATACGCAAAGTAAAACTTGTCCCTTTTATTCATAGTGTAGTAGTAGTAGTAGTAGTAGGGAGGTAGTTAAGTATGCGTCTGCGCATTATGCTCATAAACACCACTTAGATGCGAAAACCAATACTTTACCCCAAAGATCATTTTTACCAAAAAAAAATTCAAAAACGAGTAATACCGAAGAAAAGAATATCGGAAGCAGTAATGAACACATTTTCTATCCATTTTCAAACAAGAACTACAGTACACTAAGTATTGGAGCTGATGACCCATATCATCAAAACAAAAAACCTCTGCTCTCCTGCAGACATTTCGTAAACTCAAGACATCTTTCTTTACCGTCTAATGTTCCAATTCTTGACAAATCGTATCCTCAAAAGAAAGGCCCCTGCGGTCGTTGAGGCCATTCCAAAAAAGAGAAGATACTCTACTGCGTTGTACAAACCTCTTGTGTGGATAGACTGTGAAATGACAGGACTTGATATCGCTAAAGATCACATCATTGAAATCTGCTGCATTATTACGGACGGAAATTTGAACATTATTGACGAGAAGGGTTATGAGAGTACCGTTTATGTGCCAAAGAAAGTGTTGGACAGCATGAACGAGTGGTGTGTGAACCAACATGGTAAATCAGGTCTTACGGCAAAGGTTTTAGCCAACCCGCAGCAGACTTTGGCCAAGGTCCAACAAGAACTTCTCGATTATATTCAGTTTTATATTCCAGAACCAAGAACGTCTCTTTTGGCCGGAAACTCGGTGCATATGGACAAGTTCTTCATGATGAAAGAGTTTCCTCAAGTGATTGACCACTTGCATTATCGGTTAGTGGACGTTTCTTCCATCATGGAGGTCGGATTCCGCCACAACCCGGCTCTTATGAAATGTTTTCCAAGAAAGAAGGGTAACCATACCGCCAAATCTGATATCTTGGAAAGTATCAACCAGTTAAAGTGGTATCAAGACAATTATCTTAGAAGTGACATACCTGAAGGTGTGTCTGTGCCGCAAAGAGAAGATGCTCCAGTGAAAAGAATAAAATTGGATATTGCAGAGGATGCTACCACAACAGAGGAAAAACAAGAAGTGTCAAAGCAGGAAACGAAAGAAGAAGAAACCACAGAAGTGGAGAAGCCCACGACTGACACAATCGAAGAAGAAGCTTCTGCTACGGGTAAGGAAACAAACACTCAATAAGTATGCATTGGGTCTTGTTTAATATTTATTAATCTTCAGGATCAGATTCGACAGCAACATTGTCAAGTTGAAACTTCGCAATCGAGTTCCTTATGACTTCAATATCCAAGGGCTTTTCTAATACATCATCAAAATTGCCCAGCTCAATGGCATCTTTGGCAAAACCTGTAATAGCAATAATTGGCGTTGTGCTGTTGATCCCACTTGTGTATTTGATCAACTTCACTGCATCTATCGCATCAACTTTTGGAAGCTTCAATGCCGTAAATATGAAATCAAATTTGACCTTGCTAGTAGCTCTTCGGATCAAATCATCTCCATCAGCTACTCCCAAGACGACACATCCACATTTTTCCAACATTTTTGCAACAGAATGTCTCACAATGGGGATGGGTTCACAGTATAGCACATCTAATTCGTACTGAGGGCCCTTCGAAGAATTGGTGGCTGATAAAGGAACTGAACCAATACTACTGGTACTGCCAAAACGCCTCAAGTTATCACGTCTTCGTTTTATTCTCATTAAGGCAGAAGATGAATCTTCAGTATCGGAACTCGACGGTGACTGATACAGCTCGCTTAAGTTTCGCTGTATAACTTGCTTGGAAAGAGAATGCGTCAGTAGTCTGGGTCGAGGGGAGTCAACACAGTCCACTGCACCTGCACTATTCCTCTTCGAGCTAACTCCTCCTGCTTTTTCCTTTGCAGGAGAAATCGTGTTGGTATTAGGGGACACCGGCCGTTTAAAGGGGCTTCCTGGATTAATAACGGTCGATGAAATTGACAGTCCCCTCGACTTAGAGTTTCCGATTGGCGTGCCATCAGACGATGATGATGAGAAGCTGTTGCGGTGCTCCAAATGCTGTGACTTCAATCTATTGATGACATCCTTATTCGCTTTCTCCAATACATTCAAGTTACGGAAGTGGAATGATCCAAATTCACTTGGATCAGCCAACTTGCTTCCTCTTCGCTCCTTTCGAGTGACCATTGGTGAAGACGGTAAGGAAAGATGATTGGAGATTGGCCCTGGATTGTAGCTGAGGGCTGGGGATCCTAGATCCTTAGCTGATTGAGGGGGCATGGGTTCTTCATCAGAGTCATCTTTGGGAAATTGGGAAATGTCTGCACCACGTAAATCAAAGTAGTCAGTGGACTCTGGATCATCCACTACAGGTATAAAAGAGTCCGGAACTTCCAGGTATAATGTATCCCAATTGACCCCCTTAAAGTATGGATGCCTCATAATTTCGTCTGCACCATTAAATCCAAGTCTGTGCTCGAAATCCATATTCAATAATTTCTTGATCAAATCTTCAGCCTCAACGGAACAATACTTTCTCATCTCCTTTTCATCTAAAGGAGGCCAGTCGATCTCGCCTTTGAGAATATTTCTGAATACCTTTTCTGGAGTATCTGCATGGAAAGGCGGATATCCGAACAAAAACTCGAACAAGATACACCCAATAGACCACCAATCTGAATATTCGCCTTGTGCCTCACCCGAAATAATCTCCGGTGCTAAATAATCAGGGGTTCCCACGAACAGCTTCACATTCGAATTTTCTTGATCAGGATCGAAAAGTGCCAAAGAGCTGATAGGAGGATCACTAGGATATGAACCCTGTTGGTAGTCGTCATCAACGATCGCGAAAGAAGATTCAGAAGACGTTCTGGGTAGAACTGGATGAAGATTAGGCGAGTCTGTACTGCTACTGTTAGAACCAGATCTCGTGCTGTTAGCACCACGCAAGAGAGATCCAGATCTCTTTTTCGTGGATAGAAATGAAGGGGCAGTTTCAGAAGTCACAGGTCCTGTCTGCAATTTGAGATGTTCCGTTGTAGGAGATAGCGAAAATGGAGTGACTGACAGGTTCCGTTTGTGATTGAGAGGCAAAAGCTCTGGGGAATCCATCGCGGCCAAAGGGCTTTGGATCGAATTGTTATGCAAACTCCTTCTGAAAATTTCAATTGCCTGTTCGGAAGCACTGCTTTTTCTGTGTTGCGAAGTGTGACGACCAATGACACCGACTCTAGAGAGACCAAAGTCAGTCAATTTTAAATGGCCTGAACTATCAATCAAAAGATTATCAGGTTTCAAATCACGATGGATAATGCCTCGTTTATGCAAATCACTAATCCCAACGACTACCTCTGCAATGTACCGCTTCGCCCATTTATCTTCCAATGTGCCTAACATTTTTAGTAGGGTAGCGCAATCACCTCCATTCAAGTATTCCATGACCAAGTAAAGGTAATCTTTCGTTTGGAAGGTGCTGTAAAGTTGAGCAATATAGGGAGAATCCGTTTGTCTCATCATAACTGCTCTTTCAGACCGTACGTTGAAAACCTGATTCTTGACAATCATATCTCTTTTCTTGAGACACTTTATAGCAACATAATCGCCAGTTAATCTCCTTTTGGCCAAAAAGACGGACCCAAACGCACCTTTACTAATAGCCTTGATGATCTCGTAATCCTTGGTCCCTCCAGAACTAGGTTTCATAGTTGGAGTTTGTGAAACGAGCAAAGGCGATAAAGGGGGTTTGGAGCTCGAAGTGAAAGAGCTCCTCGCTGGAGCCGAAGGTGTTGCAACACGGAATGCAGGGCTGTTAGAAGATTGCAGATTAGTGGATGTAAGTTGATTAGGCGAATTCTCCAGAACTAATGGATTAGTTAATCTTTCCGTGTTCGGAGTCAAACAAAATGACGACAGATCAGACACCAGTGGGCGGGAAACGAAAGGCTGAGCAAGGGAACTTTCCCGACTTCCTGAAATTAAAGGTGGCAGATCAAGACGAGTGGTGACATTTTTCTGAAGCGTCGAAAGGCTCTGTCGCTCGACGTAAGGAACAGGAGACAAGTGTTTGCGAGGAGAGGACAATGATGAGCCCGATTTCAAAGGGTCTTCAGGCGTCTTAGATAATTCTAAGTCATTCAAAGAGTCGACTACCGCCTTGAGTCCAGGGTAAGACGAGCTGGGGGATAATGAGGAGTTGGACCGAGACAAATCCACCGGTCGTTCTCGGAGAAGATCTCTTGGGGTGATTGAGCGGAAAGGAGATTTTGCCCCTGAGTCCCTAAAGTAAGTGTCTCCTAGCATTTTAGAGGTTGGGCTTCTGATCCTTGAAGGCTGCGGTGAATGCAACTTCACCTCCAGGGACAGCTCATTAGGCGAAACTGGATCTGAAATCGCCATGACATCGCTATTCTGTAGATTTGGAGTAACAGTTTCTTCCAATGAGAAAACCGACTTCAGGCTACCTGGACCTGTGAGCAGGGTTCGATGTATCAGATCAGGATTTTCTTGCTCGCGAGTTTTCTCTCTGATCTTGGCCACCGTTTCCTTAACAGACTGTAGGACCAATTCGTCCACTTCCTGTTTTATCTTGTCTGAGTATTGGTCAATGGAGATAAGTCTTGTCAAAATATCAACTTTATCTACCACAAGGCGCTGGACATCCTCAACAATGGCGTTTATTGCCGGATCAGATGTTTCGAGAGGTTTCCAATTCATCATCACACCGATAGCATGCTCAGTTTTAGGTGAGAACAGAAGCTCACCTGTCTCTTCCAGTTTATCGGCAGGGTTTATTAGAAGCGCCTCGTCACAGTACTCGATAAGTTTCTGCAAAATGCCAAAGGGGAACTTTTTGGATGATTGGAAGTACGGCTGTTCTGGCGTCTTTGACATGTTTCGTATCAAGCCGATGTCAGGGGACATACAGGGTAAAGGGAGATCCTTATATGTGTGAAAAACTTTGTTCGAGCTTGGAGAAGATGACAAGGAGCTTGTAGAAGAGCAGGGGGAGGATGAACCGCTGTGTGAGTCGTACTGTTGAAGCCACAAACTTTCGGAGATTTTGAAAACTAAGTCACGCTGGTCGGCAATAAGGTCATGCGCGAGCTGTAAGTCTTCTTTGACCTTGTGTTCCAAGAGGCACAAGTCACTGTGTTTCTCGATAAACCACGCGGGAATGTTTGTTTCACAGATACGACATAACACAGTTTTGGGTTCGGGCACCGAGTTTTCGTCAATGATCCCTGCCTCTCGTAAATTGAGCAAGTAGCCCTCAAAAATTTCCGAGCCAAAGCCAAGAAGGTCGACCAACGCCGGCGGGATAGTAAGCTCTAAGTCGATACGCACAAAAGGCCGTACGGTCCAGATGGAATGCGTGGGTAAGCGAGTGTTAGGGTCGTTAATCAAGATACCTTGAGCTTCTAGCTCGATGATTCCACCGTTGTTGGAAACCCGTGAGCTCACTGAGGAAGGGGGCGAATGTCCTCCATTGGATCCTGCCGTCAGACCAGAGGTTTCTGCGTCTCGATTGGACTCCTCCATCGTATGGTCTTCGCATTTCTGTTCGGACATTGCTTGATCAGAAGCTTCTCCGCCCTGTTGTTGTTCTTCGGGATCCAGATCGTCACATGCGTCGTTTCTGTCGTTTGTGGCCGTCACAAACTTCACCTTATACGAAGCATTGTCACACATCATCTGCGCCATGGCATCGCTGAACACTCGCAAGTCAGCCTCCGAGCTGCCGATCAAAATGTTGCTGATGGGCTTGTTCAAGATTTTCTTGACCGAGGTGCCCACCATGTTTTCCCAGTTACTACTGATATAGCGTAGATTGCAATCTAGATCGAGTTCCATCACCACCGTCAGACTGTCCGCAGACGCCTCGCGCAAGTCGACCTGCTCCTTTTCGAGCGGCACCAAGACCGAGCCTGGCTTGGCCTTTTTCTGCTCCTCTGCCAAAGAGGTGGCGTTGGGAATCTCGCACGGAGATACAGACCGGTCCAAGTCCCGTAGATGCTGCTCCGGCGCGTTGAATGTGGGCACGTGGAACGGCCTGGGCGTTTTAGAGTCCATCTTAGTATCGCCAGCTGCGGCCGAGTTGTGGTTTGCACTTTTCAAGTGTGCTCTTTTTATGACAGGTGCTAGTGCCTACTATTGTGGAGTAACCGGAAGCGGAGACCATAATGCGCGCCCAAATCGCCCAGATACATGAGGCAAGACTAAGCAGGTCTAGGCGAGCGAGAAAAAGAGAGGCAAAGAAGAGGAGTATATCAACGATGAACAGAGGGGGTGTAAACTGCAGTGGATGGGGATGGTCATGAGAAGGCGAGGTGTGAGAGAAGCGACAAGAAACGAGAAGACGTGGGGGATTTAATGGCATATTTAGAATACGATCAGCAATGATGCAGGCCATGTCAAGGCGGCGATATTTTCTGCACCATGCGCTTTGCGTTCCTTTGGCCAAGTCTTATTGGGCAGGCCTTACCCAGAGTATGAAATTGGAGAAAGACTAGTGGAGATATGGCAGATGTGACATGGTGTGAAGTCAGTAGAGAGATGTGAATGAGAAAGAGGTTTTGTGAAGATGTAAGACACTGGAAAGCTGACATTGAAGCCACATGCTGTTCAAGCAAGAAATTAGAAAATAGAAAATAGAGGAGAGAAAAAAGAAAAACGAAGTAGTGTGATTTATTTGACAATGCTTCCGTCGTCTAATTGTATTCTCCTTGTCCCTCAACAAATTATCGAGCTGGTTTGCTTGTCGGGTAAAAATCCCTTTGATCTCTTCACTTGTTGTAGTTTGATGCGATTTTGTCTGTCTTCCTTTGGCTCTAGTTGCTGTCATGATCGAAGCATATAATGAAGGTGTTCTGCAAGGATTTTTTACTTCACGGCAAAGCTCAACCGCGAGCTTACATGAAACCTTTATTGGCCCAAATATCAACTGCTAAGCATGGCTACTGTCAATTTGATTTTTTTTTTTTTTTTTTTGCATGTAACGAGGATTATTAGTTGATGGTTTTCTTCACCTCTCTACCTTTCATGGTCAAAGTGCCTTTCTGGTATTAAAATTATACAATTAGCGGCAATCTACAAGAATACACCAAAAGCAAAGACGATACAAATGGATTGTAGTGGGGAAATAGAATTTCGAAGGCAATCATTCAATACATTTGGCTTCAAAAAGTATGTATGAAAATGTTCGTTTTGTCCCTTCACAAATACACCGAAGAAAATCGAATCGCTCTTGCACTAAAAAATACTTGAGCAGCCGTGCAAATTCTGAAAATCCAGCCGATCATACAAGAGAAGAACAGCAGATCCCTGAATTCTGACAAGTAAAAATTGCTAATAGATCTGTTGGAAAAATTCGAGCTTATAGGACTGCAAGACACAAAGTGCATAACATGTAGTTTCATTCAGTTAAGCATACTTTGGATTCGTCTACTCTACTCATGACTCAATACTCATGACTCAATACTCACACACTCTCCTGCTCAAAATGTAATGAAAACTACAAACTAACCATACTCTTTATAATATTAAGGCCGTTTGTTGGAAACGACAATCCCTTACGGGGCATATGTTGAAGAATTGAATCGGCCTCGCCGGGCACACATTAGTCTTTGCTGAACGGAGTTGGATCCGTCCGCGTGTTTTGTCGTAAAGTCGTTAAAAGTTGGATTTTAATCGATGCTAATGGATTCCATGTTTAGTTGGTAAACGTGAAACCGGAAGACTCGTCCTGGCCAGACTCGCCTAGCGACCGCTTTTTGATACTCTCTAGCAAGTCACAGTTCTTCTTTTCGTTCTTTTCCAAAATCAATTTTTTCAAGCACTTGTTCTCCATTTCCAAAGTCTTCAACTTCTTCTCTAGCGTGCTCAACTTGTCTTGTAGTTGTCTGGTTTGTTCTTCCATTTGCTTTTCCTTCAACTTCTTCTTGATTCTGAATCTTGCACTGGCAGCTGTGTTTCTTCTTCTCTTGATTTCGTTCAAGTCGCCTGGTTTAGCAGAAGCAGCGTTTTCTTCCATAGACTGGCTTGGCTCAGCCACAGGCGGCGAAACCATAACGGGAGAAACCATGTCGAGCCGGCCAGCATCATCTTCAATCTTCACTTTCGCCTGATGGCTTTTGTTAGGGGCGCTGAATCCATTGGAGAAAACATCCAAGTCGAAGAAATCTGACTGGGTGAACAAGTCCAAGTCGGTACTACTTATGGGCTCTTCAACGGGCGAGAAGTTGGACCCAAAGTCAAGATTAACGTTGGACAAATAATCCGTGGGTTGGAAGTTCATGGCTATTGTTGTAGAAGACGATTGCGCAATAGCGTATGAAGAAACGTGTTAGTCTTATAAGAGGGAAAATTTTCCTCCGCTACCGGCGCGCTTATACAGGTTTCCTTATATTGATTAGTCACCAGCTTGATTATTTTTTCTTGCTTCTGCTCGGATATCGGTGGGTGACGCACGACCCGCCTACTTTATCCTGAAACGCTCTTATGCATGGACAATATGCAGTATTCTTCTCGGTTATACCCGAAATAGCAATTTGTTCCCGAGGACTACTGCTTCAAAGTGAGTATGCAAACTAGCTTACTAAGAAGATGCATGAGATGCCTACCTTACAATTGAGCCATCTTCAACCTGCTACATTTAAATGGACTATTGGTTGGAAAGATGCTAAACTTCATGTTGCTTGGGATAGGTAATTCCAATGCGTAGAAACTTCTGATGTCATAGCAATTAAATACTCCTTTCTATTTATGTGCGGAGGATAGCATGTTATTCGTTTTGGTGGATGATGAATGCCTAAATAAAAAACACGTCAAGTAGACAAAATGACGCATTTAGATACAGATGATACTGCTCGTCTATTGAACTGCAGATTTATTGGCGTTAATGTTATAGTGTGATAAGAAACGGGTCATAGACACAACGAGGTATGCATCAGAAGCTTAAGTTACTTTTCTCCAAATGGGAGCTTCTCTTGTTTCCCAGTAAATCAATTTGAAGAGCGATATCGTTCCGTGGCATAATTGAACCAAACATATGTGCACTTAAAGCTTAAATCCTATCACCATACGTATTACCGGCGTTATTACGTCGATCCATCTTCAGTTGCATGCTCTACAAAAAGAAGAAAAAAAAAAAACTACCCGAATTGTTCATGTGTTTGAAATTACTCTAAAGCCAACCATACTGGGTTTCCACAACATGATAAAAAAAATAAACATGAAAACAAACTGTTGATTATCCCATTCCGTATTCCAACCGTAGCAAGCAAATGCCTGCGTTTTTTCAAGTGTCCGAGCCCATTGCTCTAATCCGAACGTCTAATAGAATTGACAAGGAAATACCCAACCCTTGAGTATTCTTTCTCTCTTTTTTCTTTAAAAAAATAATAATTTTTGTTTAACAAGCCCTGCTTATTACCGGTCTAACGTATCAACCAATGACTTTAATACAAGTGATTCTCCACCATCCAAAGCCATATCATCTGAAGATGACAGTTCTCTGATGGCATGAAACTCACGTGGCACGTTCACTTTGGCACCATTATGGGACGCGCCAAATTCTGGAAAACGGCCGACATCATTGTTCTCGAGACCTGGCACACTATTGTTTTTTTCTTCGTTGTGGGACAGACCCTTGTTCTGTCTTCTAGCTTTCCGAGCAGAATAAGGTGTTCCGCTCACAGCACACATCCAGATTCTTGTCTTGTAGATGCGGAAGAGCTCGCGCACCAAGTCTCTGAAATCAATTCGCTTGGTTGTGGAGTAGTAGAAAATAAGCTTACGCCGATCGAACTGGTACTCCGCATCCACCAAACGCATGTTCTTCAACTCCGAAGATGCCAGCAGTACCTCATCTTGCGAACTGGTTGCATTGGCAATTTTGGACAAACAAAGCCGGCATGCTTTTTCTTCGTCCTGTTTCTTATTCAAAATCTGCTGGATCTCACTCTGTTGGGCCAAAGCCAAGATAGCTTTGGGAGCATGAAGCGTAGGAGGAGCGCATCCAGCAGCATGGTTTTGGTGTGGTCCATGGCCCCCCATGTGATGAAGCAGTTTGACTGAAAGATCATCAAGCGAGTGTTCATTCAACGCTGCTTGTTGTACCAAGTACTCCAAAAGCTTCAAGAGGCGGGCCTCGTCAATTGACACATTGAACTTGACAATGCGACCGAGATCCTTGCCCCTGTCCGCCTCCACGATCACCAAATCGCCCACTTGCAAAGACTTGAGATTGGGATGCTCGGGCAAATGGAACACGTCAACACGCCCGGCTTTGAAAGCCACCAAAACCAATTGGTGCTCGTGCGATGCGCTGCCCAGAGGGAATTTTGGAAGCTGGTACAGACTGTCCAAGTATTTTTCCTCGTCGAAAAACCGCTTTTCCAAGTACTCGGCTGTAACCTTGACCCGATTATGCGGGTCTGCCGAAAAGTACTCGAGAACTGCTGGAGGAATTTGGTACGGCTCTTTGGCCTTTTCTTTTGCGTGCGCCGCTTGCAACAGCGATTGTTCAGGCGCATACTCTGGTGCATAATCTACTCGGGTGGGATCTACCGGACGATCGGAACTTTCAGAGATACCGTGGTGTAATTCAGCTGCCCATGAAGGACGGTTCCAGCCCATAGGATGCTGCCGAGGGCCAAAAATGTCACCTGTCGAGTGACGACCCCGAAATTCGGGCGGAGCCAAGAGCTCGCCCGGCTCGATATGAGGCAAAAAGTTTGGTTCTCCCAAAAGCCCGCCCGGATGAGCAGCCGGCTGCTCCCGCGTACGCCTCTGCATATCCCACCGCTCAGAAGGGGTAGCAAAGAAAGAACTCTGAGGAAATGCGGCACTCGCTGGAATATTGGTGGTGCGTGCAGCCAATGGCACGGAAAAGGGGTCTGAGTGCACGCTGGGCCCCCGTTCAGGAGCCAAAATGGAGAAATCAACCGAGAAGCGGCGCTGGCGGTTAGTGGAGGGTGACGCCCAGATGTTATTTGTTTCATGGACGGAGCTTCGGCGGCCGTTTGGATCCACAGCAGTATAGTTGTTATACGCGCCAGGGGGGCTCGCACCGCCACTGTTCAGGTTGGGATAGAACCCAGGCAGACTGGCAGACGGCATGGAATTTAGAACATGGGAGCCTGGCGGAGGAGATTGGCCATACATGGTGTCAGGCAGAGAAGGAAAGGGAAAGGCTGTGCACTCTTTTGCACTCGATGCGGAAGTGCCACTAAACACAAAGGAAGCTAAAAATTGATAATCTAAAGAGCTTTGCCCTGAGGGGAAGGATGTATAAAGATGCCGAATGGGAAAGAAAAACGACACCACTATATTTATACTCTGCACAAAATATGTGATGACCAGACCCTGATCATCCTGCAGAGACATGCTGCACCCGTCCTTGTATGCACGACCCCTCAATCATCTGACTTGTGGGGCAATGGGAGGAGAGAAGCGAAAGAGGTGTGACTTGCCCCAAATCACGGAAGGGATACAGAAAAAAAAAGGCTGACATGGGGAGTCGAATGCCTTGGTAAACGTGGGTATTACGTATTTTGTCGATTTGGAGCAGCAGGAGCTGAAATTCGCGGCTGGTAGTTTAGGGCCTAGCAAAGCGTCTAGATTTCTTGTGCGTCTACATCTGCGGGTTGCTGCGCGAAACCTTTATCTTATATCTGGGGTAGCAAAGAGAAGATGGGCCAGAGAATCGGCACATGAAGCATGTCCTGGACGCAAAATGTGGTGTCAGCTGCAACAGAAGGCTAATGGAGAAGCCGACGCGGGTCGGTAGACGTGTAACCGTTTTCTACAAGGCACACTAATTGTCACAATGGCTGCACTGTTATGCACGCTGGGCCGCGAAAGGAAATTGCAAACTGTACCGAACGCCGAGGAAATGGCACAATAAACATGGATACGAAGGGAGATAAGCCAAGCGAATAGACAAGGTGAAAACTACATTGTAGCAAAGGTAGACAACAATTAATGTGTATTTGAACATGGGCCAGATGTTTGTAGGGCCCAAGCCGGCGCCGCCGACAGTCCAAAACCGCCCTCTGGTCTCCTGGCTGTCACCAGCCACTGAATTCACGAAACAAAATCAAACAACAATCTACTGGTACTGCTGCGGGTTGGGCATGTTCCCGTTAGGCATGTTGCCGAAAAACTGGTAAGGATCGTTGTACCCGCCCGCCTGCGGCATAGGTAACCCTCCCTGTGGATGGCCCTGACCCTGGTACGGCATGCCGTGTGGCATGTGTGCTGGCGGCAACTGTTGTTGTTGTTGCTGCTGCTGGTGGGCCGCCGCCTGATGTTGGTGCTGTGCTGGCACCTGTGGGTGTGGCACGGCCTGAGGCTGAGGCTGCGCTGGGCTTTGGTCCGGGGAGTCTTGCGAGTTTCCGTCGCTCTGGTCGCCCTGGTCGTCACCCAAACCTTCTTCAGGAGCGTTCAAGCACGCCTGGATCAAGTTCTTACCCTCGGACTTGGTCACGAGCGGCTGCAACTTGGGGGTGGTGAAGGTGTAAACAAGTCCGGTCTCGCTCACAACCAACAACAACACCTGCGTACCGGTCAACACAGACAACTCGTATGCCTTCTTCATGATACCGGCCTTTCTCTTGGAAAATGTGATGTGTCTGCGCGACTTGTCTTGGATGAATTTGATTTCGATTTTTCTTCTTTCCTTTTGTTGTTTACCTCCCGATGGTTCGTCATCCTCGTCGTCGTCGCCGCCCACACCGCTGACTGAACCACGACTGAACTGTGCGCCTGGGGCACCCATAACGTCTTCGTTACTTTCCAATTTGGCAGAGTCTGTCACCTCCGACATTGCTGGTGAGTGTTAGTAAAAAAAAACAACAACAAAAAAAAAAAGGAAAACAACCACAAGGGGCGCCATCCGCCGTCAACAACACTAAAACCTCCAATGCCTTTGATGAAACAGCAATGACCTGTTTCAGTTCTCGAAAGTTCTTTTGTTGATGGTGGATTTAAGATGAGCACCAATGCATCGTCCCTATTAGGAAAGCTGGCGTGCCCAATTGGGTAAATTCTCAAGTCCAGAATCCCGCCATGTACAAATTGAGGGGAAAGAAAACAGCTTGAACGAACATGGAAATGTCCAATGGGCCGTGGCTGGTGTATGCAAAAGCAAAATTGTTTCCCAAACGAGATGGAAGAAACGTACCTTGTTGTGTGTTTAGAAGCCTTACTTTAGGTGTCTCAAAACAAATTTTGGGATTGAAATTTTAACCCCTTTTGGAGGTTTGGGCTGCGCACGCCCGCGTGCTCAAAGTTACGACTACTATCACCGTGTAAACAGATAAGCGTGACAGAACACATGTAAATGAAAATTACTTCTATGAAAGGCGTGGTGAGATGTGTCTATGTGGATATTCTGTACGTCTGACTCGCAGACTGACCAAAAAGCACTGAATCCGAGCCTCTCGCTTGTACCGTAAATGTTCGACATATGATATCTCCACAGTATGCGCACGTGCATCACTGATAGACAAGCGGCTTCAAAGGCCATAACATGTAAGCGGATACGATAAGATCGAGTGTGTCTAAAATTATTGTTCACTGTGCCTCCCATTGTCTAGTAGCAGCGCTGGATTAGTGCTTGTAGGGTATTTGAGCCTTTGAGCCCATATCATTGTGCTTCTTTGATGCTAGTATTGAAATCAAAGATTTAATTGTCTTTTAATTGTCCACTTCTTCTTTCACCGTTTCAATTTGGTCTTCATTCTTGTTCTCTGAATTTACTTCGTCTTCTTTGCTAGTTTCTTTGCCGTGCTCTTCATTCTCTTCGACGTTTTCGACGTTTCCTTCGACGTTTCCTTCGACGTTTCCTTCGACTTTTTCTTCGATGTCTTTTTCCTTCGGTTCCTCGTTTTGTTCGTCTTTCTCGATATCTATTTCGTCTCCTTCTGTCTCCTCCTTCACGTCAGTTCCATTTTGACTGGCAAGTTCCTTATCTGGTGCTGGTGTCTCTTCTGGAGTAGGAATCACAAGGTCCTCCATCGTCAACGTGGCAGGCTCCAATGACAATAATTTAAAAAGACGCTCAATGGCGCCACGAACAGATCGCAGGGAGAACTTCTGTTTCGGCTTATGGAGAACAAGCAAGAGCGACCTAAACAACGCAGAGCGTGTGAAGGCAACAAGAGGCATTTCGCCTCGAGATAGATGTTTTTCAATTTTCAGAATCTCGCCCAAGACTTCCTTTTCAGAAAATTCTCCCAGAAGTAGCTTAGGCGAAATGTTTTTGTGCACTTGGTCCAAGTATTTGGTGTAATGGGTAAGCGTCTGCGTTAAAGTAGCTGCCGACGGGAACTCTTCTTCAAAATGTTTTTGCTCTTCTTCTTCTTCAAATATGTAGTCCCCTGTGTCGAAATTATGATTTGCTTCTTCAGTTCCCCAATCCGAGTCGTATTCTTCAGAGGGCAGCTCCAAGTCATCCAATTCCTTTTCGAACTCCGCGTAGTCAGCAAACCCTGGATCTTCTTTCTCTTGACGCTTCGATGGTTTGCTTTTTGCGGCTTTTTTCGCCGGCTTGCGAGCAGGCAACTTAATTTTAAGCTTTTTCTTCGCAGGTTCGTTCGCTTCTTCTTCACTCTCTTCTAACATCAAGTCATCTGTTGTTTCTGAAACTTCTGGAGGCGGGCCCTGTGACCCCCAGCGGTTGAATTCGTCCATATCCGGTGGATTCTTCGCAAGATTATAAGCGTCTATCAAAGGATCATGTTTTTTGGCGTTGGCTCTCTTATCCAAGAATGTCTGGATATCCTCCGACAGCAACGGCTTCAAGTCCACAGACTTTATCCATATGTATGTGTCGTCACTGAAAAAGCGAACAGGAACGACGATAACCGGAGTGGGAGATTTCTTGGCTTGTTTTACTGACTTAGGCTTCATCTTCTTGATATTCTCAGGAAGGATATCGTACGCCAAAACCATGGCGGGCCATGCACGGTACCCTTTCACTTTAGCCAACACAATCGATCTCGGTGCTAAACCAAGTTCGTTCTGTAGCGTCTCTGGATCATCAGAGTAGACCAGTTTTTTCTTGCTCGGAACGGTCTTTTCGGGAACAGCAACTTGGTTTGAAACATCAGGAGTCTCATTTCGCGTGGCCTCGACTGGAGAACCCGGGTGGGGATCTTCTTTCAGTGGAGACTCGGACATGTTGTGTTGAAAGAAGAATAGAACGCGCAAAAGTGCTAAAATGCGCGCGACTTTGCCAGTCCAAAGTAGGCATAGTTGAAGTGCGAATATGGTTGGATTCGTCCAGACCAAAGAATAGGACAAGAGAGAGAGAAAGAACAATGAAAAAAGAAGGACCGTATGAACAAGAGGATATAAAAAAAAGTAGTTCCTTATATTAATGTTTAGTGTGGGCCAAGGAAGGAAGGACACCGGGTTTGTATCATTCCCTTAATATTCCCAATCTATATTGAGAGCCAAATCTTTTAGCCCAGTTATGTCTGTCTCCTCAAGCAAATTCAGCCATCGACGCTCTTCAAATAATTGAATGCTATCTGATAGACCGCGATTAATGTAAATAATAATAATGCAGTTGAAGGCCACCTGGCCATGTTTATCGGAATCAGTGGAGCCTTAAAGGAACAACTGGATGATCATAAGTGTCGAAGTGCTGATTGGGTAATTCGTGTAAAAGAATTTTCTGACGGAGACGCCAAATTAACCAAAATCAAATGTAAGTGAACAATCAGATTTAATAAACAATCAGATTCAATAAACAATCAGATTTAATGAACATTCAAATGTAAATGAACAATCAAGTTCGAAATGTGGCCCTGTCTCAAGTAGCATCACATCTCTAATATAATACGACCAAAGTCGTTGGTGCAACGATTCCACGCCATATTGATAGATATCATTGGCTGACCATGCTTTTATCCTCAAAATTCTGGCTGTGCCACCACGAAAAGCTTTTCTGCCGCACAAGCATAGAGCCCGCGCGGCCCCCACCGCACAGCAGGAACGCGCGCCTCCAATTGCATGCGCCGCCGCCTGGCCCCATCAACCACCCACACATAGCCATAGTCGCTGCCCACAGCCACACGAAGCCCATGTGACGATTCCGCCACGTCTCCAGAAACACGGTGTTTGAACGCGTCCACAGCAACATCAAAGCCGAGGGTGCGCCCGGACTCGGGCACCTGGCACACGCTGCCGTTTTCCATGGTGGCCACCACGCCGTTTGTCACTGGGCGCACGTCAAGCACGGCGCCGCGCTGGCCCGGAATTGCCCAAGTGTGCGCGCGCTGGGCGCGAAGGTCGACAACGCACACGGACCCGTCGGCGCCGCCTGTGAAAAGCGTTCCCTCGCGTGAACACGAGAGGGCGTACACATTGTCGCGGGCCACTTTGATGGATGCGGCCGGCGACTCGCCCGCCGAGCGCAAGTCGAACAAATGGACTGCTCGGGCGGCGCCGGCGGCAGCCACAAGCTGCGGCGCCACAAAAACGCACCGCGCCGTGTCTTGCGGCGACACAAGCGACCGCACGCGGCGGCCCGCGCCCAAGTCCCACGTCGACACTGTAGTGGAGCTGGCCGCGACGGCAAGCGCGCCGAGCGAAGAAACGTCGGCGACGGGCGCGCGCGAGACTTTTCCGAGGGGCGGCCCGCGCGTTAGGCGCGCGCCAACGCCCGCCACGATTGCGCCTTCCGCGCACTGTGATAGTGCGCTGCATGTGTCTGAAGAGGTGTTTGTGCGGCCGCTGTTGGTTCTGTGAGCTGTGTGTACGTGAGCTGTGCCTATGTGATCTGGATTCGTCTGTGTATCTGTGTTCGTCTGTGTATCTGTGTTTATGTGATCTGGGTGTGTCTGTGTGTTTTTTTGTGTATCTGTCTGTGTAGTTGTACCCATCGCCAGGATGGATGTGGTGCCAAAGGCGTCTCTGGCATGGTTGTCTGCGTCGCCCGGATCGCTCCAGATCCGTTCGGCATCTTCCCAGGCGTCAGGCACTCAAAAAAGCGCGAGCAGTGACGTGGCATCGCCCGCAAGTACGAAAGTGTCCAGCACCGGAGCAAAAGCAGTAATGTCCATGCGTGCGCGATGGCTTTGCGCGGTTCCTGTTAGACACCATAGTTGGGCTGTTTTGCGAAGAACGTTTTATTGTCTGCACCACTCCTCAGATTGGAACGGAATTACAAACGGGTGACGACTCAGTGGCTGCTACCACCAAAGCTTGATTCGAGAGCAGTACTTAGTTTTCACATGGTCTATTGATTCCTCGGGCGTGTTCAACACAGCGTTTAGGACGCTCGATTTAAGCAGTTTAGGAAGCTCGATTTAAGCAGTTTGGGAAGCTCGATTTAAGCAGTTTAGGAAGCTCAATTTACAAGCAGTTTTGTAAGCTTTGGGGTTTGTGAAGATCCAGAGTTTTGCTAAAGTGGTGAGTGTCGAAGCGTAGTGTCTCAAAGCTTAAGCGGTTCATTATAGTGTTTAGACGTGTTCGAGGTTTAGCAGGTCTTTCGATGTTTCCTTTCGTTTTTTCTGTCCTGGTTTAGAGCTCTCTATCTTGGAGATATTCTCACTTTTAGCCAGCATTCAGAATATTGGAGGACCGCATACTACCAGCTCCTATGTTTGACACGTCTATGTTCGAGGTGCTTAATATTGCTCAAGTCTACTGGACTTCGAGATAGTTGAGGGAAAGTCCTATACCCCTAATATTGCTGATGGACTCCCACTTTGTTAACGCATACCTTTAAAGAAGCCACTATGCACATGTGTGTCAAAATTACTCGCAGGCTCATGTGATTATATTCACTGGTCTACGTTTCCCGTTCCTGTTCGAATTACCCATTTTCCGGACCTTCGCTCCTCTCAATTCAGCCCAAGAACGTAAGTGCATCAATAATATTTTCCGGCAGCAGCTGGAACCACTTTCTCCGACAAAGTATTGATACTATAATTGGACACTTTGCGGCTAAAAAGGGTTCCTGTGCGTCACTGTCTATGCTCTGTTGCAGAAGCGGGAACAAAGTTATTCCTTTCCATCGCTAGCATCTTGCGCTTGCACCCGATCCGATTTGTTAAGCTCCACTTTTCGGGATTATTTGCATTCCGCCTGGCTGCCTCGGCCGGCTTCAGGTTCATCGGCCAAAACACTCTTTTGTTTCCGAGCAAGCTATTGATCTTTTTTTTTTTTTTGGGTCCGCTAAATCCGAACGTGCCTCAATGCCAAAAACCCAAAAGCGCAGTGGGCCCGGAATATTTCCGGTCCGGCAGAATGGCATAACCAGCTTTCGAACGCCAAGGTGCACCTAAAATTGTAAATGTGTATATTTTTGGAACCTCTCAGATTTTCTCCTACACGGTATCAACTCGGCTTTTCATTCTCCCACTAACTCTTTGCGTGTATCTTGTACCTCTGCCATCTTTCCCATCTCTAGATCTCCCACAGTGGCCCTTGAGTTTTGTGCAGTCGCGCCCCACGCGGGGCATCTGGGGTTTTTCTTTCAGCAGACGCACTAAAAAATATCTGGCATGCACACCCAACTGCGCACGATATCGGGTGATTTTCAGGGGCCCCATGTTCGCCCAACACCGGGTCTATTGGCGAGAAAGAAATAATCTAGCGAGAGAAAAACCGCCAACGAAAAGAAAAAACACAACCAATTCCGAATGCATCCCTTGTAGCCCGAGACAAATTTACGCAAAGGATTCCCGCCCCTCGAAAAATGTGGAGCCATGGGTTTTCTCCGTTGGCGGACTGAACCTGTGCAGAAGCCCGCACGGGGGCATTATCAGTTTCTATGCGTCTTGAAGGGGCAGAAATGGGCCCAGCTGGCTCGTATTTCCCTGTGTTCTTGCTGTGGCCCTGTTGCGCCCACACCCAATTTCTTTTGGCCCTTGGTGCACTTTGATCAACCTCTTCCTTTTTTCTTCTCTTTTCTTTTCTTTTCCTTTTCCTTGTTCAACTTCTGACAAACTCTCTGTTCTAGTTTGTCCAATCGCTCACGTCTAGTCACTACAGTTCAAAATGGGCGACTACTTAACCCCTTCGGAATTGCCTCATCCAAAGTTGAAGAGGACCAACACCGGGTTCACGCCTAACCAAATCCACGCTTACGATGCTCAGATCCCTGAATCGGCCAAGGCCATTTGGAGCAAGTACTCCAAGTTGAACCAATTGGAGACTTCCAGACGCCCTTCCTTGCCCGCCACCGGCCCCGCAGTGGAGAAGGACGAGTTTGAACGCAGTTTTGTCAACCATGTCGAGTTCTCTCTTGCTAGAAACATGTACAATTGCGACAATTTGGCTGCGTACCAAGCCAGCTCCGAGTCTGTCCGTGATGCGCTTTTGCTTGACTGGGCCCAACACCCAACAGAAGCAAACCGTGCACGACGGAAAGCGTGTCTACTACTTGTCTTTGGAGTTTTTGATGGGCCGTGCCATGGACAATGCGTTGATCAATTTGAAGTCGCGCGATGTGGTGGGCTCGGCCTTGACTGATCTCGGTTTCAACTTGGAAGATGTCTTGACTCAAGAGCCCGATGCCGGATTGGGTAACGGTGGTCTTGGTCGTTTGGCTGCGTGTTTTGTAGACTCCTTGTCTTCCAAGAACTACTCGGGTTGGGGCTACGGTTTGAACTACCAGTACGGTATTTTCAAGCAACGTATTATTGACGGTTATCAGGTGGAGACTCCAGACTACTGGCTCAAGTTTTCCAACCCATGGGAAATCGACAGACACGAAATCCAGATCCCCGTTGATTTCTACGGAACTGTGGAGGAGCAGGTGGACGACGCTGGCAAAGTGAGGAAAGTTTGGTCCGGCGGTGAGCGTGTCTTGGCTGTCGCTGCAGACTTCCCAATCCCTGGCTTCAACACTGCCAACACAAACAATCTTCGTTTGTGGAACGCAAGACCAACCAACGAGTTTGACTTCAACAAGTTCAATTCGGGTGATTACGACTCTTCCGTGGCCGCACAGCAACGTGCCGAATCCATCACCGCTGTGTTGTACCCTAACGACAACTTTGACAAGGGTAAAATGTTGCGTTTGAAGCAACAATACTTTTGGGTTGCTGCTTCTTTGCACGACATTGTTCGTCGGTTCAAGAAGAACCACAAGCATGACTGGGCCAAGTTCCCCGAGAAAGTGGCCATTCAATTGAATGACACACACCCAACTTTGGCTGTCGTGGAATTGCAGCGTATTTTGGTTGATTTGGAGAGCGTTCCTTGGGATGACGCCTGGGACATTGTCACCAGAACATTTGCTTACACCAATCACACTGTGATGAGCGAGGCTTTGGAAAAATGGCCTGTTGAATTGGTTGGGAGCTTGTTGCCTCGTCACTTGGAGATCATTTACGACATCAACTACTTCTTCTTGAAGAAGGTCGAGCATTTGTTCCCAGATGACCGTGACTTGTTGACTCGTGTGTCTATTATCGAAGAAGGTAGACCAAAGTCTGTTAGAATGGCCTACCTCGCCATTGTGGGCTCTCACCATGTGAATGGTGTGGCTGAGTTGCACTCGGAATTAATCAAGACAACCATTTTCAAGGATTTCGTCTCTGTTTTCGGTCCAGACAAGTTCACAAACGTCACCAACGGTATCACTCCACGTAGATGGTTGAAACAGGCGAACCCTGAATTGGCTGAATTGATCTCCGAGGTGTTGAAAGACCCAGACTACGACTATTTGACCAACTTAGGTAAGTTGAAGCAATTGGAAAAGTTTGTGGATGACGACAAGTTCTTGCGCCGTTGGGACGCCATCAAGTTCCGCAACAAGCGTCGTTTGGCCACTTTGATCAAGGAAGAAACCGGAATCGAAGTGGATCCTACTGTCATGTTTGATGTCCAGGTCAAAAGAATTCACGAGTACAAGAGACAACAATTGAACATTTTTGCCGTGATCTACCGTTACTTGCACATCAAGGAGTTGTTGGAGCAAGGCGTAAGCATCGACGATATTAAGTTGAAGCACTACATCTCGAAGGCATCGATCATTGGTGGAAAGGCTGCGCCAGGTTACTACATGGCAAAGACAATCATCCACTTGGTTAACATGGTTGCTGAAGTGGTGAACAAGGACACAGAAATCGATAACTTGTTGAAGGTGGTGTTCATTCCAGACTATAACGTGTCCAAGGCCGAAATCATCTGCCCTGGCTCTGACTTGTCTAACCACATCTCCACAGCAGGAACAGAGGCGTCCGGTACGTCGAACATGAAGTTTGCCTTGAACGGTGGACTCATCATCGGTACAGTGGATGGTGCCAACGTTGAAATTACCAGAGAAATCGGCGAGGAAAACATTTTCCTTTTCGGTAACTTGGCCGAGTCTGTCGAGGAAATTAGACACAAGCATCTCTATGGCGGCGTCCAAGTTCCAGAACGGTTGCAAAAGGTGTTTAGCGCTATTGAATCCGGTCTTTTCGGCGACCCTAACCAGTACAAGCCATTGATTGACAGTATTGTTAAGCATGGTGACTACTACCTTGTCACTGCAGACTTTGACATGTTCTTGGACTGCCAGGAACACTTGGAGAACATCTATGGCCACCACGGTGGAGACATTGACGATCCAGACCATTTGCACAAGTGGGTCAAGAAGTCTGTGTTATCGGTTGCAAACATGGGCTTTTTCTCATCTGACAGATGTATCGATGAGTATGCCGAGAACATCTGGAATGTGGAGCCACTCAACCAATAGAAAGCTGGCTTCACGTCTTTTGTTAATTGTACGTTTGTTTTGACCGGTGTAGGCCTTGCGTAAAAGAAGATAAAGAATATACTATAAATTACAAAAAAAAAAATCCACATCCTATCGAGCCTCTAAACACAGGTTTGGGTTCTGAATAATGCCTAAACAGTTTTTCTGTTTATTGATTAATGGTTTTTCTGTTGTGTGCTTGAAGTTCAGAGATCGAAGCGTACTTCTTTTTTTAGTAGAATCTGTATTCTGTCTACAATATGGAGACTCCCGCAATAATTCGCAATGCTCAAAATTAAAATCTCTGCCATAGCCTAGTATACTATTCTCCACTGTCAGCCATAGTCAGTCCATTATCGGTCCATATTCATAGTCAGTCCATAGTCAGTCCATAGTCAGTCCATAGTCAGTCCATAGTCAGTCCATAGTCAGTCCATATCCATAGTCAGTCTATAGACTATTTTCTCTATCCTATGAAATCGACCAAATGCTCTCGTGTATTTAATCGCGGCCCACCTTTCTCTCGCATAAACCTTCGCGCTTCAGCTACGCTAACCCAACTATATCTTTGCTGCAGGACAAGCGCATACCACACCTCCTTCGTTTCACATCTACTTAGTTGTGCGGCACGAACCTCGTCTGACAGTTTGGCTTCTCTTGTCAGCATTAGAAAAACATGATCGTCCGCTTGTTTTGGCTTGCCGTGCTCTGGCTTGCGTTGGCCAATGCAAACCCGCTCAAACGTTTGAACCACGTGTGGTCCCAAAGAGGCGTGGCCAAGGATGATTTCTTGGTGACTTCGTTGCCGGGTCTTTCGGAAAACATTGCGCTGGACGATGTTCCGCTTATGTTTGCGGGCCAGTTGGAGCTTTATCCCGAGAACAACACCCACTATTTTTTCTGGAAGTTTTCCGATCAGAAGAAAGAACCTGAAGCCGCGAACAGGACCATTTTTTGGTTGAACGGTGGGCCTGGCTGCTCCTCCATGGACGGCGCTCTTATGGAGGCGGGCCCGCTTCGAATTGGGAAGGATTACAAAGTGCAGCTCAACGAGGGTTCCTGGCATAGAAAAGGTGATGTCGTCTTCGTGGACCAGCCGGCTGGTACTGGCTTCAGTTACTCGCGTGACTATGATGTCGAATTGTACCAGATAGAATACCACTTCTTGCAGTTTTTGAAGAAGTACTTCGAGCTTTTCCCTGAAGATGCCCACAACGATATTGTTTTGGCAGGCGAAAGCTACGCGGGCCAGTATATTCCATATATTGCACATGGCATCTTAGAGCGGAACAAGAAACTTGCAGATGGAGAGCTGCCGTACCATTTGAAAGGACTTGCCATTGGAAACGGCTGGATCTCGCCTAACGAGCAAAGCTTGTCGTTTGTGCCTTTTGCTGTTCAGGCAGGCCTTGTTTCGCAGAAAGACCCCGGATGGAAAGCCATTTTGCAGCAGCACATGAAGTGCCAAGATTTGGTGGCGGCTTCACATGAAGATGACACGTTTGGTGCCAACCTGGTTGTGGATAAAGAGTGCGAGAAGGTGTTGAATACCATCTTGTACGAGTTGGTGGACCATTCGGCTCTGCAGTACGAGCAGTGCATCAATATGTACGACTATACGCTTCGTGACTCGTTCCCGTCATGCGGAATGAACTGGCCACCGGATTTGAGCAATGTTAACCATTTCCTAAAGCTGGATGAGGTTATGTCTCTGTTGAATCTCGTGCAGCAAATCTCCTGGACAGAGTGCTCGGAACATGTGGGGAAGCAGATGAAGGCTCGCCATTCCAAACCAGCTATCACATTATTCGCTGATCTTTTGGCTGAAGTGGAGATTCTCTTGTTCCACGGTAATAGAGATATCATCTGCAATTATATGGGCGCAGAGAGTATGATTAAGAAGCTCCATTGGGGTGGGCAGACTGGATTTTCTGCCGATTCGCCTGTGCTCAAGTGGTTCCACGGTGATGAAGAAGCGGGTTACGTCAAGTCCGAACGTAACTTGACCTTCGTCAATGTGTTCGATGCCTCGCACATGGTTCCTTTCGACAAGCCTGAGGTTTCTAGTGCACTCGTGGATATTCTTTTCAAGCGGTTCACCGTGGCTGATGATAAACTCCAGACACAGGCAAAGAAAACGAATGCCAACCAGAACGATAGTCCGAGCGCCAGCGAAAATGACAACGAATCTGGTCGTACATCTGAATCAGCATCAAGCTCGCCAAGCGAGTCCGCTGCTACAGAAACCGAGTCTCATGCCACTCGCATTGTCCGGCTCATTCAGCTAGCGGTCATTATCATCCTCATATGGGGCTTGTGCGCCATCTACTCAACTTACAGGTCAAAGCCAACGTCCATCATAAAGACCAAGCCCTCAGGCCGCAAAAAGAATGTGCAATGGGCTGATCTTATGCCACAAGAGGAACCGGCGCCGAAAGGGTTCTTGTCCAAGACATTGAATAAGTTGTCGCGGACAGAGCACAAGTACGTCCCTGTGGACATTGAGTTGGGCCCAACGGACGGCATGGACGACGCAAGTTCCGACTCAGGACCTTCCAACGTGGGAACGGCTGAGACGCCAGAATTCGTCATTGCCTCAGACGACGAAGAGAACGCGCACGAACATACGGAAGAACACTAGGAATACACATTGGGCAGGAGCTGCTTGTAGCAATAAAAACGATAATGCATATTTTTTTATATTGATTCACTTTATTGCATGCTCTTTAAATATGCTCTCTTCTCTGTAGATCTGCTTTCTGCATTCTCTTACTTTGTACTTAGTTTGTACTTACCTCTTTGAAGCGTGGGTCACGTGCGCTCGTCGCACCAAAAATTTGTCTTCACCATTATCTAAAATCTCCAACTATGTTCAAGCAGGGTACCAGAACATTAGCCACAGCTAACCTCTCGCTCGGACTTCCGCCTAAGTATACTTTGGCATCTGTCCGCAGCTTTCCCTCGTTGGAGCCACACGCGTACGTGCCATATCCAACGAATTTCTTGAACCAACCTTTGAGAAGAGATTTCTTGTGGAGCGCCGTGGTTTATGAGGCAGACAAGGCTCGTGTTGGCTCAGGATATGTTCCTACAAAAGGAGACAAGTGGTTTTCGAACCGAAAGTTGCATCCGCAGAAGGGTACGGGTCGTGCCAGAGTCGGTGATGCCAACTCCCCAATCAGAGACAATGGTTTGAAAGCACATGGTATCAAGGCCCCCCACGACTGGTCCACACGTTTGCCACTGAAGATTTACAGCCGGGCATTCCAAACTGCTTTCAGTGACCAGTACAGAAACGGCAAGCTTTTTGTTATTGGAGGAGCACAGGCCAATGAAGGAGAGTCCAACGTGGTAGACTTCAAGTACGAGTATCCTGACCAGATGAGACAGTTTGTGGAGGCGCACGATTTAGAGCATTTGCACTTGTTGTTTATTACCGACGGCCAGAGGGACAATTTGTTGAAGGCAACTGCGGACATGGGGAAGAAGTGTGATGTTTTGGTCAAGGAGGCGGTTGAAGTGAGAGACTTGTTGAAGGCAAACCGGATTTTCATTGAGCAGTCGGCATTGAACTGGTTTGTGAGTCAATATGAAACGAAGTAGGGGTTGTACATAGCATAATAGTATTCGATAAGGAACAAACTAGAAATTGTGAATCCCGTTCACTGTGGATGAACATTACAAGCATTCGTATGTATATTCACAGACGAACACAACATCCACAGATGTCACTGGCAAAATAAGGGAAGTGGTACTGAGCTACATGTGAATAGTCGTAGACTGCAAAGAAGGCTGAACTTGACTGCCGGTCGCCGCATGAATAGACGACTGAGAAATGGAAAATAAGATAAAACAATGCATATTACACTTAATGATCTTCACCTGAAAAGAATCTCATGAGTTCTTGTCAAGATAACTAGGTACATGGTTTGTCTGCTTATCAATATAATCTAATTATACATGGGAACGCCTCTTCGGAAAAAATGATTGATGCACCAACGATAAGCTTAAAAAATCAACAAACTTTCTAAAACTTCAAATAACATCAAACATGCATCAGCCGAAGACAACTTGGAGGATATTACCATGGCGAACAGTATCATCTGCGCACACTACTACCATTGACGAAAACTACCATTGGACGTGACCATTATGACCACATTTTTTTTTTCACTTTTTTTTCACTTGCTCAGACCTCAAGACATTTCGAGCACAATAACAAAAACTAAGTCATTAACAAACACAGCCCGTGTCAGGAGCCGATGCTTTCTAAATAATTCCAGAAACTCGGCAGACTCAATTCTGCCTTGGGTGCGAAATCCGGGGTCGAGGGCTTCTGCCCTAGTCTTCGCGACTTGCACGTGCACCACCAATAAACACCCGCGAGAAGTCCTGCACCTCTCTTCGAGTCTCAGGCCCAGCGCGGAAGAAAAAATTTCAGCCTTGAATCCAACTTCCTTTTTGCTTTCTTACACCCACAATCAGACTATAGCCAAAATGTCCTTAGTTGTTCAAGAAGACGGTTCCTTCCAACACATTTTGCGGTATGTGCTCCACTAAGCTGCTGTGTCCGCTCATGTCCATGCGTTTCCCGCCTTTTGGAGAGGCGAAATTGAGCTTTCGTCCAAAGCTTTTTCAAAAACCAAAGACAACAGCGAGACCAGGCAGTCGTGTTTCCCGCACCTTTAGTACTAACATTCAGTTTGTTGAACACCAACATCGATGGTAGAATCAAGATTATGTACGCTTTGACCAAGATCAGAGGTGTCGGTAGAAGATACTCTAACTTGGTTTGCAAGAAGGCTGATGTCGACTTGAACAAGCGTGCCGGTGAATTGACCCAAGAAGAGTTGGAGAGAGTTGTCACCATCATGCAAAACCCAACCCAATACAAGATCCCAGCCTGGTTCTTGAACAGACAAAAGGACCACGTTGACGGTAAGGACTACCACGTTTTGGCCAACAACTTGGAATCCAAGTTGAGAGATGACTTGGAGAGATTGAAGAAGATCAGAGCTCACAGAGGTATCAGACACTTCTGGGGTCTTAAGGTCAGAGGTCAACACACCAAGACCACCTCCCGTGGTCGTTAAGCTTCTTTGTTCATGATGCATGTCCGTGAAAAAGTAGTTGCCATATTAGTTCATGTAATTTAATTTACGCTTCTTATACCTGGTGTAGGAGAATTCCCATTGATTGTGATTGTATCTACGACATAAACATAACCTTGTTAAGAAAGACCTAGTGATTCAGTTCTCACTCGAAACTTATTTTCTATGTATTCGACAATATAAATACAACAATCCGGGCATCTAAAGCGTTCAAAAGGATTTTGATCAAGGCTGAATTCTTCTAATTGATATTGGCTAAACCTTTTGCAGTTACTCGCTGTTTCACTATTGGGCATCTCCCTATTACAATAGTTTGGTTCTGCGACATGTCGTGAGCATTCTTATACATGTAGTCCGCACAAACTTCAACTCAATTCCAACTTATGGTTACACAATAAGAACAAAATACCCATGCAATGTTTCAAGATTGCCATGGGTACTTTGTATTTGTATATTTTTCAACTTGTGTTTGCCTTAGACACCTTCAATATGATCTGTGGTCATCAACCTCTATTATATGCTCGAGTATTTCTGCTATTGCTCGTTTCTTCGAATATCCAATGGATGCCTATTCATTTACTACACATAATACGTATCAAATAAACCACTAATGGATCTTGCTATGACATACATTTTGTAGACTTCGATGGTTCTTGCATAGAAGCACCGTACTGACTAATGAACATTGCCATTTAGACTGTATGAAGCCCTTCGCATTTTGCAATCGTGATAAGAATCACTTTTGCTCTCATCGCTTTCCCTATATATTTTGAAAAGAGGTGTGTGGCCAGGATTTCCGTCTGTTGGCTTTGTTTGCTCCCGTGTTTCTTTCCCTTTAAGTAATAATGACGAAATCTGAAGAAGTTTCCCAGCTACCGAGCGACGACGATTTGGGTGGCGGCTTCATTATAGATGATCCCGATCGCAAGAAACGGCCCAAAAGAAGGGCGAAAGCACAAAGCTACAAAGAACCCTCAGATGATGAAAATGGCCATATTAGCATCGACGAGGATGCACCTTTATCTGGCAAGAAGAAGGCTGCTGCTCCAAGAAAGGCGCGTCAGACTAAGAAACAAAAGGTCGCGTCTAGTGAAGACACAGACTTCGTCTTGGAAGATGTAAAAGCTGAAGAAGAAGTAGCGGACGAAGTTTCAGAAGAACAAGACGAAGATCTCTCTTTGTTAAGCTATTCCAGAGCACGCGAGGGCGCGTCTGCTGATAATGCCATTAGCTTGTCAGATCTGGACAATGAAGAGCCGAAAAAGAAGAAGAAGAAGGCGCCAGCAAAGCCCCGGAAACCTAGGAAAAAGAAGGAGCCGAAGGTCAAAGTGCCCTACTTCACCAGAACAACAAACAAGTTGTACGAACAACATCCAGAGTTGAAGGACGTTTTCCCATACTTGCAGTCCTTGGACAAAATCAAGGTTGAGCGAGCTCCTCAGCCTGAGGGGATGAACATAAGATTACTTCCTTTTCAACTCGAGGGTCTAAATTGGCTCTTGAAGCAAGAAGATGGCGAATTCCAGGGTGGTGTTTTGGCAGACGAAATGGGAATGGGTAAGACCATTCAAACTATCGCTCTTTTCATGAACGATTTGTCAAAAAGACCGAATTTGGTTGTGGGCCCCACTGTTGCATTGATGCAATGGAAGAACGAAATAGAAGCACATACCCATGAAGGGAAGCTCAAGGTATTACTTTTTCATGGAGCCAATCGTGAAAGCGATATTAAAGAACTAGAAAAGTACGATGTCATTCTTACGTCGTATTCCGTTTTAGAAAGCTCCTACCGTAAAGAGCGGTATGGGTTCAAAAGGAAAGATGGTGTTGTTAAGCAAAAATCGCCTTTGCATGCTCTCAAATTTTACCGAGTGATTTTGGACGAAGCACACAATATCAAAGATAGAACTAGCGGTACAGCAAAGGCAGCAAACGATTTAAATTGTGAAAAAAGATGGTGTCTTACTGGTACTCCTCTCCAAAACAGAATTGGTGAAATGTACTCTTTAATTCGTTTTATGAAATTGGATCCATTTTACAAGTACTTCTGCACCAAATGTCCATGCTCATCATCCGAGTGGAAGTTTTCTGACTGGAGACACTGTGACATTTGTGACCATTCCCCTATGTTGCACACAAACTTTTTCAATCATTTTATGTTGAAGAACATTCAAAAATACGGCATCACTGGTGATGGTCTCACTTCTTTCCAACATATCAGATTGCTTCTAAACAACGTTATGTTGCGTAGAACCAAACTTGAAAGAGCAGACGATTTGGGTTTGCCACCACGGATTGTCGAGATTCGCAAGGATCGTTTCAATGAGGAAGAAAAAGATTTGTATCAATCGCTCTATAGTGATTCGAAACGGAAATTCAATGACTATGTTGCTGAAGGTGTCGTTTTAAATAACTATGCTAACATTTTTACATTGATTACGCGAATGAGACAATTGGCTGATCATCCGGACTTGGTTTTGAAACGTGTCGGTTCTAATGCCGTTTCACTGGAAGTTGATGGGGTCATTATGTGTCAGTTATGTGACGATGAGGCAGAAGAGCCTATAGAATCTAAATGTCATCATCGGTTTTGCCGAATGTGTATTAGGGAATATTGTGAGAGTTTTCTGGGAGAAGAAAAGAACTTGGAGTGTCCTGTCTGTCACATTGGGTTGGCGATTGATTTACAGCAGCCGGCTTTGGAAGTGGATGAGGAACTTTTTACTAAAGCCTCAATTGTCAACCGTATCAAATTAGGTACTCATGGAGGCGAATGGAGATCGTCGACCAAAATTGAGGCATTGGTGGAAGAGCTTTACCGGCTACGGTCTGATCGTCATACAATCAAGTCTATTGTATTCTCACAATTTACATCAATGCTAGATTTGATTGAGTGGAGACTTAAAAGAGCGGGCTTCGAGACTGTCAAATTGCAAGGTTCTATGTCGCCGCAACAGAGAGACCGAACAATCAAGCACTTTATGGAGAACACGAACGTTGAGATTTTTTTGGTTTCGTTAAAAGCAGGTGGTGTGGCATTGAATCTTTGTGAAGCATCACAAGTTTTCTTGATGGACCCATGGTGGAACCCGAGTGTCGAATGGCAATCTATGGACAGAGTTCACAGAATTGGACAAAAGAGGCCTATCAGAATTACGCGGTTTTGTATTGAGGACAGCATTGAGCTGAAAATCATTGAGTTGCAAGAAAAGAAGGCTAACATGATTCATGCAACCATCAATCATGATGATGCAGCAGTGAACAGGTTAACGCCTGATGATCTTCAGTTTTTGTTTATGAACTAAACTGGTAAATTACAATGCAAGAACTTTCAGTAACGGAACGAAAAGTAAATGTGTATGTCTTCATTTTCTCTCAATTCAAGTACTATTCCATGATTAAAGTCGCTTCTTCTTCTCTTATCGGCACGTGACTCATCATAGTGAGTCATTGGTTAAAATGCCATAAAGTTTGGGGAATCGGGCCGGTACTGTACATTGCATGCACGATATGTCACCAATTTTTGGAATGGAAAGTGAACCAGAGGTTCATACAAGAAAAAACTTATTGTCTGCTTTTTCTTTTTTAATTCCCTCAAGAGAATTAAGCCATGTCTGATTTTTGGTTGAAGTATTTGGATAATCCGACCTTATCGGTATTGCCCCATGATTTCTTGAAGCCGGCTGATAACCGGTCGGTCGAAGGTACAAAGACCTTCTCGATTCCAAACGCAAAAGACTTTACCACCGGATTGGCAATTCTTGCTGCTTTAATCTTCAGACTTACTGGAGATGATGACGTTGTCATTGCCACGGATGCAGAGAGCTCGGGTGTGCCTTTTATTATCCGCCTTAATGTCGAACCTAAAATGACTTTTAGCCAGCTTTTGGAAAAGGTCCGTGGGGAATTCGAAACGAACCAACGGGAGGCAAAGTCTCACACTTTAGATGAGATTGCTGCTGCAATCAAGGCAAAGAAATCGCTAGATAGCTATCCTGCTTTGTTCAAGGTTTCTTATCAGCATGCTAGAGAATCTCAAAAGTTGGAAACATCTGTGGTCGGATCTGTGAGGGATATGGCCATATTTGTTTCACCAGACGGCCAGTTCCATATTTTCTACAACTCTTTGCTTTATCGTAGCGAGAGAATAGACATCTTGGCAGAACAGATTGCTCAGTTCTTTGTTACCGTTGAAGAGGATGCATCAATTGAAATCACCAAAGTGAACTTGGTCACAGATAGTCAAAGAGCACAATTGCCTGACCCAACTTTGGATTTGGATTGGAGTGGATATCGCGGTGCCATTCAAGACATTTTCATGAAAAATGCTTTGGAGTTTCCTGACAGAGATTGCGTGGTGGAAACCAAGTCTTTTATGGATGCAAGCTCTAAGACCAGAACATTCACCTACAAGCAGATTAACCAGGCGTCGAATATTGTGGGAAACTATTTGAAGGAGACAGGAATCAAGAAGGGCGACATTGTGATGATTTACGCTTACCGTGGTGTAGACTTGATGATTGCCGTGATGGGAGTATTAAAGGCAGGAGCCACTTTCTCTGTCATCGACCCGGCTTATCCTCCAGCAAGACAAAACATTTATCTTTCTGTGGCCAAGCCGCAAGGTTTGATCGGTTTGGAGAAAGCCGGTATCTTAGACGAACTTGTGGAGGTGTACATTTCTAACGAATTGAATGTGGTATCTCACATTCCCCAATTAAAGATTTGTGATGACGGGACACTTGTTGGTGGTGAGTTGCCAGGCACTACTGGGGATTGTTTGGAAGCATATGCATCTTTCAAAGATACTCCAACTGGTGTAGTTGTGGGTCCAGACAATAACCCAACGTTGTCATTCACTTCTGGTTCAGAAGGCATTCCCAAAGGTGTCTTGGGCCGTCATTACTCCTTGGCCTATTATTTCCCATGGATGGCAAAGAGGTTTGGTTTATCCTCCGCAGACAAGTTCACCATGTTATCTGGCATTGCACATGACCCCATCCAAAGAGATATGTTCACGCCATTATTCTTGGGTGCACAACTTTTGGTCCCTACCGCAGATGATATTGGAACGCCTGGCAAATTGGCTGAGTGGATGGCCGAGTATGGTGCTACGGTGACGCATTTGACTCCAGCCATGGGCCAGCTTTTGAGCGCCCAGGCAACTGCACCTATCCCAAGCTTGCACCATGCCTTTTTCGTTGGTGATATCTTGACCAAGAGAGATTGTCTTCGATTGCAGACTTTGGCGGAAAACGTCTTCATTGTCAACATGTACGGAACGACGGAAACACAGCGGGCGGTTTCGTACTTCGAGATTGCCAGCAGAAGCTCCGATGCCAACTACTTGCGCAACTTGAAGGATGTGATGCCAGCGGGAACCGGTATGCACAATGTTCAGTTGTTGGTGGTGAACAGAAACGACCGGGCACAGACATGTGGCGTGGGAGAAATCGGTGAGATTTATGTGAGGGCTGCGGGCTTGGCAGAAGGATACCGTGGCTTGCCCGACTTAAATAAGCAAAAGTTTATCACAAATTGGTATGTGGACCCAGAGAAATGGGTGAAGCAAGATGAGGCGAACCAACAGCCGGAAGAAGCCGAATGGAGAAAAGCTGGGTGGTTTGGTCCCCGCGACCGCATGTACCGCACAGGCGACTTGGGACGCTATTTGCCGGATGGAAATGTCGAGTGTTGTGGCCGAGCAGATGACCAAGTGAAGATCCGTGGTTTCCGGATTGAGCTTGGTGAAATTGACACAAACTTGTCCCAGCATCCTTTGGTGCGGGAGAACGTAACGTTGGTGCGCCGTGACAAGAACGAGGAGCCCACGTTGATCTCGTATATTGTGGCCAAGGAGTGTCCGGAGTTGACAGAGTTGAAGGACGACGTGGATGAGCACAGCGACCCGATAGTTCAAGGCTTGGCCGTCTACGGGCCATTGATCAAGGACATTAAGAAGTTTTTGAAGAAGAAATTGGCCAGCTACGCCATTCCAACGTTTATCGTGCCGTTGGTTCGTTTGCCGCTCAATCCTAACGGTAAAGTGGACAAGCCTAAGTTGCCTTTCCCTGACACGGCACAATTGGAAGCTGTGGCTAGGTTGACGGCAGCTTCGCAAGGTATCAACCAGGACGAGCAATCGCTCAATGAATTGGAGACGGCTATTCGTGATTTATGGCTCCAAGTGTTGCCCACACGGCCAGCCAGCATTGCTCGTGACGACTCCTTCTTCGACTTGGGCGGCCACTCCATTTTGGGCACACGCATGATTTTCGAGTTGCGCAAAAAGTTGAATGTGGACGTTCCCTTGGGCGCCATTTTCAAGAGCCCCACGCTTGCAGGCTTTGCCCATGAGGTGAGCCAGCATATCAAGGGCGAGTCAGCGCAGTTGGCTGGTGCAGTGGAAGAGAAAGAGACTGAGGATACGAGCGTGAACTACGCCGAGGACGCCAAGCACCTTGTAGAAACGGCATTGTTACCACTGTATCCTTCGCTCGGAAAAGTGGACTTTACGCAGCCTGTTTCGGTGTTTGTTACAGGAGCCACTGGGTTCCTTGGGTCATTTATTGTGCGCGACCTTTTGTCTTGCCGCAAGGGCAACTTCAAGGTGTATGCGCACGTTCGCGCGGCCAGCAAAGAGGCCGGGTTGGCGCGGTTGCGCAAAACGGCGCAGGCGTACGGCATTTGGGACGAGGCGTGGGCGCAGCACATTGATGTTGTGTTGGGCGACTTGGCGCTTGCGCGCTTTGGCTTGCCCGAAACCGAGTGGGCCACGTTAGCCAATACAGTGGATGTCATCATCCACAATGGTGCTCTTGTCCACTGGGTGTACCCATATGCGCAGTTGCGAGACGCCAATGTCATTGGCACCATTAATGTTTTGAACATGGCTGCCACGGGCAAGGCCAAGCACTTTTCCTTCGTGTCGTCGACATCCACGCTCGACACGGACTATTTTGTCAATGAGTCGGACGAGTTGACGGCGCGTGGTTTCAGCGGAATCCTGGAGGCAGACGACTTGTCTGGGTCTGCGCTGGGCTTGGGCACAGGCTACGGCCAGAGCAAGTGGGCGGCCGAGTATATTGTGCGGCGTGCGGGCGACCGCGGCTTGCGTGGGTGCATCACCCGCCCCGGTTACGTGACTGGGTTCTCACGCACAGGCGCCTCCAACTCGGATGACTTTTTGTTGCGTATGTTGAAGGGCTGCGCCGAGTTGGGTGCATACCCGGACATCACCAACAACGTCAACATGGTTCCGGTAGACCATGTGGCTCGTGTTGTGGTGGCTTCGGCGTTGTTCCCGCCCCAAAATGACCACTTGGCCGTGGCGCATGTGACGGGCCATCCTCGTATCCGCTTCAACGAATACTTGGGCGCCTTGAAAGTGTACGGCTATGACGTTCATTGCCAGGACTATCCACTCTGGCGCACTGCGCTCGAGAAGTTTGTTGTGCAAGACTCGCGGGAGTCGGCCTTGTTCCCATTGTTGCACTTTGTGTTGGACAATTTGCCACAGGATACAAAAGCGCCTGAGTTGGACGACCAGAACGCTGTGCGTGCTTTGAAGGCAGATGCCGCTTTGCTGGGTGAAGATGTGAGTGCAGGCAGAGGCGTCGACGCTGCCCAGCTTGGCATTTACCTCAGTTACTTGGTGAAGACTGGCTTTTTACCTGCTCCAACCGGCCAGGGTAAACCATTGCCCGAGATTTCCTTGACCAAAGAGACTTTGGACCTTGTGACTTCTGGTGCTGCGGGCCGTAGCTCGGCCAACTAAGCGGAGAATCTTCATTGAGCACCCCAATGTTTTCAATGGATAAAGAATGCTGATAAAATAGATTGGAAAGAATAAACGATACAAAGTTCATGGGCATGATCGCGCGTATTTAAGCTACATCTGTAATACTACGGTGAGGCTATCGTGATGCAACAGCATTTCTCATGTTGTCTCAACCGTTTGGAAAGTTCGCTGCATGTTCACAATTTCAAATATTTCTTTCGAATCTAGCGCTTTATGATGACTAACGTTATCATCAGTAGCTTTGAAAACACCATGCATTAACAACTTGTAATTAAATTAAGCTAAAACTGGATAGCCATAAATGTCGTGAAGCATAAAGCGTTTATTTTCTTTACAAGCCACCCACTGAAAATCATCTTAAACGACACTGTAAATGTGGAAATAAACGACATTGAGATTAAAGTGGTAATATTCCATCATGTTTATGCGGAAGTTGGCTGCCTTCCACTACGTCCATAACCAGTAAACTGATTATATGAATGGACAGCTCAAAGGAAATTACGGTTTGATTCGGTCTTTCTAAAGTTGTTCCGTTCAGCCATGCAGCTTTTCTCGGCTGCAGTCTTGAACTGCACTAATTATTCGATATATGCAAAACAGAGATGTACTACTGTTAAAACAGACTAGTCATAAAAGCAAATAAAGTCCTTATAATTCTTTGTCTAATCTCTCGGCCCTTTTTCCTTTTCTCTCTCGTTTCTGTAACACTTCTGAGTTGATGGCCCTATCTACTCTGCTTAATTTCACTGCGCATGTTTCGCACTCCACAATTATCTCCACTCATTTCTGTTAATTCTTTCAAGTCTCTGATACCACTTCATTTCATATACGCCTATTTGCTTTAGGGCTTACTGCGTTTGCTGTTTCCGTCCTGTTTCCTTTTGGTTTGTCTATCTACCATTCATTCCCAGATCTTTGACTTGTCCATCTATCATTCATTGCTACATCTTTGACTAAATGAGCAAAAGCGGCTCGATTTCGCCTAGTTTTCGAAGCCCGTTACGGCAGTTACGACATTCTGGCACCCATTCCAGGGGGCCTAGCATTGATTTTGCTCCCCATGATACCGATAAGAAACGTTTGGTGGAGCAATTTTACTCCACGGAATCGCATAATACCAAATCTCCTGTAACCAACGCTGCTATAGCCACAGGTTTCCGCTCTAATTTGTCGAGCGGTAGCTTCCTCGATGCAAAAGATCTTGTTCAACCGGCAAACCACGAGGCTTTGGCTGATGAAAAGTTCAAAGAGTTGGTTGCTGCAGGCCAGTTGAAATTTGTGGCTTTGGACCGAGAATTGTCCAGTTCGCAAGGGGCGGTCGAGTCCTTGCTCAATGTGGATCTCGATCGTCCTATTGAGGACGAACTCCAGTATTTGGAGCAGTTGGTTTCAGATGCAGCACTGGGCCTTCTACGGACGCTGGGCCACAGCAAGCTAGAGCCCGAAGCAACAGCCACTGCTGAATTGGCACGTTTAAGCAAACATCTCCAGGAACTTCACAGTGAGGCAAGTCAGGCACGGGAGGAGCTTTTACTGGCAGCAGAGAAACTCAAAAGCCAGTACAGCTCAGAGCTCCGATCCAGTGTAGATAAATTGGAGGACCTCGAGATGACACTCCGCAAATTGGATTTGCGCTTCAACTACGCAAAACGCAGCACCTCGGAAGCGAAAACGCTATTGGCTAACACTATTGAGACCAAGATTGCGCTTTTGGAGAAGGTGTCTCAGCGATTCGCAGAATACGATCTCCAGCATCGGCGCCGGCGCATACGGCAGACTGTCAGTGCTTTGAGCGTGCTAGTTTTGCTTCTTTGTATTTATGTGGCCGCCCATACCATCCTGTGAGGTCAGACATCATTCGTATAGCTATCGGAGATTGTGGACAAACACAGCGCCTGTCGTCATTTACATAGGTCATCTTGCGATGAAATACAACGGAGATACGTTTTTTTCTAATGTATTGAAGACACACGATACGCCAACGTATGAGCTTCTTAGGTCATGAGAGGCTGTATGTCACGACCACATAAAATTACAAGGCAGGATCTGGGCTTGGCTGAAAATGTTGCGTGTTGGTATTATGCAATTAAATGTTTATCATGGTTGATTGCTGTTCGTGCTACTGGCTTATACAGTTCATGCCCCGGCTGTTTGAACCCGCATGGAAAATGGTCTTAGCAATCAATGCTAATGCTGACAAGTGCTCATTGATAATTTAGAGACAATGCAGATTCTTAGATACAATGACGCCCATCAGTTTTATGGCCATGTAACGCCCCACAATTTGCTAGTTGGAAGCTCTTGCTTCCATTATAGAAGAGGAAATGATGTATGTAAACTATGACCTACAAGCAACGATATTGCGGCTTCTTTTGAGTATGGATCGCTCCGTATTCTGCAATCCTCCTCTCCCACATGGTTGCTAGTTCCCAGCTTCCCGCGGGGTCTGATGTCCACTGACTCTGACATGATACGATCAGAAGCAGCAATTACCGACCCGAATATGGTGTATGCACCATATGGGCATCATCATTTCGAGAAGCTGGCTGGCAAGCTACTGGCCTCTTCAAAATATGCCTTAAAGCAGAGCCTACTTGAGCCTTGGTCTTCGGCTCCCGCAATATAATCTACTTCGTTGATGCAATTTCATGTGAAGTGTAACGTCAGCCCGCGTCGTCTGTACTTGCCCCGGAAAATGTCCTTCCTCCCCAAAAGACAAGTGTACAGTAGCGTTGAACAGTGCAGGAAATTAGGAGGTGATGCATATGGTGGAGTGGTTTGTGATGATCAAGAACAGAACACCTACACTGCGATAAAGGCCCTTAGACGAACAGAGGAACCAACGATGGGAAAGAAAGAAAAGAGCAAATTCTGACATTTTTAAAGCTCCAAAAATTCGCTGTTGTCCACTGTCGTGGAGTCTCCCCATAGACTGTCCGAATAGCGTTGTGGATTGCTTTTTCTGCAGTATGCACTACCTGAATTTCACCATACCTAACTACTGGCCCTCACTATTTACCTCCATACTTGAAACCATACAGTCGTACTGGTACCGCTTCCCCGCAATATCTTCTGCTGCTTTTCCCTACATACATTTTGTCTCATTCTGCTTTGTTCACCTGCTGCTTTCCCCTTCCTTTCCCCGCTTGAGGCCCTTATCCTAAACATTGAGTGTATAACCACCGCTTCTTGCCTCCCGGTGTCCTGTGATCTGAACCAACACCAATCATGGCCGAGATTTTCTTTTTGAATGTCGAGCCGCCCGCATCGGCGCCCGTTTTCGGGCTTCCAACTAGCGCAATACACCACCCTAGCTCATTGGTTGCCCTCATATCGAGCCTTTTCCAAAAAGGCAACAGTGAGCAAGATATCGACCATATCGTCATGGTCATCTTAGACCCGACCTCTACACATGGTGCTGGTAGAACAGAGCTAGATCGTTTGTCATGCGAGGACACGACTCTTTTGCTCCGCTACTTCTTCTGCCACTTGAACTTGGTTGTTGTGGATGTCAATGCTCTTAAATCGGGCAACAACGCCACAGTTTTGAAGTCCGCAGTAGATAAAGCAAATCTGGTGCTCAAGGATAGGATTTCCCGCGTGGCCACTTGGACCGGAACGGGTGGCTTCAACGTGAATGATTTTTTTGGCGATGTGGCTTTGGGCGTCGATCACAAGCAATCTTTGGCCATGTCAGACGTCATCTCGACCATGTCGTCTATGCTTGACCATAATGGCAACAAGACTCCCGTAATTGAAGCGAAATTGAAGCATCTCTTGCATTTGATTGTGAGTCATGTCGATTTCAAGCTTTTGTTGGAAGACCACTCGGACGCTCACTTGGCCAAGTTGTGTCATTACGTGGGCCACTGGTCCTTTCCTGCTCACGAGCTTTCAAATGATGACTTGGTTTACTGCGTCTTTTTGATCTTACGCCACGCTATTGAGTTTGCTGAATCTCAGGGAGAAACTGAATTCCTGACATCTTCCAACGAGCTACTTGCGCTTGTTTTTATGGTTAGAGACACATATAACAACGGCAACCCATTTCATAATTTCCGTCATGCGGTTGATGTCTTGCAAGCATGCTTCCACTTCCTTCTCCGGATGAAGTGTTTGCCCGAATTTCTTCAATTCGAACTGGACCCACATACAAACGAAGAAAGCTACTTTAAGGGCATTAAGACTGCTTATGACTCTGTCACTTTGGTCGCCACGCCTTCTGTGGAACTAGAAAACGATTCAAGCGTCCCTCATTTAAACGCTCGGCAAACTTTGGCTTTGTTAGTGGCGGCTTTGGGTCACGATGTTGGCCATCCTGGCGTCACCAATGCATTCATGATCAAAAACAACGCACCTACGTCTCAGATTTTCAGCGAGAGGTCTGTGCTAGAGCTGTACCATTCTTCTGTTTTCATCAACAAAATCTTACGAATCAATGCGCCTTATCTTTTAGAGCAGAGTGCTGGCCCTGAAAGTAAGTTAACGATGAAAAACTTGATTATTGGGAGTATTCTAGCTACGGATATGGCAGAACATTTCGAGTACATTAACAAGTTGAAGACTTTTGGTCAATACTCCTCCAATGACGAAAAAGTCACATTGATCTCGTCTCTTTTGATTAAGTGCGCAGACATTTCTAATGTCACGCGGCCGCTCCGAGTCTCGTCGCAATGGGCACTGGTACTCTCAAGAGAGTTTGAAGAGGTCGATGTGCTAGACAAGTTAGTGTCGACCAATAATAAAGTCAATCTTAGTGTCAAATATCCCAAGTTAGCCTACAGCTTGGACGATATATTGAATACCAATCCTTACATCCATAAGGGTCAAATCTTTTTCATTCTGACTTTTGCCGAGGGCTTGTTTCGGAGTATTCTGGAGCTTTTACCCGAGCTCTGCTTCACTTGCGATATCATAAAAGAGAACAAGAGTTTTTGGATGAAAAGGAATCAGATGACAGCGTGAAAGAGCTGTGAAGATTTTTGTAATTTGCTTAATTTTTTTATGGGGGACGTGCACCGTCGGGATTTCCTGACTACCTAGCATTACTAGTTTGTGGTTATTCTTATGATGATCACCAGGGACTGGTCGCTTTATGTATTGTTACATATCACAGCCTGAAGGGCCTAATAGACATCAGAATAGAGTATGAACATGCAAGCATTAGAAAAGAAGCATGTAGTCAGTTCGTGGTTTCCTGATCATCTATTTCCATGCGTCCTTAGCTCTTTCTTCAGTAGATGCAAATTATCACACGCAGTTCAGGTTGCATGGAATGTCTCAAGAGAAGACAGTAAAAGTCAGTGTTGTAAAGTTTGTGAATGAAGTGTATGAAAAACCACGAGGCGTACCAAAAACAACTAATATAATTAAAGGGCTACATGATATCCTTACGTTTGTATCCCCAGAAGAGAATTTCAGCATATCTTAACATTTCTCAACTGTGCTCACATGGTATACTGAGGTGAGTAATATTATCCTATCTAACGTGAACTCATGGGTATCCTTGTAGAAATCCGGCCACATTCCTTCGAACTAATTATATTTTAAAAATCAAAAAAGCTAGCTTCAACTTTTGCCTTATCATAGGCAACTACTGTATCTGCACATAGTAGGGCCAATGAAGCTTTGGATCTGGTGCACTTTTTCTATAGAGGAAAAAAAGTCGGTGTATGCGGTCACGTGCCCTCGGCGCCTTTTGTCCAGTCCACGATGACTTTCAGTCTTTTTTCCTGTCTTCACCAGGTTCCCTGTCAGCCACCACTTTTTTTGAAAGACACTTTGGCGGTTTTTCAGAACATTGACTGTTCTCCACTGCCATTTGATTTGTCTGCGACATTGTCTTGCTCGGTTGTAACTCAAGTGATACTCTCTCATTTCTACCACTAGCGTGCGCTCCAATTAACATGGACCCAAACGCTAACTTCATGTCGCCAAAATTCAAGGACAGACCCATCATCTTGTCTCCACCGCCTGTGGAGCAGCAGGGCGCTGGAAACTTCTCCTTGGGCTCAATGGACCAGCCTGCTCCGAACTACCAAAGAAACCAGAGTGTGGGCTACAACTTACAGCAAGAATTCGAAGCGTTGAAAGCAGACTTGGACTTGGACTTGAGCAACACCAACGTCAACGAAACCTTGTCAGGCCACGACCTCTCGTCCAACGCCGGGCCATCCTCGACCACCATGGCGCAGTCAGGCTCCAGAATTTTGTCTGGAGGCCCTAGTTTATTGTCTCCCAGCACCAGCAACCAAGGGTACTTGGGGTCGAACTTGTCGGAAAGCCTTTTGCGTGATCCAAACTTGTCTTCAGGAAACGGCGGCTCCGGGCTCCATGGGTTGTTGAACAACAAGAGCACTGGTTTCTTGCCACCGCTTTCGTCTGTGCCTAGCCGGCCACAATCGGTGAATGATTTTTCAAACTTGATGCCCCGTCAAAAGACTTCGCAGTTTTCTCGCTTGCAGCAAACTAGTAACTTCTACCCTGACGTGTTGGCCTATACCAGCTGGATGGAAAACTTGAGCCAACAGGAGTTCATGGCGTTGCTCGATCACTGGTGCAGCAGCTTGCCCTTTGACATTTTGCTCACCATGAAAGCCAAGTTGGAGACACATTTGCACCAGGGCCCCCAGGCTTCTGGACCGCTGGTGTTTGGTAAAGTCGGCGGCTACTCGCAATACCATAATGACTTTGTCTCTGACATGGAATCCATGTCTTTGGGAGACAGCATGCGCCTGACTTCTACTATGGGCCTGGGTGGTCTAGTGCAGCCCAAGCCGAAAACGAACGCTTTCAAGAGCCACTTGTTTGCTGACCCAAAGGTCCAGAGACCGAAGCTGGCCGATCCTTCGTTGCACAACCGCTTTCTGCAAGGCCAAAGTCCGATGGACCGGGCCCGCTCACCCACCTCGCACTTTTACGAAAAGACCAACTTCTTGCAGTTGGCGGCTGCAAGCAACTCTCTGCACATGTACAGCCAGGGTCAGCATGTGTCCAACAGCTCGGAAGAAGGCTTGGACTCGTCTGCAGCATCCAAGCTCGGTGCACTTGCCACAATTAACTCCCGTGTTGCCTTGGACTCAAACCGCAAGAACCACCAGCCTGTGGCTCAAGCACGTGGACACAGTGCTCTTTCATACGAAGAGTCCATCAATAGAATGGGCAACTCGTCTTCTGTGCCGGCTAGTACGTCCCAGAAGTATTCTGTTGCTGCCGCCTTGTCGGGTCCTTCTGCTTCTGGTATAAAGGCTAAGAAGGACACCGAGTCGCCGGCTAAAACCTCGCTCAACCCAAGCAACAGCCCTTCTTCCGGCAGTTCGTCCATGCCGTCGGAGATTGCAAGTCCCGAGTTGTTGAACAACATTCCTGCCTGGTTGAAGTTGCTCAGATTGCACAAATACACGGACTGTCTCAAAGACGTCCATTGGAGAGAGTTGGTGGAATTGGACGACCAACAGTTGGAAGAAAAGGGTGTAAAGGCTTTGGGTGCGAGAAGAAAGTTGTTGAAGGCATTTGACGTGGTGAAGCAGATGAGAACGTAGACGTTTTCATTGCTCTGCAAGAGGAAGCAGCCGTCTCTGTCGCCAGTAATGCCCGCCTAGGTATTTGACATATCTACGTGTATATAGAAGAAGCATTCCTCTTGTGATTCATGCGTGGTGAAGCAAGTGAAAATTATACATTAATCCTAAACAATGACGATGTGCCCGGCCCCAGTATCAAACAATCACGCAGCAAGAGTTTGTCTTCTTGGCCTGCTTGTAGAACATTCTAGACGAAGAAGACAACGCCTCCGACTTGTCCACCAACGAATCTAGCTTCTCGCCTCTTTGCAAGACACTTTCGATGGTCTTGTGCAACACAATCTTGGTTTCGTCCAACTCCTGCTGCACCTTCATGATCGAGTCCGCTTGACTTGGGTCCTGGTACTTCTTCAAGTATGTTTCCAACTTATCAAAGGTCAAGGATGGGTTGGTAGCCGTCACCAGGCCCCATTCACTGGATGGGTGTAACGACAAGTACTCCTCCAATATCTTGTTGATCAAAGTGTACGCTGGTCTAACTGGGTACTCTTTGTCACTGATGATGACACAAGACAATCCTTCGGAACGAGTGTACGTGTGGCCAATGTAGTTTCCCTCCTCGATACTTTGTCTCTGACCCGCAGGAGTTCTTTGGGACACCGTTTCAGAAAAGAAGGTCATGAACTGGGACACGGAAGACCTCTCAAAAAAAGAAAACTGCGAGAGGTCTCTAGCGGAAGACAACTCAACAACGGAGTCGCCCACTTTCAAAATGCCTATGTAGTATATCTTCATAGCCTGTTGTGTGGTTTTTTTTTCCTTGTTTGCTCCATTTTATTGTTGCCCATTAAGTCTTGTGCGGTTTCTGGTCACGTGTTTGCATGGCACCTGGTAAACGGAGCTGAAGGAGAGAAAGTCTATGAAGCTGAAAGTTCCGTCATGTAGGTAATAAGCTAAGATGAATATTTTCTTTGAGGAGAGTATCAAGTGAAAAGTATCTATAAACTGAGAAGGTAGACTCGTCGTATTCGCATCGATAATCATGGAAATTGTTCCATATCTTATCGCGAAATGATTCTCGTCACGAGCGCTCTCGCACAAACTACACTCCAACTCTCAAAGAAGCCGTGCTTGTTTCGATATTCAGCACATATGGCCCAGTCCGCCCCAAATCTGGATTCGGCGCCCTCTAATATAAAAGTTGTCATTCTTGGAGATCTGGGTGTGGGCAAAACATGTTTACGATCCCAGTTTGTCCACCATGTATTCACTAATGCATACAAAGCCACGATCGGCGGGGACTATTTAACGACTACGATAGAAATAGAAGATAAAAGCCGACCGTTGCTGAGCACAGAGGGAATGGATGGGAGCCGAATAGCTCCAACTACTAAAGTGAATCTTCAGATCTGGGACACTGCTGGTCAAGAACGCTTCAACCTGATCTCGAAAGCGTTTTACCGAGGAGCAGACGTGGCGGTTTTTGTGTATGATATCACCAACTACGAGTCTCTCTTGAGTATCCGCGACTGGTTCGCTCGTTTCTTGGAGCACTGCCATGTGGAAAAACCCGGCGTGGTTATTGTGGGAAACAAAAGTGACAAAGGCAGTGAGCGTTGCATTGACCATGAGGAAGTTCCCGATATACTTTGTAGAAACAGCACCACAGTCATTGGCCACTACGTTGAAAACTGGGAATCAGACCTGCTTGAAGTGTCTTGCAAGCAGTTGGCACTAGTTGAGGAAGTATTTCGGCGAGTCGCTGAACTTGGTCTCTCTCTCGCATCGCGAGACATCAACAACAAAAGCATAGTCGAGTTCGATGGGATTGACTTTGCTGAAAGCGCAAGGCTGCCCGTGTCACGGTGCGCATGTTAGGCTTACATGTATATTTGCTAATGAAACAAAGTCGGATTTTGATATGTACATGTTACGTTTATGTATAGGGTGGCTGAGTATTGGTACAGCCTCTATGCCTCCTTGGAAGTGTCAGCTTCAGAAGGTTGTTCGTACACAATAGTGTCGTCCACAAATTCTTCAGCAACTTCTTCGATAATGTCGATTTCTCTAGGTTCGGATGCTTTACCGGCGGCAGTTTCGTTTTCGTTATCTGTAGATGGAACTGGCTCGTCGTCTTCATACAACTCTTCCTTGTAGTGTTCTGGGTGCTGCTTGAAGCATGTTCTCATGGCCTCAAACTTTTCGATGCAATCAATACCCTTAGGTTCCGTTTCAGAGTAGACAAAGCAAGAAAATGCAGCCTTGAACTCTTCACCACATGGACCATGGGCCATACCTCCCAAACATGGACAGTCCCAATTGATTTCGCCAGTTTCTGGGTTGTAAGCGGCACTCTGTCCTCCTTCTTCTTCTTCGGGTTGTGTCTCACTTTCTTCAGAAGCAGCTGATGTAGATGGCTCCTTCTTTTCGGCCTCAACCTTTTCTTCTGCGGACTTTACGGCTTCATTCTGGTCCTTCTTTACCTTCTCTTTGTTCGCATCATTGCTGATGGTAGCTATTGGGAAGAACACGAGAGAAGACAAAACCAAGGTAGCGCCAACTGCAGTCTTTGTGTATGTGGTTGATCTAGTAGTTCTAGCAGTAGCCAAGCCTCTCGAAAAGACTCCAGGACGTAAAGCTGACTTGAATGCTGACTTAAACATAATAGTGGCAATAAATGAAGTAGTTGATAGTGCTCGAAATTTTCATTGAGCTTGCATATGGCTGACTAAGCTAGGGCAATCAGTAAGGATTAGATATAGGAAGAAAAGAGTATGTAACTTATATAAGTACTAAGCTAGGTGAATTGAAATACCATTGAATTGTCATATTTTTGTAAGAAAATGCTTTTATTTGTGATCCGCTGATTTTTTTTTATGTTGGTAATTGTGATTTGACTTAATCAATCAAGAATCTGCGATAATTAAAAATGTCTCGTGGAAACTACTCCTAGTTAATTGCTTCATCAGCAGAAAAAAAATAGAGAATTACAGAAAACTAATCAACTCTCTTCAAGAATGGCTTTCTTCTAGACATCTCATAATGTCAGCTTGTTCTCTAGACGACGGATTACTCATTTCTTTCTTTCTATGGAAAAGCCATTCCAAAGAGTGAACAATTGTCTCTCAAATACAGAAAATGTAAAGTACACAACCAATAGCTCTCATAGAACACTTGTATTTGTAATTCACTAAGGGATTTCTCTATTTACAGAATGATATCATCTACGTCTGACATCTTTAGATAAGTCGTCAATTTCAGGAAGAACTTCTTTGACAGGGGCAGAGAGGGTACTAGCCCAGAGCAAAGAGCAAATCACGGTGATGACAGTACCGGCTCCGATCATCCGAACAATTTTGATCGTTTTCTGGGACTCTTTTGTGTTCTCATCACCAATCTTATCGAGATATAGATTGATTTTTTTCGCTTGTTGCTTTATAGCGTAATTTCTTCTGCTTAAAAGAAGGCATGAGTGGGAGGGCCTGATGAAATTCCTGCTGAACATTGCAATCACTCGGTATCTTTGTAAGGCTCAACTAGTTGTAAGACACCAGTTAGATCAGCCCAGCTCTATATGCACTCAAGTCAAATGAGTCTTGTACTCGATACATTGTTCATATAATGTTTCATTTACAGTATTTCAAGCGTAAGATTTACAAATTAGTTCCTTCATTTCTATTACCTTACCATCTGAAGCAAGACTTACTCCTCAGTAAGTACGTATACTATCTCAGATGATGTCGCACTAGACTTGCTTGTGCTTGCCTCAGACCCGACTCAAAAATGACTTTAACAGTGATAAAGATACAGGAGTCTTCTCATCGCCTTGATAGATCCAGAGAACGTCTTCACTGATGAAACATTCGAAGATTCTGTCGTTCAGAATGGAGATCTCATAAAGCTTGTTCATATAAGAATCCGTACGTTTCGTTGCCTGGAAAGATATACCATGTTCAATACAGTAATCTTCAACCACATCCTTGAAAGTAGCCATAAGCCCATGAAGCGGGAGAGCATTGACACTAGCTCCTGTCTCCCACTTACCGTTCGCTTGAGCCAATTTTATAGTATCAGATGGCTCCGGAAACAGGTTGCTTTCAATATGTGGAAGTGCAGGAGGTTGGATATCTCTTTGAGTACATGACGCTATGAGCTTTAAAGCACAATTGATGTAGAAGATGCAGATAGGTTCAAGCTTGATGTATTCGGCACAAAGTGAGATGAGGCTTTGCTGACATTGAAGATACCACGATTTTATCAGCTCAGGATCTTTTCGTATTTTGTGACCGAGGCGCTGGATCCATAAATTGAATACACAAAACTGTAAAATGATTTCTGCCTGAGTTAGTGTGATTATCTCCAAGGAAAATGCAAGGTGAGCGAGAATACGAATTCTGTCTACCTCTTTCTTACTCCCTTCAAAAGATCCCGAACCAAGGAAATGAACTAGGTTTTCTAATAAAGCATCTAGGAAATGCTCTCGAAAAGATGTTGGATCAGAGAACTGATCCAAAACGATAGACCACGTCCTTTTAAACTCAGAAATGGCTGGTTCAAGATACTCAAGGAATCGATTCCAAGGTTTTTCTGCTGCACTCAACTGCAAAAACTGCTCCTCCATAAAGGATAAGTATCTCTCATTGAAAATCTCGAGTACTTCCTGAATGGAGCTGTTTTCCCAATTAAAGGACAGAAGACATTCAATAATGCTGATGCCAATCTCTTTCTCAGGTGTCCAGTCATAGTTCCGGATACTAGGTATTATTATGGTGTCGATGCAAATACTTTCCACGAGAGTAGTGTTAATAACCACGGGAGAGTCGAGCCAAAACGAAAGAACACAAGAGATCTTTTCGAGCAGCAAAGTTTCACTTTTGAAATAGTTTTCCAAATGATAAACAATAAGTGAATCCCATTGATTAAGCTCAAATGAGAGATGATCAGTGTCGATTTTTCTGTACAACATGGACCACTCGATTATGATTTTGCAGAACTTGCTGGACTCGTTAGGTTCTCGAAGAAGCATACCAACATATTGGTTTGCTATAGATGTGAATGAGTCTATGCATTTAGGATGCTTTGCCAAAGGTTGGGAAGTTATTCTTTCGAGTACACTTGTGCAATCCTCTAGTGTCTGATTTTCAGGTGAAACACACTTTAGTAGGAGCTGCATCAACTCATTTGTAGTTTCTAGTTCTTCAGCTTCCAGACTTGCACGCTTCTGAGCATTTTCTAGTCCAAATTCAAGCGTACGAATCTGTTGATTAATACGCTCGAGCTCTGTGTTAATGCTTGAAAGTTTGGTGTACTCAGCTGCAGCTTTAACAGAATCACTGCTAATACTGTCGGAAAGCTCCTTATAGTGCATTGGAACGTGTGCACCCTGTGATTCGAGAAGCTCTATAATGGAGTAAAGATCATAGGTGGGTTTTGCAAACTGGACTGTTTTCTTAATCGGTTGTATGTCATCTTCTTCATCACTGCTTTCATTATTTCGACCCACTTTCTCTTTGATGCCTCCCACACCCAATCCTTGAGGACGGAGCTTAGTCTCTATAGGATTGACAATTCCCTCCTGATTTCGTCCCAATCCTTTGCCCAGCTGATATCCCATTTTCATCATAAGCTTCGCTCCTATACCATACTTCTGTACGTTGGTATCGGAACTTTCATATTGGCTCTCCTTCATTGTAGATTTTGTGTTTTTGTCGTTTTCACTGTCCTCATCGGAGTAGTCAGAATATTCGTTGCGTGCAGCCATTGTTCCCATAGACATTTTGCCTGAAAGAGACAGAGACGTGTCACCGTCCCCCAGTCCAGAAGGCTTGAAAAGTAAACCCTGGGTATACTTCGACATGCTTATCTAGGAATATCTAACTTGGCTCCATCATGTCACAATTCGATGGTGCACATAGTGTAATCGCGGACTGTGGGGGACCAGATCCATAAGCTACAGCGATGCATACAAAATAGACCAAAAGCTTAAATACGTACACACTTCTAGCCTCTTTCCCTTATTTATCAGCCATTAAGGAAAGTAGCCTAGCCTCGTTTTTGTCTGCGGACGGCGACTGGATCTCGTCTAGGCCTTCGCTGATGACCTGCACCACCGAAGGCTGATTATATTCGCCAGGCAAAATCAATTGCTTTGGAATGAAGTCGCCAAACTTGCGGAGCCAGTCACGGCGCCTCTCCCTTTCATCCTCCTCAATATGTAGCAACTGGCCATTGAGGAAGTCATTGAGCAGTTGAAGAAACTTACGTGGATAAATGTACTGCTCATAGTACAATTCCTTCAAATACTCCGAATGGTAGATTTTCTGGAAGCTGGTGTAGTGGAATGTTAGCTGGCTAAGAACATCCACATATGCATCGATCGTCTGCTTGTACGACAGGGATTTGACATTCAATGAGTTGGTGCGAAGCACTTCTTCGCAGCGAAGGAAAAGAAGCACTAGTCTCACCATCTCCTCCTCCTTGAACGACCGGTATTCCTCAAGCAAATCCGTACTCAAACTGATAACAGAGTCAATGTGTGGCAATTTTTCATCGACAAATTTTGCCGCCCGGGTTTCATTGTTCATGATCACATCGTATATAGCACTGAATTCTTTCAATACAGACGGTAGTTCCAATGTGTCATTGTGCAAGACTTCATAATTGACTTGGTTTTGCGACGAATCATCATACGTGGAGACAGCCAAAACACACTGATCATAATGGTTCGTGAGCATCTCTAAGAGACCTGCAAGCTGTTGCTCAAGCGCCAAATTCTCCTTGAGTACAGCTCGAACGAAGTTGGATTCGTGTCTGGGAGGAGACGTAGGCATGAGTGCATGACGCACCATCAATTGCACATCAACCACTTGCGAATTGTATATCCGGGTGGCTTTGTTGTAAGTGGAAGAGTTTTTGTGCCACTTGTGGGTCAAGTCTTGCAACAGGTCTTTCAATAACAGAAGCACCTTGGTGCAGTTTTCTGTGTAGATGGCAATGTTATTTTGAAGAAGCTCGATCTCGCTCAGCGCGAGGAAGTCTGAAAGATGGCGGTAGTCTTTCCTTTCCTCCGGAGCAACCAAAAATGGCGGCACCTTTGTTGTGCGGAGCTCCCCCAATACCTTTGCAAGTGCTTCTAATGCGGGAACAAGCAGTTTTTCAACACAAGACTGAAAGCCAGAAACCGTGGTATCTGCGATTTTCACACGCAAGTGCTCAAAGAGAGGCGTGATGTTGGCATGCTGGTCTTTAACTTGATCTATATTGCTTTCGGCTATTTGGAGGCGTTTCGGTAGCAGATCGCCTAGTACATGCGACGTGGATTCAAGAACAGCCTGGGCCAGCGTCGAAAGTTCCCGCGCCCACTCCAATTTCTTGAGAGCGTTGTCCCGCCAAGCCTTCACTTCATCTTTGGAAATGGACATGGGCCGAGACGGAATAGGATAAAGTAGACTTTGGTTGATAACGGACTGCATGCCTTTCAAGATAATCGGGATGTAGCGCGGGCATACAGATTCTATGCGCACCCGGACCTCTCACCATTCGCACTGAAAGAGCACTTGTGCCATTTTCATCAAAGAAACATACTCGCACATCGACCCTGCGGAATGGAGGCTCTAAGAAAATTGCGTGAGGCAGCCATTGAAAAAAAGCCGGTGCAGTTGCTCACAGAGGCAAACGAGCCAACAGATTCCATCAAAGATGCAGTGCACGTGAAATTCGGCGACTCTGAACCGTATGCGCTTGACCAAATCACCAATTTTTACAACGAGGGCTCTCCTCAGCCTCTCAAAGCAGTGGTTTTTTGCTGGTTGCACGACAAGTCTTCGATCGTCGAATACAAAAACGCATGTTTGGAGAATGGCGTGCCCGACTTCAAGTTTTTGGTCAAGACAGACTTAACAACATGGTTGAGCGGCAGCGCAGACACATGTCAGTTCATCAAAGAGGAGGGAAAAACCACACAAGAGGGAACGGGAGCTACGAATGGTGCCGATGTACTGAGCACAGAAACGGTCAAGAGAAAGCTTGATGATCCGCAGTTGGAACGTATATCGGCATTAGAGGTGAATTCCATCGACCACAACGCAGCTTTGAGAGGCACGAAAAACATTCTTCTCAAGAGTCTCATATCAGACGCCAAGCGGTTTTCATCTCAGTTGAAAAAACTGAAAACAGTCAAGGGATCCCACTCATCAGTTCAGACCAATACCAAAAAACAGCCCATCATCATAGTTTCGCCTGCTACCACGGCGTTGCTTTCATTGAGCAATATCAAAGAATTTTTAGAGGAAGGCCGTTTTGTGGAGCCCTCAGTGAAGAGAGCAGATTCTGGCGTTGTCATTGTGAACCACCCTTCCGACAAGTTGATACCTTCGGCCCAATCAATAATGGTGGTGGACAACGCAGACTTGTTCACGAAACCAGAATACTGGGACAGGGTGATAGCAATCTTTACTACTGGCCAAGCCTGGCAATTTTCTAAGTACAAATACTCCAAGCCGGAGACGTTATTTCAACATTATGCTGGATTCTATATGGCATACCAAGGAGACGTCATTCCAAAACAAATTTCCGACTGGAATGTATCGGTTGTGAAGGTTGATCGTGGCGAGAAAAGGTTTAGAGACAAAATGATTGTGAGGGACTTGTGGCATCTGTTGGAGAAGATCCTCATTGCCAAAAATTACGGGGCAGAGTAAAAGAAATTTTTAAAGATTCATTCTCTAATCTCTATGTACAAATGATATAATGGGCAGAGCCCTTCAGACGAACTTTTAGTGGTATTGCTTCTCCAACAGCACGAATTTCTCGTAGATTTCCTCCACAGTTTTGTTTTCCACTTTACGACTATCTCTTGACCTTATTGCAACGGTACCATTCTCAATATCTTTATCACCCACCATAAGAATATAAGAATATCCCTTTTTAACTGCATCCTTAATTCTGTTTCCAACAGTTTCGCTTCGGCGGTCCACGTCAACAAAGAAATTGTATCCTGTCATTGGAGCAATGCTTGATTCGCTATTAACAATATCACCAACCAATTGCTTCTGCAATTTCTCTGCAGCTTCATGGTGCTTGTCAGAAACTGGGATAATGATTGCTTGCCTTGGATTAATCCAAAACGGCCACTTACCCTGGTAATGGTCTAACAAGATAGCAAAGAATCTTTCTAAAGACCCAAAAACAGCGCGATGGATCATTATCGGCTGATTATCTCTGTCACCATTGCGAGAGATGTACTTCAACTCGAACCTAGCTGGAAGCTGAAAATCAAGCTGAATGGTACCCACCTGGTGCTTTTTGTTGAAGGCATCAGTTAGCAAGATGTCGATTTTTGGTCCGTAAAATGCACCATCACCTTCTCTGATAGACCATTTGTTCTTACCAGCAGTGGTGTCCAAAACAGATGCAAGCTGAGATTCTGCTTCATCCCATGTTTGAGCGTCTCCGATAAACTTCTCCGGCCTGGTACTAAGAAAGAAATCAACGTCTTTCGTGCTGTCGATCCCAAACACATTGTAAGTGTCTTTGATAAGGTTGATGGTATTGGTGATTTCTTGGTGTATCTGGTCCATCTCACAAAAAATGTGGCCATCGTCCTGATGAAATCTTCTAACTCTTGTCAAACCAGATAAGGCGCCAGATGCTTCATTACGATGGAGAGACGAAAAATCCGACAATCTTATAGGTAACTCGTTGTACGAACGCTCGAACTTGGAGAAGATGAGGCAGTGGCCTGGACAGTTCATGGGCTTCAATCCATATTCATGTAAATGGGCCTCTTCGGAGTCTTTTTCTTTAGTCAAGTCATTCCCTATAACCTTGAACATGTCATCTTTGTAATTGTCCCAATGACCAGAGACTTCCCACAACTTCGTTTTGTAAATGAGTGGTGTAATGACTTCCTGGAAACCATACTTGAGCTGCTGATTCTTCATGAAATGAACGAGTTTGTTGAAAATTCGTGTTCCATGGGGCAAGAAGAATATCGAGCCTGGGGTGACAGGGTCTGTGATATATAAAAGCTGTTTGTTCGAAATCGCATGGTTAGCTTGTGTCGAAGACTCTTTAGCGGCAGTGCTGGAGCAAGCACGAATACTTTGCAAGAGTCGTGGTCGGAGTTTATTGAGCATGAAGCTTTCAAATCACAAGTTAAAGAGAGATCTTGTTATGAGGGCCCTGTATGGAAAAAGTCACCAGTGAGCCCAGTATCTGAAACTTGAGATTTGAGCACAGCTACGGCTGAAATGATTATATATGTACATACATTAGTACCTGAGCTATATAATGGTATGCTTTATCCGGACACCACAATCCAAACCAGTGGGTCGTGTGGTACTATGGAAAAAAACGAAACTCAATGATCGATGCACAACAAAAAATTGGATCGAAAGCATCTTCAAGTAAGTTCGGCAACGTCAAAACGTAGTATAATGGTGATAGAAATACACTTCGTTATATGGCATGTAAAAAGTTACGCTCAAAGGTTGTTTAATTTGCAGTGATTTCCGCATGTGGAGGAGCAAGGGAATTGTCGGCAGAGTCGCCAAGCAGAGCGTTCTTCTCGATTTTAACATCCTTCTTAGCATCTGGTTTCTGTTTCCACGTTTTGATTTTGGTTTTGAATCCACTGAAAGACTTGAACTGACGTGTAGTACGCACCCATTTTTTACTAGGAGCACCTGATTTATCTAGAGAATGGGTCACACTGCTGACAGTTAGTCCCGCAGTAGACAGCTCTTTCGGACCTGTGTTGATCTTCGGAGTCAGATTCTCTTCTCCTGGAGCGGGAGAAGATCCTTTGTGGTCAGATCCATTGCTAGCTTTTTTGTCGTCTGAGGCGACTTTTTTCACTCTTTTCGTTTTAGGAGGCGTAAAGACAGGAAGTGTCTTGAGAAACTCCGATGGAAGTGTAAGCTTGACTAAATGTTTCTTTGTCGCCATGGGAAGTGTTGATACAGAAGATGTCGGATCAGGTATGGGTTTGCAAATGCTCTTGTCTTGAAGGGTTTTTGAGCTATCTTGTTGAGTTGAGCTAGAAACTGTTTTTGGGCTATCAGTGGGGCATTGAACTTTACGTTCTTTGCTTAAAAAGGTTCTTGAGCTTTTGTCTTAGTTACCAAGTGTGGATGGTTTTCTTTTTTTCTCTTTCGACTGAGTGCGACTTTATTCTACCTCAGGATCGCAGTTATCTCCACCATACCAGATTAATATCTTACCATAGCCCATGCCTGAAGAAATTCTATCGCGTGCTTCTTCCCGATTGGACGATCTTAGCAATGGCCTTAGACTTGATGTTCGGGCCCACCAAAGAACATACGAAGGAGCCTACACCAGAACAGCCATTTCTTGTCTCTCCTTCTCCATTGTGATTCTCAAGCTTTTTTCGTCCGAGTTTCTTCCAATTGGAATGGTTTACACGGCTTATGGGTGTTTAGTATACTTTATGGGTGTCATCAAGGCTGGTACCGTTGACACGTACTACAATGCTGAAAAAGATGCAGTGGAGTTTAAAACGGCGGGAAACTCTGTACTTTTGCTTACAGGAATCAGCTTGGCCAGCTACATAGCACTACTCATATTTGTGATTAGGCTCTGAGCCTTATTTTCTATATACAGATAATATCGTGTCATTAATCATAAACGTATCGGAGACTAACATCATGCTAAAGCACCAAGCCCGAATACAATCACTTGCACAAGCAACTGGATAGACCAGAAGGCAACTTTTCTCATTCTGACAAGTCTCGCTTCGTCGTCAGCAACGTAATCGACGAAACTGTCGTAAACTTCTTCCGATATGTCGTCCATCAACAAAGAGTCGTAAATGGTCCAAGATCCACTAAAGTCCTTGATGTTTTTCACCACACGACTAGTCACTTCAATGAACGCATTTCTCAGGTTGATGTACGCCACAATTGGCCTTATGAGCGCATAGTTCACGTAGCTGAGTTCGGGGGCTTTGAATGGAACCAGCGCACGAACATTATTTAAACGGATAGTCAAGTCAAGAACAAGATACTTCAGAACATCACTAGAAGTAGTATTGTCGTTAGTTAAACGGGTAAAGTGGTCTTGTTTCTTTTGGTTGACTTCTGGATTGCGGTATCTGGTAGCTTCTTTTTGAATCGAGGCTGCAATGATACCCACAATCTCTGATACATTGAGCTCCTTCACATCTTCAGGCACCATCACGTCTCCAATCATATCGACCTTTCCAGAAGAGATCCAACCAAATGGCCCTTCCAAACCTGTGTTGAGATGATCGATATTGAGAGAATCCACCCTGAGTCTATTCACTCGCTTGTAAAGCTGTTTCGCTGAAGCCTTCTGGTCATTGTTTACTTCTTCAAAATCGTTCAAACGTTGTCTTTTATGGACAGTGAAAAGTGCGTTGTCGTAAGCACCGCTCATGTTGTTGGCGTTCAAAAAATCATAGAAGAGCCAGTGTTTACGGAGACGAGCCAACTCACAATTGTAGATGGCAACTTCAAATGGACGGAAATTATTGGGCTGCAACAAGGTGAAGAGAACATCTTCCATGCGGAAAGAGTTGAATTCGAAGTCTCCCACTTGGTAGACATTCTTGTAATTGGTAGCGTCATCATCTGGGTCCCAATGAACATGAGTCCTATCCACAACACCTCGAATGCCCTTCATTTCCATTGTATCCACGATTCCAGTACCGTTTACCCACTTACTGAATGAAAGGGAAATGTTGACTTCTTCAATGGTAAGATCAAACTGCGTATAATTGCCATCGTCCACAGCTTCCTCTGTCATTCGATCTGATTTGTCCATACTTTTCGCAAAGGCTTCTGCTTGAGAGCCCTTGAAGAACCGCTTGGATAGTTTTGGTCTTCTGCTCACGAAGCATTTTTTGAAGGAGATCTTGCCGTCAGACCACCCAGGAACAATTGCATGCTCGAATGTGACAGTCAAGTTTGAGTTTTTGGTGATGAATTCTCCCAACTTGCGAGCAACAAATTCCTGAGCAAACACTGTATTGAAGACGAAAATAAGAAGCAGCACAAACGTAGTAGTGCCTAGGATCAAGACAAGAGCATTGCCCACCATTAACCATGAGAACAACGCCAGGTAATCATCTGTGTTGAGGGGCCGATTGGATTTCTTGAGAAGCCATTTGAACCGAACGCCTAAGCGGGAAATCACATTGTTTGCCCGCGCCAAAAGCTGCTCCTTCGTGATGGGTTTCCTCTCTTCCACTTTCGGGCTCGGCTGTTCTGGAGAAAGCTTAGGTGCACTTTTGGTTTGGTCCGCCAAAGGCTTTTCTTCTTCACCATGTTTGAATGGTATTTTTTGTGGAGGAGGAGCCTTCTTTTGTGCTTCAGAGTTGAAAGTGCCTTCCGATCTCTCTGGGGCAGAGTCCTTGCGATGCGATAAATATCTGCTAGCGGCGACGGAAAATAGGACGTTGCTGGATCGATTAAAAGTCGGCCTGGGCCTTGCACGCCATAGTATTTGACTGGGCCTAGAGACGAGAAACTGTGGCCTCGCAAGCAGGCGTAGAAAGCTCATGTGGAGCAAAAGCGATTGAGCCTTGGGAATTCTGTGGAGAGCGCGCGAGCCGAGCAAGCGATGAAGCCGCATACAAGCACAAGCGCAGTTTTCTACGAGGAGAGGACAAATTCGGCGAAACTACATGGCGTAACCTGACGAAGATAGATCCTGTGAGCTTTCAAGCGGGTCGATTCTAGCACAGTAAAGCCAGCTTCTTTGATACTATTATTATTATCATTATCACATTATTATGAGTATTATTATTACATTATTATTATTGCGCTATCCCAGCATATAAGCGAGCAAACAATTTTGTCGGTCTTACCCCAGTAGTCTCAGGTTCTAGCTCATCACTGGCAATTTGTTCTACTTATTGCGATCTTCCTGGGATCATCTGGTTTCGATGCGAGTGCAGGTAGTTCAGCAGCTTGTCTGTGAGGTTATATAGACAATTAAGTGGTTTCTGTCCTCATTTGTATTAGCCAATTGTACTGGGAGCTCACGGATTCAATTCTCAATCAAGATCGACACCAAATGCAAAGCTTCGTCTGTCATCGTGTTTCTCCATTCCACACTTCGCTTCGTAATGCTACAACATCCAGATGATAAACGTACTTTATTATGTTTGGAGCAATCTCGTTATGTGCACTTGCCCCGCCCCGATATCTTGACGGGGCAGAATCAAGGTCCGCCGCAAACTGCATTCTGCAATCCGTGTGCGCTTCCAAATGGGGCCAGACCGCCCCTGAGTCGGACATGATCTTGATTGGCCGTATTTGCAGGCATCATTTAGTTGTTCATGGTATGTGCATCTAGACACATCCAAAAATACATCGCAGTTGCTTAAGCGGTCTTACATTTCACTTAGACCCGGGAGTCAAGGGCGGCTCGTATTTTCCTGCGCGAAACGCAGAGCTTGATGTACATGCACCGCTTATCACTGACTAATCTTTCATCTTGCGCACTTGATGGGTTTTGGCCATGCTTTCAAGAAGGAGCACTTTCCTCTTTCAGATAACCAATTTGTGCCTGTGAACCATGGTTCTTTTGGTCTTTCGCCCCAGATCGTGATGGACAAATTCCGGGCTGAAGTGGAAACCGACCTTGCCAGTCCTGACTCTTTTATCCGCATTCAACAACCAAAGGAGTACTTGGAGTCGATCAAGATTGTGGCAGATTTTTTGAATTGCCCATACCGCAACTTGGCTCTTGTTACGAATGCAACAACTGCCGTCAACACTGTTTTGCGCTCAATTCCTTTCAGTAAGGGCGATGTTGTGGCCATACCTTCAACAACATATGGGGCATGTGCCAACACCGTCAAATTTTTAGCAGAGACCATCGGCATTGAGATTGTGGTGGTGAATCTCGCGCTTCCAATGCTGCACGAAGCCATTGTTGATGCTTTTCGCCAGACTTTTGATGCCCAGAAGGTGAAATTGGCTCTTTTCGACACCGTGAGTTCAATGCCTGGTGCCAAAATGCCCTACTTAGAGTTGACCCGTTTGTGCAAGAAGTATAATGTATTGTCTATGGTGGATGGTGCACACTCAATTGGTTTGATCCCTCTTGACTTTTCTGAGTTTTCTCCGGATTTCTATACCTCTAACCTTCACAAATGGCTCTATGTGCCCAGACCATGTGCCATTTTGTACGTGGATCCTAAGCACCATCGCACTGTCCAGACTAACCCTGTGAGCCATAGCTATGTGTCCCCAAATGCCGTGCTCTCGAAAGAGGAAGAAGAGAATTTGCTTGTATCTAAATTCACCTTTACTGGATCAATTTCGTTTGCGAGCATCAGCTGTATCAAGACTGCTCTTCAATTCCGGAACGATATTTGTGGCGGAGAAGAGGCCATCCATGATCACTGCTTGGGCATGGCCCGTAAAGTTGCAGACCTTGTGTTGCGTAAATGGCCCGGTGCCAGCATCATTGAAAATGAAGAAAAATCGTTGGTGACAGCAATGGTGACGGTGTTTTTTCCAATCGAGAACTACTCGCCTTCCTTTGATGCGTCAGATCCAGAGCTTATGCTGCTTTTTGTCAATAAAGTTTCCGAATTGCAGATTGAAAAGCATCACACCTTTGTGCCATTCGCATCTCACGCAGGTAAGGTTGTGGCAAGGTTCTCATGCCAAGTATACAATGAGCTTTCTGACTATGAATATGCGTGTGATGCTGTTCATTCGGCAGTCAAAGCGTTTTTTGCGCTGAAATTGTAGACACAATTTGAATTAGAGAGTCCATCAGCTAAGTATTATTAGAAATAGATACTTGAGAGTTTCAGAAAATATACACTTGAGCGTATTTAGAAACACTGAAGCCTTTTCGCACGGCAGAGAAGTGACAATACTGCGCTCAATAGGCCGTACTGGTCTCTCATATACACTATTACATTTGTGTAGGGCTCTTGATTCGAAACCAGGAACTCCATTGATATCGTGTTTACAAACAAACAAAGTTCGAAATAGAAACGTTTCAAACCTTAGTATGATTTTTTTTTCCATGTTTTTGTCTTGTTCGCAGACAGCACGAAAAAAACTTCTGGTTCGAAACCTTATATCGACAACAGAAGGATTGTCTGATACTCATCTTAAATAAACTTCTTTTAAAATTCTTTCCGAGCTCCATTTTGGGTTGAATGAGGTCATTACGACATATGTACGTCTAAACATCTATCAGCGCTCATTCGTTTTCACATAACAAGAGAAATACTGCAAGAAATACGGCAGCGCAAAATTCTGTTCGATTAATTCTCAGCTTCTAATGTTATGATCCAACGAATTTCATTAATAAAACGACTTTTGATGTATTTTTCCGATCCATGTAAACGTCATCTTCAAAGCATCATATTTGCGACATCGGGCTGCGTGCATTCCCGCCTCACTACGTCATGAATTTTATTAAGTTTTATGTTAAAGCTGTCGCGCAGAAAGCTACATCTCGCATGGATCAAATAGGATAATGCGTAGCCAGAGTTGGTGGGCCAGGCGCAAAACGCATGCAACATTTAATAGATAGGAGTGTGCGGCCTATGCGGCTGGCTGTTTCCAGAAGCGGCAGAAGCAAACGCAATACGTGCATATGGGAGTATGCCACTTCCTACTCTATGCACGATGGCCAGCCATGAAACGTGAATCAAAACACTTCAAACCAGGGTACGGGCTACAAAATATGCTACCGTCAACAAACATAGCCACGAAATGCTGCAAACTTTGCAAACACTACGACCAGACAATACACACGAACCAATGACCGAGAAAAGTGATATATTATTCGAAGATGCTGCAGTACGAAACAAAGTACCTAGTTAGAAAAATGGGAAACCGAAACAAACTATGTGTAAGTTGTCATGTAAATTTTAATTTTGCCGCGATTAGTACTGGCACTGGCCTGGGTACTGTCTCGAGTCCAATGGTTGTGGGAACACTCCAACATCAATCAACCGGCTCATGTCCCAGTCAATGGCATCCTCACACTTCCAGTTCCAGAAGATCCAACCACCAGTGTGCTCAAAGGCGTCGAGCTGAGCTTCGATGTACTTGCGGACGTTGGTCTTGTGGTCGCTGGTCCAGTTGTCTGGGTTCACGTACATGTCACACAGGCCAAAGTTTGGCGAGTTGTCGTAGTCTCCCAGCCAACGGGCACCGCGACCAACACCGTTCAACCAAACAGCACAGTCAGTAAGAGCGGCAGAAAACTCACCGCACACGTTCCAGTGAGACTCAGTAGCAGCGCTGGAGCCCCAGCCACAGGCAACGCTCAAGTGGGCATTGATATCGCGCGACAACTCGCCACCACTGAACACCTGATAGTGGTGATGGTCAAGTACCACGTTATAGTAACCACCATCAGCTTGCATGAACGAGTCATAGTAGTTGAATGGCTGGAAAGCATCATGGATGATAACGTTGTTGGTCAGCACAGAACGCATGTTCTTGTAAGCCCATTGGTAGAAGTTCTCGAGCTGGTTCATGTCGCTGACAGTGCCCAAAGGCTCGTTCAAGAGCTCAATGCCACTGACAACGTCCTTGTACTCGTCGCCGCCGTACTTGTTGAAGATGTTTTGCAATGCAGTCAAGGTGGCTGCAATGTTGGCATCCTGTTGGTACTGAATTTGGTCACGCAAGCCAGAATTGTCAAAACCGTTTTGCGAGCCTGGGGCCGTGTGCAAGTCGATCCACACCTTAAGGTTGTGGTTTCTGGCCCATTGGAGGGCAAGATCAAGGTACTTTTGTTGGCCTTGCACGTATGGCTCGCCATCCACTGTCACAAAAGCCCAGTGGCCGATCGGAATACGAACAGTGTTGAGACCAGCAGCAGAAATGGCCTCGAAGTCATCTTCTGTGTACCACGTCAGCCAGTGTTTCTGCAATCTATCAGATGCCTCGTCTTTGCCAAGTGTCTGGCAGTAATGATATTCATCCACAGGAATGTTGGAGCCAAAAGGCTCGAACAACGATGGAGTAATGTAGGGTTCCAAGACAAACCATCCACCTAAGTTGACACCGCGAACCTTGTCATTCTGGTAGTCCCACAGCGAGGATCTTTTGCTCAACGGAACAGAAGCGGCTAACACCGAGGTGGCGAGCGACGCAAGCGAAACCAAGAGTTTCATTGATGGTAAAAAGTGGCGCTTAGATGGGGGAGCGAGAGGATAACGTAGGGCCGCTTAGAAAGAGGGAAACGAAACGAGCAAAGAAAAGGCTGAAAGTCAATGGGTCGTCACAACTGAAGACGGGGCAAAAGGCGGTGATTAAGAAGAAAAAGAAGGTGAAGCAAAAATAACCTCTGACACACTCCATTTTAATCCGAAAACTGAACCACAAAGGCGCACTTGCAGGTGGTTGTGATTTACAATGAGGACGCCGCCTGCACACAACATGCACTCTCATGCATATTCACAATACGACGCGCGCCAGCCAGCGCTATGTTTCTTCCATAGAGATTAGGAGGCACTTGCCCATGTGCCTGGGCTTCACTACTGGCTAATAATAGGTCCGCGACGGCATAACGGCAACGGCACGATTCCCGCTCTTGGCGTAAACATAGTACTGGCTACTGTTCTCAATTTTTTTAGTTTGTTTTTCATCTAGGGGGACGGCTCGGAAAAAAAAGTCGAAAAAAAACATCGGCGCTATCGCAGAAGATGTGTGCTGCAGTAGATAATGCGCCTAGACGCAGCCGCATCATACTCTGGCTCCGGCCCAAGGCATATGAGTGACATGGTTTTTCGGCAGGCATACTTGGCCCCACCGCAAGCTTGAATCAGCTTGCTAAACGCTCCTCGGTAAACAAAGCCAAGTGACAGTGGGGTTTACGTTTTAACGATTGCGAGGCATCTAACCATCCATCACCTGGGGGTGGTTGCTGCGGGAGTTTCAAAGGAGAGCTTCGTGTGCATACAGCACCGAAGGCACGAAGGCCACATGTGCGCGTTCCATACTTTCATTTAGTGCTTGGGCTATTTACGTTGCATGTGTTTGAGTTAAGTTTGCCGATGGAAGCTTCGGCAGCTTCGCCACGATCTCCGTGAATAGATCGGGCCGAGCCATTGTTGGTTTCAGAAATGTATGACGTGGAAGCAAAACATGGCTAACAATGGATCAGAGTGCGAAACGCGATACAGGTTAAGGGAAGGAGTGGTGGAGTGCCCGAAACGGCAGGAAAGTTACCTAGCATACTGCGAAGACACAGGTTTGTTTAAAGAAGACACAGGCTTGTTTAAAAAAGACACAGACTTGTTTAAAGCACATTAAATGCCACAACATGTAGAGACACTTGCCCCATAACGCCTGAAGACATAAGATCAAGTGAGATCATGTTCATGTGGTTGAGATGGTCAGAGATGAAGCGAGAGATGAAGTGAGATACCTGAGAAAAACAAAAGAAATCATGGTAACAGATCGGATAGGGTGGGGTTGAGTTCCCACAAAGGCACCAGACAACCAGACAGTAAAACAGAGGAGAATGCTAAGAGTTTCGAAAGACTTGGCAATGCGTGCTGGGACAAAGAAACCAGCAAGTGCTATAGCGAAACCAAGCACAAGAAAAATTAAACTGGAAAGGGAGCAACAACAATTTCTTGCGCCGAAATCTCAAACAAGTGCCAGATCTTACCCGTTGATGCAACACATTAGCATTAAGCATAGAACCTTCAGTAACTCTACGGAACCACCGCTGTGCCAACAGAAACCAACGGAATAAACCGTCAAACGTTGCAGAAAGTGACCAACAGTAACCCTGAGAAACAACCACGTTAGGGAGGTACTAATGACCTTTTGTGTCTGAACAAATGAGCTAACGGGCTATTCGAACCATGGAATAAAATAATGGTGATAGAACTGACTATGCAAACCTATGATTAAAATAAGGTCCTATTCAAGCTAACGATTGAAGCTAGTCAAACGGCGAAATCTAAACCATAATGTATGCCCCTATAAACATCCATGGGCACAAATCGGGCAACTCTAACAATGTCCCTTGACCCCATACGTGATAAGCCCCGAGCCAACTGGCTCATTTCGCCCAAACCGTTTTCGATTTCGGAGATCCAAGCGCGATCTTTTCCCCTGGACTCGGTTCCGCCCCCACCGTTATTTGCTTCATCCGCCTATGCACACCTTATCTCCCGATCGAGATGTGCCGTCTGTCATTGAGACGACACTTTTCGGTGCCTGTATGCATGTTGCGCACTGGCCCATAATCAACCTGTCACTTCAAAACTGGCAAAGTAGATAAGAGGGCCTGCGACACAAGAACACAAAATAGACATACCCAAGTAGTGGCAAAGTTTTCCTGCTCATTGTTGTTGAGGGGAAACCCCATTTTGTCTTTCTATACACCGTTCCGCCCCAAAGACATGTCGTTTGCCGCATGCTGTCAAGGTCGTGTCAGTCCGAGCCGCATTGATATTAGCGCATGCTAGTTCTGAATGCGGAAACTCCAGCCCAATCAGACACCGCCATCTATCGAGATCTCTTATCTTTACCAAAAAAAATAGAAAAAGTCATGCACAAAACTCTGTCCACTGATAAGTTCTCCACCTTTTATAACATGGCAAAACGGGAAGCGAATCTTTAGCTGGATCGCTATTATTCCATAGGTCCCTGTCTTTATCTTTCCATCACCTTTGCCATATCGTTGACGGTGACTTTGACGTTGCTTTTCTACTCTTCTATTTCTGAACCCCGGGACCACCATGACTGAGGAAATCTTCTCGATAAATTCCCGGACAAATCAGGATTTCATTCCTGGAACCATCAATATTTATTCTTTCCACGCTGAACACGATGCCACCAAATTAAAGTTGACAAAAGACAACGTCATCTTACAACCCCAACCAACGGATTCCGTCAACGACCCGTTGAACTGGACACGGAGCAAAAAACTATGGAACTTTGCCCTTTTGGCCTTCATCACTGGTTTCACTGCTGCAACTTCCAACGATGCTGGCCTGACCCAAGATTCTTTGAATGAGATCTACGGCATCTCGTACGATGCCATGAACACAGGTGCCGGTGTTTTATTCGCAGCTATTGGATGGACAACATTCTTGTTTACACCCATGGCCAACTTGTACGGCCGGAAAATCACATACTTTGTGTGTATTTTTGTTGGTCTTGTTGGTGCTGTATGGTTCTCCCAGTCGAGGAGAACAAGCGATACAATCTGGTCTCAGATGTTTGTGGGTGCTTCCGAAGCTTGCGCTGAGGCCCATGTGCAACAGTCTCTTACCGATATGTACTTTCTGCATCAGATCGGTTCTGTTTTGACCGTTTATATGTTGGCCACGTCGGTCGGTACTTACTTGGGCCCATTGATTGGAGGTTTTATTGACCAGTACTGCGGGTTCCGCTGGGTCGGATGGATTGCTGTATTCATCTCTGCTGGTTTGTTGATCGTGATTTTCTTTGGTATGCACGAAACTTATTTCGACCGTCTTGTTTATCAGAAGACAGAACAAGACGCCCTCATCGATGACAGCTATTACCAACAGAAACAGTTTGACGAAAAACTTCTCCTCGAGAAACAATCGCACAGCAGGGTTAACAACTCGTCCGTTTCTTCTGAAATGTCCCAGCACGACGATGCCAAGTTGGAGTTAGCCAAGACGGAAAACAATGGGGCTAACGAAACTAAAAAAGGCTATTGGAAGTCTATTGCATTGATCACACCTGCAGTGAATATAGTTGGAACAGGCTTCAAACAATACGTTAAGCGGCTTTTGATGTTGTTCAGAGTGTTCATGTTTCCTCCTACCCTCTACTCGGGCCTTATTTGGGGCATTCAGGATGCACTTTTGACCTTCTATTTGACTGTGGAAGATGACCAATACTACGACCCACCTTGGAGCTACAGCGACACTGGAGTGGCATTGATGAATGTGCCATGTTTAATTGGCTCAGTTATCGGATGTATCTATGCTGGTATTTTTTCTGATTGGTTTACCATCTGGATGGCCAAGAGAAACAACGGTATCCAAGAGGCTGAATTCCGTCTTTATTTCCTTGCACTTCCAGCAATTTTGTGTCCTATCGGATTGATGCTTTTTGCAGTAGGAACTGATCACCAATGGCCGTGGTTCCCTACCTATTTTGGCTTGGCTCTTATTGGTTTCGGTTTTGGTTCCTCTGGTGATGTTTCCATGTCATACTTGATGGATGCATATCCCGACATGGTTATTGAAATGATGGCCGGTGTGGCTGTCATCAACAATATGATTGGATGCATCTTCACTTTTGCCTGTTCGCCTTGGCTTGACGCTATGGGAAACACCAAAACATTTATTATCTTATCGGTGATAACATTCGTGGCCATGCTCGGTGGTATTCCATTCATCTACTATGGAAAAAGAATTAGAAACTGGACCAAGCCTTGGTACCTTGAGTATTGTGAGATGAGAGACGGTAAGTTGTAATCTGCATGGTCAGATAGAATTATTCCAGTCAATTCAGGTATCATACTTTTGAACGAGTCCCATAATCGTGCGTAGAGAATAACCACCGAACGATGAAGGTGAGGTTTGGTTTGCGCAGACAGCAAAACAATCGTTCACAATAAATATCTATTCAGTTCTTTTAATGACGCAGTGAAGATTATTGGAAAAGAACTCGAATTAATCTTCCGAAGCGAAATACACGTTTCAATCTTATTCTACCAAGAATGAACTTCAATAATGTAGAAAGGAAATCCAGACTTTATTACGAACTAGGTTTACCACAGAATTGATTAGCAGAGGCACAACTTCGTAGGTTCATAAAAGTGAACTTGACCTTTCTACACTGTAAATGAGACCTAATGAACCAGCAGAGAGTAAACCTCAAACTCTCAACACAGATATACCTAAATGTAGTTGTAGTGAACGTGAACCAATTTTTGTTTGTATGTCATCAGTATTGAGACAAAGATAATTGTCGCATCCATGTGTTCTACTCCCCAAACAAGCTTTATTTAGTAAGGTCTATTTGCTCAATTCTAACTTTGCACAGTCGGATAAATAAAGCTTTAATTCATTAATCCATCCAGTATGACCGTACAAATCCTGTGAACAGGCATGAGCATTCATGTAGTAATTATAAAAAACAGGTTGTAGACAGCGATTTTCCCACAAGAAAATAACAAAGAAAAAAGAGAAGCATTTATGCTTCATGGAATAGCGTCATGACATTCTCATTGGCACAAGGAGCATCCATTCTCCATGCTAGAACATGGACAGTACAAGGGTTGATGGGAGACGAGCCCTAAAGTGTGACACGTGACAAACAACACAAGCCCTGGCGCATGCACACTGCGCGGCTCAAAATTTTCGGGAAAAATTCACTATACCATTTCCTTTTCCACACTCATCAAAACTAAGAAATAGTCTGCCTATTGCTTAAATTGATTATCTCTAGTTCAAAATGTCTACTGAATCCGCTTTGTCTTACGCTGCCTTGATCTTGGCCGATGCTGAAATCGAAATCTCCGCCGACAACTTGAACAAGTTGGTTTCTAAGGCCAACGTTGAAGTTGAAGGTATCTGGGCTGACCTTTTCGCCAAGGCTTTGGAGGGCAAGGACTTGAAGGAATTCTTCTTCAACTTCTCTGCTGCCCCAGCTGCTGGTGCTGCTCCAGCTGCCGGTGCCGCTGCTGCCGGTGCTGAAGAGGCTGCTGCTGAAGAAAAGGAGGAAGAGGCTAAGGAAGAATCCGACGACGACATGGGTTTCGGTTTGTTCGACTAAACGTGCGTTGCGCCTCTCCTGTAATATACGATATTTTATATAATTATAATCTATTGACCTTTTCTAGAAGATGTAGATCTAGGAATGTTGCAAGACATTAGCTAGCATTACTGTAGACAGAGGAATCGCAAGGCCCATATTACGGCTCAGTTCTAGTTGGCTCACTTCAAGTTGTTTGGCAACTCCACGCATTAACACAATAAATCTTACACTACAGCTGTTACCTTATTCAGTATTATTAAACCAAAGTATGAAAATATACAAGAGTGACTTGAAACTCCGAGCTGGTGCTCTTCAGCTCGTTTATTTCTTCTTCTTGTCAGCCTCAGCTTCGGCCTTCTCTCTGGATCTCTTGTCTCTGATACCCTTGTACTTCTTTTGGTTTCTGGCGGCTCTCAAGGTCTTGAAAGCGGTTTGCTCTGGAACCTCAACGGCTCTTGGGGCAGACTCAGTAGCTGGTTGAGCAACTGGGAAAGCAGCAGCAACAGAAACCTGTTCAGCATCAGCCTTGGACTTCTTGTCGAAGATGACCAACTTAGATTGGTACTCCTTCAATCTAGCGACGTTGGCGTCAAAAGTCTCTTGGGACTTGTTTTGTCTTCTGTGGTCAACAGCAATACCGATGGTTCTGGCGTACTTGGCGGACAAACCAGCAGCCTTGATCTCAGCCAAAGTGAAACCTCTACCAGCTCTAACTCTTCTGTTGTACTTGATGGTTGGGCATCTGACAATTGGTCTCAAAGCATCGACTGGTCTTGGGGCAACCTTGGCGGCCTTTTCCAATCTAGCTTGTCTTCTAGAAGCCTTCTTACCGGCTTGGTCAAAGTGAACCTTGACACGCTCTTGCCAGTGCTTTCTGAAGTGGTTCTTCAACAATGGTAAGTTCTTGGAGATAGCCATTTTCGAATGATTTAAGATGAAGAAGAAAAGGGGACGCTAGTAATGGGTGAAGAATTTTTTCGCACACTGGCGACGGTACGGGAGGTAAGGGTGAAAATTGTTGGTGCGCACAAATGATATTGCCTGCAGACAAGGCGATGGCACCCGTTGGCGCGGAAAAAGCAGTCACAACACCCACCAGTGATACTGCGTAGAAAACATCACCACATGCGTAAAAATCAGCACACACCCGCGCACCATCACCGCACCAAGCCATTCACTAGCTGCGAAACCTGCGGCCAACTTGGCCAAACTTCTGATCCCAGTAAACTGTACTGCACACAGACAAGGACACCCGCTTGTATGGCGGACTAGACAGTAGCACACCTGTACACCCATGCTTCAGTATGCACACCACCGCTACTGGCCTGGAGGAGGAAAAAAACTTTTCGCTCAGCACTGCGTTTTTTCACCTTTAGAAAATTCTTTTCCATATACCTATTTCTTTCTCAAAGCAAGATGTCCACTCCATCTGTCCAGGTATGTACATCCCAATCCTTCACTTTCGCCTCGGATATTCCCTTTCTCATATTTCATATCGTGCATCTTTAATTTGCATCGTGTCTGCCTGGTGTCGTTCGTCTTTTATCAGGCAAATGCTGTCGCCGTGGAAGCTGATCAAAATGTCACCGAAGGGACTATGGCACAAGACCCAAGGTCCACCCCAATGCTTATGCATCCGAGAGACCCCTCACTATTGAATCCCAGTACTAACTAGTTTTAGACTTTTGGTAAGAAGAAGACCGCTACTGCCGTTGCCCACGTCAAGGCCGGTAAGGGTTTGATCAAGATTAACGGTTCCCCAATCACCTTGGTTCAACCAGAAATCTTGAGATTCAAGGTTTACGAGCCATTGGTTTTGGCCGGCTTGGACAAGTTCCAAAACATTGACATCAGAGTCAAGGTCACCGGTGGTGGTCACGTTTCCCAGGTTTACGCCATCAGACAAGCCATTGCTAAGGGTTTGGTTGCTTACCACCAAAAGTACGTTGACGAGGCTTCCAAGAACGAAATCAAGAAGGCCTTCGCTTCTTACGACAAGACTTTGTTGGTTGCCGACTCCAGAAGAATGGAACCAAAGAAGTTCGGTGGTCGTGGTGCCAGAGCCAGATTCCAAAAGTCTTACCGTTAAGAGTGGTGGTTGTTGTTATGTGGAAGACTTAATTTCTTTTATCTCGTCATTACACCTCCTCTTTTATCTAATGTATAAATAAAAGCACGTTCCATGGTGGTTGATATCAGTTGTAGTATAGAGGTAAAAACAACAAGTTCTGCAGATTTTTCAGATAATGTCTATTCACTGAGAATTCCGCTTCGTGTCTTGCGCGCACTAATATTATATCTCCACTTGAAGTTACACCAACATGGCTTGGATCAATTCTTGCCCCGAATACTCTATTCCATTGGCTCTAGAGCAGCATGTTGTTGATATCGCGCCTATTCCACATACTCCTCTTTTGGCGGTGGTAACGCCTTCCACACTAGTGATTTACCATTCGAAGTCTTTGATTCCAGTCACTCTCCGCAAAAGAGGAAGCGAGTGTTTACAAAGCCATGGACCCACTACAAGCATCCATCTCCGCCATATCACGGTTGACACCGTGAACCTTGACCAGCTTCAGTCTGTCAATGTTTTCGTTCGAACAGCATCGAACTTCGTGCTAGTGTTCCATTTGCTCATTAACTATGGAAAGTCCATGTATCAAGTGTGTGATTCGGGCGACGATGATCGCCTTTTGCAGAATGCATTGCCACTAGCCCTGGGTGTCTCTCGTTTTTCCTTTTCCAACTTACTCAAAACAGCTACACGCAGCATAATACATGGCAACACAGGCATAAACTTGGCCAACCTAGAACACTTCAACTACGGCACCTACGACGACGAGGAGAGGAATGAGCAAATCCCCTCTGTTCGACTTACATTAGCAAAAATTATAAAGATGAGTGCACCTCTTTTGGGCTTCTGGTGTAAGCCCAACTCCCAGAATTTGATTTTTGCTTATGACAACCAAGAAATCCAACTTCTCAATTTGAAATCGTCTAAGAATGAAACTATTTCTCTTCGAGATCTCAGCTGGTATACGGATACCACAGCTATAGAGTACAGTTTGAGGCACAATTTTTTCTTGCATTTGAATTCGTCAGGACAACTATCAGCCCTTCAATTCGTCGACGAACCAAACTCCTCGGGCCTTCTGTTAAAGCCAATGCCACTATTATCAATAAATTACAAGGTGGAAGCAATATTATTGAACCCACAGTTTGATCTCGTTTGTTTGCAGTCCGACACCGACGTGAAAATCTATGCCATGTATTTCACCAAGGATATTCCTTCTCTTAGGTATGTGAAAAAGATATTCAAGTTTGAAAGAGGATCTGCTTATGAGTGCCACTGGTCACCTTGTGGTATGTTTCTCACAGTTCTAGATACAACATCAGGCAAATGGCAAACCGTCTCCAGGTTTGGATCCACTTTATTTGATTCAAGCTGGATCTTGTCTGAATTGTCATCATCCGATCTTGGTGAGAGCAAGATGTCCGAAAATAGTGACTACTGTCAGATTTCCTGTCTAACTGTTTCTTCCAACGCTCGGCACATTTATCTTATCAACAGAGCCTCAAGCAGGCTATACTCTTTGAGTTTACTTCGAGTACACGAAGGCAATCAAAGATCGTCTTTGTTATGCGACGATCAATATATCATTATACCGTCGCAGAACGGAAACTCTCTCACCAAGTATCCATTACTACCTTTATTTCAAAAAGTAGTGTCACGATTTAATTGCATAAACGGATCCATCTCGAAACACGCACAGAAGAAGTTAACAGGGAAATTTACGTTGGGATTCAATGCATTTGATCAACTATCTCTATCATATGGACCCCATTTGTCTATCTCAACGCCTGTGAGATTTGGGGATGAAATAAACCAACCGTTATGGTTCACGTTCTACAATCATTTATCAGAGGCAATGAACTTTGTCAATCACTTTTGGGTAGGGGATTACTTAGTTGCAATAAGCCGCTTCCATAGAGAGGAGGGACATACGACAGCTGATTCAAACAATGAGGATTTGATAGTAGATGAGTTAATCATCATTGGATCGAGTGGATCTAGACACGGCGCTGGAGGCACCTACTTCAAATTCGATAGTGACCAGATCGTTTGGCGTCACGCTTTCAAAAGCCAGATCGTCAACTATGAATTGGTAGACAAGAATGACAAAGAGAGCCACGTCCTCAATTTGATTACAAACGACCTAAAGATTATTCTGATGCAAATCTCCACCAAATCTCCGAAGCAGGATTCTTCAGGAAGAAAGAGCAACAGCAAGATTCAGATTCGGATTAAAAAAACAATTCATTTGTCAAGCATTAAACACAAATTACCAATTCGTCTTGTGCGGCAGTTTTTTTCTGTCCAAGGAAAACATTTTCTATTCTTATTAAACAATGGTGACTTCTTTTTCTTGAGAAACCAGCTTCCAGATTCACACTTGGAAAGCACGAGAGGGCCGGTGCAAACAAACAATATGTATGATTTGATTCTTGTCAAGAAAGCAGTGGAAGCGATCTACCTCAGTGGAGTACAATTCGAGAACCATGAAGAGCAAACCAGATACCTTACACTAGTGACAGGGAAATACGCATTTTTTTATGAGCTCAATGACTTAGTTGAGCGGGTTTATGACTATGAAGGTGTGGAGTATTCAGGTGAAAAAAGAGCCAACGATGAGATCGTTCCTATTGAAATTCCCCACTCTACATTTCTACCACTTCAGATGAATCAGAACGGCGCAACTCTTGAAATTAGTGGGATCGAGTTTCAAAGTATTATCAGAAGTGACAAGCTCCTTGTCAAATATAAGATTGGGCGACAGATGGTATTGAGCAATTTTATAGCCCATGATTTGTTCGAGCTCGATGTTCCGTTTGACGAGATTAAAAGGAAATACGCTGGCTTCCAAAGTTTCGATTACTGCTTGGAATTTTTGCTTTTTGAATACTTGGAAGACGACAATACCGGCAATAAAGAAAAGTTGCAAAAGGTTTGCGAGTTAGTTGATGTCACAACATCTGCTGATTCCATTTACGTGAATTTTTTAAGAAAAATAGAAGTGAGGTACTGGGACAAATTCTTTGCGCTTTTGAAGCAGACGCCTGAGGGTTTTATGAACCGATTGATCGAATCCAATGATGTCGAACTATGCTACAGTTACCTTAATGTTTATCTCAACTTCAAGCGAGAGTCCGAGAGCAGTACTACGCTTGATTCGTGTACAGCACAACAACCAATCTTAGTTATGGAGGATCGCCAACTCATTACAAAAATAATCGGCATGCTTGCAGATGCCGAGAAATATGACGAGTGTTTTGAACTTTGCCGATTTATTAAACTGTTGGAGCCATCTGGTGAACTTCTCAAGAAAATCCGCAGTGTACTTGCGTAACTTATGGGCCGCGCACGCATCGCGCACTTTGACCAACCAAAAACTTTCAAATTGTGCTTTCTCAATACTCTGTCCGATATAGTCAATAGATTCCACGGTCGATAACAAGCCATGACTCTCGCCACCGAATTTGCTGAAACTACACGCCGCTCTCTCAGCCATGCTGACATGAGAAAAAGAGTTCTTCACTTGTACCGTCGGTACATCAGAAACTCCAAGGAGTTCTGCAACTTGTATGAGTTGGATATGCCTGTTTCCAATGTCAAGACCAAAATCAGACAAGAGTTTGAAAGACAAAGATTTGTCAATGACTTGGACTTGACCAATGTGCTTTACGCCAAGGGCCAAATGGAATTTCAAGAGTTGATCAACTTTTGGAAACAACAGTGCCATGTCATGAGATACTTTGACGGCTCTTCTGAACGTCTTGCTGACAAGAACGATTTCGTCAAGAACTTTTTGAGGGGCAACTAAGTGGAGTTGTTCTATTTATTTTCAATCCAATTCCAACAGCAACTTTTATTACAAGGGCAAACATGCATTTAAATGGACTTTTCGTTTACGGAAGCCGCGTTTTCTTTGTTGATTTTAACAACACAGACAACCCAAATTCTTGATAGTATAGGGTGTGCTGTAACCGCCGACGATCTTAGAGGTTACACCACAAGTGTACAAGATATTACGAATTCACATACAAATATTCTGATCAACACTGTAGAACCAGAACTGACCTCAAAGCTCCCTTTTAACACTTGCATCAAATTAAGTTAAACATGAAATAAAGGACAAATTGCCAACGAGGCAACAGAGAAGCAAAAGGAAGGAAGGAGAGGAGGGGTATTAATTTCTATTCACAAACCAAGAACATGTGCATACCGCTACCATTTTCTTAATCCATGTTATCAGCCAATGGGGCTTCCTCAGCGCCGTAATCCAATTCTTCATCTTCTTCAACACCAGCATCTTGATATTGCTGGTACTCGCTGACCAAATCGTTCATGTTAGATTCGGCTTCTGTAAATTCCATCTCATCCATACCTTCAGAGGTGTACCAATGCAAGAAAGCTTTTCTTCTGAACATGGCACTGAACTGGTCTCCAACTCTCTTGAACAATTCTTGAATGGAAGTAGAGTTACCAATGAAGGTAGCAGACATATCCAAATCCTTTGGAGGCACCGAACAAACGGCAGTTTGCACGTTGTTTGGAATCCACTCAACAAAGTAGTCGGCATTTCTAGTTTGAACCTTGAGCATTTCATCGTCGACCTCCTTGACGGAAACCTTACCTCTGAAGAAGGCTGCAACGGTCAAGTAACGACCGTTTCTTGGATCAGATGCAGCCATCATGTTCTTTGCGTCAAACATTTGTTGTGTCAACTCTGGAACGCTCAAAGATCTGAAAGACTTGGAGCCAATGGATGTTAATGGAGCGTAACCAACCATGAAAAAGTGCAATCTGGGGAAAGGAACCAAGTTGACAGCCAACTTTCTCAAATCCGAGTTCAATTGGCCTGGATAACGCAAGGAGGTAGTAACACCTGACATAACAGAAGAAACCAAGTTATTCAATTGATCGTAGTTTGGTTGAGGCAATTTCAAAGTATTCTGGCAAATGTTGTACAATGCTTCGTTATCGATACAGAAAGTCTCATCAGAGTTTTCAACCAATTGATGCACGGACAAAGTAGCATTATAAGGCTCGATAACAGTATCAGACACCTTAGGCGATGGAACAACAGAGAAAGTGGCCATCATTCTGTCTGGAAACTCCTCTCTGATTCTGGAAATCAACAAAGTACCCATACCAGAACCGGTACCACCACCCAAGGAGTGGGTAATTTGAAAACCTTGCAAAGAGTCGCATCCTTCAGCTTCTCTTCTAATGACGTCCATAACCGAATCAACCAATTCTGCACCTTCGGTGTAGTGACCTTTGGCCCACACATTGCCTGCCGAAGATTGACCGAAAATGTAGTTATCTGGTCTGAACAAGTTTCCGATACGTGACGATTTCACGCTGTCGATGGTTCCTGGCTCCAAATCGACAAGAACAGCACGTGGCACGTATTTGCCCGAGCTGGCCTCGTTGAAGTAAACATCCAACTTTGCTTTTTGAATTCCATCATCGCCATGGTAATTGCCGTTGTTATCCAAACCGTGTTCACCACAAATAGTCTCCCAGAAGGCGGCACCCTATAGTAGTTAGTATCAATATTAAAAGGGAATTATTTCTTGTCAAAGGTGAAACATCTTCAAAGATCACGAAGAGTCACATATGGCAACGCGAGGATAGAGTACATACAATTTGGTTACCACACTGACCAGTGGACAAATGAATCTAGATGGTTGTTAGTAATAGGTTCAAAGAGATTTTCGGCAAGGCGAATGACGGCAAGGAAACGTGTAGATGCGTGGATATTTGTCTGAGATCGGGGAGCCGATTTTGAAATCAAAAGACATGACGACTGCGCAGTAGCAGCCACCATAGGGCTTCCACAAGTTTGCCGGTCTGGTAACACATACAATCTCTCTCATGAGCAAAGAATTTGGTTACGGAGGGAATTCGATTTTAGACGAGTATCAAATGCCTTTTGTTTTTGTTTCTCGCGCAGTACAAACTTCGGTTTCGACACGTAAAATCGTCGCATGTTGATATATTGCCCTTTTCGGCCGCGAAACTAGATCCGCTTCATGGTGCGCTAAATACCTGAACAGTAGCCATTATATTAGTGTCGAGCTGCCAGTTGCGATGGTCCCAATCTGACTAGTGACCTCTTTTGCGAAAAGACAACGGGAAATTTTGGTTTGAACTGATAATCGCAAGCCACTCATCCGCCTTGCACATTTGTAATATCGCTCCTTTTTTGGGCCCCTGCGGATTAATATTGTAATGTGAGAGAAAGAAAAATAAGAAATCCAAAAGTATAAAAGAAGCGAGTGACTATTATTCCCAGTAAAGCCAAACAAAGCCTATAATATTGAATGGTGCATGTCTACATGTGCTGGATTAGGCAAATGCCGATAGATAGCTCAGAGAGGAAAACGGCGAAAGAGGCCCACACCTGGTGACTCTTATCTACACCCTTACATCTGGCATATAGACACCCTATAAATTGGACATCTTCCCCATTCTCCCAACCATAGTGAAAAATGCAACAAGTTCCATGGGAAGAAGTATACGGCACATCCAGCTTCCTTTCAGCGTCCTATAAGCTGAATGGACACGTGTTCACATCCGGGTGCATTGGCACAGACCCTACTACAGGCGAACTTCCAGAGTCAGTGGAGGCGCAAACAATCAACGTGGTGAAGAATGTGGAGGCTGTTTTGAAGGCCTCGGGCTCGAACCTCAACCGTGTCTTGAAAGTGTTATTGTTTGTTTCCAGTGACGCTGACACCTCCATTGTCAACAAGATCTACACCGAAAACTTTGTTAACAAGCCTGCTCGGTCGTGTGTAATTGTCAGTTTTCCCAACCCAAAGATTAAGGTCGAGTTGGAATGCGTTGCCGAGTACGAGGACTTGAACAGACCCAAGGTCTAGACCAACAGGACTGCCCTCAACCCAACCCTATAGACTCAAATGATAGAATACTTTGCCATCATGTAGAATACAAGGCCCTGAATGACTAGGCCCGCGTGTCACGTGCACATACGTGGAACGAATAGGGGCCCACACGAAGACGGCGAAATAGCCAGACCAAAACAGATCAGATATAGTAGAAACGGCTTGGCCTCCTATACCCTCGAGTTTTTCCTCCCAACATGGGAGTATTCTGCCACAGTCGGGAAGCCTTGCAAGATTGGTCTCGTGACCTGTCTGCAGTACGAGAACGCCAGAGGGAAAAGTTGATAACACCCAACCTGGAACCGATAGCGCCCATTTGTCTCGCAGTATGTCGTCAGCAATACAAAACCGAACGTTCGAATTTCAGCAATGTGTTGCATCTTTTGACAAGATCAACAAGAGACTGAACGTTCCTCAACGGCAAAACACGGGGCCTGTCAAGAGATCCAAGTTCAGCCAGCAGGCGAGCATCATTGCCAAAGACATTGCACATACCACAGAATTATTGCTGAAACTAGCGCTTTTGGCGAAAAGAAAGCCCTTGTTTGACGACCGGCCTGTGGAAATAGGCGAGTTGACCTATGTTATCAAGCAAGACATTTTCAAGATTGAACTGAGTATCCAAAACTTGCTGAAGTATGCCAAGGGCGAATCTTCCATACAAGTAGACTCGCAGATCAACCAATACCTGAAGAATGTGTTGAACTTGTTGAATTCGAAGATGAAGAACGTGAGCGGAGAGTTCAAGAACGTATTGGAGGTGAGACAGAAAAACGAGCTCTTGAACAAAAACAGAAAGGAAAACTTCCTTTCTGCGGCTAGCAACCGCCAGAACGCCCAATCCCCGCTCCTGGACAGCGGAAGCCAGAACGGGCTTTCCAATTTGGGCGAGAACCCCTACTTGCTTGGTGCTTCCATGGACACGCAAGAGCCTTCAACCTACAACAACGAAGAGCTTCTTTCCATCCCAGACCAAACAAGACAGCTACTTCTCATGGAGGAACAAGGCAGCGAGTACTTGCAACAAAGAAACTCGGCAGTGGAGACAATCGAAGCCACAATCAACGAAGTTGGCAACTTGTTCCAACAGCTAGCTACTATGGTAACGGAACAAGGCGAAACCATCCAGCGCATTGACCAGAACGTCGAAGACATAGATATGAACATCTCCGGAGCGCAAAGAGAATTGCTCAAATACTATACCCGCATCTCCAACAACAGATGGTTTTTCTTGAAGATTTTCGGTGTGTTGCTTGCATTTTTTTTCCTCTGGGTGCTTGTCAGTTGAGCCCTGCAAGCATACGCACATTAATAGATATCTACATGCCTGCGCGTATAATTATTGCTTTTGTCATCAAATGTGTAGAACTTTTCTTTATCTGGTCCTTGTTCATCTGTCACCTTTACAATATATATATATATATATATTCCACGAACTATATTCTTGGGCTGAGCGTATTCCAGTAATGACTAGAGTCGCGGGCTAAGGTCGTGCACAACCCAAGGACATTTATCCCCAGCCACTCTTATCGTGGTGAAGCTTGGAATCCACTGGTTTCAACACATTACGCCGTTCACATCTATCGCCTTACTTTCAAACTACATCTTTAGAAATCACTAATACCCTATTTACGCCATGTGGAGCTATTTATTTGGAGGAAATAAGCAGCAGAAGAAGGAGTTGCCCAAGAAGGCAATAGTAGAGTTGAGAGAACACATCCAAATGCTCAATAAGAAGAGAAGCCACCTAGAACTGCAAATAAATGACCAGGAACAGTTGGCGAGAAAGCACATTACGACCAACAAGATGTTGGCCAAGAATGCTTTGAAGAGGAAAAAGGGATATGAGGCGAACTTAATGAAGATCGAAAACCAAATCGACTCTTTGGAAACACAGTTAACCGCCATCGAAGGCGCAAACTTGAACTTGGAGACCATGAAGGCAATGAAACAAGGTGCTCTGGCTATGAAGCAAATACATGGCGAGTACGATGTTGATAAAGTGGAGAACACCATGGACGATATCAGGGAGCAGGTGGAGTTGGCTGAGGAGATCTCCGAAGCAATCTCGCGGCCCGTTGGAGGCGAATATGTGGACGAGGACGAATTGGACGAGGAGTTGGCTGCGTTGCAAGAAGAAGCAGCTGAAGCGAAGCAACAAAAGGAACCAGCACAGAAGCAAGCGGCACCTGCGGCACAATTGCCAGAATTCCCATCTGTGAGCAAGAGCAAACCTCAAGCAGTTACAGAGGATGACGAAGATGAGGAAGCTTTGAAAGCATTGCAAGCAGAGATGGGATTGTAAGTTTACTCATTCTAGCATTGTTGGAAAGGAGGGATATCTGTCAGCGGCATGACTGCGCCATAAAGAAAGCCACTGAGAGTTCGCCGCCTCCTCTATCTTTTTTCTTTTCTCGTGCTAAGCTTTGCTCTGAATGTTTTGCATCTACCACCTCATCTGATCTACATGTTTGCATCTACCTTGGTGTGTTTCCGGGCGTTAACGGTATGTTCACTGCCTCTGTTTTGTACGCTTTTTTTTATAGGTTTTACATGATAGAGTCAGCAAGTATTAATTTTAATTCATTCTAGAGTATTGATTGTAGACGGTTAGGTGTACTGGTGCGAAAAACCATGCGAGGCGAAAAAAAAAAAAAAAAAAAAGAAAGTCTACACAGATACAGTACACCAGCTCTTCTCTTCTCCATACTTATTTTCCATTTCTTGTACATATCTGAAATTTTTTAACATTTGGAAACAAGAGTATGAGACTGTCTCGAATTTCTCAACTCCAACGTTTGGACTTGTTATGCAAGCGATATCACACAACAAAAATCGGTGCTCGGTTCAATGCCACATCCGCCATTGTCTCTAACAATCCATCCTCCCAGCCAAACTTCAACTTAAAGAAAGACATCAATATATACACCTCTTTAGTGGAAGAGTTAAGAAGACCCCAGAAGGAAACGAGGAGCTCACTAAGTGTGGCAAACAAGCCATTCAATGAAATCAAGCCTCTGCTCAAAGTGTCTGAAGAAGATCGAAAAGAAGTTGCATGGTCTTCTGCCTATGACCCAGTCACAAGATCTCCATTTGCTAAAGATGTGATTCATTTGCAGTCTTTACTTGATGCTCTTTTGGCAAGCAAGAATTTCTCCAGAGCTGGCAATATTCTTAAAGCGATGTTCCCATTGATGGAGAAACCGGAGAGTTTTGTTCCGCTCATGAACAAGTACTTGGAGGCGTACTCATTAGAAGAATCTGTCACAATTAAAGATCTTGAAGACTTTGTGGATTCTATGCAACGCCAGTTCCCGATCCACCCGAACGACAGAACTTATGCTTTATTGATATCCAAGTCGCTTGATGATGAGTTAACCTATACAAAATTCCTCGACAAGGCAAAAAGTTCCAGAAACCTCATCAGAAAAACCTTGAACCATGTGGATGTCATATCAGCTGAAGGCTTATCCAAGATTTTTGAATATCCTGGATTAAATGAATCCCACATTCCTCGTGATCTCTTGCCTATGTTCCATGAAGCAAGAAACCAATCCAAAAAACCAAACGAAACTGCAGATGACGACGTTCCAGAATATTTCAAAGAGGACGACGTTGCCGCTCCCATGATTGAAAAAGATGCAACAGAGTTGAAGGCAGTAGACTCCTTTGGGTTGAAAGTTATCAGACACACACTTCTTGGTTTGGAAAGCAAAGACGATATCGACTTAGAAAAGCTTTTCAGAGACCTCGATGAAGACTCTAAGCAACACATTTTGCACAATACCAAATCCAACAAGAAACGAAATTATCATGAAATCTACAAGTCTCTCAAGACTCCTGAAGAAAAGAGAAAGTTTGACCAGGCTCTTGACATTTTTAATGAGAATAGACAGAGAGAATTAGAAAGCAAAGGCATTGATGCTGCAAGGGAAAAGTGGAAGCATGAGTTCGAGGATATGCAAACGAGGGGAGGAATCTCTTTGAGTAAAAACTTGAATGTTCAGTTGTACCAGTGGTACTTGGATATGCTCCCATATGTTCAAGAAGAGGTCAGTTTATGTCGCCAACTCTTGAATAACGAAATTGACATGACTTCCTTATCAAGTGAAGAAAAGAAGCAAATGAAGGATAGGTCATTCTATGCTCCATATCTCGTCTTAATTCCTCCCAAGAAGCTTAGCGTGATCACAATCTTGGAATTATTGAAATTAAATTCCACTGGCGGTATTGTTGACGGAATGCGTACCGCAAGAGCAGTGATTTCTGTGGGGAAAGCTATTGAGTTGGAATACAAGTCTCAAGGTTTAGTTGCTGCAGAGAAAAGATTTTTGGGAAGAAAGGCCAAAAGCTCAAACCAGTGGAAGAAAATATTGAGAAATAGAAAACCCTCTGGGGACGAGGCAGGTTTATCTACGGAGTGGGATTATCCCGTCTATGCGAAGCTAGGATCCGTCTTGACTTCTCTTCTTCTTCATGTTGCTAAGGTTCCAGTGACAGGAACTGACCCTACTACAGGCAAGCAGGTCAAGGGAAAGCAACCTGCATTCCACCACACATACCAATTTGTCAATGGCCAAAGACTTGGAATTATCAAGCTACATAAAAATTTGGTGAAACAATTGGCCAGCAACACCCTCATCAACTCTGTTCAACCACAGCTTCTTCCTATGTTGCTTCCTCCTTCGGATTGGACTTCCCATAACCAAGGAGGTTATCGCTTCACACCTAGTACTTTGGTCAGAATCAAAGATTCTGCTGAAACTGTTGCCTATGTCAAGGCAGCTTCTGAAGCCAACAACTTGGACGACGTATACAGAGGACTTAATGTATTGGGCCACACACCATGGACTATCAATGCAAAAGTGCTCGAAGTCATTTCGCAGTATTGGAATACTGGAGAAGCATTTTTGGATATTCCTCCTGTTGTCGATGAGCCAGAACTTCCCCCTCCATTGCCTCTCAATGCAGAACCGTTAGAGAAAGTTGAGTACCAAAGGAAAGTGCGCCATGTGCTAAATGAAGCAGCTGCTTACAGATCGCAAAGATGTGACACCAACTACAAATTGGAGATTGCCCGTGCTTTCGTTGGTGAAAAAATGTACTTTCCGCACAACGTCGATTTTAGAGGTAGAGCATACCCTCTTCCACCCCATCTTAACCACTTGGGAAATGACTTGACCAGATCATTATTTTTGTTTTGGGAAGGCCGCGAATTAGGTGAGAGAGGTTTAGAATGGTTGAAGATTCATTTGGCAAATGTCTATGGTATGGACAAGGCTCCATTGGCCCAAAGAGCACAATTTGTTGACGATAACTTGGAGCACGTTTTTGAAAGTGCTCGCGATCCTACTGGTGGGAGCAAATGGTGGACCAAGGGAGAGAAACCTTGGCAAGTATTGAGTGTGTGCTTCGAACTATTGGAAGCATATAAGTTGGATGATCCAACCAAGTATGTCTCGCATGTTCCTGTGCACCAGGATGGAACATGTAATGGTTTGCAACATTATGCGGCTTTAGGTGGTGATATTGAAGGTGCAAAACAAGTGAATTTGGTTCCTGCTGATAGACCACAAGACGTTTACAAGTTCGTTGCAGGTTTAGTTGAAAAGAGATTGCAGGCTGAGGCTGAAGCAGGGAACAAGTATGCTATTTTCTTGCAAGGAAAAATCTCCAGAAAGGTGGTGAAGCAGACGGTCATGACAAATGTCTATGGAGTGACTTTTGTCGGAGCTGTTGCGCAGATTGAGAAGCAGCTTGGCCACTTGTTTGAGAAAGACGATTATGATTCTGTTACCTTGTATGCCCGCTACTTGACTTCTTTGGTTTTCGCTTCGATGCGTGAGTTGTTTGAAGGTGCTCATTTGATTCAGGACTGGTTAGGAGAGTCAGCAAAACGTATCTCCAAGTCCGTCAGAATTGACTACGAGGAGAAGTCAGCAAAAAATGCAAACAAGCCAAGTCACTTGTCTTCTGTTATTTGGACAACACCTTTGGGCTTGCCTTGTGTCCAACCATACAGGGCCACCAAGCGCCAAATTGTCTCAACCAATTTACAAGACATTTCCATCTCTGATCCTTTTGGAGCTACGCAAGTAGACTCAAGAAAACAACAAACAGCTTTCCCACCCAACTTCATTCACTCTTTGGATGCCACGCACATGTTGATGACGGCTGCGGCTTGTGGAGAAGATAATTTACACTTTGCATCAGTTCACGATTCCTACTGGACCCATGCCTGCGACGTTGACAAGATGAGTGAACATATCCGTAATCAGTTTGTCAAGTTACACGAGGAAAACTTGATCGTCAAGTTGCGTGATGAGTTTGAGAGACGCTACAAGGGCTTTTTGCAAGTCATAAGTATTCCTGGTGACCACGAGGTGGCTTTGAGAATCAAAGAAGTAAGAAGAAAAATCGTGAAAGATTTGGGCCGTGGTTTAACGGTGGCCGACGAGATTTATATTGAGAAGAAGAGACAAGAATTGCTTGAGTCTCCGGATGCTTCTGAAGTGCAAATGGGGAAGGAAATGGTAACCACAGTCAGTGTCACCGAAGGTTACGATCTCAATAAGATTGCTGTTAGTGCTTCTAGCAGTAAAGCATTGCAGATCTTGGCACCGTTGTCTTTCCCAGATATTCCACCAAGAGGCTCATTGGATGTTCAAGTGGTAAAGCAATCGCCTTACTTCTTTTCTTAGGAAGGACAAACAGAACCAGAATGATCAGTGGAAATACACTGACACTCTTTGAAGCAGAGGTTTGCTTCTAAAATGGCATTAAGCTTATTGCTTTCTACGCATGCATTAAAAGGAAGCTGTCGATTTAGTGACGCATCCTGTATTCCATCTTGTACATAGTACATACCACGAACCTATAGGATAGGCAAATTAGTAACCCTAGATAATTTTCCCTTGTTGCTCAAAGTTCTCGATCAAAGGCACCAATGGTGCCATTTCTTTGCGATCAATCAAACTGAACTCTTTGCACAAGCTAATAAAATGTGCGAAAAAAGAATTCCAATGAGCTTCCAAAGACAAGTGTACCAACTTGTCGAAATGATTGTGATAGATGTGAGCAAAGATTCGGAACATTTGTCGGGCAATATTTTTGCAATCTTTCACGAAGTTAGGAGGGAACGCGCCACCTGTTTTCGTGGGGAAGACAGACTGATCATTGATCTTGTTGGAGATCCAAGTCAAGACGTATTCAATGTACTGGCATGCAGGGAGGTTAATGGCTTGGCCCGTATTGTCTTTCCAGAGATAATTCGTGTTTGGGCCTGCGTTCATGGTGGGATATTGCTCAGGTGTCACATACTCCGAAATGACGCCGTAAAATTGGTTCAAGTGGCCGTATAGCTCAAAAACATTTAACGATAGCCATTCGCCATAATCGACGTACTTGGGTAATTGTACAATAGTCTTGAACAGGCCTTTGACCAAGGCTGTTTTCACAAACGGCTCGCACATGAATAAAGGTGGCGACGAATCAGAAAAGTCCTTGTCATCAGTCAGCGGAATAGAGTCTCGCTGGACCAGACGCGGCCGATTGTTCATTCTTGATCTTCTTGTGGGAGAATGTCTCGTAGGCGACAGAGAAACAAACTGGATTTGGCCATTTTGTTTCAGCGGCGAGATTTTGCTAGGTGACTGCGACCGACGGAGTGGAGACGTCAGACCATTTGTGGAAGTGTAAGGTAATGATTGGGGTTCGTAGTCTTTCTTTGTCTTTTTGGTGCTTCTTCCAAAACCTCTGATGGTATTCAAAAAGGACATGATCTGGGGCGGTAGACGGCTAGATACGGGAACTGCAGTATGATGTTTTGTCTAGTTGTTATGTGATTAAATACGGGATATGCTATCAAAGCATCAAGTTTTCGCCAGAGAAGATTTAGTTGGAGCCGAAACGCTAAAGCGCCATGTTTTCTTAAACAGAGAAAAAGCCTGTACATAGTGCCAGATGCCGGTATGTGGTTGGCATTTGCCAAGCGCGAACTGAAGTACGCGCAAAGTGGGAATCTACGACAGGAAAAATGATCTGTCAAAGGAGTAGAAAATAACTCTAACCTTAAATGTATAGCGGGACTAGGAAGGGCCAGAACAGGAAACAAAGGCACTGGAACCTGAACATGCGGCTTATGCAGACTTTAAAGTTTGTTTCTATGGATATTTAGTATAGTTAAGCAAACTATAAAACGCTTCTCCAGTGCTGATGCAACTGTATATGCTCTCTATGCAAAGTCACCAAGGGATTCACCCATTTTGATTTTCTGGCCCACCTCGAGATTGAAATGGAAATTGTCGGGAGCCTCGAAGACCAAAACAACCGTCGACCCCAACTTGAAACCGCCCACTTCTTCGCCTTTGCTCAAGGGAAAACCCCCCAACAATCTGCTAGCACCAGTGTACGTTGCTTCGTAAACGGTGTTTTTTCTCAAACGCTTTGGCTTGTCGCTGGAAACACTGTCAATGCTTGAAGACGAATCACTTTTCAACAATGGAGTACGCTCGTCATCACTCAAACCAGGAGATGGTGATCTTTGGCGGTAGATTTCGTGCTCATAAACATCGTTAGTCTTTAAGTCCTTGTCGAAATTCACGACAATGCTTCCCACGTTGGTAGCCCCAACAGGAATCATGGAGAAAAAACCATACTTCCAGTATCCTAAGAGCGCCACACGCTCGTTCAAAATAAACAAGCCTTGTAAGGTTTTCTGGAAAAATGGTGCAACAGAGAAAAGCTCTCCGATAAAGTGACGTCTCAAAGTTGTAACCCAGTTAGTAGGGGAGTGATAACGGTGGTAGTCCCCCGGAGCCAAATAAATCACTGCAAAGTACAAGTTGTTATGCTTGCTTAGATTGAGACGTTCTAAAGGAGTAGGCGCCAAGTTTTGGGCAACACTCAAATCTTTCTGCATTGAGGGCTTTGCACCTTTCGCAGTACCGTCTCCTTTGTCCTTGTATTCCAATTGGCTTAAATGGTACGTTTCTTCGCTCTCACCGCCAAGGAAATCATCAAGAGAGTAAGTGATTCCGTTCAACCGAGCAAACTCTTCATCTCTTTTAATTACAGCTTCATGGGAGGCATCGTAGTCGAATTCCAAAGAGTGTGTAGGTGCAGCTAACTTTTTCGCTGATAAGCCAAGTAAGGCATCAATGGAGTACGTCATCCCTTTCACCTGTTCGATTTCACCGTTCTCGATCACTCCAAACTTGAGAACTTTCCCATCTGCTGGAGAAACCAAATCTGAGTCTGCAATAGGACGCACTCCTGGTCTTAATTTTCGATAGAAAAATTCAGACAAATTGTTGTATGTGGTCAAGTCTGGCTCGTCCATTTCGTCCAAGTTAACGCCAAAAATGGCAGAATAAAGTCTGTACGATGGGCTGCGCAACCAGACTGGCAAATCAATGGAATTTACCTGGCCCCATAACCTCGAGATGGCCTTCAATGGGAGAGTCGAGTATGCATACAAGTGCCATGACTGCGGTCTGATGGTATCCAGGCTGAAAAACTCGTCATCATCGTCCTGATCGTGAATAGCCTTTTCATATCTGATTTTTGCTGCAACTCCACCCAAGACGACAGCAATAGAGGTCAAAGTCCACCACCGGACGAACATACGCTTCTCTTTCCGTTTGCGGCGTGCTTCCGCCGAAAAGAAACGTCTTCGGATACCCTGGGTCTTCTTCTTTATCTGAGTTGGAGCAGAGCTGAATGGCCGTTTCGAAAGACTGAGCCCTGGTATCTTGAGCTTCTTGCTGTTCCTTGTCCATGTCGTGTAGTAAAACACAGATCTCTTGGGACGAGGAATTCGAGGCAATATGTATGAGCCTCTGTATCCCTTGTCCGGGCTACTTTCATGAAACAGTCTTTGCACATTTATTTGTGCCACAGTGGACGCTCGAGAGAGCGGTTGAGATATGTTCATCGCACTGGGCCCATGGACAAAAGATGCATGTGGATAGGGTTTCGACTTCAACGTGAAGGGTTTTAAAGCAGGGCGATATACCATTGTGGGATTCTGATGTGTACGAGTTTGTATGTGTAGTTCGGTATATCGGACGGAGGAGCGATGTGGAATTGAATGATAAGGTTATAAAATGATAGTGAATCGAGACGGTTTCCTAGCCGGATGGTGAAAATTAAAAATATCTCTTTTTTTATTTAGAGGGTTTTTTTTTTTTTTCTATTTTTTTCTTCTAAATGGATCTTCAAACGAAAGTCGCGACTTGCCCTAAACACACTTATTATATCTCACACGACACTCGCATGTGATATTATACGAGATAACTACTATCTCTCGTTATTCGTTATTGGAGAAGGGTTTATTTTACTTCATGATCTTTTTTGTTACACAGGATAGCGCATATAACTCGCTTAATTTCTTAAGAGAAACTGGATAGAGATACATGGGAACAATACCTAGTATAAGACTGCACGAGCACCTATAATAAGTTAATCTGCAGACTGCGTGAGCCTCCAGATATTCAGTTTCAATCGTTCCACAAAATCCCATGGGAGATAGTGGTTTTTGCTGTTGAGTAAGTTGTCCATATATGCGAACAAGAGATTCAAATTTCTCAAGTCCTCGACCGTTTTCGGATTCAGTGCCATGCGATTGAGTTGTGTCTGCGCATCAAAGACATCAAACACTGAAAGATTGGTCCCCATGGATTCAAAGCCGATTTCTTGTTCGTTTTTGCAAGCTTCTTGTAGAAACACTCGTTTTTCAAACAGAGAAAACGGTTGCATTAGACCAAGCTCTAACATCTTTTTAATGCTAGACTCAGCCGGTGTTTCTTTCGTTTTCACTTCAAGTATCTTCTTTTCAGTATTGAAAAGAGAATGGACAGATGCCTTGAGTAACTCGTAATTTCGTTTCTTGTAAACGTAAATTGTAAGTGACTTCTTGAACTTCTCGAGATACGACGAGTTCATTTGGAAATCTATCTTTACATCGAAGTACTCTTTGCCTTCAACCTCTATGCATGCGATTTCTGTCATGCGGGGGAGCAAACAAGGTGTCATTGTTTCCTCCATCTTGCCATCCATATAGGTTATGGAAACTGGAACTTTTATAGGCTTTCCGTCGTTCACGTCGCGAACCACTAAACATTTAGGTTCAACCGCCAAAGCCCAGAAATGACGTAGAGCTTGAAGATGAACTTCATGTTCACCTTCGCCATTAGGGAACACGGGATACAAGGAAATCAATAAAGATGCAATGGCAAAATTAGAATCACCAAATGTATACTGGCTGCCGCCCAAAAATAGAATACCTAGGGCCATGTTGACAGCCAAGTGATTGCCATATTTCACATTTCTGTTCACACGCCCGTATAGGACCCTTAATCGCCGAAAAACTTCGAGATCACCACTTCCTGCCATAACAATTGAGGCGCAAAGGGCAAGTAAGCTTTGCATCTGACTTGCCCCATTAAATGCTATCATTTGGTCGTAGTTTGTTGTATCAGCCATCAATATTTGCATAAACGAGTCCAAGTAATAGAGAATAGTATTCCTTGCTTCTAAGTTGTGACTGGAGGAAAATTTAATGGCAAGTGATAAACACGATCCACCTAGAATGTGGAAGAAGGCGATTTGATCACTATCCAAGACTTTGATCTTCTTGATATTAAATTTGCTTAAGATATCTGGAATTTGCGATTCAACCCAAGAGATACTGCTTTCGATTGGATCCCACATGATTAGGTTTTTCATCAAACATCTCAAAAGTAGGAGATCGGGTTTTATGTAATCGAGCATTTGCTCTGAAGGAGGAATTTCCAATTTCTTAGCCACTGTTACACTTCGCGTTTTCATATAGATAAACCCAAGAGCTATCACAGCACCTGACCCAGACTTATCAGATTCGAAAATGGGATGCGAGTCTCTCATGGTAACAGCGTAGCCAAGTAGGCGATCCACAACATGGGTGTCGTTTAGACCTCTCAAATCATCTCCTTTTCCCAAATTAATCAATCCAAGTGCAATTCCAGCTGACAACCGATATCCTTCTTGCTCTTCATCATCTTCTATGTGGGAAAGTCGACCACCAATCTGTGAAAGTAATATCTCACTCATACGCCGGTGCTGGGTTTCAAGATAAAGTAAACCAATTCCAATGAGTCCAGCTGACTGAACTATAATTGGAACGTTCAAGTCATTTGCACCTTGGGGCAACATTGCAACAGCATGAACAGAGAGAACCTTAGTCAATTTATTATCCATGGAGCCTCTAAGACTGGCCGCCATTCCAATCAAAAGACCAACACTAGTCAAAGGGTGTTTGGGTCCCAAGTAATTATAGATGTGCCATTCTTCCAACTTTTTAAGGTGGCCATTAAGTCCAAGTCCTAACAAAAATCCCGCATGTTGGGCATTGTTCTCTAGTGGTTTATTAAAGATCACCCAGCTTCCGGTTATACCATTTGAATGTGGACTTATACTTAACCCAGAACTCACGCCGTTATGAAAATGTCCCCATTCCATAACTTTGGAATTCACTGACTTTTCTGAGAACACGATGCTTGTCATCGATGGGGCAATCAATGCGTTAAGATTGAATTTTGAAATTGGATATTTCTCTGTTAAAAGTGGCATCCTTCCTCCATAAAATAGGGCGGCTCTTCCGAGTGGGATTGATAGGGTTCTGAGTGCAACTAATGCAGCAAGTTCTCTCTTCATAACTGTCACTTCATATTCGGTTATCTCTGCATGGGGAGGAAGAAGAACTGTCTGGGTTCTTGTTTGATGCAATAATTTCGTAATTTCGTAAAAACGCCTATCTTGATCAAAGATAAGCTTAGTGACTCGAATGCGGTCAGCTTCGGACTGACCATCCCACGCAATCAAGTTTTCACTCTTAGAAAATATGCTGTTAACAATTAGACTGGAATCCTTTCCAGAAATAAAAGATTTGCTAATTGAGTTGTCGCCCATATTGACGATTTGCAGAGAAGACAGCAAGAGCATTGTCAAGTCCTTCCGACCAACAAGTTCTAACGCATTGTGATTCCATTCCAGTGCGGGGCTCTCTTTGCATATCAGAAAGCATTCCTTTAGTGGGATACTAATGCCAAGCGGGAAAGATTCAAGGTCACTGACATCAAGTCCATATTCACACATTTCGTTGACCACATCATTGGGAGGTGAACTTGACGAGGCCAAAATCTCAAAAAGACGATAAACTATATGCGAGCGGGGAGTAATGATCATATCAACATCGGAACTTTCTTCCACGAGTTGAGAAAACTTGAGGTATCTGACACGCGAGCCTTCTAGTAATTGGGTAATGCAATGAAAAAAATTTGGTGGATCATACAAAAGAACAACCAGCACCAACTTTTGTTCCATATCCATGCCTTTATGATCAATCATGTAGAAATTAGTCCATTGTTCTGGCCAACTCATCCATATAGTGACTTGAGTGAGTAAAGTTCCCAATTTCTGTAATTCTTGACTAGAGAGACAATCCAATTTAGTTTCCTCGTAAATTATGTGTAATGAGGCGACGATGTATGGTAGGAGATCGAGGAAAGAATAATCTACCAGGAAATAATCATGAATGAGTTTAGCATTCGGGAGACAAGCTGTAATTTCGTTCTCAACTTCGCAAATCTCGCCATACTCTTTGAAAGGATAAATAAAAGAGAGTAGAGTTACCACGAAGGCTTTCCATTCATCTTTAGAATCGTCTAACATGAGCGATGCACGCCACAGGGTCCAAACGTGTTCATTAAGTTTAGATCCCGATAGGTATTTCCAAGCCTTAAGGCAAGTACTCACCAACTTGCTTTGTGGCTCTAAGACTAGACTAATTAGAAGCACAGTACATTTTTTGTTGGCACTTTTCAAAGCCACGACATTCTCGCAAGTACTCAAAACGTTTGCGATGGGAGGGAATTTTCCTGCGATATTGAGAGGAGGCGACCTTACATCCAAAAACGGATGAACCAATTGCAAAGTAGAAGGATTAAGTACCACCACTAACCAGCCATGAAATTCAGGATGATTGAGCGGATGTGCATGTTGGCATTGAAAGGTGTAAATAGACTCGTGGCTCGTCATGCGGCTAGTTTGATGCTTGTAGATGTAGACATTTGTAGTTTTTGAAAAAGAGTTGGAAACAACTATAGCTTCTTTGTCGTCATGCGAAAGACCGTAGACTGACAAATGCAGCCTTCGAGCGTCTAGAGAAATGGAATCAACATGACTTAAAATCATATCTTTGCGCAAAGAGCCAAATTCGATAGCAGTTTTCGATGGGTTTGGTTTAGTTGAGTCAGGAAAGCTAGCCTCGGATCCCATTCTAGCAATAGATGAGGCTCCCGATAATAATGTGCTGGTTCTTTTCTTGTCCATGCTAATCGATAAAAAATGAGAGAAGTTGCTGGATATCAGGCCTTGGACCTGGTCGTGAAGAATGTCGTCCTCGAGTATCTTTGTAGGATTGGGTGTCGCCATCGAATGCAGTTTGCGTGATCTATAAGTGCTTCCATTGGTCTGAAGCGTGTTTCTCGCTGACGACTTGATATGGTAAATCTGGATGGTCCTTGTCCTAGAATTGAACGTTGCACAAAGAGATCTTGTCTTTCCCAAGCCCTGCGCAGGGAACTCCATGAGAGTTTCGGCGGATGCAACAACCGAAGTGGAGGAGGTGGTTACACTGCGTAAGTCACCAAGGGGGTCTGATAAGCTAAAAAAGCGATAGCTGTTCAGCAGCGCATGTTGCGCTGTTCGCAGGTCATGGCTTTGGTCTCTCTCCAACAAGATGCCCGAGTCAAAAGAAAAGGCATGTCTCACGGTGAATGGGAAGTTGACTGTGTAGGTATTCCCACCAGGGTAATGAATATGCGCCGAAGTCAGCAAGCAGACCACCAATGCTTCGGAATCCAGCTCCTCAAGCCGTGGAAAGCGCGTATATGTGGCCGATACGATGGGCTCGTCAAAGATCAACTTGCGAGTCATTGTGGCACCGTTGAAGATTAGCACCAGAGATGAAGAAACCACAAGACGGCGGGCACGAGAAAAAAGAAAGGTTTTCTCTCCCGGAGCACATTGTAGGTCCAACTCTGGCGACAAATCTATGGCAGGAAAAGAAATGGCCATTGATGATGAGGCAGCACACAAGAACGATATGGTTTAGTACGTAAATAAAGCGCGAAGTGATGCGTGGTGATGCTAATGTGGTCCGTACGTCAAACCTGGAGAGATAAACTGCCAATACTAGAAAGAAAAGTCATAGACACCCATAGAACATATGTATTCAGGTACGATTGAAAACAAAAAGGGTACTCGCCAAGATACGTTTAATTTCATGAATGTAATTTCATGGAAAGTGTACTATGTGTGCACATAGAAAGCGAGTGAATAGATACATCTTGGTAACTAATGTGTCTACACAAACTGCGGGGTACAGAACAAACATTCATTGACTATTTACAGACGAGAGACGTAGTGCTTACTCGATGATTCTGGTAACCAAACCAGTACCAACGGTCTTACCACCTTCTCTGATGTTGAAACGTTGGTTAACTTCGAGAGGAGTCTTTCTGACCAACTCGATTTCCATCTCGACATTGTCACCTGGAGAAACCATAGCGGAGTGGTCAACGTCCTCACCTGCTGGGAATCTCAAAGTACCAGTGACATCGGTAGTTCTAAGGAACAATTGAGGCTTGTAGTTCTCGCCAAATGGAGAGTGACGACCACCTTCTTCCTTAGACAAAATGTACAAAGAAGCCAAAACCTTCTTGTGCGAGGTCACAGTGCCTGGCTTGGCCAAAACCATACCACGGGAAACTTGTTCTCTCTTGACACCTCTCAACAAGATACCAGCATTGTCACCAGCCATAGCAGCGTCCAATTCCTTCTTGAACATCTCAATACCAGTAACAGTAGTCTTGAAAGGCTTGTCAAAGTCACCAACAATCTCGATCTCCTCACCCTTCTTCAAGGAACCTCTCTCCACTCTACCAGTGACAACAGTACCTCTACCAGAAATGGAGAAAACATCTTCAACAGGCATCAAGAATGGTTGTTCCAAGTCACGTTGTGGGGTTGGGATGTACTCGTCAACAGCCTCCAACAACTTGGTGATGGCTTGCTCACCAATCTCTGGTTCTCTACCTTCCAAAGCGCAAAGAGCAGAGCCCATAACAACAGGGGTTTCATCGCCGTCAAATCCGTATTGAGTCAACAATTCTCTCATTTCCATTTCAACCAATTCCAACATTTCTGGGTCGTCGATGGTATCAACCTTGTTCACGAAAACAACCAAGTGTTGCACACCAACTTGTCTGGCCAACAACAAGTGCTCTCTGGTTTGAGGCATTTGGCCGTCGGTGGCTGCAACAACAATAATGGCACCGTCCATTTGAGCGGCACCCGTGATCATGTTCTTGATGTAATCGGCGTGACCTGGACAGTCAACGTGGGCGTAGTGTCTGTTGTCGGTCTCGTATTCAACGTGGGCAGTGGAAATGGTGATACCACGTGCTCTTTCTTCAGGAGCCTTGTCAATGGCACCGTAGTCCAAGAAGTTGGCGCCACCCTTGTCAGCCAAAACCTTGGTAATGGCGGCGGTCAAGGTGGTCTTTCCGTGGTCAACATGGCCAATGGTACCAATGTTCACGTGAGGTTTGGAACGGTCAAAAACAGCGTAGGATCTTGCCAAGGTAGGACGGACCTTGGTAGCGGCTCTGGCGCCGCTACGGAAACCGGAGACAATGTTTCTGAACATGAAGAAGAACGGGGTCGAAAATTTTTTTTGCTCGCGGCTTTTTGGCGAATAGGTGGGTTTTCGCGGTCTGGATGCCGTACGAAAATACCCCAGGCGGAACAGAAGGAAAGTACACTACAAAATGAGCCGATTAAGGACCGACCGTGAATTAGCTAATGAACGGGCCAAAGTAGATGGCTAGTGCAAAATGAAATTATTCAGACCACATAGACCGTTATAAATTGCTGTTTGTTGGTTTTTTTTTTTCGTTTCATGCCTTCATGCATCGGCGAATTTATAGTAGCGCAACTTGTTAGTAGACGAACATTCGGAATACACTATGCGTATGCCGTTTCGAATCTGGACACAAGTATATCTATTTGTTTTAGCGTTAGTTCTGTGTGAATATAATCAATTTTTAAAGAGTATTGCTATTACAAAAATGACTCTTACCGTGCTTTGCACATAGACGAGAAAAGCATCTAGGTTCCCAGACCAGCTGTCGAAAGATTGCAATCTCCCTATTAAACAGACCCTATCAAGCGTGCTGTGTCATCTTCATCGGCACTCTCTTCGTGCAAGTTTTCGTCCACTATTCTCGCCACTGTCTCTCTTTCGCTATTACGGTATCCACTGAAATATTCATAGTAGATACAGAGAGCCAACAATGTCCCTTGAAGCGTCGCAGCAGTGAAATAGGACATCCACGAGCTCCAATGAGATCCCTTGGTGAAAAATAAAGTGGCCGTGAATATAAACCCGCCTGGAGTCTGAATGCACATCATGCCTATAGATAACGTCCCCGGGTGCTTCAAATGGTAGGTGGTGTGGATCTGAGGAACGTACTTGATGACGGTTAAAATAGTAGACATGACGCCATTGAACTGGGCTATAGCAAGCAACACAGGACGGCCAGCACTCAACCCGACAACTATCTGCAACAAAGACAAAGCCGCATGGAAAACAACAAACCGACCAACCCTAGTAATTTTGGCATACTCTTCCTTATCCTGCGCAACAGACCCTTTGGTGAGAAGAAGCACAAGTACTAGAATCATGATGGCACATATACATTGAAGGCCAATCTGGATGAGGTTGAGCTGGGAGTTTATGCAGTTGAACATGGTCAAAGCACCAATCCGGCAGCAGTAACGTGCTCTCGAGCTGATCAAAACAATGTTTGTAAGCGTGAAAAGCAGCGAGCAGGAACCTAAAAGCAAGAAATTGACTGAAAGACCTTCCGAAGTTCGTTTGTGGTGGATGCGGAAGTACTGCGGCAAGTAGCTGACAAAAATCCCTACTGTGATGAGAATTGACACCACAAGGTTGAGTACTGATGCCCCTTCATACACAGAACAGAAGTTTTCTCCAGCAGAGATCATTACTGGAGGAAGAACTGAATGATTGATGATACATTCGTATCTGCAGTCCGATATGAGGACCAGACTGAGGCGCATGTCCAGCATATATCATCTACATCTACATGGCGGATTTAATGTCTCGAATCGCATACTACTAGTATTACTCGACTTTGTAAGCAAAGGATGGATGTCACATATTTCTAATTTATTTGAAACGCATTAAAGAACTTTTAGAATATTTATAGGCTCGCAGCACAACTCTATCATGTCACGTACTTCAGAAGATTCTGAAATAATGTTTGTGCTTCTTTCCTGATATCCACAATAATTATGGTGATATGCAACAATAATTAAATATTAGGCTCCATCTAAGTAGCCAGTGTTTGGCCCTTTCTTTTATTAACAATCATCTAGTAGTTTGTTTGATTCAAGTCAGTGGTAATGTTCGCGTCATAGAAAACTGTCATACAATTATATTGTGTGATCTGTTTTCAATGTCCAATGCCACTTTTATTGGAAGCGATTCTCCACTTTGCAACTTTATGTTCATCACGATAAAGTAGTATCGGCAAGCAAAACAGCTCTGGAATGTTGGCACTAGACACTCCAACTCCAGACCACGATCTCCACGCGAATCTAATTTGAAAAGCGACCCCAAATCCATTGCTACATCAATGCGTTTGGAATATTTGTCGTTCTTTTGGTTCCATTTCAGAAGCCCTCCAGCAGATACGGCCTGGATCCCAGATATCTTGAGATTGTTGGTTTTAATTCCAAGTTTTGCCAAACACTTGATGTCTTTGACCGTTTGCGCTGAGATGTCGAATTGTTCAAGGGGTATCTTCTCTGAAAGTGACGAAATGTTGGTTAAAAACGATGCAAAGGGAGTCCGCACTGTTTCCTGAATGCTATCAGCACCTAGCTTGTTTTCGAAAAACATCTCCAGGGAGAGTTCCAATGGAATTGGATATTTTTTAGACCTTACTGTGGTTACAACTAGTTCCGCCGACACACCTCTGATCTCGGGCACTGTTCCCTTTTCCTCGCTGCTCTTGAACGAAAGCATGACAGGGATATTCAATTTCAAACTGGCCATTTGTTCAGGCGTCACACGCTGTAGTGGAGAGACGTATGGCACCGAATAGCGGATCCGTGGTGTCGATGCTGAAAGCATTCCCACTATTTTCAGTGGCTGTGTGAGCGTCTTCCGTTTGTAGGGCAAGAATATCTGATGCTCTCCTATATCTGGCGCTTCTCCCGTGTTTCTGTGGTAGAGCTGATTACGCTTTACGACCGATGACCGACGAGTCGCGTCATCCTTTCGTGTTCCATTCACCATTTCCTGACCCCTTTTGATGCTATCCTTTATTTCCCTCACGAAGGTCTTGTAGTAGTTGTAGGCAACACGGTCCTCCTCTTCGCTCATAGAGAAACTGTGAGGTATCACTCTCACCGGAGCACTTGCCAGACCAGCAATCATAAACTCTTCGTGGTCAACAGGTAAACCATAGTCAGAGAGCTTTCCCACCACACGGGCCTCTACACAGTAACTGATTGCCGTATCAGAAAATCCGTAGTCTCGGAGGCGCGGTTGACTATGAGCAGTAGAGGGCTTCTCCCTTGCTCGCCGCAAACGCTGCAAAAACATTTCCTTATCCAAACCTATGGTAGGCAACAACTCACAATGGCACGAGAGGTTATGGTCCTCGCAGCAACAGTCCAAGAGTTTGGGAGGTAATGTAAAGGTGAAAAACTTCTTGTATGTGACTCCAGGCTCGAAGTACTTTTCCATTGGGAATGACAAGCGAGTTCCATCTACTGGATCAACACACTCAACAGTAATAGTCTCGTCCACGAACGCCGGGGTCCATGACGCGCGGTAATCAAACATGTTCAAGAATTTATAGACCATGGCTTGTTTGTCCTCGCTTCCTAGCATAGATATTTTTCCCTCAAGGACAACAGAGAACATGTCAAACGGAAGGGATTGGCTGGACACATTCTGCACAGTCACAAACCCATGAACCTGGTCGCCCTGCGCTAACTCTGACTTCTCGCCATCAAAAAGTTGCGGGGCTACTCCCCTTGCGCCTGGCTCTGCTGTGAGTTGAACCTGTACTTTCAACTGAGCCGCAAGGTCTGCATTGAAAGTTGCAAGGCGTTTCAATCGGTGCACATTAGCCAAGATGCTGTTTTCCCACCGTGGAGCGCCCGGGTGTGTAAAATAGTCCTGGCCATCGGCAGACCCGGGAGAGGAAACCTCATATGTCGGAGGATCTCTGTCGCAATCTTCGTCTGGAGTGACCTTCTTCGAAAAAGTCGCCTCGTAGAGCTGGTACGAGGGAAGAATGTTCCACATGTGCACACTCTCATAAGCAGGCGAGGCCATGGGCTGGATCCTGTGATCGGGGGCATTTGAGCCTTGCTCCGGGGCGTTCGGAGAGTGCTGTGGGGTATTCGAGGAGCCTTCACTTCGACCTTGGGGCAGCAACGAGCCGAGATCCAAGCGGAACGGGGGCAAGCCACGTGCCCCTTTTTGGAAAATTCCCATGTGTTTGGAATTAGCGGTGCCCGAAGGATTTCCAAACAAGAGGAATTAGGAAGGTGAAGAGTAATTTTTCGCGCACGGCTAAGATAAGTAGATCCATAACAGGAAAAGATAATCACGATACTAGATATGATCTTACAGAACGGGTTGTCGGAGATTTAGCGAATTGAAAACAAAAAAAAAAAAAACTTAATATTTTCCATTAGGAGCCGTAATTTCAAAGTAACGTACAGAAATCGCTTTCGTGATACTTTGATCTAGCCGCACCCTATTATTATTTATGTCGAAGGTAGGTAGACAGCTCCGCAAATACTGAAGCGGCACATCAGGACAGACGATCGCAAATGAAAGAGTCATAGCAAATAGAAAAGTCATACCCTCACAGTATCTCGGATCATGCCTCGAAATTACCTTGGCAACAGTCCTCTCATGTTGTATTGCATGAACAGTCACTAATAAATGTTAGTGGTGAACAATTGAGGGCTTGCACCGAATAATCTGGGGTAAAGATATCCCCAAGTTGAACACAGTGCCCCTTGTTATGCTCGATTTACTCTGGCTCAATAATCTCTCGGTGGACAATGCTGCAAGAGTGTATATTTGGGGATAATTTTACAGGTTCAGCCGTACGGCATTCTCACCACCACTAAAGCCGAATATTCACACTCATAGTCAGAACAGTAGTAGCAATCATCTTTATTCCCGATATCGAAACGCATATTTCATCTCTAACTAAGTCGACTCGACGTCAGATTCATCATTCACGAGTGGCATTTACATCTTCATTCAGTGGCATACAATAAACACGAATCATAATGACTTTTTGGCCTGCCATGTTATCAGAGTTCACTCACTAACTTTCGATAGTTGGAATTTTTGCTCTTTTTCCAATCATATGAGTGTGCGTTCTTTCAGCCAAAGCACTCAAACACGAGCCTCTTCCAATCCTGTACCAAACGCGGTTATCACCATCTACTACTACTGTTACTACTACAGCTTTATCCGCAGGCGGAATCCCCATGAGCTCTTCACTATGGGCCTTCGAGGCAGCACGAAAGAACTCAGAATCGGCTCCTTTGCCTGGCACTTCCCGCCACATCACATCAGAAATGTATGCAAACTTGGAAATCGCGAGAGACGGGATCCTGGCGTTGAACACGCAAATCCTCACGTATGCGCTGGCTCTCAATGAGGTCATTGAAGATATCAACTCGGGAAGTATATCCCTGGCGATCGAACAGTTGCATGCTTTGGACTGTGACCCTATTGTTCCGGCAGATACGACTACTATGGGATCCTATTCGAGTTTTTCCAGAACAGATCATTCGATAACTGGAACGACGCAAATTCAAGAGCAACTTATAGAAAAAATTCCGGCTCCTACCCTTTCACTTGAAAGATCAGAAGTTAAGGGACTGCTGATTCTGCCGTTCAATCCTGTCGTTCTGCCACATGCCGATACGAATAATCAGATGGACCTATCTCCTTCTGTTGCATCTGCCAAAGCTCACATTCACACAGTGGTCAAAGAAAAAACCGGCCAGACGTCAACGGACCGGGGAAACCACCACATCCTAGCAGAACGGAAACTCGATGCTACTGACACTGAATTAAATCATTCATTTGCTGAATCAACTCAAACGCGCTCAGCTAAGCAAAAATATGTGGAACCAAAACCTAACAACGTTGTTACAGAATCCCCTAACGCAAACCATATTTCTAATGACGACTTGCATCGTTATCTGAATATAAGATACAACCACACATCTTCAATTGGTTTATCACCAGCTCGGCTACCGCGCAACCCAGCGCCTCTGACTTCACCTAATGTTGACTTATCTTTTATCCCTATTGCTAATACTATCAATCCACACAAATTCGACAAGGTTATCCTGGATACAAATGAGCATAGTTCACCAGGCCAAAGCGACTTGTCTTTCCAGGCTATCAGCACTGCGATCAGAAAGAGTTTTGCTGGAAAATTGTCTATGGGGAATTTTACCACTAACCAACCACTTTATGACTCGACGAGAAATGGTTCAGAGAACGATGCAGAGGACAAAATAGAGAAAGTGCAGCAAACGGATATGAAAACGAAACCATCTCTAAGACACACGCTAGCCGCACAAACGGTACGAAGTAAACCAGTCCGGAAAAGCTCACGACGCTCGTCCGTTTTCGTATCTCTTCCTGAAAGAGAGCCCATTAATTATCAGGGTCATAACAACAAGAAACCAGAAGTCCTTGAGGCATCCGCTATTTCTAAGGATAGTGCAACTTCTGGTAATGCTAATAAGGTCTCCCACATGAAAGGCAAAGTGAGCCTAGTCAAACATACTTTCCCGAATAATCAAAACCTCCCGACCAATAATGGCGTCACGAAAGATACCTCTTCCACATCCACCTTGAAGCCTGAAGAGAATGCCACTTTGAAACCTGAGCATCAGACTATTTTAGAACCTGACCAACCTACCAGCATAGAACCTGAGGAGCATATGACTTTGAAGTCTGAACAGGAACAGCGTATCAGACTCACAACTGGCCCTAAACAGAGCGGTCAAAAGGTTAATGCCTTCGAGAAGACCGGAAAACTTAGCATGAACACAGTTCCTAAAGTTGCGCCTCCCATCTCTAAGCCCCTTAGGTCGCGTTCTCCGCCCATCCAAAGACCAAAGGGCCATCTACTGAATAAACCTGCAAGTCGAACAACTACTTCTGGCTCACCTCGTCAGGAAACATCGCATTATTCGAGAAGAACACCTTCTCCTTTACGAACTAGATTAAGAAGATCTATTCAACAGCCTGATTTCCGATCCACTTCAACAATTGAAGATGTGAAAAAGGCCCTGGATACGTCTTCAGTTAATACGAGAAATCAAAATGCGGAAGACCGGGCATCTCCTACGTCGCAAGAAAAAGTTAACCAACTTACTACTCTGGCTTCAGACAGGACCTCAAAGCTGCGTGAAACGATCATGAGAAACCGCTTCCTAACAACGAAATTAAATCCAGAGAACCCACCACAATTCAATCCTACCAAACCGCAGAAGAAGCAGATATCACCGCTGAAGGGGGCAATTAATTCGAAAAGCGATCAAGAAAATCGTAATGGTAAAGCTAATGTCTATGGCGCTAAATTTGAGAACGTGAGACAGAAACAAAAGATCACTATCTCGCTTAGTCATAAACTCGAACCTCCTACTCTCACGGGCTCTAAATCTCCACGTATCCCGCGAAAACCGGGAACAAGTCCAGCCAAAGGTCGTTCAGTCAGTCCAATCAAGGGCCGCTCAGTTAGTCCAATTAAGGGCCGTTCAGCTAGTCCGAAGAAAAGCCCTTCAAGAGCGAAAACAGAAGGCGACTCTAACAAAAATGGGATGGTTAGAAAGAGCATCAAGCGTCCTCCGGAACCGAATGAATTGCATATAGTACCGAGGAAAAGAGCTGGTGGGAATGCTGTTCCTCTTCCAGATGCAGCTCGTGGGATTTTCACTAGAGATCGACTGAAGGGCCCAGCAAAATCATCGAAGGAGAAAGTAACGCCCGTTAAATCTACTCGATCTAAATCTACAGAATTGGACAAATATTCACCGGAAACTCTCCCAGATATCCCTTCAGAAGATGATGTTCTGCGGAGCCAGAAATACATCAAGAGCTGGGCAGAAACACCAGAGATCCTTCGTACCATGAAGGAGAAGCAAGCCATGGACCCTGTCGATGTTTTTGGTGAAGTTCCGGCGCTAAGGATCGATGATGTGTTCGACACAGTAGCGTCGAGGCAACGTGGCCAAGCATCTCCAACGAAGTGGAGTCCCTAAGCTCTTAATATTCTTGATACAGCCTTACGCAATTGTATATATATTAACGTAGACGCTTAGATAATGCAGCGTCCTTGTTCCATTTGGAAAGCCATTCAGCAGCTTCATCCTTAGGCACGACATAGAGTCTCAAGCCATTATCGAACAATGGCGCTTTTGCCTTTTCACCCATTAATGCTTCGTTAATGGCGACCTTTTTGCCCACCTTGACTAAGCCACCGGAAGTGGTCTCCATGTAGCAATCAAGGTTTCTGATGGTAAATTTCGCATGCTTGGGGTCCTCAAACCATGATTGCGGTCTGTCAAGAACCATTGCCAATATATCATTTGGTGTAGTAAGCTCGCTGATTTCAGCAATAAAGTCAAACTCGTTAGTGGTTGGATATAAGACCACCGCAGGGAAAATAAGCTGAGACTGGTAATCTGTAGGGTCTTCCAAATAGATCTTGGCGTCTTCTAAGTACTCAGCAGGATGCAATGTTTTTACCATGTCGATGTGTCTTAACTTGATTGCATTCTGCAAAAGTTCTTGTTTCAACTTCTTGTCCTTTTCGGCTTGCTCCTTTTTCGCTTTCTTCTCTTCAATGGCCTTTTCCGCCGCCTCAATTTGGTCTAGAAGCTCTTGCATTGGGGCATTATCGGGGTTTTTCGTCAAGCCATACTTCAAAATCTCGCGAGCCTCCTCTAGTCTTCCCACACAGAAAAAGGCCTTGCCCGCTCTGAAACATGCTTTGACGTTATTTTCATCAAGAAGCAATGCTCTTTTGCAGTCTTCGATACATCTTCTATAGTTTTTCAACTCCAAGTTGCATGCAGCACGATTAATATACAACGCAACGTTGATAGCATCGACATCACATTTGACATCTAGGCCCTTAGTGTAATACTCGACGGCATTTTTGTACTGTTTGAATTTGTAACAGTCGTTTCCTTGGTTTTTGAAGTTTGTGGCAATTTCGTCTGGTTCTCCATCATAAGCCAAACTTTTCAACGCCTCCAAGCCAATGTTTTCTCCTCCTTCTCCATCAGTCTCATCGAGCTGGCTCATGAAAAAAGGCAATCTATTGAGCTCAGTCATGATTTCTTCGGGAGTTTTCTGAGCCAACTCAGAAAGCTGAGGAGGCAAGTCTGGCTGCCCAGGCTGTGGAACATATTTTTTGCTTTCCCAAGCTGATATTGCTTCGTCTTCAACATTCATGGTGAAACAGTAAGGGCATACAAAGAGTGACCTATGTGCACGCTACTACTAGATTATATGAGCAGCGCATCGCCGATTCAAGGTATGCACACCAACCATATATTAAAACTATATACAAAGGGGAAAAAAGAAAACTCATTTAGCTCCAGCGCGGAGAATTTTTTTTTTCCCATGCAATGGACATCAGCTGTCCTCGATTGAGAGTGGGACGTGTACTGTTTGAGTAGCGCCGTTCTTGTGCTTGATTGTAATTCTGAAGTAGTATAATCTGGCCACCAAGCATAGTTGAAATTCAGGGACCAAGCAGAAGGAGTCGTAGGCATTTTTTGCCAGCCCGTGTTCACTGGACCCTTTCAAGCGGCATGTGGCCAAGTCCACCGTTATTGCCATCCTTTTAGTGTGGATTTTGTAATTCGGGTTAGTTGATGAATGCGAGACAGTCCATGGCACTGTCGCAGGGTTCTTGTGTGATCCTAAGCTTTTCTCCGAAGTGCTTTCAATTTCCACCGAGGGAAACAAGAGGTTAATATTCTTAGTCTGAAGCATAGCCATGCTCTTAATATCCTTGAATAGCAGGGTTTCCACACGAAAAGCTTCGTTGTCAAAACCAATTTTTTTCATTAATGACACAAGACGTGTATAGTGGTCATGAAAAGGTTTGACCACAATGGTATCAAAAGTTTCTGGCTCCTCTGACGGTTTCTTGCTCTCGATGTCATCGACTATATGGTCTGGGAAGCACATATCATGGTTGAGCTCCACTGGAATATAATGCTTTTTCGACCTTATAGTCAAAACCACGAGTTCAACATTCAAGCTCTTGGGTTCCGGTGGCTCCTGTTGACCTGCGGACTCATCATAGTAGTAAGAAAGATCCACTGGTATGGTAACTTTAGTGTTGTAGCCTTGCATCGGGTTTCTGAACTTTGGAGGCGGCACGTACACGGTCTTATATGCTCTTTTCGGAGTCACGAGAGAAAATACGCCCAACACTTTTGAGTAACCCGTTAGAGTTTTCTTCCTGTACGGGCTCAAATGCAGATAGATGTTTGTATCGCTGGACTTACCAAATGAACTTTTCTTCGTTTCTGAATCCGACACATGGTACAAGTGTCTTGCCTTTTCGCTGACCACAGGCGCAAGTGAAGAGCGAGAGGACTGTGGTGTGAGCAGTATGCTCAGCTCCGATTTCATCAGCGCAAGCACCAGTTCGCCCTGAGCTATTTTGTCTTTCACTATCTCCTCGAACGCTTTATAGCAGGAATTGACTTTCTTGATCCAGTACTCCTTGTGTGGTTCATCACTAGTGTATGGTAATATTCGGAGAGGCAGACTAGCCTCACTAACTAAAGCATAGCGGTCTTTTTCCAAGCGATTAGTGTACTGGGATAAGCGGCCAATTACTCTTACCGAAACCGAATAGCTAACGGAAGTGTCCATGAAGGAAAAATCTTTAACTGTGATGTTCGCATATTCACGAGAGCGTTTGTCTGTGTTCAAGTTTGCAGCAGGCCCCAAGCTTGGAGGAAGCTGACAATGTGAGTCTAAACTGTGCATGTCACAAGTGTCGTCCAAAAGTCTGTCTGGGACACGAAAAGAGAAAAAGCGCTTATATGTGACACCTGGCTGAAATAGCCGTTTGACATCGATGGCCAAAACTGTGTTATCGTAAGGATCTGTTTCGCCCTCACACCAATCGTGGGGGTCGCCCGAATCCGTGGCGAGTCGATCGATGTTAGCATACGACCAGGATGCGAATAAGTCTAGCATGTTTAGGAACTTGAACACTGTGGGAGGTTGCTTGCGGTCACGAGGTCCATTCGAGGTGTGGAGCACAGAAAGAACGCCTTCAAATACGACATAGACCATATCGAACGGCACTGGTTCCAGATTGGTATTCTCTATTGTGACGAAACCGTGGATGAAATCGCCTTGTTTAAGTTCACGCTGAGACAAGTCCACAATGTCCGGCTTCTGGCCCTTCTGGCACACCTTATCGGTGAAGGTGATTTTCGCATTCAAGCGACTTGCCCTAACGTTGCCGAGGTCTGCCAAATTATCCAATTTGTGCACGTTTGCTAATACGGTGGTTTCCCATAGTTCTGCCGAGTTCTGGTTGAAAGTGGTTTGTGACGGGAAGGGGAACTCAGTCGGCTCGGGTAGCGGCGTGGGAGATGGCATTGTGCAAACAGGCGTGACTCCACCCGAGTTAAGCGGAGACATCTCGTATGTAGGCGGGTCTTCTTTGAAGCTCTCTTCGTTAGGCTCCAATTTTTTGAAAATCGTCGCCTCGAACATATGGTACGACGGCAAGATCGTATTAACGAGCTCATCCCCCTCCTGCGAGCGCACAGACGTTACGTGGAGATCTTTGTCCATGGTGAAGGTAGAAAAGAGAGATGGCACAAGATATGAGATGCAGGCATTGCGAGATGTGGAGTATGAGGCTCAACTTCACTGTGGCTCTGAATAATGCGCACACGGCGTTCGATTTCTTTGCAATAAGGCGTTTGCAATAATACGTTTGCGATTACACAATATTTAATAGCAAACAGTCTTGACTATTGGTTGATTGGCATGAAACCACCGGAATATTATTGTATGGTGTACGGGTGTTTACCTCGAGGCAACTAGTGGTTTCGAAAAGTGTCTGAGTGAGTAGCTTAAATCTGAGATAACAAATGAGGTCGTGGTTTGAAGATTGACCCAGCTAGCGTCAGTGAGGACAGGTATATTGACTTGGACTGCTGGATTTTCTTTTCTTTTTCTTTTGGGAAGCACCAAGGACATTTTCTGTAGGGGGTAAGCTTAATTTGAGGAACACTCTACATCTCATTAGATGAAAGAGTATGCAAAGATCTGGGCTTAGAGTTAAAGCAAGACTTAGTAGAACAGTCCAACAAGGTCTTTCAGGAGAGGATATTGACACATTCCATGCATACAGTATATCGAACGCACTGCTGACAAAACAGTTTCAGCCTGCATTCGGCTTATCGGTCACAAACAACTTCGACCTCCGAAGCCACAATCGTTCTTTCCACAAAAACAGTGTCTCAGTGGTCCAACCAGAAGACAGGACGCTACTAAAGGGCCTGAAAGCAAATTAGACGGCATATCAATAAATAAAGCTGTCCGTATCCGATCATAAGCATACTTGAACTGTGTTCCTTCTACGGTTGTCTCAAGTCAGGGAGATTTTGCTTCTAGCAATCGTGTACTGTTTATTTCGTGAGCCACCTGCCTAGTTGCTCTGAACATCTTTAGACACCCATTCATTGGCCAGGCCAAAACCTTTCTGAATCACTAAACTGCCATTGACATGAAGGATCGTGTGACACGCTCTGTTGCGCTCGCCGCCCTTATTCTTTTGGGCGTGTATCTCTTCCCGCGCAAAATGGGCGACGAGGTGTTTGCCGCGCTAGCGGTTGTGCAGCCGGACCCCAATTACGCTCCATCCTTTGAGCCTCCGGCCTTTTCGCGCCCAGACTACACCATGCGGGCTCTGGGTCGCGGCCCCTCGCTCCACCCAGATTCGAAACTTCACGCCAAGGGCTCTCGCGCCATGGTCAGTTGCGACGTTCCTCTCTGTGCAACAATGGGAAAACGGATTTTGCTTGCTGGCGGCAATGCTGCTGATGCTGCTGTCACGGTGGCGCTTTGTATTGGCAGCGTGAACCTGCACTCGTCTGGAATTGGCGGCGGCGGGTTTATAGTCAGTTCCCGTGGCAACGAATCCATTACCATCGACGCGCGCGAAATGGCGCCCGCGCGCGCCCACAAGCACATGTACGACGGGGCGCCCCTTCGCGCGCAGTTTGGCGGCCTCGCGGTGGCAGTGCCGGGCGAGCTTGCTGGGCTTGAAAAACTTCACGCCCTTCATGGGTCAGGGAACTTGACGTGGGAACAGTTGTTTGAGCCTGTGGTGGAGTTGAATCGCCGTGGCTGGCAAGCGTCGGACGTTTGGGTTAATGCGGCCCGTACCTTGCACACGCTCGTGCTTTCTCCAGCACCCGAGTTGGGCTACAACTGGGACTTCATCTATAAACCGCATTCGCGCCGCGTGGTGGATGTGGGCGACATTGTTACACGCCCCAACTACGCGAATACGCTTGAGGCCATTGCGCGCAACGGGTCGTCGGCGCTTTTCTACGACCCAGAAGGACCCATTGCTCCGCTCTTGGCTGCGCGCGCGCGACTGCTGGGCGGTATTTTGGAAGCCAAAGACTTTGCGCAGTATGCTGTGAACGTATCGCCTGCGCTTCGTTTTGACTTTGCTCACAATGGTTCCCAGTACAATGTGGCCACCGCCGGAGGTGTCTCGTCAGGTTTGGCGCTCATTGCGGGCCTCAATTTCTATCTGGCGCTAGAGGAAAATGGAACCACATCCGATGCGGTGTTGCAAACGCACCGCTTGGTAGAAGCCATGAAATGGACTGCCTCTGCCCGCTCGCACTTGGGCGACGTCAACAGCACTTACTGGGCGGGATCGGTGGCGCGGTACACTTCACGGGAATGGGCGCGCGACTTGATTCTCACAGAACAGTACGCTGACAACCGCACCTTTGCATGGCCACATTACAAGCCATTGTACGAATTGACCGAGCCGCGCGGAACATCGCACTTTTCTGTGGTGGATGAGAATGGCGGTGCTGTTGGCATGACTACCACTGTCAACTTGCTTTTTGGCTCGCTGGTCTACGAGTCCACCACAGGCATTGTTCTCAATGACGAAATGGACGACTTCTCGTTGCCCAACACCAGTAACGCCTTCAATTTGACGCCTTCGGCGCTCAACTTTGTGTCACCGTACAAGCGGCCGCTCTCGCTGACTGCTCCCACCATTATACGCCGCGACGGACAGCTCCACCTCGTAATTGGGGCGGCGGGTGGATCGCGCATTGTGACTGCGGTGCTTCAGGCCATCATTCGCAGCATTTACCAAAACATGCCTCTCATTGACACTATTGCCTATCCGCGCTTGCACCACCAGCTCGTGCCTGAATGTATCATGGCAGAAAACAGCACTATGCTCGACGAAGAGTTTGGCACGGCTGTAGTTCAGAACCTTCACGCCATGAACCACTCATTTTTAGATACGGGTGCCCTCACTGCCATGAACGCCATCAAGCGCACCGAGGACGGAGGTTGGGAAGGTGTAGCCGATTTCTGGCGCAAACGGGGAGGTGCCGACGGCTATTAATCTAGACCGGTGTAACTGACTTGTCACAGCGCCATCACTAGAGTGTATTTCATTCCCTAGGGCATGTTGATGCCCCTATAGATATTGTGGCTTTACGAAGTTGCTGTATTTAGTGACAGAGTATGTCCAGAAGTTGTCTTATCGAGTAGTCCATTGCACTAAGTTGCAAGTAATTACTGTCAATAAATGGTAGTTGTGTGTGGAGGGGGTAGGAGAGTCGGCTTGTGTGCGATGATTCGCGGCGGAGCTTTTCTGGCCGGGTGTGTCGGGCTACGGTTTTCTCAATCACCAATTGCCATGGATACGTGGCCCGCGTTGCCGAAAGATATCCAGTTATATCCGTTTGATCTTGGACTGTCGTCTCCGCTAGTCCGGTCTGCAGGCACAAAAGTGGCTCGTGTGTACTTATCATTACGCAATGGTGGCCTGCGGATAGTCGGACTTTTTAATTCCTTCGTCTATTTTTTTTTTTTTCTCGTTTTATTTCCTTGCGATCCTTTTTTTTTTTTTCTGGTCATATGTGGTCATCCGCACGTAATTGTCTAAGTGGGGTGCGCACTTCATTTTGTGGGGTTGACCCCGGAGTCTTCGCAAGACTAACAAAAAGGCTCTCTTATGGCCCTACTGTAAATTGCCCATAGTTTGGGAGAACCACATATTACAACGGTCCTGATTGGCTGCGCTTCCGCTCATGCGACTTGTACTCTTCTTATCGCTGTGCTCGGACAAGGGGGTGGACCTAACTCCGAATTCAAGGTGTGTACATGGAAATGTGTGCCGGACCACACCATTTTCCCCAGATTTCGGAGTGGAAAGGTATAAATATCTTGCCCTTCTCCCACCTTCCTGGCACCCGCATTTCCCTCCTCTCCATGACTTATGCGCACCAACATGAACTACAAAAGTTGCCTATTCCGGACTTGAATGAAACTTGTACCAACTACTTGAATGTGTTGAAACCACTTCAAACAGAGAAAGAGCACGAGGCCACTTTGCAGGCAGTCAGCCAGTTTTTGAAGGATGGTACCGGCAAGTATCTCGATTCTGAGCTTAGGAAATACGCAGAAACCAGAAACTCTTATATCGAGCAGTTCTGGTACGACGCCTATTTGAACTATGACTCGCCTGTAGTGTTGAACTTAAATCCGTTTTTCCTCTTGGAGGACGATCCGTTCAACAATGAAGCTTCTTGCTTGAACCCTCAAGTTAAAAGGGCTGCCAGCTTGACCCTCTCTTCCTTGAAATTCATTCGTGCCTTGAAGAACGAAACGTTACCTGTCGACAAGCAAAGAAACGGCAAGCCTCTCTGCATGTACCAATACTCCAAATTATTTGGCGCTTCGAGAATTCCTACCGATGATGGATGTGTCATGCAATCAGATCCGTACTCAAACCATATTGTTGTATTGAGCAAGTCCCAGTTCTATTGGTTTGACGTCTTGGATGCGAATAACAATTTGATCATGCTGGAGCTGGATTTGATGAGCAACTTCACCTCAATTATCCACGACTCTCTCAAAACGCCTCGTAATGAGATTGCAAAGTCTTCCTTTGGCGTTTTAACGACAGAGAATCGAAGAATCTGGGCTAAGATTAGAACTTCGCCCACTATCGTCAATAACCTGAACAACAGCGAAATCTTGTCCATTGTGGACTCTGCTTTGTTTATCATTTGTCTTGATGATCTTGTCTTGCACAACTTGGATGACTTGGCAAAGAACATGTTATGTGGCTTGTCAATCCTAGATAAGGGAGTTCAGGTTGGTACTTGTACAAATCGTTGGTACGACAAGTTACAAATTATTATAACCCAAAATGGTAAAGCTGGTATCAACTTTGAGCACACTGGTGTTGATGGCCATACGGTCTTGCGGTATGTCAGTGATATCTACACCGACTCTATTCTTTCCTTCGCCCAGTCCATCAACTCAAACTCTCCTTCATTGTGGGACAATGGTCGTTCGAATTCTTTAGATGAGAATCAAAACGATCTCGTCACAATTCCAAGGAAGTTGGAGTGGGTTTTGACCCCGGACTTGTCACTTGCCTTGCGTTTTGGTGAAACTCGTTTGTCTGACTTGATCAACCAGAACGAATTCAGACACTTGGAGTTCAGAAGTTATGGCTCCTCGACAATTAAGAAAATGAAATATAGTCCGGATGCTTTTGTTCAGATGGCTTTCCAAGCAGCATACTATGCTTTGTATGGAAAAGTTGAATGTACCTACGAACCGGCGATGACAAAATCATTTTTCCATGGAAGAACAGAGGCAATCCGTACCGTGTCTCAGGAGTCTAACTTGTATGTGCGCAAGTTCTTTGATCCCTCATTGCCCCCAGAAGAGAAATTGAAGTATCTCACTGATGCCTGTGCTAAACACACTGAGCAAACAAAGAGATGCTCAGCTGGTCATGGTGTTGACAGGCACTTGTATGCGTTATTCTGTATCTGGAAGCGCTACGTTTCAGGCGGTTTCTCTGACTTCACAGCTACAGAAATGAGAGGGGATGACACTATTACAGCCCCAACAGATGCTATGAGCAGCTCTTCCAGTAACACTGTTGGAGAGAATGATCAGCAAATTTTGAAAGATGGTTTAACTCAGTTACCTTCAATATTCGCTGATGCTGGTTGGGACAAGCTCAATAACACGATCATTTCGACTTCCAATTGTGGCAATCCTTCTTTACGTCTCTTTGGATTCGGTCCAGTAAGTGCAAATGGTTTTGGAATTGGTTACATTATCAAAGATGATTCCATTTCTATTTGCGCTTCATCGAAACATAGACAGACTCGAAGATTCCTTTTGACTTTAGATTCTTACTTAAATGAATTCTACAGAATCTGGAAGGAAGTCAATGATAGCAATGAAATTTCTGCTCCAATAGACACAGAAATTAAATCGGCTCAGCACCCGGTGAAGGCTGCTCCTGCTCCACGCAAGAGTGATGCATTAACTACCTTATTAGGTGGATACGGTTACTTCGACATGGGAGAAGATGATATTAAGTCCAGAGGTCAGTCACCGGAACCACCTTTCTTGACCCGTATGGATAGCAACTTTTCTGTACGTGACATCGAGAAGAAGTTGAGATTGTCAGAGTACTGATTATGGCAGAACTGCAATACTTTGCGCTCGTACGCATCCCTATTTATTCTATTATCAATTCTATTTATTTAAGAACTTGTGTAGCACTGCTAGTAACTCCTTAGATTCCGAATTCACCTTGGGTCAAGGCCGCACGCATACCTGCCTTGTTTGGTTTCTTGTTCTTGTTGAACTTGCCGTGTGTAGGTATGCTCATCATGGTCAACTCGCTTGTCGTTGGACTAGGCTTCACGGGTTGTGGACCGTATCCTTGAGGAGGTGGAAAGTACATTTGCTGTTGAATGTGCGGTGGGGGATATCCATACATGGGCTGTCCTGGAGGCATGCTTCGTGAAACCGGCATCTGACCAGGAGAACCCATTGGTGGGTATTCCGGCATTCCATGTGGCTGGTTCATTTTTTGGTGTGATGGATGTACAGAATTCATGGTGGTGTGCATCGGACCTGCGTTATGTGGGACCATGTGATGCTGGTTCAGGCTCATGCTAGCCTGGCGTGGATACCCTTGGTTTGGTATAGGGTAAGGTTGTTGCTCAGGCGGTTGTTGATATTGCAGGTATTGCGGAGACGCACGACGAGGTGCCATCATGTGTGGTGGAGATAAATATTGTTGAGGTTGGTGTTGGCGCGGAGGCGGCCTCAGTTCTGCGTACCCTTGCTGTGGTCCAGGTAGCGGTACAGGTTGTGTGGTCAGACTCTTGGGTATATTTGGAGAAGCCACAGGAGAATGAGCAGATTGCATCTGATAAGCATGAGTACCTGGAGAGTAAGGTTCCATGCGCTGTGGAGAGATGTATGTGTTCTCTTGCGCTCTTGAGTGACCTGGGGATGGTCCGTTGCCCACGTGTTGATTGTATGGTTGTTCTTGGTAGCCATTGGCGGCAAGCTTGGGATCTTTCATATGCGAGCGCTTCTTAGGTGCGGGAAGGGGCTGGGTGTAATTCTCGTACGGCTGTTGCTGTGAGTGATGCTGCTGATCCTGTAAGTACGATGCTCCATAGTTTTGATAGTGATTTGGATCTGGCACTTCAGCATGATCAGCAGGAAATGGTAATGGTGGTGGAGGGCCGTCCGGTAGGAGATGCATGGGAGGAAGCATGGGAGGAGGGCCATCAGGTAAGTTTTGCAAAGGATCAAATTCTTTCCGCTTCTTCTTCTTCTTTTTCTTTTTCTTCACTTCTCCCTCGCTAGAGTTCGTTCCCACTTCTGGGGAAGGTGCTATTTGTTGGTAAGGTTCATGATCATAGTTTTTCTGTGGTGAGACTCCATCATCGTCTTGAGGATATTGGGAAGAAGGGCTATCCTGTGCTATATCTTGATATTGATAATGATGTCCTTGAGAGTTCTCGTATGTTTGGTCCTGAGGATAATTTTGCTCGTAAGTGTTAGATTTCTGCCCATACGAGTAGGCAGTTTCCATGTCGTATGGTCCATTGACAGAGTTTCCATTCTTCCTTGCAGTCTCGAGAGGTCTCTGCTTGAGGTTGTGGTCCTGTGTTTCAATCTTAAGGGGTCTTTGGTTAATATTGTCATAACTGTGGTTCTCGAACTCTTGTTTCGAAAGATGGGTATGGTTAACAGTATTCTGTTGAGCGTGTGCTTGAGTTGAGGTAAAATTACCTTCATTTTGCGGATTTTCACTAGAATAGTCTTGGTGTTGGTAAGGACTATGAGATTCTCCCCGAGGTAGAGGAGATTTTTGCTTTTCCTTGTAAGTCCGTGGTGGAGACTTCCTAAATGATTGAGCTGGGGGTGGTAATGTTTCAAGCTTTGCCAGATCATGCACAGCGTGTGATTTTTCACCCGGAACGACATAATTCTCGTATGGATCATCGACCTTCTGTAAGGTTTTTTCTTGTGGAGTCACATACGTGTCATAAGGTTCCAGGTACTGTGAAGATGGGTTGCTTTGCTCCTCAAAGTTGGAAACATAATTCTGGAAAGTCTCGAATTCTGGCATATATAATGGCCGCTCTTCATACAGAGGTTTCGATACGGGTGTCACCTTTTTCGGAGACAGTTTTGCACTCTTCTGTGGTTCGGGCACAAGTAGAGGAGGAGGGGGTCTTTGCCGTTGTGTCTTTTTCTTCGGTTGCAGAATCTTGAGTTTGTCCTTGACATCTGCGGCCAACCTAGTTTCTCCATCCAATGAGTATTGGTTATCTGAATATTGCAGGTTACTAGCCTGCGCAGCTTCCGAAAGCGACTCGAAACTGAATTTGTCAGCCTCGAAGTTGACATCTGGCAACAATCCATCCTTCTCAATCGGAGGTGGGGGAGGCAAATCATTCTTTTGTGTTGCAGCTTGAGAAGTTTTAGGGTAAGGAGGTATACTCTTAGTGCTTTTCAGCACTTTGGTAGGAGCCTGTGGATTTTCCATTTTAGAGGGTGCTTGCGGAAGTTCTGTTTTAGTAGGCGCTTGCGGGAGTTCTGCTTTAGTGGGGGCTTGAATGGGGACAGTCTTCCGAGGCTGGGGAGCGTCGGTCTTCACAGGTGGATATGGAGGCTCATTCGTTGGTGGGTCAATATCCTTGAACTTATTGATGTAGTCTTCGGGCGATATCGTGACCTCAGATATGATCAACCATTTTTGAAAGCCATGTAGCCCTGCTTCAACAACAATAGAACGGCCAAAGAGGGCCTTGGTAGAAACAGTCTGATCCGAGCCTAGAGACAGAAGCCAGGTCCAAATGTAGTAATCTTGTAGCGTAACATTGGAAATGGAAACCTCTGAGTACATGGGTATATCTGTATCAATCTTGTCAGGCTTGACCCAGCCCGGGTATAAGTTAAATTCTGAGTCGATAGGCGGTGCACACAAACGTGTGAGCACACGGCGAGACTCTTCGGTCAAGGTATCGACGATTTCATTCGTAGAGCCTTTCTGGAAAATGCTTTTGAGAATAGTGTAGTTTTCAATAGACAAAAAGTCGTCTTTGCGGTCGAAGCGTAGAGTGTGACGAACCTTGCTTATGAGCTCGTACGGGTCAGAGCATGGTACAGTTGTACGTACTTGCACGCACGGAATGACAATGACAGATTTTGTTGAAGGTGCATTATCTGGTGGAGGATAGGAGCTGGTAACAAGCAACGACTGGAGCGTCTTCGGGAGATTCAAAGTATCTGATTCTGTGTCAGGCAACATGGCACGGAGAAATGAGAGACACAAGTGGAACAAGCCGTTGCAGTGGAGCTTCCAAGCGTCCAAGCCATCCAAAAAGGTGTTTTCACGAATAGCAGTCGCATCATAAAAGGCCAGGTCCGAGTGTGGAGCCACGTTGAACGCCCACAAGCTTGCCATTTTGGCTACTTTGCGCCCGCTTAGGTGGTTATACTGCGAGTTTGAGGCGATGCTTATGAGAAGATCGAGAAAATCGTACACTATAGACGCATGTGCCGACGACAGTAGGCATTTGGGCATGATGGTGAGAAATGCGTCCTTGGGATAGCCTGCTTCGTGCTCACGGCGCCGAAACTCAAGATACACTTTCCATCCAATAACTTCATTGTTTGGAAGTCTGCACCACAAGTACTTGAGGCCGCACACGAGCGTAAACTCGTCAAAGTCCTTGACCGCACCTAGCACTGCATCTCCCGCATACTGGCCATGGGGGAACACGGTTCGCAAAAACATCTCCAACTTGGTATCGTCGATGCGCAGGCGGAACGGAAGAAAGACATGGGGCGTTCGCGTGCCTCGAGCCTTGAGCTCGCCTGTGATGGCGTGTAGGAGCGCTTGGAGGCGTTTTCGAGAAAGCTGGTCCAGTGAGAGCGGGCCGCGGTGAGTGCTTGCCGCTGGAAGCGAGGGGAGAACCAACTTCTGCGACGCCATGGGGAAGATGAGAGAAGAGGCTTTGTTCTGGCGATCTATTCTTGGGTTCTGTGCAGGAGGCTGACCGGGGAGCGTAGTGGATTCGCGGTGGAGCAGATGCAGTTCGCGAATGAGGGTCTAGAAAAGTCAGATTGCGAGTGGATGGAATTTAACGCTGCCAGTCTATGGCAAAGAGTTTTTCTGGCTTGCCCGTGGAGCAGATTGGTGAACTTTTGATCTTGATGTGGTCCGCTGAATCTTGGGTCAGTTTGTGTCGCGGTGTCGTGTGTACTTCGCTTGGCCGTTTCTTTCGCTAGGCCGTTTCCTTCGCTTGCCCTGTGGTTTCCTTAACTTTAGGTGCGACGCGCATTGAATGTAGTGAAGCGCTATGCGCATTTCGCTAGACTACGGGAGATGAATGGTCCTTAGAACTGCAGCCCATTAAAGTAAAAAAAAAAAATGTTGTCAAAGCCATTGAGCATATGTTTCTGCTCAGCTATATAATGGTACAATACCTATTCTGCAACAATTCTTCTTTCCTAAAAAATATTTCTCGCCAACAATCTGGCTCTGTACCTGAGCGCCTTAAGTTATGCGGGCAGCTGAAATGTGCTCACACACTATGGAACGCATATACTTTTTCATCAACAATGAGCTAGTGCCGTACAAACCAGGCTGAACTTCGCGTCACGATCAATCCAGATTGTTGTATTCTTGACACAACATGACGTGGTCAAGCTTGGCTGGATCTAAGCATAGCATCCTTCGAATACCATCATGTAAAGCCGTTGCTAGAGATCCAATGCAGTTACTATCGTTAGATTGCCTTTAAAAAATTTCTATTTCTCTATTACTAACTTAATAATTTGTTGAAGTTAAATTTAGTCACCTCACTAACCATACGCTAAATTGCGCACCTGCTTCCATTGTAAGCTCAACGGTTTCTCAACCGACCTTAAGAGTAATTCTATTAATGGAAATGGGAGCTGCTGTTTAATTTTCGTTGGAATTCTTCCGACAATATATGCATCCAAGTTAGTTCGTACTGTCCCTATTCGATAAGGTGTTCTATGATACTCATTCGAGTCCTGTGTGCGAATTATTCCGAATGAGGACATTTATCAGAATCAGAACTTAAAGGGCGTTAATCTGGGACGAATTAACATCTTAGCAGCATATTCTGCTGTCATCGTGTGGATGTAGTCCTTTGGATTCCATGCTTCAAAGATGTAGGTGAGCAAGGGCAGAAATGATTTTTTGTAGCTCTTTTTAGTAATGTTGAAGTTCGTCCATATTCGCACAAATTATAAATATAAACGTCTCGCAGAATACTTTCAAGAAGAAATCAGTGAGGGAACTTTACGGACAACAAGACTTGGTAGTTCGTCTACAACTATTAGTTGTCTTATGAATAATACTTTTATAATCGTGAAGTTTTCACATATAAACTACTTGAGTTAATTTCAAGATTTGACTTCTCATTGTGAACTATGCAATTGTAATTCGAAAATGCGTATCATCCATAACGCTCCGCATTATACAGTAATATACTTTGAGTAGATTGACGATGAACCATCTCTGGTCGACGAAACAAATTTGATGAGTGCAGTACCCCAGAGGAGTATTTGTACATCATTTGTCAAATGCAGATCTCTTTCTCAACTCTCGAACCATCTTCGTTTAGATATCACAACTCAAAATGCTTGTTGAGTCCAGTCGAGTGACCCTGCAAATCAGCCATACTGGCGACCGAGCGTAAGCCATAGTTGGAATTGCCCGATTTGGCCAACTCGGTGTTGCTGATGACGCGTCGCTGGCCATCAGAATCTATGCTATTGAGTTCTCCGAGCGAGTAATTGCGTGGAAGAGCTCCGATTTCCATATCGTAGGTGAGACGGCCTTGCCCCAGTGCCATTGAAGGCGCATGTGTGCTTTGTACTGGGCCTTGCAGACTTTGAAGGCTCTGATTCGAGGGCACCAGGCTACTCAGAATAGCTTGGCTCAGTAAGTTCAGCAAATTCAGCAAATTCAGCATTTGGTTCAGCAAGTTCAGCATTTGGTTCAGCACCAGGTTGGACATGTTCTGTACCGGCTGGTTCAGCATCTGCTGATTCTGTAGCGACTGGTTTATTGACTGGTTCGGTATCGTCACATTCAGCATCGGCTGATTCTGAATAGATTGATTCTGAATAGATTGGTTTTGTAATGCTTGGTTCAGAATAGCCTGATTCTGAAGCGCCTGGTTCTGCAATGTCTGGTTCTGCAAAGCCTGGTTCAGCATCGCTTGATTTGCTTGCACAATCAGGCCGTTATGCATGCCCTGAACACGGGTATCCTGTCCCAGCTCGCCCTTTGCATTGAGCGTTGTCGGTATCGTGCTAGGAATAGAGGTGAAGTTCGGATGCGCCTCTGCCGCTGCTTGTGCCACGTAGTCTGTCTGGCCAATCAAAGTCTGCAACTGCTGATATCCACCCACCGTGCTCACAAGACCAGGGCAGTCTTTGTGGGCGAGCACAAGGCCTCGCAACAGAAGCAACAGATCGCGGAGCTGCGTCACCTGCGCAGACAACTCGCGGTATCCGCTCGAATAAAACGCCAACTCGCTCTCCATCTTGCTAAACAATTGTTTTTTCCGCTGGCGGCACTTGGACGCAGCAACACGGTTCCGCTCCAAAAACTGCTTGCGCTTGGCCTCCTCGCCCGTCTGCAGCAGCAGCCGCTCCGTCTTACGGGTGCGGCGGGCGCGCTTGCGGGGCGCCTCCTCCGCCTCATTTTTCACCTCCACCGCCTTGCCGCGCGCGGTGCCGTTCGGCCGCTCCATATTTTTGTTGTCATCAGCTGCGACAGTACTGCCGCTGCCTCCACTTGCTGCACCGCCACTTGCCGTGCTACCGGAGCTCACCACGCTAGCGGTGCGGCCCTCTGTTGCACTAGCCGCGCTGGTGGCACTGGCAATACTGGTGGCGCTGGCTGCACTAGCAGTACTGTCGGGCGCGCTCTCAGGCCCGGCTGGCGGCTCTTTCCCAGCGCCGTCCGGGGCGCGCTTCGCACTATCAACTGTAGTATCTGCGCTGGTTTCGGCACTAGGCACCACGGGAGGAGGCATGGCAAAACTGTCAGTGCCATTGGCAAGCCCAAGCAAAGACTGCAACCCGGGCGTCATTTGCCCCGGTGTCCCCACGTTGAAGTTGAAGCCATGGGAGCCAACTCCCGGAGTGAGCCCCGACCGAAGATTGGACTCGTTGGGCGTGAGTCCCGACTTGCGCATCATATTGATGAACTGCGCATAGTTGCCCTGGTCGGTGCCATTGCCTGCGCTAACAAGACTGTTCCAGATGGCGCCCGGGGTACCGGGACTGCCGAGCGGAGCGTTGGGAGAAAGGTGGATCGGCGGGAGACGGCGTCCCCCAGGCGTGAATAGCGGCGGCGTGAGCCCGGGAAGACGCTCTCCTGGCGGTTGTAGGTTCAGAATGCGAAGCTGATGCTTGTTTGTCCCTGCAGTGGCCAGCTGCTCCTCCTTTTTCTGTTCCGGCGTGCTGCTGGCTGGTGTTTTGTCTGTGGATGCCGTCAGTCCATGGTTTGTGGACGACGATGCAGATCCTGTCCCGTTATAATCAACCAGCCGTTCTTGCGCAAGAAGATCCTTCGAAGCAAAAGAGCTTTCGAACGGATTCAACTCCAAGTCAAACGATGTTTTCAGCTGGAGGTTAGTAGAGGTCATGGTAAGGACAGACAGTATTGATGATATTTTTTTTGTTTTCTATTCTTTTGCCTTTTGAAGGTTCTTGATCCTCCTGCTTCTGGTGCTCCGACTTCCCACTTTTGGCCTGTGTTTCTGTCTGTGGCGTTTTTGATACGTACTTCGCTGGACATCTGTGGCAGATGATGAGGAGTAACACTTGTTCAGCTTACGTCATAGATTGTTTTTTCTCTGGATGCAGGTTTGCCCGTGCGAGAGGCGCCTTCATGCAGGTAAATATGTCTCAGGTGGATTAAGGTTTGGCTTCAGGGACTTGGAAAGTCCCAAGTGAAATGTGTCAATGATGTAACGGATTCGTCTGAGAAACTCAGCAAGGTTTCGGATATCTTACTCCGTCTTGTGACACCTGCTTTTGTTCTTGTCCAGGCCTCCGTTTTCCTGTTTCATCGGCATATGCCTCTTCCGCTCGTACCGTGAGCACTAGCAATCTTGCAGCCGACATAACTTAGCGCGCATTAATCGCCAGATCTCGCATAAAGTCTACATGGTGTTTCACGTTTCTTTGCTGTCGCTACTAAAACACATTATCTGCACCTGGAATTCAAGCTCCTCACTATTCATATACTTAACTCTGCAAATCTTTCAATGCCTCTTCCACTTTCCGCTGCTTCTTGCCCTCGTCGTCCTTGAGCAGCGGATCTTTCTTCACCTCTTCCTTCATCTCTTCATCAACCTTCTTGGCAGCAGGCGCCGCCTGAGGCGGATTCTTCTTATCTATCTTAGGTTCCGGCCTTTTTTCGGTCTCGTCCGCCGTTCCAACGCACTTTTCGTAAACATGCTCATTTCTTGGGTCGTCGATGGGCCTGCTCCAGCCGGTGCTGAACAATGGCGCCATGTCAAACCTTGGGAAAGGATGCGCCTCGGTGTTGAAAACGTATTTGTTCAATGGAAGTTTGTTTTCATCATCAAATAACAAGTACAAGTATTTCAACGTCTCAGCCAACCAGAATGATTCCATATTGTCCCGATACGAAGGCTTTGTCGTGGTTACATCGTTCAACGAAGTGTATGAAATCTTGTTGTCAGCAGTGAGAACACGGGTGTACTTCTGGAAACTCTGGAAAATCTCGTAACCCCATTCCCTATATTTCTCGTCACCGGTAATCTGGTACAAGTAGTACAAGGACTCAACGGTTTCAGGCCGCTGCAAGTTGTGTCTGTCAGCAGGTTTGATTGTGAAATCCTCATCCTTCAGCGGGTCAGTGTTAAAGACAACAATCTCGGGAGACAAGCCTGTTTCAACATCCTTGTACATTTTGTAGCACGAGTATGTCAACTCCTCCGCAAGCTTCATATCATCCGCCTTATCTTGGCTCCAGTAGGGCGATTTCTTGGCCTCCTTCAAAGGCAAGCCATTTGTAGCTCCGAGTGCAAGCAAACCACCGTAGAAACATACCAAGTGATCCATCTTAGGAGACAATGGTCCACCAATACCCTTTTCGAGCTCGCCAATAAAAGTCAAACCATTTGGCTTGGACTTACCAACTAAATGTTTCTTGACACCGTCAACGGACTCCTTATACATTTGCCAGTAAATTGGCTCTTTGTTGTTGGTTTGTAAATGTTGTTTCAACAAGTACTCATAATATGAGTCACCACGAGATCCAAGCCGGATGAGGTTACCCTGGTATTTTCCAGTGTCTGGCTGAACAAAGATTGGCACAAGCCCGTCCTTGGGCTGGTTCTTATCCAAAACCTCCATGATTTTCTCTGCGGCTTTCCAATATAGGTCTTCGCCAGTCAACTTGGCCAAGTAGCGGAATTCGAGCTGGAGAGTTGCCGCCTCAGCAGTGGAAGAAGCACCGTTGTCCACGTGGTTCTTGATACCCTCACCTGTCTTTAAATTGACAGAAGAATACGGAATGCCTGTAGGGCTGTTGAAACCACCAATAAGCGAGTTTGCCAATTTGGCAGCTTTGTCCACGAAAACGTCATCATTTGAAAGATGATATGCTGAGAGAAGACCACCCAACATTCGGATGGTGGTTTCGAAAACATTGACATTATAGTCAAAGTCGTACAGCAAGTCCTCCTTGACCCATCTCTTAGCTCTGTTGAACTCTTCCTGGCACTCCATAATCAAGAGAGTGTCTAACAGGTCGACGACCATCCATCCCAAAGGCTTAGGGCCCATGTTTTCCCCGCTGCCCTTGACCGGGTGATATACGTCTTTACCCCAAGCATCCGCTTCATACGCGGCCCAGGACTCAAGAAAGACGTCCCGAACTTCCTTCTTCGCCTCCGCCCAGGACGACGCCGAGCTGCTTTGGAAAAGCAGAGCCAGCTTGTCACTCGTCACAAAATAGTAGAAAATGTAGAGCGCCAACGTGGACACGAAAACCCGGAACAACATGACACGCTTAGATCGACTACCTCTGGCTGGAGAAAATGCTGATTTCGATGCAGAAGGTTTGTCCTTGTACAATGGTAGTGATTGTTTATTCGATGCCCACCTGGATTGCCCTGAGTTTGTGTGTGGTTTCAGGAACGGATTCATGGCAAGATGTTCACTTTTTGAGGCGTGAGGTGGAAGGCCCTTGCGACGTGTGGGATCACGAGGACGCGTGCACGTGAACACCATTGTCCTTGAAAGGCACACCCTGTCATTGAAGACGCGGCTTTGTTACTTTGTTAAGTCATGTCGTGCTACTAATTTGCATAGCCGGCATTTGTGTTTCGGCAAATGGCATGCGTGAAGCCGCATTGTCAGTTTCCAAACAGAGCGACAGACGTCAGGCGATGCTTATACTATTTTTATGTTGACTTTTATTTTTTCTCCTTTCCAAGTGTATCGAATTCTCGTAACCTGCGCGTACCTATGGCGAAATGTCGGTTGTAGGCAAAACGTCGGTTGTAGGCTGGTAAATGGCCCAACATTGCCTTGGTTCCATTTAAATCCTCATGGCCGTCGAATATAGTCCTGAAGGTAACAAGTGGCATTTAGCAGGTGCATGTGCCCAGCCGGACTAAGGCGGCATTGCCGAAGACAAGTGAATTTTAACTCTTTGAGCCGTGTGTTGCGTATTCTATTCTTTACTAATTTCCTCCTTCATTTCTTCCCCTGATTTCTTATTGATTGATCCCTTCCTTTCTCTATTGGCTCGTCCCCCGTTCTACTTTTGCACATGTTTGCATTTTTCTCTCGACCGCTAACTTCTTCGTTCTTGTCCATATCTTTATGCGCACTAGACCAGGGAGATCTTAAGCACGGCTTTAGCGTGCCGGGCAAAAACCGCACTTTAGGCCGATGCGCAAAATAACCGAACCGAACCCCACTCAAGAACGGCATAATTTTGGTCCTGCTTCAACAACAGCCGTCTCTCTTGAACAACAGCCGTCTTCCATTCGTCGAGTATATTTTTGATGTCCCAAAGTGAAACAGCGTCTCCGACAGGCGATTCAAAGGGCCGGGTCAGGCGTCTGAAGGCGTGCAAACAGTGTCACGGCCTAAAGGTGAGATGTACACCCGTGGATGAAAACGACCCAGCTTCGCCTTGTGTGCGGTGTGTCAACTCTAACAAGGTCTGTGAGATGGATCTAGACCAGCCTCGCAAGCGGAAAAAAAGAAGCACCAATAAAGAAGCTTCTACAGTGGCAGAGCTTCGAGAGCAAGTGCGAGAGCTTCAAGAAAAGCTTTTGATCCTGCAACGGCAAAATCTAGCGGCCGAGAACCATATCAAGAACGAAGCGGGTCCCAGCCCTAGTATGGCGAACCACTCGCCTGCCCAGTCAAGTACTGGAGCGCCTGACGTTGACTCGCCATTATTTATATCCAAGAGCGACTTGGAAAAAGAGCTTGCTTTACTCTGCGAGGAAAATGTCACCTTGAGGGAAATCACAGAGGAAATCAGACGTAATGCTGACCGCCGCCAGGAAATGTTGTACCGGGACAAACAGCTCGATGTAGTTTCCCTTGGCATAATATCCATGGATGAGGCAGAGCTACGGCTCCGTGTTTACCGCGATCACTTGTACGCTGCCAACCCTTTGGTTGCCCTTCCTTCTGATGCAACAGTGGAATCAATGATCGCTAACCAACCTTTCATGTTTAACACCATCATGTCTATCACATGTATGGGCATGCAGAGTCTGGTTAACCCAGACGTCAGTCTTGCCTTGGAAAACCAGGCAGTCAGCTCTGTAGTGACAGAAGTGATGGTTGCAGGGAAAAAGACAGTGGAGCTTCTCAAATGTCTCATTCTTTTATCCTTGTGGTATAACAGCCCTGAGCTCTTCAAACTGAGAAGGTACCATATTCTTAATAACGTTGCAGTGACACTTTTGCACGATTTGGGAATAGTCAATAGGGCCTCGTTCGATTATAGTGGTGATACACAGGTCATTCAAAAGAAAGAAGAGCAATATCGAAGCTTGGAATACCGAGCATTGATCATGATTCTTTATTTCAGCACAGTCAACATTTGTTTAATTCTTCGTCGGGCAGTTTTCGTGAAATGGACCCCATATGTTGACGAGTGTTGTGAGTTACTCGAGAAATATGGTGACCAACCGTACAAAGAGCTAGCAATTTTTTCCAAACTTAATTATCAATTGGGAGCGCATTCATCATATTGTCCACGCACCAGAGAATTGTGACAAGCCTAAAATTACGAAGTATGTGCTATCAGAGCTACAGACCAACTTGGCAACGATAAAGGCCAAGCTCAAACCAGAACACCATCAGTATAGAGCCTACTACTATTCAGTAGAAGCTTATCTATACCAGCCGAACTTTGCTAATTTCAACCTTGTTTCCACTGATAAGAAGAGCTGCACGCAGAATCTCAGTACAGATACATTGGTTGATGTGGCGCAGTGTACTACATCTTGTTTGTATGCGTTGGATGAGTTTAGTATGCTCCTGTCAGGAGAGGTAAGTGCTCTTCCATTGTTCTATTCTTCTCGTGTGATTTACACTGCAGGTATGCTTCTCCGCCTTCGTTACTTAATTCTTTCTTTGCCTTCACACATTGAAAAAGAACTAGTTCCTCGATATGCAATTGTGGCCATCCAAAAGCTCAGTAAGCAGGTTTCCGCAGCATCAAAAATGTTCCCGGCGAACTACTTCTTGAAGAAGATGATGCTCATTCTCCAACTATTTATTCAGACATATGTCACCCAGGTGCTGGAATTGTTGCGCCATAGCGAAACTCTGGCGCAGTTTCAGGTCCCCAGCAGACTTCTGGACATATACAAGCATGATATGAAGGATATGATTAAGCTTGCAAATGTCATTTACAAGTTCGGTTCTGGTGCCAACTTAACCAATGCATTTGAGAAGACCTACCCACCTGCACCATACTTGGACATGCTTAGCTCGTTAGCAACTGGTTTCCGCCAAAAAAAGGGCAACCCAGGACCTGAGGCACCGCCAAATGCTAGATCCATGCACAAGTCAATGAGCTTGCAAGAGAGTGGCTTGAGACACCCAGGTATGGGCAATATTCCTGACGGAATTCCTCATTCAGAAGCCGCAACCCCTGCACCGCATCTCCCACCTCTGAACGGACAGCCAGAATTGGCTTCTGGTGTTTTGGGCGGTCAGCATGGGGTGTTTCCAAATAACCAGGACCAAACCATGAACTCAGCAGGTCAACCCCATTTTGCGCATATGGTCACAGATGCCAAAGATTCGTCGGTATATACTCAACCGGTGCCACCACTTAATCACAACTACCCGAACATGGCACCTAACTGGGACACGCTATTAAGCAAAGACGATTATTTTATTGACGATGAATTTTGGAGCAATCTTCTTAGCACAGATTCAAATGCCCTGTCAAGTAAGTTTCATTTTGCTCAAGACGAGCCGATGAAAACCGAAAACTTACTATTTATGAATTAATGAGGTATAAGATGCGAAAGAGAGTCTCTTTTAAGTGTACAGATTTTCGGCATTTGTGGTTTTAGAGTAACATAGTCTATATTTATTACATGTCTAATATCATCAATTATTGCATGTCTAGTATCATCAATTATTACATGTCTAATATTAACACTCCAATAGGAAAACACACGATAGTCTTCCTTCACACTACTGCCTGTAGTACCCTTATGCGCATACATTATGAGAAGCGATGTATGAGCCGCGAGATCATTTCTTGGAAAAAGCATAAACCCCAATGCTGCCTCCAACACGGATGGGATACAGTTCGAGCTCGTTCTCTATCTTGGACATCCTACGTGTAGTTGCAGGACTCCTTTTCTTCAATGCTTTTGCCTCCTGGTGGTTCACTTCTTCCTCCACTTGGGGCTACGATGGGAAGTGGATAGATCCTCGATTCTTGAAGTTTAAGGTTGCAGGGAAACCGCTACATTTTTCCTTGGAGGACTTGGCATTGTACAACGGCTCGGATCCGGCTCTCCCTATATACATCGCCATCAACGGGTCTGTGTACGATGTGAGTGCTTCGCCAAAAATATACGGCCCCAAGGGCCCATATCGTTTCTTCAGCGGGCGTGATGCAGCACGTGCGTTCGTCACTGGGTGTTTCCAGAAAGAGGATGAGTTCACTTATGACCTTCGGGGTATTGACCCGGAAGAAGCCGCGCACGACATTCGAAGCTGGCAACAATATTATGAAACAAGTAGGAAGTATTGGTCAGTGGGAACAGTCGATCACAAGCCATTAACAGGCGACCCTCCAGCTCCATGTGTTCATGTGAAGTATCCTCAATAGGCTATCGAAAATGAAAGTTGAGAGGTTCGTACATAGTGTATAGATGCATTTTACTATTTGCTAGTACAAAGATCAAGACTCTTGCGCAAGATACCAAGCAATTCGCTTTCGTTCTCAAGCCCGACACTGATCCGGATCAAATTTTTGTCTACTCCCCATTTGGCTACCTCATCCAATTCTTGGTAATGCGCCAAAATCGCATAAGGACAAGCCAATGTGAAATTTGTGCCCAAAGAGGGGCCCTTGTGCAACTGAATAGAATTGAAAAACGTCACTGCGTGCTCTGGGTTGCGAAACACAAACGAAATCAACCCGCCGTATCCGCCTTCAGGAGCCTTCAACTCGTCGTAGTATTTTTTGGTGTCGGAAATGCTGGGGTAGAAAACCTGGTCAATCAATGGTGATTGCTCCAACAAGGCCACCACTTCAGCAGCATTCCGATTGATCTTCTTGGATCTGCTTTCAAAATCTCTCGAGTTTCTCTCGAGATACAACGCATCTTCAGCCCAATAAGTGTCCTCGTAGTTCTGGTTGAAGTATTCCTTCAACTGTGCATATTTAGACGACGCAGGATTCAATATCAAAGAGCCGCCCATCACGTTCGAATCACCAGAGAATACTTTGGTTAAAGACGATACAACCATATCAGCATAAGGTAAAACTGAAATGTTCAACAAGTTTCCCACTGTCTCGTCCACTACGACTGCAAAATTGAACTTGTCGGCCAACTCCCGGATTCTTTTCAAGTTAGGGGTTTTCAAGAGCGGGTTTGACGGACACTCGCAAAACAATCCCATAATATCCATTTCACCCGACTCCAACTGCCGTTCCATATCGTCAAGGGAAGCATCGTCACCGAAACCAAGGAAGAAGCAACCTGGCCCGAACTTGCGGAGAATGTTCAATGTGTCAACGTAAGGAAAACCAAAACAGACAGATTTCTTTGGAGGGTCATAGGTGCCTAACAATGCCTGGTGTGCATTGAAAATCGCTGCCATACCGGTAGGATACAAGTACACCTCTGACTCGCTAATATGAGAACCACGTTTGCCCAAGTTCGCAGATACCTGCGCCTCAGATTTCTCTGCCTGGCCACTGATACGCCGACGTAAGGCAAGTTTGGCTTGCTCGGCAAACATCAAGTCCAAAACACGGCCGTACTTTTGTTCAATGAAATTGTTGAACTCTGTCTCAACTTCTTCATTTTGCAGTTGTGAGTTAGACCGCATAGACGCAGTAATAGAAGGCGACTTGCGCTTAATTTGTTCCGCCTGTAACTCTTGCTTGCTCCTACCTTTTAGTCTCAACGGGTCCTTTTTGGCGTTTTCAAACAACTCTTTCAAAACATATTCAGCCATTCTAGAAGAAATGCCTTCACCACTGTGTTGCCAGTACTGCTTTGCGAGGGGAAATTCCTCCGGTGGAAAGAACACGATGCCTATGGTGGATTCAATCTTGCGCAGTTTTTCTTCTTCTGTTGCTGGAGGCGGGGTGCTCAATTGTAAAACACGACGTATAGCCAGTGGGTTATCTGACTTTTGCTTGATAAACTCTCGGCACCTTTTCGCAATGTTGTAAGACGGGAAAACCATACACCGCTCCACATTTCTTGCATACTTGGCCTCAATGCTCTTACTCAACTCCTGAATCACTTGGTGGATAAAAAACCTTGGGTAGCCCGATTTCATCTGGCTCACGACCCATTCTTGTCCTTCCTCGTAACCTACGGTGGCTTCCCATGTGGGTAAAGTCACGGAAATGGCATGCTCGGTATTGTTCGGAATGGGTGCACCCACATCCTGAGAAGGGCCAGTCAGGGTCATATTTCTGTGGTTGAAATGTGAAGTGGTCGAGATCTAGATTTGTTCGCGATCTTAGATAGTGCGAATGACTCAATGTGGAGGATATGTAATCTAGATGACAGTGCACAAGAAGAAAAAAAAATAATTCAACACCAGAGAGATAAGTACGACATTTATCGGGTATACATGTGGACCTATACTACATTAGAATGTGCTCGATAACTCTATACTTTGTAAAATTTTATTGACTTCTCATCATTACATGCTAGTGGCGTAATATTCTGTATGCAATTTTAAGACTTGTAAATTAGAACAGACGAGTCACTCACGACTTAATACAAGTGACGGACCCTTCTTGGAGACGCTGGACGTCCGGAACCTTCTTTGTTTCGGCAGCTGGTGCGGCGGCACCTTTACGGTTGTGTTGCATGTGCGACTGAACCAAATGGCCCGCAGCCAACGCAGAACAAAGCGAAAGCTCGGCAGCCAAAACGGCAGAGGCAACAATACATGCAAGGCGACGAGAATTATCACCCGGATTGGTTGGATGTGGACCACGCACGCCCAACAATTCCAACATTGCACCTTGAGGTTCCAAGATGGTTCCTCCTCCGATAGTACCCACTTCAATGGATGGCATGGACACGGAAATTTGCAAGTCTCCATTAGGCAACCTGTTCATAAGGGTCATACAGTTGGACGACTCGACGTTCTGTGCTGGATCCTGACCACATGCCAAGTACACGGCAGTAACCAAGTTTGCAGCGTGTGCATTGAAACCTCCAACGGAGCCTGCCATGGCAGAACCAATCAAATTCTTGCTGATATTCAACTCCACCAACGCGTCGACGTCGGATTTCAACACTTTTTGCACCACTTCCAGCGGGATTCTTGCTTCGGCAACAACTGACTTTCCTCTGCCTTCAATCCAATTGATGGCAGCTGGCTTCTTGTCCGTACAGTAGTTTCCGGAAACGGCAATCACGGACATATCATCCCAGCCGCATTCCTCAGCCATGTATTTCAACGAATATTCGACACCTTTGGAAATCATGTTCATTCCCATTGCATCACCAGTAGTGGTTTTGAAACGAATGAATAGCAACGTACCAGCGATTGCGGTTTTGATGTGCTGCAAGCGTGCAAATCTCGATGTAGAGTTGAAAGCCTTTTTGATGGTCTTCTGCCCTTCTTCAGAATCCAACCAGAGCTTACAAGCACCGGCTCTTGCCAAAGAAGAAAACGAAACACATGGACCTCTGGTCATTCCATCCTGCGTGATAATGGTTTCTACACCACCACCAGCATTGATGGCCTTGCAACCACGCATAGTAGAAGCAACCAAACATCCCTCAGTAGTTGCCATTGGGATGTGGTAAGGAGTTCCATCGATTATCAAAGGACCAGCCACACCTACTGGCAATGGCATGTAACCAATGACGTTTTCACAACAGGCCCCAAACACGCGATCGTAATCGTAATGAGCATGGGGCAACTTATTGCTTTCTAAAACGGGAGCATTAGCCAATTTGGCAATGGCTTTGCGTCTCACAACAACGGCACGAGCATTGTTGCCCAATTGTTTTTCCAATGCATACAAAGGTAACTGGCCAGCCACAACTAAAGACGAAACCTCACTATTATTGAGTTCCTTAACTTTGCCTTCTTTCATTTTCTTGATACATTCTTCAAGAGGAAGAATCCTGGCAGGAACAGTCAAATCGAGCGCTCCATCCGATGTTGAAGCCGAATCGTCAGTATCACTTTCAAAGGAGGGAACAGTTCTGATTTTTTCGATAACCTTCTGCTTTGGCTGGGATTCAATTAACATGTTTGCGGCGTTGCGCTGGAATCTGGTGGCATTCAAAAAGTAAGCGTTTGTCGAGATAGAAATGGCAAAACCAAACAACAAGAACTTCGAAATAATGCTGTCTCTGATTGCACTGGAAACTTTTTCAATAATAGCGAACACGAAGTCTTCAATCATGGACATCACTCCCACAGGGACATAAATCCTCGAGGCGAGAATAGTAACAACAGTACCATGTGGACCCACAGTAATATGTTTAGCGGCATTTTTTGATAATTCCAATGTTTCAGGAGCTGACGATCCAGAGAATGATGCAGTTTCGTACAACCAAGAGCTCCCAATCCAAAATGCATGGATTGCAATAAACAAACCAAGCAATGCCACTTTAACAGATACAACAGAAGAGCCAAAACGGGACTGTCCCTTGTACTCAGCTTTGGAAGCACGAGAAGCAATATTAGCAGCGACAAACGAAGACACACCTTCTTCTTCCAAGGCATCTTGCAATTCGTGAGTTCTGCGGGCTCTGTTGATTTCCACCTTCAATGCCAAAACAGCAGCATAGAAAGTGTAAACAAGCATCAAGTCAAAGAGCAAAATGAGGCCACTTAAAAGACAAAAATTTCTCAAGCCTTCCATCTGGTCAATAGAGAAAAAAGCAATCAAGAAAGCAGCAATAACAATGAGATTGTCTCTAAGCAAGCTGACAGAGTGATTGGCGATCACAGAAGAAACAATGTGTTTAACATCGTCCTGGTTTGATGATGCACGGGTAACAGTAGACGCGATGGATATCTTATGTTTAAAGCCCACAACTGCAGTCAAGAAAGGAATACCTTCAGTCAAACTGAGCAAAGAAACCTTGACGTTCAAAAATTTGGTGGTTACGGCTAAAGCAAAGATGAAAGCGTATGCAGAGGACAAGATGGTTGAAAATGCAAGCCAAAACTTTGAGCCTCCTTCCCTCAAGTCGATGAAAACTTTCAAAATCGTGTAGATCATGGCAAAGTAGGCCACTGCAATGAGGGAAATGTCAAACTTCTCAGCACCTTCGGTCAAAGCCTTGAGTCGCTTGGCGCCACTCTTTAAGTACGAGATATAACGGCGCAACATGTTGTTTCCTTTGGTTTTCCAAGTGATACCCTCGTAGGTGATCTTGGACAAGTCTGCCAAAGACTGGTCGACTTTACGCGAAGGCACAATCAAAATGCGATCGCTGGAGACACCAGGAAAGGTGTTCTCGATTTCCGGAATGGGGTTCTGGCTCATGCGCTTAAACACCAACGGAACAAGAGAAATTTGGTCTGCGTCCGCGTGTAGCGAGACGTCTTCAACTTTAGTCCAACCATTGTAGGTGGACGAGCCTGGTGGATGATAGTAGGAAACCAGGCCCGAGTTGTCGAAAGATTCAGGAATATACTCGTCAACGACCGCCAAATATGCAATGGACGCCAAAAATGAAGTCAAGATGGTGAAATGGATAGGCTTATGTGCCGATATGCTAGCCACAGAGGCGGTGACTTTTGTGACAAGATTGAGCATTGGCAGAGGCACGGCTTGACTTCGATAACAATAGAAGCACGAACGGCAGCTTCAGCAAACAGAAATGGAAGTGGACAAGTACGCTGGCCCGATATTTTTTTCAAGAAACTCGATTCTTGATGATGCACGCTAGACTTTTCTGGCCAATGGTGTCTGTTGTCTTGGACGTTTTCTCTTTTTTTTTTTTCTTTTTTCGATAATAGCGTGGTCTATACGAAGAGGCGCGCAGACTACAGACACGTCCGTTGAGCGGCACGGGTGTTGAACAGCAACTCCACCCTCCAACAAAAAGGAGCATGCGGACAAGAGCCTAGTCAAAAGGTGGCTTTGGATGTGGCACTTGTCTTGCAAGCACGTTTTGCTTTATTGTGGGTGGAAAAAAGAAAGGGAAAATTGTTTAAACCACTCAACAACAATCTTTGGGTGAGCAATTGTGCAGGCGAACCATGGCTTTATAGCATCACATGACCAGAAAGAAAAGTGGTATGCGTAAACGAGGCTAGGACTATCGGGCGCAATCAAAAGCCACCCATGAATAAGACCCTAAGAGAGGCGCGAGACGACCCTACATAGATGGGGACAGCATCACGTGCAAAAGAAAGGGCCCCACCCAAACGATCGGGATACTATCTGCTTTGGGAAGAGGATAAATATCTCAAACGGGCGAAAAAGGCGCTTCGGCGCATCCGAGCTGCAGCCCTTCTACTTCTACTACTACCGCCGCCAAGAACCTATTGTGTGTCTACGCTTTGCCAAATATAGAACCGTGTGGTTGTGGCTACGCATTCTTTTCGTATTCCCGTTGTTTGTCATATGCGCGGACCTCGTTGCGCTTGCATTGACGGAAGACAAGGTGGTTAGATCATGCAGGCATACGGACGCGGGTGCGAAAATTATACGCCCTGGCGCCTTCTATTGTCAGGCACCGCTTTCATAATGAACGGTGGGCGGAAAGATGCCCAGCACAAAGTTTCGAAATTGAATTTTCCGTGCTTCGCTACTGGATCGCATTGTTACGCTGCTTCTAATTTCAACTTCTCTTGCATCTTGCGCAAGTAAATCTGTTTCAGACCCTGGAATGATCGTTTTGCACCCAATGTGATTTCATGGGTATAAAAGACCGTTCAACGACTCCCAAGTCCCATTGCTCTTCTCTATCATCGTATCCAAATGTAACAATGAAGCTTTCTTCTATCGCTGTTGCTCTTTCATTCGCTTTAGCGGCTCAGGCCCAAGCTGTTCCAGCTATGGCCGATGACGTGACTTTGTCCAAGAAGGATGTTGCTCTCGCAAATGACCTCATCTCATCTTTGGACAACTTCAAGGCTAAGAGAGACTCTATCTCGGACCCTGCTGAACTTGAGGCTAGAACTTTTGGTATCATCCCAAAAATCTTGGGTGCAATCCACACGTCTTTGGGTTCCATCATTATTGATGGATTGGTCAACAACCCAATGTTGAGACCTCTTGTCACTGAAAACATTTACACCTTTGTTGCCTCCGGTGAAATCTCTGTTGAAGTTATGTACCAGGCTTTGTTCAAGGTTGGATGGTGTGAAACCATCATTGAAAAGGTTGTTGCAAACTGTTTCTACTACGAGGAAATCTTCAAATTATCTAAGACTGAGATTATTGACTTGACAAAAAAGATTGAATGGAAACTCCAAGGTAAGGCCGTTACCATTGCAAAGAGAGACGATGTGAGTCCAGAAGATGAGGAACTCTCTAAGATTACTCTTCCAAACATTTCTAAGAGACATGAGTCCATCCTTATCAAGAACTTGTTGGGCTCCTTGGCTAACTCTGGATTGGCACCTGAAATTGTTAAGCCTTTGATCATTGACCCACAATTCTCTTCCCACGGTATCAACTTGATCTTCAACTTGTGCCAAGCTAAGTTTATTGTTATTGATGAGTTCATTAGTGTCTTCCTCAAGTCTGGTTTGGTCACTTCCCTTTTCAAGTGCTTTTTCAGAGTTGCTGAGTTGAAGATTAAGATCTTTGAGGCTTTGTGCTTCTCTTTCAAGCACTGTAATGGTCCAAGCATTTCTGGAACTCCTACTGGTTCCACATCTCAAACCTTGTCCTCCACAAGTGTTCCAAGCTTCACTGAAACCAAGAGTACTGACATTCCAATCAAACCATCAGACGTTCCAAGCATTCCATCTAACAGTGTTACTTCGACCACAGAAGTTCCAGGTTTCTCTTCTTCCGCTGTGCCTTCCAAGTCTACTGATTCTACTGACGTATCTAGCTCCGCTACGCAGCCATCTGAGACTTCTTCCAAGCCATCTCAAACTTCCTCAAAGCCAAACACTAGCCTGAAGCCTTCAACATCTGAGTCTACTGACGCCACCTCTTCGAAGCCATCTGAGACTTCCTCGAAGCCATCCACCACATCCGAGTCTACTGACGCTACTTCATCGAAGCCATCTGAGACTACTACTCAACCATCTCAAACTTCCTCGAAGCCATCTGAGACTACTTCTCAACCATCTCAAACTTCATCGAAGCCATCTGAGACTACTTCTCAACCATCTCAAACTTCTTCCAAGCCATCTCAAACTTCGTCTAAGCCATCTGAGACTTCTTCTAAGCCATCTGAGACTTCTTCTAAGCCATCTGAGACTTCTTCTAAGCCATCTGAGACTTCCTCGAAGCCATCTGAGACTTCTTCCAAGCCATCTCAAACTTCTTCGAAGCCATCTGAGACTTCTTCCAAGCCATCTGAGACTTCTTCCAAGCCATCTGAGACTTCTTCGAAGCCATCTGAGACCTCTTCCAAGCCATCTCAAACTTCGTCTAAGCCATCTGAGACTTCCTCGAAGCCATCTGAGACTTCTTCCAAGCCATCTCAAACTTCGTCTAAGCCATCTGAGACTTCTTCTAAGCCATCTGAGACTTCCTCGAAGCCATCTGAGACTACCTCTCAACCATATACCACTTCTCAACCTTCTGAGACTACTTCTCAACCATCTACCACTTCTCAACCAGACACTACCCAGCCATCAACTACTAAGTCTGGTTTCCCACAACCTTCTTGTGTTTGGCAATGTTACTGTAAGTAAATGAAAGGTTATTGGACCATTGACCAATCCCAATTCACTTCTCATTTATGATACTTACAGTTTATAACCCTCTACTTATACCTGGTAACCTCTAGCAAGAGAGATTTTTTTTCGGCTAAGTAGGATTCATTTGAGTGTCTACTGGTCGATTTTTTTTGTCTTTTCTAGCAATAAATTGTTACCGTCTTTTCTCAATTCTGAGTTTTTGTAGATTAATTTACGAAAAAATCAAGCTATTATGTTTTTTTTAGACTAAACCAATATATTTCAAATTAAATTTAATTTTTGAAATAAGGCGATTTCATTTCAATGACATAATGTACAGAATCATCTGTGAAGCATTTTCCTGTCTTTACTATTTTACATTGTTTTTTCATCCAGCATATTCACCAATGTCGCTGCTTCCACTTCCTTGTTTTACGCACATTGAATGATAAAAATTATAATGTCCAAAAGTCTACCACTGACAAACCCTTGAATGTGACGAAAAGGGTGCATGAAAGGTGGGTTAATTGTTAGTCGTAGGCGAGAACATAAACACACAGAGCATAGTTCGCTACTTTGTTGCAACTTACGAGTTTATTGCGGTCGACGACAATAAGAAATCATGCAATAAAGCAACATTCGTATCGGGAAAAAATCGAAATAGGACAGGAAAGGACAAAAGAAAGAGGACAATTTAGCCCAATCAAGCAACCGCGAGATCGCTGAAAGTGGAGGCGTGAAGAATCCGATACCGCCCCACTTCTAGATTAGGAGAAGCCATGTATTGTTTATGCTAGATTCGCCCCTGGCAACTTTACCCCATTGTGAAGAAGACATTCTACATTATTTTTCTTGCTTCTTCTTTAGAGTTTGCCTTGCATATGCGCACTGCAGGACAGAACGTCAAGCTTATTGTTCTACGCAAACTGTATGCGCCGTAATTTAAGTGTATTCTAGCCGCACAGCATTTCGCCATAAGATGCGAAAACACCAGGAATGTGCATGTCTTACCTGTACATCTTGAGCCGACTAGTCAGGATTAGACGAAGAACCATGTGAATTCTCTGCTGGTCTCGTGGCGTCATTGTAGACAATCAACAAGACGACGAGAAAATGTAACAGAGGAGAATGTAACGCGATCGTGCAGCAAAAGACTCCTGAGCATTGAAATAGCGAGTATAGTGTTCAATACTCTTAAGAGATAACCAAAGTAAAAAAGTTAGTTAAAAATACATAAAACCGGCATATACTACTGCCAATATTTATTTTCCAATTCGGGCGTGTGGCGTAGTTGGTAGCGCGTCTGCCTTGCAAGCAGAAGGTCACCGGTTCGACTCCGGTCTCGTCCATTATTTTTTTTGCACATTTTCATGTCCTTTTTCATTTTTGCTGCTGCCATTTTTTAATATTTTCGAACTATATTATTTCGTTCAATTATTGCATTTCTCGAATTGAAACCTTCGTCAATTTCCATCGTAGTATCCTGCACACAATAACGCGTCTCCATAAACATTCAAGCTGCGTTCGTTTTCTTTTCTTAGTGCCAGTATCTAATATGCCAGGGTATGTTACAGCGAAGCACAAACTAAGAATTGAAAAGAGACTAACATATTTAGTGAAGTTGTGACCTTACAATCTGGCCAATGTGGGAATCAGGTCGGCTTTCAGTACTGGTCGCAAATGTCGTTCGAACATGGCATCCAACCAGACGGATTGGCTTTAGAATACGACAACAATGTTGTACAGTTTGAGAGTGATCATCCCGAGTGGGGTATTGATAAAGATGTGAAGCACCAGCGGACAGATAGAACAGACGTATTTTTCACGTCGAACGACCAGAACAAGTACACTCCGCGAGCAATTCTAATAGATTTGGAACCATCGGTGATAAATAGAGCAACTAGCGATATGCCCATGTTCAATCCTCGAAACATACACATGAGTGCCACAGGCAGCGGTGCTGCTAATAACTGGAAGCGTGGGTACGATTATGGAAGGGAGCATGAAGAAGAGTTGATTAATTTGATTGACAGAGAAATAGACAAGTGCGACAATCTTTCTGCTTTCCAGCTTTTTCATTCTGTTGCAGGCGGTACTGGGTCAGGAGTGGGAAGCTTGTTATTGGAGATTTTGAATGATCGTTATGGTAGCAAGAAAATACTCAGCACATTTCTGGTTTTCCCTTCGAGTGACAAAACTTCGGACGTAGTGGTGCAGCCGTACAACACCGTCTTGACATTGAAAAGACTCATTGATTTTAGCGATGCCACTTTCGTCTTCGACAATGACTCTTTGAATTCTCTCGAGGCCACATTTATGGGCAGCAATCCTAACAGAGGTGTATCTCTGAAGACGGCATTTGAAAGCGCCAATAAGCTCATCTCATTTGTTGCATGCGGCATAACGAATCCATTGCGCTTTCCCAGCTACATGTACAGTTCTTATGAATCCATTGTCTCAACTTTGGTTCCAACACCAGATTTAAAATTCCTTTCCTCTGCCATTGCTCCGCATTCCCAAATCCCAGGCGTTCCTCTGAGCCAGAACTACGTGAGCTTGAACGAATACGACATTGTTTTGGAGCTCCTCAATAACAAGTATAAGATGAACAGAACAATCGAAAACCCAAAGTACATCTCTATGCTAGATTACGTGATTTCCGACTCCGTGAACCAACAGGAAATCTGGAAAGGTGTCACCAGGGCACTGCAAAGAGTTGAATTTGTTCCGTGGGCATCGTCCACCATCCATGTTGTAAATGGTCGAAAGTCACCGTTTGCGCCCAAGGACGGGATCAGTGGCTTACAGATATCCAACAACACGTCCAACATTGGTCTTCTTACGAGAACTCTTAGACAGTACGACTTGCTTGCGAAAAGATCGGCCTATTTGAACTACTATACCGACTCTGACGATCCAAGCGAGAGACTGGAGATACTAGAGAAGTTCAATGAGAGCAAAGAGACTATCTTAAGCGTCATTGATGAATACAAGCAGTGCACATCAATGTCATATCTTGAGGATGACATTTTGGATGAGGAAATGATGTCATAACAATAGCATTTGAATACCCATAAACAAGACAGTTGGCTATGAAACAGGGATAGAAACGGCACGCGGAATTTTAAAAGAGTGCTTACAAATCTTTCCGTGTATTTTCCTTGCCTGCCACCATTTTGATCGTTATCTCGCGCCATACACGTCTATCTGCAGGTTATATCCCCTTTTGTGGCATTTTTCGATCCACACCCTGTCAAGTGTGCGTCCTATTTAATTGGCATTCCCCCGCCACATACAAGTGGTTAACTAAGAAATGTCTCACTTGATTTCCGAAAGAGCAAAAGCGCGTTCCAGAATCCATTTCACAACTGCAAACTTGAAGGATGCGCCAGAAGGGTTCAAGCCACACCCAGCACCTTTAGTTTTGGACTTTGGAACACCCAATGCTGGTTTTTTTCTAATCAGCGGGATTCAAGCCAATGTGATTGACTATCCATTCCAGGAGTCACTCGCTCTACCAGTTGGAAACGCTTCTCTTGAAAACTTGAATAACTTCAATGGATCGAGCTCAACTGTTGTGGAGGACCAAATCCTGAAATTGACGATCAATGTCGAGGCTAAGAATAGAGTTCAAATAGCCAAACGGACAGACGACCCGAAGTTGATCGATTTGGCGCGTGGTTTGCAATATTCGGAAGTGGAGGGCATTCCGCAATTACGCAACTTCACTAAAGAGCTTATCAAAAAAGTACATCCTCCTGCATACGACGATTGGACTACAATCTTAAGTAACGGGGCAGGAGATGGACTAAACAAAGCAGCAGATTGTTTCTTGAATGAGGGGGAAGTGGTCTTGATTGAGGAGTTTACCTTCACTCCCTTTTTGCAAAATGTTTCCAATGTGGGTGCGATTCCAGTTCCAGTCAAATTGAACCTTTCCACTACCCCAGGTGAAAGTAACGGTATTGATTTTGAGTACTTGAAGGACTTGTTGGAAAATTGGGATGAGAGAAGACCCGAATTGAAAGGTAAGAAGCCAAAGGCTCTTTACACGATTGCTACAGGTCAAAATCCAACAGGCCTTACTCAGAACTTGGAGTTCAGAAAGAAAGTATATGCGTTAGCGGAAAAATTTGACTTTGTAATCATCGAAGACGATCCTTATGGTTATTTGTCCTTGCCTCCTTATTCAGAACCTACTTCTATCTACAGATTGAGTGACTTTTTGACGGTTGACGAGTACCTCAAGGACCATTTAGAGCCTTCATATCTCACTATTGATACTTCTGGACGGGTGTTACGCATTGAAACATTCTCAAAGCTCTTTGCTCCAGGCTTAAGATTGGGTTTTATTGTGGGCCACAAGAACGTCATCGAGGCCATCTCCAACTACGCAAATGTGGTAACCCGTTCATCTTCTGGCACTTCGCAATTGCTAGTGAATAATGTTATCGAGCAGAGCTTTGGTGGCGTTGATGGTTGGCTTGAATGGATTTTGAAAATGCGCCACACTTACACTAACCGCAGAAACGTTTTGCTCTTTGGATTGTATCAGCTGCAGGCCTACAAGGCCGGCTACATTGATGTAATTGATCCACGTGCTGGTATGTTTGTCAGTGTTATTATCAAGTTTCCAGAAGGAGTCGATGCAATCAAGAAAATAGAGTTGTTGCAATGGAAATTCCGGGAGTACGGTGTCCGCGTTGTTGCGGGCATTAACATGGCGGTTGATCGGAAATTCAGCGTTGAACGTGGTCACTTTTTCCGTTTAACTTATGCTCCAGCTAATAATGACGAGGAGTTGGTTGAGGGTGCCAAGAGATTTGGAGAGGCTGTGTATGACTTCTTCCAAAAAGGGTTGGAGTTTTAGCCCTGTGTTAGAGTATGTACGATTCTTATTGTAAAACTATGTATTTTGGCCCCTGGCAATGAATCTGTTCCACCAACTCAAGTCACGGGATTGACAAATAATAAAAACTCATGTATGAAGCTCATGATAAAAACTTAATAATTCGTTTTGGTTTGCAATAAGAGGAGAACAGTAATTCTCTAAAAATCGATTTCGGCGACACGAACGACGTAAAGCTGTATTGATGCCAAACTTCAACTCTCATGATGTTTATTTGTGAGGCTATACGGTCACATGACCATTCCTCGCACTCATGATCCTCCAAGGGGGTCTTTCGACCAGGCCTATTCTGACTTTTTCTTAGGAAAAGATAAATAATATTTATTCAGACATGTCTTTCAACTTCGCTAAGTTCACCGATAACTTGAAGAATATTGGTGACAAGGTCACATCAGAGTTCAACAACGAAGTGTTACCTTTTGCTCAAAGAACTACACGTAGAGTTCAAGAAAGAATTGGTAAAGTTGACGTGGATGAGATCAGTCAATTACCATCGGAATACACCTCGTTGGCCGAACGTTGCAACAATGTCGAGAAGTTGTACAAGAATGTCTTGAAAGTGACCCAGAACTACGAGAACGAATCGTACGATTACCCAACCAACTTGCAAGAGTCCTTCACGGAGTTTGGCAAAAACTTTTCCAACCGCGTTTCGAACTTGTCTAAAGCTACCACTCCTGCTGAAGCACAGGCCGCTTTAGTGCATCCAAATGGGGAGTTCAAGCCTCCAAAGACCTTGTATCACGCTCTTGCTAGAGCCACAGATGGTTCTGTTTTGACTTCGTCTACAGACCAGAACAACCAGGACACATTGGTTAAGGCATTGGACTTATACTCCTCCAACTTGAATAAGATTGCAAACGCTCGTTTGGGCCAAGATCAATTGATCAAGTCGAAGTTCAATGCGCCTTTACAAACTACGTTGAGATCGCTCATCTCCCAAAGCAGTGCTATTCAAAAAAAAGTTGAGCAAAAGAGAATAGACTACGACTTGGCCAGACAGGCGTTGAAGAACTGCTCGAATGCATCGAAGGAGCCACAATTGAGAGTTGCCATGGAAAACGCCGAAGACGAATTTGCCAATTCCGTCGAAGATGCTCTCAGTGTCATGCAAAATGTCTTGTCACAATCTAAACCTCTTGAAGAGTTCTTGGAGTTGATCAAGGCTCAATTGGCTTACCACAAGCTAGCCAGCGAATTGCTTGGCAACATGGTTGGTGGGTTTGAAACATTAATTGATGAAGACACGAACAACGCCAGCAAAGCCGGCGATGCTAACTCTCCACAATCTGGTGAATTTGATATCTAAGCCTTCTATCGAGTAATATACGACATAAAGTGCAAACGAATTTGATTCCTAGGTAAGTCTATATACACATTCACTCTGCTAGTTTGAGAGCCTGCAACCTAAGGTCCGGAGCTGACTGGTCAACAGCAAATCCAAAATTACCTTCCAATAACTTAGCATGGATCGATTGCAATGCCCTTATGGTGTCCTTGGCATTTATCACTGCGGAAATATTGATTTCGTTGGCACCTTGACTGATCATTTCAATATTTATTTTTTCATCAGCTAGAACTTTGAACATGTTACCGGCAATGCCAATGAAATTCACCATTTGTTTACCAACCAAGGAGACGATTGTCATATTTCTCGTGACATCGACAGTACCCATTAAGCGCAACTCTTTCAAGGCATGTTTCAAGTGAGCCTCTTGGTCTTGCTGGATTTGCATCGCCATAGATACATGAACTTCGGATGTGGAGATCAAATCAACAACCAACTTGAACTTGTCCAAGGTGGTAAACAAATTAGCCAAAAAGCCGTGCGATAAAGTTTTCTTGTTCGAATGGACATTGATAACAACAATGTCCTGCTTGGCCGTGATCGCCGTGGCTGATTTTCTCTTGTGAGTCTGGATGTAGTTTGAAGACAAAGTCTCGTAGGCAGCAGGAGGATGTGGCGGCGTATCCTCGCCCTTTCTACCAATGTTGTCTGGGTAAATAATGGTGCCCTTTCCTGAGGGGTTGTCCACGTTTTTTATTCTGATGGGGATTTTGGCTCGAATCACCTGCTCCATGGTAAATGGGTGAATAACTTCGGAACCGTAGTATGTCAACTCAGCTGCCTCATCTGGAGTAACACTTTCCAACAATCTAGCATTAGGCACTTTTCTTGGATCAGCAGTGAAAATACCATCTACTTCTTTCCAGATTTGTAATTCTTCTGCTTGGACTCCAACAGCAATCAAGGCGGCACACAAGTCAGTGTAACCACGTCCGACACCATTTAGCAATCCACCAGGCACGGTACCGAAGTATCCAGTGAACACAGGAATGACGTCTGGCGCTAAATCTTGGGCGATTTTGCCCAACTGCGTAGCCAAAAACTGGTAAAAACTGTCGTCAAAGCCTTTGGAGAAATCGTAGTCCAAGGGAATTACATCAGACAAATCCACGTAAACAGCTTTCAAGCCGTGGTCGTTCATCAACGCTGCCATGAAAAGACACGACAATTTTTCGCCAATAGACATTATGCTGTCTAACGTTCTAGGGCTGATTTCGCCAATGATCATCGAAGCATGTAAAAGCTCATGAGCCCTGGCGATCTCCTTGCGAGTGTTTTCGACCAAGTCTGCTTTTATATTCGTGTCGGAGATCCGCTCCAGAGCATTTTGCACATGGTCATCTTCAATAACTTGCAATAGAGTGGTAAAGTCGCCGTTTTCCGAAGCAAGGTCTGCGGCTTTGAGAAGTCTGGAAGTGGTACCTTCGCTTTTCGTATGGGAAGATCTGGCGGAACAGACAACAGCGACTCTGTTCTCTTTGCTGAATTTCTTCACGATGTTGTCAACGATGTTTTCTGGAAATTTTCCCACAGAAGTACCGCCGAATTTTTGCACAATCCAACCTTGGGGAGAAAGTGCTTTAAGATCGAGAACCGAATTATACGATACAGCCGAGTGGGCCGGAGATGGAGAAGCCATTATGTAATGAAAAAAATGCAAAAAAGTGCCTGTGTGCCAACAGTCAGCGTGGTTGATGTGTAAATATGATTATCTCGATATGAGTCTCGCAAATGAGTCAAGTTTCGCCGGGCCTGTATCGCGTGAAAATTGTCCGCGGTCACGTGTCAACATCCGAACAACGCGACACGAGGCTAGAAGAACGGTTATAGCGCCTAAATGGAAATTCTCAACGAAAGAAACACCAAAGTCACCGGCTAAATATTGCCAACCAAGACATTTCTGTACTCTTGAATCATTTGTATATCTAGCACCTTTCAAAGTCACATCTTTTTTTTTTTTAATTCCAATTTATTTTTTCTCTTTGCACCGAACCATGTTAGATGTATCATCAGACTACGGGTGGTGCATACAAATTTAACGTGGAGTGATTTGGAGATGACCTTCACTTGACATTTTCTTCAACACCACTGACCATGGCGAAAAGAACAGCCGAAAGAACAGAGGACAACGGTGAAACGAAAAGGTTGGACACAAACTTTACCCACGAGGAAATCAAGTCGTTTTTGAACGCTAAGATCTTTACAAGCGATTTTCAAAACCAATTGGAAAATGACATCAAAAACAGCCAACCGTACAGATGGGGCACTGTCACAGAGCTTATGGATGACACATTGTTGAGAAACGTCCGCAAAGAAGTTTTGTCCGAGATTGCCTTCACGAAAAAGGAGACCGACATTTACAAGGTTTATCAGTCTGGTGATTTGGCAAACTTGTCTGGGCTCGATTGGGATGACTTATCCAGACTTCCATCATTGTACAAGTTACGAGCAGCTATCTACTCTCAAGAGTTTCGGGATTTTATTTCGAAAGTTACGGGGTGCGGTAAGTTGAGTGGATCTAAAACTGATATGTCCATCAACACTTACACCAAAGGATGCCATCTTTTAACACACGACGATGTGATTGGATCTCGGAGAGTCAGCTTTATTCTCTACTTACCAGACCCTCAGTTCACTTGGAAGCCACACTATGGAGGTGCGTTGAGATTATTTCCTGCAATTGTCCCTAATGTTCCTCAGGCGGACTTCAGTGCCAAGTTGGTTCCCCAGTTCAACCAGATTGCATTCTTCACTGTCCAACCAGGACTTTCCTTCCACGACGTTGAAGAAGTTCGTGTTGATAAACAAAGATTGTCCATCCAAGGGTGGTTTCACATTCCCCAGCCAGGCGAGGATGGCTACATTCCTGGTGAACAAGAGGAGACTGAAGCTAAAAGCACCTTACAGCAATTGCAAAGTAAGGAGTTACAGGAATACGATTTCCCCAAGCCATTCAGAAATGACATTCCTGCCGAGGAGCTCAAGATTTACGATGCATTGGACCCCGCTGGGCATTTCACTGCAGAAGAAGAGGCGTACTTAGCTCAGTACATCAACCCCATTTACTTGGGTCAAACTGCGATTCTGAAGTTGAACTCAACGTTCGCCGAAGAGTCTGTGCTAGAGATCAATCTGTTCTTGAGAGACGAATATGCGCATTTGCTTAGAGAGACGCTTCGGAGAACTGAGTTGGAGAACAAAGTACCACAGGTTGCTAGCGAAATCCACAGTCCGTGGAAATGTGCGGTGCCTCCCCACAAGCAACGGTACATGTATATTGATGGCAAGTCGTCTTTTCCTCTCACCGAAGAGTCTATTAGACACGTGAACCACATTGGTCCACAGGAGTTGCCAAATTTTGAGCTTGCAAAGCAATTGAGCCCACAAGAAACCGAGCGCAAGATACTTGAGTTGATGGGTCTCATGAAGTCTATCGCCTATAGAAAGTGGTTGATCTATGTTACAGGACTCGTTCCTACCAGTGACCAAATCCTTGCCAGGAAGTTTAGACCAGGTCACGATTTCATCTTGGCCACAACAACCGACAAGAACTTGGCTAGAGAAAATACACCTGAATTGAATGTGTTGCTAGAGGCAACTCTTGGTCTTACACCCACAGCGGACAATCCAAAAAATTGGGAATCGGGCGAATTTGGTGGCTACGAGTTATGTATGGCCATGAATGGTGCCGACAATGACTCTGAGTTCGAAGACGATGATCCAGCTGTGTACCGAACCAATGACCCTAATGATGATTCCGTATTGTTTACAAGCCAGTGCAAGTGGAACACTTTGAACCTTATGTTAAGAGACCCTTCAGTGTTGAAGTTTGTCAAGTATGTGAGCATTAATGCAAAGGGCTCAAGGTGGGATATTAGCGCCCAATGGAACGTTAAATACTTACAGGAGGAGGCAGAGGAAGAAGAAGAGGAAGAACAAGAGGAGAAAGACAATGCATAGGATCCATCTAGGGCAGCATTATCCTGTGTGATGTCTAATGAACATATATAATGTGATCAACGTCAAAAATTAGCGAGTAAGCAGGCCACGTATGGAACATATTTTGAGTGTATGACATGCTTAGGACAAGTAATATTGAAAATAGCTGTCACACTCCATGCACTTTTATCTCGTAAGCGCATCAACAGGCACTCTTTCACCTATTAAGAGACACATATCTGCTGCCTTTCATCATTGCAACTTCGGTATTCCTAAAGTAGAAATTTCATCCATATGGAGGAAGCTCTAATATTGACGATAAGGCGAGGCTTTCCTGTGCAAGGTGACGAAAACGCTACAAAAGCGGTAGAAACCGATAATTGAAAGAAGATTTAACCTCGGGAAAGAGGCAGGCTATGCGCTTAGCTTATAGACCAGAAAAGCCAAAGAACATCAAACCCCGCAGCAAATGGAACCGATAACAACAGGATACACTTATCTCAGAGGCTTGAAACATTGTAGTGAAATATAACCGATTTTGGGTTAGAATCGCGAACAATCCGGGTAAATGCATCCGGGCTTTTTTTCCGCCTAGGGTGCGACTACCCGCGCCCAGTTTTGCTTCTGCCCACCAAAAGTAGAAAACCCACTCTTTCCCCATCCGTCTGACAACCAAGTAATTATGGCCAACTCTGAACCTAATCCAGTGGTTGTTCTTGCCTCTGTTGCCACATTCATTCTGGCTTTCGTTGCTCTCTACTTTGTCAAGCAGAACAAGAAGAACCAACCTGTCTTGCACCCTACCGAGTACAGAAAGTTCCCATTGATCGGAAAGACCAGAGTGTCCCACAATGCATGCGTGTACAAGTTTGGTTTGCCAAAGTCCACTGACAGATTGGGCTTGCCAATTGGTCAGCACATTTCCATTTCGGCTGTTATTGATGGTAAGGAGATTGTGAGATCGTACACACCAATTTCCAACGACGAACAATTGGGCTCGTTCGACTTGTTAATCAAGACTTATGAGAACGGAAACATTTCGAGACACGTTGAGTCCAAGAAAATCGGCGAGCACATCCAAGTGCGTGGACCAAAGGGTTTTTTCACTTACACCCCTAACATGGTCAAGAGCTTTGGAATGGTGGCTGGTGGTACTGGTATTGCACCAATGTACCAGGTGTTGACTGCGATTTTGAACAACCCTAAGGACAAGACCAAGATCTACTTGGTCTATGCCAACGTGGCCGAGAACGACATCTTGTTGAGAGCCGAGTTGGAGAAGTTGAAGGAATTGCACCCAGACCAATTCTTCATCCACTACGTGTTGAACAACCCTCCAGAGAACTGGGACGGCTCTGTTGGTTTCGTGACTCCAGAGATTATGGACAACCACTTGCCTAAGCATAACGAGGACACCAACTTGTTGATTTGTGGTCCTCCATTGATGGTTTCCGCCATCAAGAAGGCTGCTCAGACCTTGGGCTACCCTAAGGCCAAGCCTGTCTCCAAGTTGGGTGACCAGGTTTTTGTTTTCTAAGTAGCTTAAATACAAGGCGCACTTCAAACCGCAGGGAATATCAATATCGATCTTAAAGTGAACTTCGCTGATTCTTGAATTATCCATTACGGGTTTTAAACGAACGGCTATAACTTCAACGAATTTCGTGTCTGATGTTTACTGTTGATTTCTTGGCTATGCGCATGAACATCTGTCTCCTGCTATACGATATCGCATCTTCAAATTCTCATTCCTTCGTGTCTTAACTCCACATGTTTGTAGTTTTTACACTCCTCGATTCCCGTGAAGATAGCGTAGATTGTTTCCTCGGATGCTTACGGATTTACTATTGGATCCTGTTTTCCCAGCCGTTATCACATGATCTTATCTTCTCCACAGGCTGTTTATCCGATCGTAAAGGCTGTATGCCGCGCCGCATGTCGTTTATTTTCCTCTTCAGCCTTGGTGCGACATTCCGCATGACCCGCATACAAGTGACATAATCAGGTCTAGGTTGCTGCTTCACGTTTCTCTTTCATCACAACACCAAGTTTCTTCTTCGCAGCTTCCAAAACAACATAATTTTCATAGTCCTGGTCTGTCTATGTTGTTTCTCCCGTTTTTAATATCGTCTATTTATGCCCTGGCACTACCCCCATGGGAACTATCCGACTCCTATATACTAGACGCCATCTCCGAAGACAAGGTTGAGATTGATAACATCTTAAAGTCGCCCATAAACTTCAAGGATTTCCCGCCTTTACTCAGGCTGCCTACAGATGAGGAGCGAACTATAAAAGATGGCGAGATTCCCCGCTATGTTATTGATTATGCGCCGCTTGTTCATCTTTACTCCGAAGAGCGATACTGGCCCTATGATATCGCTGATTTCGTGGAACATTTTCACGCCACATACAAGAATGGCACTCGGGTCACAAACGACAAGCTCAATATCTCTACTTTGGGCGATTTGCCTGATCTTCGTTCCATATATTTGACGGCAGACGAGGATTTCGATATGGACCCAGACTGGATCACGGGCTCGCACAATAAACCGTCCCTTTTGAGCGGTGAAATCAAAGATGCACCGGCTACACTCATCGTCGTGGATAAGGGGAATGGGTGGGTAGACGCATTCTGGTTCTACTTTTATTCATTTAATTTGGGTCCTTTTGTCATGGGATCCGGTCCTTACGGCAACCACGTGGGCGATTGGGAACATTCCCTCGTTCGCTTCCATAATGGGGTGCCCATGATAGTTTGGATGTCTGCTCATGGCGGTGGTGGCGCATACTATTTCCACAATTTGGAAAAACATGAACTAGATCCCAACCACCCGATTATTTTCTCCGCCAGAGGAACACACGCTAATTATGTTTCCGTAGGTACGCATCCTCATGATCTACCTTACGACATCTTGTGCGACTTTACCGATAGAGGTCCTTTGTGGAACCCCACCAAAAACTATTTGGGATACACGTACGACGGTAAGTACGTATATCCAGCCGAAAATAATACAAATGCGAAGCACAAGGGAAGAGAGCTTCGCTACGGGAACTGGCTTACTTTTTCAGGCCACTGGGGCGACAAGAAGTTGCCTGATAATGACCCAAGACAAGAACACTCTCTCATTGGCGGATACAAGTATATCGATGGACCTCTGGGACCATTGAAGAAGAACTTGTTGCGCATAATCCCTTGTGAAAGACACAAGTGGTGGAATTTCTGGAACGGATGCAACGTTCGGGAGAATATCAAGTGGGGAATAGGTGTTGAGAGTGAAGGCTACAACTGTGGCAATATTTTTGTCAAGGTGCGCCCCAGGTTCATCAGAAACCTCCTACAGAAAATCACATGGGGCGGTGGCTTTTGTTTCGTGGTTGATTTAATTTATGGTTAACACGGTTTCGTGTTCGTCCCAGGGTGTGTACTGTATAAGCTTATTACTTTCTTTTTTTTTTTTTTCTCTCACAAAAATTCCTACGCATTAGTCATGTTCTCATGTACAGAAACGACCATAATGCGGCGTTTTCATTTTGCCGTGAGTTCGCACATCGGTGCCTTATTGGGCCCTTCCGATGCGTTATGTCTTTATCTCAAACGCTTTGCGAAAGTGCTGAAAGAGAATATAAACCATTGCTAATATCCTACAATTTTCAATAAGTTGATAAGTTGCACAAGACAATATTGTAGCATTGCTTTTGTAATCATCTACTGCAGAAAGAAGTTTCTTCCCATGTAGCATGCAGCATGGCCGTTAGGTGCTATAACCGGTTCCTGCAAAGTGTCATTTTTATCTTGCTCCAAAAGTTCACGCACTTTATTTCTCTCCAGCTGCTTATACTTTTCCTTCTGCGATATGGATAACACTAAAACAGAGTCCTACGTCGAGGGGTACTCCGAGTCATACGAAACAGAGGCTCATCTGAGATGGCAGAACTTCAAAGACTCGTTTAAGCGTGTTTCGATGGAGGAAGAAGACGAGGATATGTTCAGATCCATGACAGACATAGAAAAGGCCAATCTTCTAACATCAAAGTCGCCTTTGCAACGGAAGCTCAAATCCAGAAATATCACCATGATAGCCATCGGGTCATCTATTGGCAGTGCCTTATTTGTCGGTTCTGGTGCCGCTTTGAATACCGGCGGTCCCGCTGGTATCTTGATTGCATGGACAATTACAGGTTTGGCCATTTTCACCACAATGCAAAGTTTGGGCGAGTTGTCAGTCGCCTTCCCTGTGAGCGGAGGCTTCAATCTATATGCTACTCGATTCATTGACTCATCGGTTGGATTTGCTGTCGCTTGGAACTACTTCATCCAGTTTTTGGTTTTGCTTCCGCTTGAGCTTGTGTCCAGTTCTATCACTATGCAATTTTGGAACAACTCCGTCAACCCAGACGTATGGGTTCTCATCTTTTACATTTTTGTTTGTTCCATCAACATGTTTGGTGTCCGTGCCTACGGAGAAACTGAGTTTCTCTTTTCTGCCATCAAAGTCGTTGCCGTTGTCATGTTCATTATAGTCAGTATTGTCTTGGCTGCCGGAGGTGGGCCAAACAACAAGTATGTTGGTTCCGAATATTGGCACAACCCAGGAGCTTTTGCCAACGGATTCAAGGGTTGTGCCTCTGTCTTCGTTACTGCTGCATTTGCATACGCTGGAGTCGAACTTGTTGGTCTTGCTGCTGCTGAATCGGAAAATCCCAGAAGAGCATTACCTCGTGCTATCAAGCAGGTTTTTTGGAGAATTTTGATGTTCTACTTGGTGTCGCTTACTTTGATTTGCTTCTTGGTGCCTTACAATGACGATAGATTGCTTGGAGCATCTAGTGTGGACGTGAACGCTTCTCCATTCGTTATTGCAATTGAGCTGGGTGGAATCAAGGGCCTTCCTCATGTGATGAATGCTGTCATTTTGGTGTCAGTTATATCGGTTGCATCTACATGTGTCTACGCCACGTCAAGAACATTGACATCATTGGCTGAACAGGGTTTGGCTCCAAAGATTTGTGCCTACGTTGATCGTGCCGGAAGACCATTGGTGGCAATTGGAATCTCCAATCTATTTGCATTGCTTGCCTTCATTGCCGCAAGCGGAAAACAAGCTGAGGTGTTCAGCTGGCTCATGAGTATTTCTGCATTGAGTTCGATTGCGCTGTGGATAAGTATCAACTGGGCTTACATCAGATTTAGAAGAGGTTTGAAGGCTCAAGGTAGAGGCACGGACGAGTTAACCTTTGTTGCCCAAACTGGCACATTAGGGTCGTATTTCGGCTGCATTGTATTTGCGTTGGTTTTGGTTGCCCAATTCTGGATTGCCTTGTTCCCAATTGGAGGTTCGCCCAACGCAGAAGACTTTTTCATGACTTACTTGGGTGCAGTGATTTTGATTGTCTTTTACGTAGCCCATAAGGTGTGGAAGAGAAACTGGATTCTTCAAATTCCTGCCAAAGACCTTGATATCGACACGGGAAGACGTGAGCCTGACTTGGAACTTTTGAGAGAACAAATCAGACAAGAAAAGGCCATTTTACGCTCGAAACCATGGTACTCGAGATTCTACCACCTATGGTGTTGATTCTCTTTATTTCTCTTCTTTTCATGCGACCATTTCTTTTCATACTAAAACATCAACTTTTCTTTTAAAGCTTATTGTAATTTTGTATTCTGTATTTTGTATTTTTTTGTGTTTGCCCATTCATATGAACACATGTGTCGGACGTGATGCAAACTCCGATATCTTATTTTGCCAGATGTCGCGCATCCATCATCATAAGTCGCACCAGGGTCTAGTTCGCCTAATCTTCAGCACAGAAAATGTCCAAAAAGGGCAGCGTCCACAGTGGATTTAGTGGCGTCTTCAAGTCATTTACCAAGTCGCTAAAACCAACATCGGGAAATGTCCATGTTGTCTTCAATGCACTGGTCGTTGGTGGAGGTAAAGACATGCCGAAGCTACTACTTCAACTTCAAAGCGGATCATTGACATCCAGAGCCTCTGCTGCGTCTGAAATCACAGAAAATATAGAGAAGTACTCCATCTCCTCGATCCCAGAAGTGTGGTACCTTGCGAGAGACTTGTGCGACCATAAAGCTCAATCATCAATAAGAAGAGTGGCAGTGAAACTAATGATCCAATGTATCAAGCATGCCGAGGTTGCCGTGAGCAACAAACTAATGTTCTTCAACGATATAACAACGTATTGTCAACTTCGAGAGTCCAGTGTCGATGCCGAGTTCGATTTGTTTCTCAATGCATTGCGAAATCTTACCGATGATGGGAAGGATATTCACGATTTGTACATTTACGACTCGAGCAAAAACTGGCGCACATTCATTATTCAGAGCTTCTCGTCTCTTTCGAAAACACAGCTCAACAGCTCCGATGACTCTGCTCTGCGAAATCTACTTACGTTGGTGCGCTACTTGAAGAACTGTTTCAAATTCAACTCCAATGTCATTGACGAGGAGATGGTAAGTTCTATTATCCGCATCTCACTTCGTGTGTCCGAGTCCGTGCAGAATACGGATCTTTTATCTGCCCTTCTTGAGTTGATCAAGATAATACTGATGTTTGGATTTGTTCCACAAGACATGTACTATAATGTTCTCATTTCCTTATGTCGTCTCAGTGCATCTGCCGAAAACCTTAATGAGCTTGCCTGGGAGTCAATCAAATCTATGTATTACAACTCTCCGACTACAGTCTTCAATACCATGTGCCAAATACTCCAAAATCCAGAATTTCAGCAATTTGAATCATGGGATACTTTATCATCAACTATCCATGATCCATCACCCAAAAGCTCGGCTGCATTACAAAAGTCACTTTTGGGCGCCCTAGATATGCTAGAACGCATTCTCTTAGAGGCTGGTACGAGATCTTTTGCCACGGACTACACGTCAGACTTAACCATAACATCGTTGATAGATTGCATGAACCAAAAAGTGGGGGTTATAAATACTGGCATACTTCGAATGTTAGATCATCTTCTTGCAGACCATGAAGTCTGTGACGCCCTTTTCCCATTCCAGTCCTGGTATTCATCTTCGAGGTCAATCTTTCTTCTACTATCGAGTTTTCGAGTGCAACTGGAACAAGAATCAGAGTATTGGACATCTCTATGTTCTTCAATATTTCAGCATTTTGACAGCGGTTCTCTTCTTGCACCTAAAAGCAAAATCATTGACTTGTTTATGAGATACCCTGATCTACTTCCGAAAAATATCGCTGAGTATTGCCTACATTACTTCGAAGAGGAAAAACATTGTACCATACTTGATCCCTTTTCTAAGGAGAATTGTCGAAAGGTTCTTGACAGTTTCTATTATTCCCATGGGAAACCAAGAATACCATCTGAACTTAGAATAAAAGCTTTATCAACGATTGTCCACGGCTATGAATTTTCATTGGCTATGGCAGATGATTTTGCTATGAATAAGGACATTATATTGGATATTTTACGAAGTTCTTTGGATGAAGACGATCCAGCGGTACTCAGTTTTGTGGTAGAGAGTTTTCTTTCCGTGTTTCTTAAGAACTCATCGTTGGCACTTTTACAGTCATTGATTGCTCTTTTTATTCCATTATTGCAATCAAAAAGGAGACCAGACAGAATCAAGAGCATCGTGTCCTTAGGTTCGTATGGGTCGAGTTCCGTGCATCCGAGAGTATCATCCATCAAAAGCGTAAGCGAGAAACAAGAGGAGACCGTGTATGTCAGCCCAGGATACATCACTCTCTTAGCAAGGACATTTTGTAAACACTTTGTGATTTTTTGCGTGGAAGATGCCCTTAAAGCCAAGGAGACTTATGAGTTCTTGCTCCACATGCTCCGTTTCTGCTTGAATTCGGAAATGTATGAGCCGGTGATAGTATTGCTCAAATGTTTTATGAGGCTTCGTGCAACATCGGATCGGGTCTTGTATTTCACTGAACCAGCTAATATGGGGGGCTTAGCGACCGCATTGAAAAAAAATAAAGAAGACGAGAGCTATACTAACGAAGAAAACAATTGGTGGGTATATCCTGAGGGTTGTGATTTCCTTCCTAGGGAGTACTTTGGTAGGTATAATCAGAATTTACAGGCAGCTCAACCAGGATCTACAAGTCTTCATATTGGGCAACATGACGTGGTTCATTTAGACTTATCGCCGTACTTTAGCACAGTTCTCACCATCTTGGAGGAATTTTATCATTGGGAGGTGTATTCATTTGTCTGGGCACACTTATGTTCTCAATTAGCGAACAGGAGTTTCTTTGCTGGTCAAAGAGATTATATTATGAGACTCCATAAAGTTGTATGCGACCAATTGACTTTAAGAGTCCCGAAAAGCCTTGTGTTCCCTTTGAAGAATTCCGAGTTTACTAAACATGATTTGCAAGTGGTGTGCATCAGAACCATGTCATCTTTGATAGGGTACCACACGGACTTTAGAAAATCTGAAGAAGATCAAATAGTCAGCTCGCTTCTTTTCAGTTTAGATTCGTGGCAGCAAACTGCAATCCCTTGTTTCCATTTGCTAAACGTGTGCTGTTATGAAATCCCTTTATCATTGAAGAAATTCCTTACTGCCATTTTGACTAGATTGCAGAACGGAGTTACGAGTGCGTTTGCCAGTTCGCCAGCGCTTGAATTCCTTATGTCATTGATCCATGTTCCGTCCATGACTTCAAGCTTTACACTGGGTGATTTCAAGCGCGTATTTGCAATAGCTTTCAAGTACATCCAGTATGCTCTTGATGTTAAATCACGGGGTGCAAATTCACTCGATGGTGAACAACCATCCATTTTACAGAGCCATGGAGTGGATGCAGAGGTCGATAAGAAAGCGTCTACACAAGCTACTGAAATCACGCCAATACTCAACGAATATCTTCTAGTGGTCTCACAATTGGTGGTTTGTCTTCTTTTTTTGAAGATAAAATTGTACGATAGGCGCCATTTTAGTGGTTTCATTATCAAAAACATCATCATTTCAAGTGGGTGCAAAAACATTAGAGATTTGGATGAGCGGTCGATTGCGTTCTTGGACTTCATATCAAGGTTCACATTTAGTGACATACCACTTGAAATTGTCACGAACAATAAACGGACCAACTCGACATCACTTGTGAGCAACAAATGGATTGTGGGACACTCCATAATCACTATTGAAACAGAAAGTTCCAGCGGCAATTGCGCCATTACATTGAGAAGGCCGACAGGCATATCTGTATTTGACATGAAATTAGATAAGTCCATGTTGCCGGCGACGCTTCGTCAGGAAGAGAAGAAGCCCATTGTAACGAACGGATACTTTTTGTTACAAATGTTCAAGCCTCTCGATCCGTCGAACACTTCCAAACCTATTGCATTGCTTGAAGATGCCGCCACCGAACGAGCAATAAACACTTTGGACCGTCTTGCTGTTGTATCTCAACATAAGGTTGGAATTATGTATATCGGACCGGGTCAGAAGAGCGAAGAAGAAATCTTGGGTAATGCGGTTGGATCTGCTGCGTTCAATATGTTTTTGGATGGCATCGGCCACTTGGTTAGATTGAAAGACTGCCGGTCAGTTTATATTGGTGGTTTGGACTCGGAAAATGGCACCGATGGTGATTATGCCTACTTTTGGAGCGACCATGTGGCGCAATTGGTTTTCCACACAACCACATTAATGCCTACACTGGCTAGTGACAAGTATTTTTCATCCAAGAAAAGACATATTGGCAACAACCACGTGAACATTTTCTTTGACGAGTCTGGGGTTCCGTTCAATTTTAACGTGATCAAGTCACAGTTTACTTTCATGAACATTGTCATCTCGCCGCATACTGTGGCCCAGAATGGTGATAGCGAGTGCGATTTTTACATTGTGAAAACCTATCGGCGTAGTGGAGTGCCAGGTATTTTCTCCACCACGCATTTTAAACTCATTTCGAGAGAACAACTCCCGCACTTTGTTCGGAACACAGTTCTCTTGGCCGATCGACTTGCTCAAGTTTGGCATTATTCGGTAAGAGGAGATTACACCACAAACTGGGCACTTCGTGTCCGGCACATTGATGTCCTCACGCAAAAGGCTCTAGACTCCCATAGAGCCCTTAAAGATGAACAGCTTCGCTCGGGAGACCAATCTGGAGCGACGGAAAATGGTACGGCGACCGGTGAGAATGCCTATGTTGATATGACGCAGTCCTTCTTAGAACAGCTCCAGCCGACGTCTGTTGCCAGCGTTTCAAGCAGCCAGATTGCCTCCAAATTCGAGTACGTTTCTGACAACGACAACGAGGCATACTCGCTTCTAGAGTTCAACTCTTATGTTTGAGCAAGAATGTAATCTCCTATCGTCGGAGGTGAGGTTTCCAGACGGCGATAACGGGGTATTGCATACAAGCCACGGGAACACGAGGGCAATCATGGAGTTATAGCTCCGGCCTGGTCTATATTGCATTTATTGTCTTTACAAGTACTGCTTTATTCTTTCTTTGAGCTTGTCTGACACCTAGTAGCCATCATCTACTACATCCGAAACCCCAATGGCTCGTGCGTTCATGCAGGTGAAAATAGCTCTTGGATATCCGAGAATGGCGCAGATATGTAAGCTTCTCTCTAATGTGCAGGCAAGCCAACGGCTGTGGCGTCTTGCTAATCTCAATGCATCTGCTGCACTTAAAAAATGACTATGGACATTTAAGAGAAAAAAATTTCCTTCTCCAACCACTATTAGTACAAACAGCTAACCCGACGGTGGCCCAGCCCTACTGAAGCTTTGATGGCGATTCCCGACTTTCAGAAAATCACCTTGCTGGCGGTGAAATCAGTCCAGAGCACTTTGGTGAGCGAGAGAGATGCTCTAGCAAATTTGGCGGCGCAGTATCTGGAAAATATTGACTGCCAAGTGGAGCTAGTTAACGCGTTACGGCTTTTCTATGAGACCCATTTGCGTGGTGGGAAGATTGTAGCTTGCGGAGTTGGCAAGTCCTACAAAATTGCTACGAAAACGGTGGCCACTTTAAAGTCTCTCTCAATCAGCACAGACATTTTACATCCAACAGAGGCTTTGCACGGTGACCTTGGTTTGATCACTGAACGTGATTGTCTTTTCTTTTTCACGGCAAGCGGCAATACCCCGGAGCTTCTTGCTCTACTTCCTCATATACCTGCCCTGGTGCCCATTGTGCTTCTCTCATGTAATCGCGAGTCTAAGCTTTCCAAGTCCAATGTGGTGAAATCTCTATTGCAGATTGATCTTCCGGATCATTTGAAAGAGACAACCGTTCATGGAGTACCTGCGCCTACCGTTTCCACCACTTTGCAACTAGTCATGGCCGATTCCGTTGTTTTGGCCTTGGCGGAAATGATTGAAAATGATCACATCAAAAGGAAGAAAAAGTTCTCCATGAAACATCCTGGCGGTTCCATCGGCTCGGATTTGAGCCACTTGAATGACAATTTGCTACGCAGGGAATCACCTTCAACTTCGGCTTCTTCTGGTAGTTGTTCGTCTCTCTTATCCTTGGACCAATTACGAGAATGCATTCAAAGAAGCTCTGTGGAGGGTGGTGCTTCCAATGAAACGATTTCTTTGGATCTGGATTCAGAGAGCCTGAGTGTACACAGCTCTGACGTTGTCCTTTCTGTGCAAATCAAGAATACTTCACAAAATGCCATCAAAAAATACGACATTGAAACTCTTCGGACTTGGACTGAGGTTGAGTTTCTTAAAAATATTGCGTTGTATGATTACATCATATGCCAGGACGGAACTGTCGTTTCCGCTTGCAAAAGTTCCGATCTTCGGACATCGTATAAGTCCAAGATTTCTCAAGATGGGGCACTGTGGGAAAGTTTTGAACCAATGTTGAAAGAGTTTCACATTATTGAGCTCTAATTTTATATCTCTCTAACATTTTTTTTCATTTCTCTCTACGTTGAAGTATCGTAAAACCTTATCTGTAAATTGTATGTTTGTTGTTCATATCTTAGTTCATATCTTATCCCTAACGTGAATTACAAATATATTATTTTTATACCATAAAGAAAACACTAAGATGACAATTTGCAGCTTGTGTTGAGATCACCATCAGAAATGTTGGAAAAGGCGCTAATGGGTATGGTGCTTTTTACAGATTTGAAAATACCCAACCTAGTCCGAATATATGATACAGGCATTTCAGATGGATTCAACAATGATGAAACGTTCTTCACGACCGATCAGCTTCAACCAAAGCCGTTTCAGCTACAGCAATCATTTTCTCGACTGAAGCAAGGTGCTTGCCGTAACTGTTTTTCATCGAGAGCTGTTTCAAATATTGTCTCAACTTCACCACCAAGTCCTTCTTCTCTTTGCTCTTAGCATGGAAACACTCGACAAGTTTCTGGATCACATAATTGGCATATTGATCTTTCATCATCAAAGCCAACGGAGAGTCATCAGCGACAGTTTCCTTCTCCAAATCTTCATTTCCCAACATGACTTCACGCCAGATTCTTTTCCGTTGTTCTAAAGTGCCGTGTTTGATACACTTTTCTATGACATTAGAGGCGAACTTGTGTTTGGAGAAATTTACAATGGAGCTGAATGCAACTTCAAAAATCTCCTCTTTCTCACTTGGTGTTCCACGTTCTAATATATGTTGGATCACATAATTTCCATATTGATCCTGAATCAAGTAAAAGAGGAACCTGTTTAACTCAGCCAAAATATGTTGTTGGTCTTCAATATCTGAGTATTCTAACAACCGTTGAATTACCCGACAACCGTATGGATGAGTAGACAAGTGATAAATGTGGCTATCTAAGCTGTCCAAAATGAAGCGAACATTTTCAAACGGAATCTTCTCGATAGATTTTTGAATAACGTGATTACCATTTTGGTCCTTGGCGCATGAGAGAACATGATCTTTCAATTCCTCGACGATTTCGATTTGGTCTTCCAAAGGAATCGCTTCCAAAGCTCTTTGGACGACTCTGCAGCCATACATTTGCAATGAGAGTTCATGGATATTTCCTTTCATATAGCCCAATAAAATTTGTCGCTGACTATCAGATCCAAACTCGAAAAACTTCTGAATCACATAATTACCAAACACATCGGTCATCAAATCATAAGAAATATCTTGGATCTCGCTGAATACCATTTCCTTCTCCTCCGCTGTTGCACTAGGCAATTTCTGTTGAATAAATCTAGAGCCATGTTGATCTTTGGTGAACTCAACAACATGCCCATGAATATCCTTCAAGTAAAACTCTTTACTCTTGGGGTTGGAACGCACTTCTTCCAACAAAGGCGAGCGGTATATGTGATGGCTGCTTTTGCCACCATTATGTCCTCCTCTGCCGGTTTTACCTCTTTTTCCGTGATGAGGTTGTCCAGAAAGTGGTGGAACAAAGCCTTGAGCAGACGATCCTCCATCTGCTCTGACTTCTATCGGAGGAGGTGGTGGAGATACACCCTGAGGGGTTGGTGTATACATCGAATAAGGACTAAAAGGATGAAATACGTATCCTGCTGCACTTGGATGAGGTTGGCGACTCATTAATCCAATTCCAGGAATACCAGCATTTCTAGTTGGCAGCTTCGATCCTGTTACTGGTGCGCCTTCTTGTACCGGTTCAGTCGGTTTTTTGGTTTCGCTGACCCCAGAAACAGATGTACTATCACTTTCAGGAGTGCCTTCGGTACCACTCATCATGTTGCTGACTCCGCCTTCCATAAAATTACCCATCATGAAAGGGGGCGTATGAATTGGAGGCATCATTGGACCCGATTTAGGATAAGGATTTGGAGGAATAGGCGCACCAACATGGGGAAAAGGGGAGTTTTCAAGAAAGTAGTTAAAGGTTGCAGCTGGCGTGAAAGACGTTGCAGTAGCAGGATTCCAAAAACTTTGCGGATGCTTGGAAGCTGCCTTTGATGCGTCTGCCCCCGAAGCATTGTTTCCAGGATTGTTCAAATCTGAAGACAAAACTGCAGGGGTTTGAATAGGGGAGTTGTTGTTGAAATTGTCAATTTTTTCACTGATCGATTGGTGTCTCGAACCTCTGGAAGAAGCGATATTCAAATTCTCGTTCATGGATCCATGAGGAGAAACATTCAACAGCGGTACATTGTTTTCATAATTGAAGCTTGTTCGGCGGGCACCTCCATCCAACGAAAGTGTAGCTATCGAGTTAGAGAGTTCGATATCACGAGTAGCATCTGCCACGCTTGAGAATTTCTGAAGAAAACTATCCTTGGGTGGATGAATGTTGGCGATACCGCCACTGATAGATGCAGTTCCTAATTGAATTGGGGCATTCTTAGACGTTGCAAAAGTCACTGGGGCGTGAGGTCCTCCTGTGCTTGCAGCATAGGGCACTTGAGACAAGCTGTTTTTGAAATCAAAGAGGTTCGACTCGAGTTCGCTTGTTTCTTGAAATGAGAAACGTCTGGACTCCATCAGACCAGTATTCGAATCAACTTGGTCGAAAACGGAACGGAATTTTGACGTGACTCGAGGACTCGCGGGGTCAGACAGGTTTGACCAGATAGTTTCGGATGGCATCTATGTACAAGTAAGGCCGAGGTATATTCTCACGTTGAGAGAACTGGGTGAAGCGATAAGGATGTAAGAGGACAAATGTGAAATTTGTTTTTCAAAAGGAGAAGTAACGAGGGCAAAGTTTCGATTTGTTTGTGTTTCTCTCTTTTTGCCTCTATCCGTCTTTTCTATTCCACAAGCAAAAGGCTCTTTTCTTGGATAAAAAAAATGGGGAAACAGCCGTTTAACGCCCGATACAACACTTACGATGCTAAACTGGGATGGTTAGATCTTGAGTGAAGCTGGCTTAACGAAACGGATAACGTCAAATGTATGCGTTAAAGTTCCCTGATTTGTGGTGAATTTTGAAAGCACCAAGTACTATACAGGATAATAGGATTGTTGTATGGTGGTCATACATGACGTTACTCTCTTGATTCTCTGATTTTTGTCTGCTGTGAATTTCTTACTTTTCGGAGATTTAGACCGATCCCACGCCTGACAACTTCATGTCACGATTTGCTGTTTCGTTTCTTTCCAGTTAGTGACCATTCAAAATATGCTATCAATATAGAATGTGTCATGTCTACCCAAAGCTACAGCCCCACACCCGACATGCAAACGTATATACTATATGTACGTACATAAAGCGGGTGACTTGATGTGGTTTTCCTCGTTCATTCTTACAGTAGTGTATTTCTCTTTGTATGTCTAGGCCCAGGGTCTTCTATGCAATCTTAGACTAGACGAACCAATTCGCATCACTATAGAAAGATATTATAAGACCAGCCTCCTCATGGATAAGCTTCCACCAGGCGCCTATAACAGGCTACTAAATCTTCTATATAAGAAAACAGTGCCAGAAGTCAGTCCCAAAGTCCCACTAGTAAAACGAGTGTTATATGACCTCGATCAAAATGAAAAGACACATAAGTCTGCACTTGATGACTTGATGGAGCATCTGTGGCGTCAAAAGCCTATGGAAACAGCAATAGATGACGTGAAAAAGAAGCTTTCCAACCCTGTCCTTTCGAATATCTTGCTCTTTTCTTGTAAGAATTCTTTGGTTGGGCGGCGAGATTTTCATAATGTGTTCCCAGTTAATAGAGAGCGGTTTTACTTTCTAGATCAACAACTCAGGAAAGGTTTAGATTTCCATGTGGTAAAGGGCCGAAATCCAGCAAGTTTAATATTCAGTGGCCAATACTACTTGCTTTTTGCTAATATAAACCAAGCATGTGTCTATTATATGGAAACGCAGGGAAAACTTATAAATGGATTTGATTTGCAGTTTGATTTTGTGCTTCCAACTGAAAACCACTTGAAGCGAATGGCTTCGCCTCTCATACAATCTTCGGACACTAGCAATAAGTCTGAAATTTCTATTCGCCCAGATACTGTCGGGATCACACCTATTTCTGACATCTTCAAGATCTCTCCATCAAAGTCACGCATACTAAAAGAATTGGAGACGTTAGATCCCGATCGTTCTCGTTATATCAAGGAGAATCCTGATCCGATGTATGATCTAATGGCTCGTTTCATCGACGTACCAAACCGGTACAAACAAGTTCTAGTGAAAAACTACCCATTTGGTCTTTCTAAACCTGCATTACTGAATCTTCTCTGGGATTATCAATTCGCCAGCCCTGAGAATCCTCAAGATTCGATTACACATATACATTCAGACCCCTTAACCCAAACGACGTCGACACTTTTGAATTTCAAGGACGAAACAAACGCAAAACGATTTGTTCGTAACCATCACGGACGCAGATGGGAAAAAATGTTGGATCGCAACGATAAACCATTGTACGAACCGATCATCTGCGAGATACTCGACTAAAACGACTTAGGTGTGTAGCAGTAAGTATACATATATATATACATGTAAAATCGTGTCTAGTCCACGAGATTTTCTAGGTTTTTCCACCCTGTTCTAACCAATTCAAACTTATGCTGATGCTTTGAAGCACTAGAAGGATTTTCTGTAATGACAAATTTTTCCCAGATTTTCTTCTCCTTCCAAATTATAATTATGCTATCGTCCCCCGCCCACCCAAGAATGCCAATGTCATTAATATGCTCCAGAGACCCATTCATATCGGTGTGATACTTGCTTGTATTTAAAGAGCAGAAAGACCATGTAGAATTAAAATAGTTTGGGACAGGTATAGGTAATGGGAGACGCTTGAAAAAATGCTGGCGATTCAGCGGTGTTTCTCTCACCGTTTCACCGTCACCGAACGGATCAACCACTGTATTATCACTTCTAGATGCAATATTGAATACATGAAGGGTATTCTTATCAGACAAAACAGCGAGTTTAGTATCATTCGGAGAAAATTTCATGGACGTTATCATGGCCCTATCAAGACCCCTTCTGAACTCGAATAGAAGCGCTGTGGTACTAGTTGAATGAATTCGGATGAGTGTGCCTGTTTCGCTTGCTGACGCTATCAAAGTGCCTGTTCTATTCAAAGTTATGCATCTTATTTTGGATTTGTGTGCCTTGATTATGCTGACTGAGTTTTTGCCCTGCCCCTCTGAAGAAACATCAACCAACTGGATCTGACCAATCGTCCGCCCAGGGAAAGCCAAAATCTGGTACTTTGGATGATCCTTATAAACAGGGTCAAAACCGGAATCTGAAGAGTGCAAAGATCCTGGTATGCCGTGCAGAGATGCTGCGTGGACCGATAGGTCAGCGAGTCCGTACTCGTTAGAACTGGTTTCGTATGATGCAAATTTCCTGGGTGGTGCTGAAAATTCAAACACCACTACCTGATTAAGAAGAACAACCACAATTCTGATACGAGACAAGAGAACGTTGAGAACAGGACTCATGAAACTCAAGCTCAAACTTGTTTTGCGCTTTAAATCATCCCAGATGATTACTTTGTTGTTGGGAAACTTCGGATTTTTCCCACCTCCAACGAGAGCCAAGTAGTTTGTGCGGTGGAGCATTGCAATGTGCCCAATTCCAGATCCGGGCAGGCTGGATGAGTGAAACATGCGCTTCACTCGAAGATCAATTGGATTAGTATTGTAAACCATGA